AGCTCCAAGCCCAACCCTAAACCTAGCTCCAACACTAACCCTAACTCCAACCCTAACCCTAACCCTAACCCTAGCTCCAACCCTAACACTAACCCTAACCCATGCATTCCTATGGGAAAAAATCAAATTTTTTTAGGAATGTCCTAGAGATTCGGGAGTTGGTTCAGTGCACTCAGAAAAGTAATAGCTCCAAGCCCAACCCTAACCCTAGCTCCAACACTAACCCTAACTCCAACCCTAACCCTAACCCTAACCCTAACCATAACCCTAACCCATGCATTCCTATGGGAAAAAATCAAATTTTTTTAGGAATGTCCTAGAGAATCGGGAGTTGGTTCAGTGCACTCAGAAAAATCCTAGCTCCAAGCCCAACCCTAACCCTAGCTCCAACACTAACCCTAACCCTAACCCATGCATTCCTATGGGAAAAAAATCAAATTTTTTTAGGAATGTCCTAGAGACTCGGGAGTTGGTTCAGTGCACTCAGAAAAATCCTAGCTCCAAGCCCAACCCTAACCCTAGCTCCAACACTAACCCTAACTCCAACCCTAAACCTAACCCTAACCCTAGCTCCAACCCTAACCCTAACCCTAACCCATGCATTCCTATGGGAAAAAAATCAAATTTTTTTAGGAATGTCCTAGAGACTCGGGAGTTGGTTCAGTGCACTCAGAAAAATCCTAGCTCCAAGCCCAACCCTAACCCTAGCTCCAACACTAACCCTAACTCCAACCCTAACCCTAACCCTAACCCATGCATTCCTATGGGAAAAAATCAAATTTTTTTAGGAATGTCCTAGAGACTCGGGAGTTGGTTCAGTGCACTCAGAAAAATCCTAGCTCCAAGCCCAACCCTAACCCTAGCTCCAACACTAACCCTAACTCCAACCCTAACCCTAACCCTAACCCTAGCTCCAACCCTAACCCTAACCCTAACCCATGCATTCCTATGGGAAAAAATCAAATTTTTTAGGGAACGTCCTAGAGACTCGGGAGTTGGTTCATTGCACTCAGAAAAGTCCTAGCTCCAAGCCCAACCCTAACCCTAGCTCCAACACTAACCCTAACTCCAACCCTAACCCTAACCCTAACCCTAGCTCCAACCCTAACCCTAACCCTAACCCATGCATTCCTATGGGAAAAAATCAAATTTTTTTAGGAATGTCCAAGAGACTCGGGAGTTGGTTCAGTGCACTCAGAAAAATCCTAGCTCCAAGCCCAACCCTAACCCTAGCTCCAACACTAACCCTAACTCCAACCCTAACCTTAACCCTAACCCTAGCTCCAACCCTAACCCTAACCCTAACCCATGCATTCCTATGGGAAAAAATCAAATTTTTTTAGGAACGTCCTAGAGACTCGGGAGTTGGTTCATTGCACTCAGAAAAATCCTAGCTCCAAGCCCAACCCTAACCCTAGCTCCAACACTAACCCTAACTCCAACCCTAACCCTAACCCTAACCCTAGCTCCAACCCTAACCCTAACCCTAACCCATGCATTCCTATGGGAAAAAATCTAATTTTTTTAGGAACGTCCAAGAGACCCGGGAGTTGGTTCATTGCACTCAGAAAAATCCTAGCTCCAAGCCCAACCCTAACCCTAGCTCCAACACTAACCCTAACTCCAACCCTAACCCTAACCCTAACCCTAGCTCCAACCCTTACCCTAACCATAACCCTAACCCATGCATTCCTATGGGAAAAAATCATTTTTTTTTAGGAATGTCCTAGAGACTCGGGAGTTGGTTCAGTGCACTCAGAAAAATCCTAGCTCCAAGCCCAACCCTAACCCTAGCTCCAACACTAACCCTAACTCCAACCCTAACCCTAACCCTACCCCTAGCTCCAACCCTAACCCTAACCCTAACCCATGCATTCCTATGGGAAAAAATCAAATTTTTTTAGGAACGTCCTAGAGACTCGGGAGTTGGTTCATTGCACTCAGAAAAATCCTAGCTCCAAGCCCAACCCTAACCCTAGCTCCAACACTAACCCTAACTCCAACCCTAACCCTAACCCTAACCCTAGCTCCAACCCTAACCCTAACCCTAACCCATGCATTCCTATGGGAAAAAATCAAATTTTTTTAGGAACGTCCAAGAGACTCGGGAGTTGGTTCATTGCACTCAGAAAAATCCTAGCTCCAAGCCCAACCCTAACCCTAGCTCCAACACTAACCCTAACTCCAACCCTAACCCTAACCCTAACCCTAACCCTAGCTCCAACCCTAACCATAACCCTAACCCATGCATTCCTATGGAAAAAAATCAAATTTTTTTAGGAATGTCCTAGAGACTCGGGAGTTGGTTCAGTGCACTCAGAAAAATCCTAGCTCCAAGCCCAACCCTAACCCTAGCTCCAACACTAACCCTAACTCCAACCCTAACCCTAACCCTAACCCTAACCCTAGCTCCAACCCTAACCCTAACCCTAACCCATGCATTCCTATGGGAAAAAATCAAATTTTTTTAGGAACGTCCTAGAGACTCGGGAGTTGGTTCAGTGCACTCAGAAAAATCCTAGCTCCAAGCCCAATCCTAACCCTAGCTCCAACAATAACCCTAACTCCAACCCTAACCCTAACCCTAACCCTAGCTCCAACCCTAACCATAACCCTAACCCATGCATTCCTATGGGAAAAAATCAAATTTTTTTAGGAATGTCCTAGAGACTCGGGAGTTGGTTCAGTGCACTCAGAAAAATCCTAGCTCCAAGCCCAACCCTAACCCTAGCTCCAACACTAACCCTAACTCCAACCCTAACCCTAACCCTAACCCTAGCTCCAACCCTAACCCTAACCCTAACCCATGCATTCCTATGGGAAAAAATCAAATTTTTTAGGAACGTCCAAGAGACTCGGGAGTTGGTTCATTGCACTCAGAAAAATCCTAGCTCAAAGCCCAACCCTAACCCTAGCTCCAACACTAACCCTAACTCCAACCCTAACCCTAACCCTAACCCTAGCTCCAACCCTAACCCTAACCATAACCCTAACCCATGCATTCCTATGGGAAAAAATCAAATTTTTTTAGGAATGTCCTAGAGACTCGGGAGTTGGTTCAGTGCACTCAGAAAAATCCTAGCTCCAAGCCCAACCCTAACCCTAGCTCCAACACTAACCCTAACTCCAACCCTAACCCTAACCCTAACCCTAGCTCCAACCCTAACCCTAACCCTAACCCATGCATTCCTATGGGAAAAAATCAAATTTTTTTAGGAACGTCCTAGAGACTCGGGAGTTGGTTCATTGCACTCAGAAAAATCCTAGCTCCAAGCCCAACCCTAACCCTAGCTCCAACACTAACCCTAACTCCAACCCTAACCCTAACCCTAACCCTAGCTCCAACCCTAACCCTAACCCTAACCCATGCATTCCTATGGGAAAAAATCCAATTTTTTTAGGAACGTCCAAGAGACTCGGGAGTTGGTTCATTGCACTCAGAAAAATCCTAGCTCCAAGCCCAACCCTAACCCTAGCTCCAACACTAACCCTAACTCCAACCCTAACCCTAACCCTAACCCTAGCTCCAACCCTAATCCTAACCATAACCCTAACCCATGCATTCCTATGGGAAAAAATCAAATTTTTTTAGGAATGTCCTAGAGACTCGGGAGTTGGTTCAGTGCACTCAGAAAAATCCTAGCTCCAAGCCCAACCCTAACCCTAGCTCCAACACTAACCCTAACTCCAACCCTAACCCTAACCCTAACCCTAGCTCCAACCCTAACCCTAACCCTAACCCATGCATTCCTATGGGAAAAAATCAAATTTTTTTAGGAACGTCCTAGAGACTCGGGAGTTGGTTCATTGCACTCAGAAAAATCCTAGCTCCAAGCCCAACCCTAACCCTAGCTCCAACACTAACCCCAACTCCAACCCTAACCCTAACCCTAACCCTAGCTCCAACCCTAACCCTAACCCTAACCCATGCATTCCTATGGGAAAAAATCAAATTTTTTTTAGGAACGTCCAAGAGACTCGGGAGTTGGTTCATTGCACTCAGAAAAATCCTAGCTCCAAGCCCAACCCTAACCCTAGCTCCAACACTAACCCTAACTCCAACCCTAACCCTAACCCTAACCCTAGCTCCAACCCTAACCCTAACCATAACCCTAACCCATGCATTCCTATGGGAAAAAATCAAATTTTTTTAAAGAACGTCCTAGAGACTCGGGAGTTGGTTCAGTGCACTCAGAAAAATCCTAGCTCCAAGCCCAACCCTAACCCTAGCTCCAACACTAACCCTAACTCCAACCCTAACCCTAACCCTAACCCTAGCTCCAACCCTAACCCTAACCCTAACCCATGCATTCCTATGGGAAAAAATCAAATTTTTTTAGGAATGTCCTAGAGACTCGGGAGTTGGTTCAGTAGACTCAGAAAAATCCTAGCTCCAAGCCCAACCCTAACCCTAGCTCCAACACTAACCCTAACTCCAACCCTAACCCTAACCCTAACCCTAACCCTAGCTCCAACCCTAACCCTAACCCTAACCCATGCATTCCTATGGGAAAAAAATCAAATTTTTTTAGGAACGTCCTAGAGACTCGGGAGTTGGTTCAGTGCACTCAGAAAAATCCTAGCTCCAAGCCCAACCCTAACCCTAGCTCCAACACTAACCCTAACTCCAACCCTAACCCTAACCCTAACCCTAGCTCCAACCCTAACCCTAACCCTAACCCATGCATTCCTATGGGAAAAAATCAAATTTTTTTAGGAATGTCCTAGAGACTCGGGAGTTGGTTCAGTGCACTCAGAAAAATCCTAGCTCCAAGCCCAACCCTAAACCTAGCTCCAACACTAACCCTAACTCCAACCCTAACCCTAACCCTAACCCTAGCTCCAGCCCTAACCCTAACCATAACCCTAACCCATGCATTCCTATGGGAAAAAATCAAATTTTTTTAGGAATATCCTAGAGACTCGGGAGTTGGTTCAGTGCACTCAGAAAAATCCTAGCTCCAAGCCCAACCCTAAACCTAGCTCCAACACTAACCCTAACTCCAACCCTAACCCTAACCCTAACCCTAGCTCCAACCCTAACACTAACCCTAACCCATGCATTCCTATGGGAAAAAATCAAATTTTTTTAGGAATGTCCTAGAGACTCGGGAGTTGGTTCAGTGCACTCAGAAAAGTAATAGCTCCAAGCCCAACCCTAACCCTAGCTCCAACACTAACCCTAACTCCAACCCTAACCCTAACCCTAACCCTAACCATAACCCTAACCCATGCATTCCTATGGGAAAAAATCAAATTTTTTTAGGAATGTCCTAGAGACTCGGGAGTTGGTTCAGTGCACTCAGAAAAATCCTAGCTCCAAGCCCAACCCTAACCCTAGCTCCAACACTAACCCTAACTCCAACCCTAACCCTAACCCTAACCCTAGCTCCAACCCTAACCCTAACCCTAACCCATGCATTCCTATGGGAAAAAATCAAATTTTTTTAGGAATGTCCTAGAGACTCGGGAGTTGGTTCAGTGCACTCAGAAAAATCCTAGCTCCAAGCCCAACCCTAACCCTAGCTCCAACACTAACCCTAACTCCAACCCTAAACCTAACCCTAACCCTAGCTCCAACCCTAACCCTAACCCTAACCCATGCATTCCTATGGGAAAAAAATCAAATTTTTTTAGGAATGTCCTAGAGACTCGGGAGTTGGTTCAGTGCACTCAGAAAAATCCTAGCTCCAAGCCCAACCCTAACCCTAGCTCCAACACTAACCCTAACTCCAACCCTAACCCTAACCCTAACCCATGCATTCCTATGGGAAAAAATCAAATTTTTTTAGGAATGTCCTAGAGACTCGGGAGTTGGTTCAGTGCACTCAGAAAAATCCTAGCTCCAAGCCCAACCCTAACCCTAGCTCCAACACTAACCCTAACTCCAACCCTAACCCTAACCCTAACCCTAGCTCCAACCCTAACCCTAACCCTAACCCATGCATTCCTATGGGAAAAAATCAAATTTTTTTAGGGAACGTCCTAGAGACTCGGGAGTTGGTTCATTGCACTCAGAAAAGTCCTAGCTCCAAGCCCAACCCTAACCCTAGCTCCAACACTAACCCTAACTCCAACCCTAACCCTAACCCTAACCCTAGCTCCAACCCTAACCCTAACCCTAACCCATGCATTCCTATGGGAAAAAATCAAATTTTTTTAGGAATGTCCAAGAGACTCGGGAGTTGGTTCAGTGCACTCAGAAAAATCCTAGCTCCAAGCCCAACCCTAACCCTAGCTCCAACACTAACCCTAACTCCAACCCTAACCCTAACCCTAACCCTAGCTCCAACCCTAACCCTAACCCTAACCCATGCATTCCTATGGGAAAAAATCAAATTTTTTTAGGAACGTCCTAGAGACTCGGGAGTTGGTTCATTGCACTCAGAAAAATCCTAGCTCCAAGCCCAACCCTAACCCTAGCTCCAACACTAACCCTAACTCCAACCCTAACCCTAACCCTAACCCTAGCTCCAACCCTAACCCTAACCCTAACCCATGCATTCCTATGGGAAAAAAATCAATTTTTTTTAGGAACGTCCAAGAGACTCGGGAGTTGGTTCATTGCACTCAGAAAAATCCTAGCTCCAAGCCCAACCCTAACCCTAGCTCCAACACTAACCCTAACTCCAACCCTAACCCTAACCCTAACCCTAACCCTAGCTCCAACCCTAACCATAACCCTAACCCATGCATTCCTATGGGAAAAAATCAAATTTTTTTAGGAATGTCCTAGAGACTCGGGAGTTGGTTCAGTGCACTCAGAAAAATCCTAGCTCCAAGCCCAACCCTAACCCTAGCTCCAACACTAACCCTAACTCCAACCCTAACCCTAACCCTAACCCTAACCCTAGCTCCAACCCTAACCCTAACCCTAACCCATGCATTCCTATGGGAAAAAATCAAATTTTTTTAGGAACGTCCTAGAGACTCGGGAGTTGGTTCAGTGCACTCAGAAAAATCCTAGCTCCAAGCCCAATCCTAACCCTAGCTCCAACAATAACCCTAACTCCAACCCTAACCCTAACCCTAACCCTAGCTCCAACCCTAACCATAACCCTAACCTATGCATTCCTATGGGAAAAAATCAAATTTTTTTAGGGAACGTCCTAGAGACTCGGGAGTTGGTTCAGTGCACTCAGAAAAATCCTAGCTCCAAGCCCAACCCTAACCCTAGCTCCAACACTAACCCTAACTCCAACCCTAACCCTAACCCTAACCCTAGCTCCAACCCTAACCCTAACCATAACCCTAACCCATGCATTCCTATGGGAAAAAAACAAATTTTTTTAGGAATGTCCTAGAGACTCGGGAGTTGGTTCAGTGCACTCAGAAAAATCCTAGCTCCAAGCCCAACCCTAACCCTAGCTCCAACACTAACCCTAACTCCAACCCTAACCCTAACCCTAACCCTAACCCTAGCTCCAACCCTAACCCTAACCCATGCATTCCTATGGGAAAAAATCAAATTTTTTTAGGGAACGTCCTAGAGACTCGGGAGTTGGTTCAGTGCACTCAGAAAAATCCTAGCTCCAAGCCCAACCCTAACCCTAGCTCCAACACTAACCCTAACTCCAACCCTAACCCTAACCCTAACCCTAGCTCCAACCCTAACCCAAACCATAACCCTAACCCATGCATTCCTATGGGAAAAAATCAAATTTTTTTAGGAACGTCCTAGAGACTCGGGAGTTGGTTCATTGCACTCAGAAAAATCCTAGCTCCAAGCCCAACCCTAACCCTAGCTCCAACACTAACCCTAACTCCAACCCTAACCCTAACCCTAACCCTAGCTCCAACCCTAACCATAACCCTAACCCATGCATTCCTATGGGAAAAAAATCAAATTTTTTTAGGAATGTCCTAGAGACTCGGGAGTTGGTTCAGTGCACTCAGAAAAATCCTAGCTCCAAGCCCAACCCTAACCCTAGCTCCAACACTAACCCTAACTCCAACCCTAACCCTAACCCTAACCCTAACCATAACCCTAACCCATGCATTCCAATGGGAAAAAATCAAATTTTTTTAGGAATGTCCTAGAGACTCGGGAGTTGGTTCAGTGCACTCAGAAAAATCCTAGCTCCAAGCCCAACCCTAACCCTAGCTCCAACACTAACCCTAACTCCAACCCTAACCCTAACCCTAACCCTAGCTCCAACCCTAACCCTAACCATAACCCTAACCCATGCATTCCTATGGGAAAAAATCAAATTTTTTTAGGAATGTCCTAGAGACTCGGGAGTTGGTTCAGTGCACTCAGAAAAATCCTAGCTCCAAGCCCAACCCTAACCCTAGCTCCAACACTAACCCTAACTCCAAACCTAACCCTAACCCTAACCCTAGCTCCAACCCTAACCCTAACCCTAACCCATGCATTCCTATGGGAAAAAAATCAAATTTTTTTAGGAATGTCCTAGAGACTCGGGAGTTGGTTCAGTGCACTCAGAAAAATCCTAGCTCCAAGCCCAACCCTAACCCTAGCTCCAACACTAACCCTAACTCCAACCCTAAACCTAACCCTAACCCTAGCTCCAACCCTAACCCTAACCCTAACCCATGCATTCCTATGGGAAAAAAATCAAATTTTTTTAGGAATGTCCTAGAGACTCGGGAGTTGGTTCAGTGCACTCAGAAAAATCCTAGCTCCAAGCCCAACCCTAACCCTAGCTCCAACACTAACCCTAACTCCAACCCTAACCCTAACCCTAACCCTAGCTCCAACCCTAACCCTAACCCTAACCCATGCATTCCTATGGGAAAAAATCAAATTTTTTTAGGAACGTCCTAGAGACTCGGGAGTTGGTTCAGTGCACTCAGAAAAATCCTAGCTCCATGCCCAACCCTAACCCTAGCTCCAACACTAACCCTAACTCCAACCCTAACCCTAACCCTAACCCTAGCTCCAACCCTAACCCTAACCATAACCCTAACCCATGCATTCCTATGGGAAAAAATCAAATTTTTTTAGGAATGTCCTAGAGACTCGGGAGTTGGTTCAGTGCACTCAGAAAAATCCTAGCTCCAAGCCCAACCCTAACCCTAGCTCCAACACTAACCCTAACTCCAACCCTAACCCTAACCCTAACCCTAGCTCCAACCCTAACCCTAACCATAACCCTAACCCATGCATTCCTATGGGAAAAAATCAAATTTTTTTAGGAATGTCCTAGAGACTCGGGAGTTGGTTCAGTGCACTCAGAAAAATCCTAGCTCCAAGCCCAACCCTAACCCTAGCTCCAACACTAACCCTAACTCCAACCCTAACCCTAACCCTAACCCTAGCACCAACACTAACCCTAACCCTAACCCATGCATTCCTATGGGAAAAAATCAAATTTTTTTAGGAATGTCCTAGAGACTCGGGAGTTGGTTCAGTGCACTCAGAAAAGTAATAGCTCCAAGCCCAACCCTAACCCTAGCTCCAACACTAACCCTAACTCCAACCCTAACCCTAACCCTAACCCTAACCCTAGCTCCAACCCTAACCCTAACCCTAACCCATGCATTCCTATGGGAAAAAATCAAATTTTTTTAGGGAACGTCCTAGAGACTCGGGAGTTGGTTCAGTGCACTCAGAAAAATCCTAGCTCCAAGCCCAACCCTAACCCTAGCTCCAACACTAACCCTAACTCCAACCCTAACCCTAACCCTAACCCTAGCTCCAACCCTAACCCTAACCCTAACCCATGCATTCCTATGGGAAAAAAATCAAATTTTTTTAGGAATGTCCTAGAGACTCGGGAGTTGGTTCAGTGCACTCAGAAAAATCCTAGCTCCAAGCCCAACCCTAACCCTAGCTCCAACACTAACCCTAACTCCAACCCTAACCCTAACCCTAACCCTAGCTCCAACCCTAACCCTAACCCTAACCCATGCATTCCTATGGGAAAAAATCCAATTTTTTTAGGAACGTCCTAGAGACTCGGGAGTTGGTTCAGTGCACTCAGAAAAATCCTAGCTCCAAGCCCAACCCTAACCCTAGCTCCAACACTAACCCTAACTCCAACCCTAACCCTAACCCTAACCCTAGCTCCAACCCTAACCCTAACCCTAACCCATGCATTCCTATGGGAAAAAATCAAATTTTTTTAGGAATGTCCTAGAGACTCGGGAGTTGGTTCAGTGCACTCAGAAAAATCCTAGCTCCAAGCCCAACCCTAACCCTAGCTCCAACACTAACCCTAACTCCAACCCTAACCCTAACCCTAACCCTAGCTCCAACCCTAACCCTAACCCTAACCCATGCATTCCTATGGGAAAAAATCAAATTTTTTTAGGAACGTCCTAGAGACTCGGGAGTTGGTTCAGTGCACTCAGAAAAATCCTAGCTCCAAGCCCAACCCTAACCCTAGCTCCAACACTAACCCTAACTCCAACCCTAACCCTAACCCTAACCCTAGCTCCAACCCTAACCCTAACCATAACCCTAACCCATGCATTCCTATGGGAAAAAATCAAAATTTTTTTAGGAATGTCCTAGAGACTCGGGAGTTGGTTCAGTGCACTCAGAAAAATCCTAGCTCCAAGCCCAACCCTAACCCTAGCTCCAACACTAACCCTAACTCCAACCCTAACCCTAACCCTAACCCTAGCTCCAACCCTAACCCTAACCCTAACCCATGCATTCCTATGGGAAAAAATCAAATTTTTTTAGGAATGTCCTAGAGACTCGGGAGTTGGTTCAGTGCACTCAGAAAAATCCTAGCTCCAAGCCCAACCCTAACCCTAGCTCCAACACTAACCCTAACTCCAACCCTAACCCTAACCCTAACCCTAGCTCCAACCCTAACCCTAACCCTAACCCATGCATTCCTATGGGAAAAAATCAAATTTTTTTAGGAACGTCCTAGAGACTCGGGAGTTGGTTCAGTGCACTCAGAAAAATCCTAGCTCCATGCCCAACCCTAACCCTAGCTCCAACACTAACCCTAACTCCAACCCTAACCCTAACCCTAACCCTAGCTCCAACCCTAACCCAAACCATAACCCTAACCCATGCATTCCTATGGGAAAAAATCAAATTTTTTTAGGAATGTCCTAGAGACTCGGGAGTTGGTTCAGTGCACTCAGAAAAATCCTAGCTCCAAGCCCAACCCTAACCCTAGCTCCAACACTAACCCTAACTCCAACCCTAACCCTAACCCTAACCCTAGCTCCAACCCTAACCCTAACCATAACCCTAACCCATGCATTCCTATGGGAAAAAATCAAATTTTTTTAGGAATGTCCTAGAGACTCGGGAGTTGGTTCAGTGCACTCAGAAAAATCCTAGCTCCAAGCCCAACCCTAACCCTAGCTCCAACACTAACCCTAACTCCAACCCTAACCCTAACCCTAACCCTAGCTCCAACCCTAACCCTAACCCTAACCCATGCATTCCTATGGGAAAAAATCAAATTTTTTTAGGAATGTCCTAGAGACTCGGGAGTTGGTTCAGTGCACTCAGAAAAATCCTAGCTCCAAGCCCAACCCTAACCCTAGCTCCAACACTAACCCTAACTCCAACCCTAACCCTAACCCTAACCCTAACCCTAGCTCCAACCCTAACCCTAACCCTAACCCATGCATTCCTATGGGAAAAAAATCAAATTTTTTTAGGAACGTCCTAGAGACTCGGGAGTTGGTTCAGTGCACTCAGAAAAATCCTAGCTCCAAGCCCAACCCTAACCCTAGCTCCAACACTAACCCTAACTCCAACCCTAACCCTAACCCTAACCCTAGCTCCAACCCTAACCCTAACCCTAACCCATGCATTCCTATGGGAAAAAATCAAATTTTTTTAGGGAACGTCCTAGAGACTCGGGAGTTGGTTCAGTGCACTCAGAAAAATCCTAGCTCCAAGCCCAACCCTAACCCTAGCTCCAACACTAACCCTAACTCCAACCCTAACCCTAACCCTAACCCTAGCTCCAACCCTAACCCTAACCCTAACCCATGCATTCCTATGGGAAAAAATCAAATTTTTTTAGGAATGTCCTAGAGACTCGGGAGTTGGTTCAGTGCACTCAGAAAAATCCTAGCTCCAAGCCCAACCCTAACCCTAGCTCCAACACTAACCCTAACTCCAACCCTAACCCTAACCCTAACCCTAACCCTAGCTCCAACCCTAACCCTAACCCTAACCCATGCATTCCTATGGGAAAAAATCAAATTTTTTTTAGGAACGTCCTAGAGACTCGGGAGTTGGTTCAGTGCACTCAGAAAAATCCTAGCTCCAAGCCCAACCCTAACCCTAGCTCCAACACTAACCCTAACTCCAACCCTAACCCTAACCCTAACCCTAGCTCCAACCCTAACCCTAACCATAACCCTAACCCATGCATTCCTATGGGAAAAAATCAAATTTTTTTAGGAATGTCCTAGAGACTCGGGAGTTGGTTCAGTGCACTCAGAAAAATCCTAGCTCCAAGCCCAACCCTAACCCTAGCTCCAACACTAACCCTAACTCCAACCCTAACCCTAACCCTAACCCTAGCTCCAACCCTAACCCTAACCCTAACCCATGCATTCCTATGGGAAAAAATCAAATTTTTTTAGGAATGTCCTAGAGACTCGGGAGTTGGTTCAGTGCACTCAGAAAAATCCTAGCTCCAAGCCCAACCCTAACCCTAGCTCCAACACTAACCCTAACTCCAACCCTAACCCTAGCTCCAACCCTAACCCTAACCCTAACCCATGCATTCCTATGGGAAAAAATCAAATTTTTTTAGGAACGTCCTAGAGACTCGGGAGTTGGTTCAGTGCACTCAGAAAAATCCTAGCTCCAAGCCCAACCCTAACCCTAGCTCCAACACTAACCCTAACTCCAACCCTAACCCTAACCCTAACCCTAGCTCCAACCCTAACCCTAACCCTAACCCTAACCCATGCATTCCTATGGGAAAAAATCAAATTTTTTTAGGAATGTCCTAGAGACTCGGGAGTTGGTTCAGTGCACTCAGAAAAATCCTAGCTCCAAGCCCAACCCTAACCCTAGCTCCAACACTAACCCTAACTCCAACCCTAACCCTAGCTCCAACCCTAACCCTAACCATAACCCTAACCCATGCATTCCTATGGGAAAAAATCAATTTTTTTTAGGAATGTCCTAGAGACTCGGGAGTTGGTTCAGTGCACTCAGAAAAATCCTAGCTCCAAGCCCAACCCTAACCTTAGCTCCAACACTAACCCTAACTCCAACCCTAACCCTAACCCTAACCCTAGCTCCAACCCTAACCCTAACCATAACCCTAACCCATGCATTCCTATGGGAAAAAATCAAATTTTTTTAGGAATGTCCTAGAGACTCGGGAGTTGGTTCAGTGCACTCAGAAAAATCCTAGCTCCAAGCCCAACCCTAACCCTAGCTCCAACACTAACCCTAACTCCAACCCTAACCCTAACCCTAACCCTAGCTCCAACCCTAACCCTAACCATAACCCTAACCCATGCATTCCTATGGGAAAAAATCAAATTTTTTTAGGAATGTCCTAGAGACTCGGGAGTTGGTTCAGTGCACTCAGAAAAATCCTAGCTCCAAGCCCAACCCTAACCCTAGCTCCAACACTAACCCTAACTCCAACCCTAACCCTAACCCTAACCCTAGCTCCAACCCTAACCCTAACCCTAACCCATGCATTCCTATGGGGAAAAATCAAATTTTTTTAGGAATGTCCTAGAGACTTGGGAGTTGGTTCAGTGCACTCAGAAAAATCCTAGCTCCAAGCCCAACCCTAACCCTAGCTCCAACACTAACCCTAACTCCAACCCTAACCCTAACCCTAACCCTAGCTCCAACCCTAACCCTAACCATAACCCTAACCCATGCATTCCTATGGGAAAAAATCAAATTTTTTTAGGAATGTCCTAGAGACTCGGGAGTTGGTTCAGTGCACTCAGAAAAATCCTAGCTCCAAGCCCAACCCTAACCCTAGCTCCAACACTAACCCTAACTCCAACCCTAACCCTAACCCTAACCCTAGCTCCAACCCTAACCCTAACCCTAACCCATGCATTCCTATGGGAAAAAATCAAATTTTTTTAGGAATGTCCTAGAGACTCGGGAGTTGGTTCAGTGCACTCAGAAAAATCCTAGCTCCAAGCCCAACCCTAACCCTAGCTCCAACACTAACCCTAACTCCAACCCTAACCCTAACCCTAACCCTAGCTCCAACCCTAACCCTAACCCTAACCCATGCATTCCTATGGGAAAAAATCAAATTTTTTTAGGAACGTCCTAGAGACTCGGGAGTTGCTTCAGTGCACTCAGAAAAATCCTAGCTCCAAGCCCAACCCTAACCCTAGCTCCAACACTAACCCTAACTCCAACCCTAACCCTAACCCTAACCCTAGCTCCAACCCTAACCCTAACCATAACCCTAACCCATGCATTCCTATGGGAAAAAATCAAATTTTTTTAGGAATGTCCTAGAGACTCGGGAGTTGGTTCAGTGCACTCAGAAAAATCCTAGCTCCAAGCCCAACCCTAACCCTAGCTCCAACACTAACCCTAACTCCAACCCTAACCCTAACCCTAACCCTAGCTCCAACCCTAACCCTAACCCTAACCCATGCATTCCTATGGGAAAAAATCAAATTTTTTTAGGAATGTCCTAGAGACTCGGGAGTTGGTTCAGTGCACTCAGAAAAATCCTAGCTCCAAGACCAACCCTAACCCTAGCTCCAACACTAACCCTAACTCCAACCCTAAACCTAACCCTAACCCTTGCTCCAACCCTAACCCTAACCCTAACCCATGCATTCCTATGGGAAAAAAATCAAATTTTTTTAGGAATGTCCTAGAGACTCGGGAGTTGGTTCAGTGCACTCAGAAAAATCCTAGCTCCAAGCCCAACCCTAACCCTAGCTCCAACACTAACCCTAACTCCAACCCTAACCCTAACCCTAACCCTAGCTCCAACCCTAACCCTAACCCTAACCCATGCATTCCTATGGGAAAAAATCAAATTTTTTTAGGAACGTCCTAGAGACTCGGGAGTTGGTTCAGTGCACTCAGAAAAATCCTAGCTCCAAGCCCAACCCTAACCCTAGCTCCAACACTAACCCTAACTCCAACCCTAACCCTAACCCTAACCCTAGCTCCAACCCTAACCCTAACCCTAACCCATGCATTCCTATGGGAAAAAATCAAATTTTTTTAGGAATGTCCTAGAGACTCGGGAGTTGGTTCAGTGCACTCAGAAAAATCCTAGCTCCAAGCCCAACCCTAACCCTAGCTCCAACACTAACCCTAACTCCAACCCTAACCCTAACCCTAACCCTAGCTCCAACCCTAACCCTAACCCTAACCCATGCATTCCTATGGGAAAAAATCAAATTTTTTTAGGAACGTCCTAGAGACTCGGGAGTTGGTTCAGTGCACTCAGAAAAATCCTAGCTCCAAGCCCAACCCTAACCCTAGCTCCAACACTAACCCTAACTCCAACCCTAACCCTAACCCTAACCCTAGCTCCAACCCTAACCCTAACCCTAACCCATGCATTCCTATGGGAAAAAATCAAATTTTTTTAGGAATGTCCTAGAGACTCAGGAGTTGGTTCAGTGCACTCAGAAAAATCCTAGCTCCAAGCCCAACCCTAACCCTAGCTCCAACACTAACCCTAACTCCAACCCTAACCCTAACCCTAACCCTAACCCTAGCTCCAACCCTAACCCTAACCCTAACCCATGCATTCCTATGGGAAAAAATCAAATTTTTTTAGGAATGTCCTAGAGACTCGGGAGTTGGTTCAGTGCACTCAGAAAAATCCTAGCTCCAAGCCCAACCCTAACCCTAGCTCCAACACTAACCCTAACTCCAACCCTAACCCTAACCCTAACCCTAGCTCCAACCCTAACCCTAACCCTAACCCATGCATTCCTATGGGAAAAAATCAAATTTTTTTAGGAACGTCCTAGAGACTCGGGAGTTGGTTCAGTGCACTCAGAAAAATCCTAGCTCCAAGCCCAACCCTAACCCTAGCTCCAACACTAACCCTAACTCCAACCCTAACCCTAACCCTAACCCTAGCTCCAACCCTAACCCTAACCATAACCCTAACCCATGCATTCCTATGGGAAAAAATCAAATTTTTTTAGGAATGTCCTAGAGACTCGGGAGTTGGTTCAGTGCACTCAGAAAAATCCTAGCTCCAAGCCCAACCCTAACCCTAGCTCCAACACTAACCCTAACTCCAACCCTAACCCTAACCCTAACCCTAGCTCCAACCCTAACCCTAACCATAACCCTAACCCATGCATTCCTATGGGAAAAAATCAAATTTTTTTAGGAATGTCCTAGAGACTCGGGAGTTGGTTCAGTGCACTCAGAAAAATCCTAGCTCCAAGCCCAACCCTAACCCTAGCTCCAACACTAACCCTAACTCCAACCCTAACCCTAACCCTAACCCTAGCTCCAACCCTAACCCTAACCATAACCCTAACCCATGCATTCCTATGGGAAAAAATCAAATTTTTTTAGGAATGTCCTAGAGACTCGGGAGTTGGTTCAGTGCACTCAGAAAAATCCTAGCTCCAAGCCCAACCCTAACCCTAGCTCCAACACTAACCCTAACTCCAACCCTAACCCTAACCCTAGCTCCAACCCTAACCCTAACCATAACCCTAACCCATGCATTCCTATGCGAAAAAATCAAATTTTTTTAGGAATGTCCTAGAGACTCGGGAGTTGGTTCAGTGCACTCAGAAAAATCCTAGCTCCAAGCCCAACCCTAACCCTAGCTCCAACACTAACCCTAACTCCAACCCTAACCCTAACCCTAACCCTAGCTCCAACCCTAACCCTAACCATAACCCTTACCCATGCATTCCTATGGGAAAAAATCAAATTTTTTTAGGAATGTCCTAGAGACTCGGGAGTTGGTTCAGTGCACTCAGAAAAATCCTAGCTCCAAGCCCAACCCTAACCCTAGCTCCAACACTAACCCTAACTCCAACCCTAACCCTAACCCTAACCCTAGCTCCAACCCTAACCCTAACCCTAACCCTAACCCATGCATTCCTATGGGAAAAAATCAAATTTTTTTAGGAATGTCCTAGAGACTCGGGAGTTGGTTCAGTGCACTCAGAAAAATCCTAGCTCCAAGCCCAACCCTAACCCTAGCTCCAACACTAACCCTAACTCCAACCCTAACCCTAACCCTAACCCTAGCTCCAACCCTAACCCTAACCATAACCCTAACCCATGCATTCCTATGGGAAAAAATCAAATTTTTTTAGGAATGTCCTAGAGACTCGGGAGTTGGTTCAGTGCACTCAGAAAAATCCTAGCTCCAAGCCCAACCCTAACCCTAGCTCCAACACTAACCCTAACTCCAACCCTAACCCTAACCCTAACCCTAGCTCCAACCCTAACCCTAACCCTAACCCATGCATTCCTATGGGAAAAAATCAAATTTTTTTAGGAATGTCCTAGAGACTCGGGAGTTGGTTCAGTGCACTCAGAAAAATCCTAGCTCCAAGCCCAACCCTAACCCTAGCTCCAACACTAACCCTAACTCCAACCCTAACCCTAACCCTAACCCTAGCTCCAACCCTAACCCTAACCCATGCATTCCTATGGGAAAAAATCAAATTTTTTTAGGAACGTCCTAGAGACTCGGGAGTTGGTTCAGTGCACTCAGAAAAATCCTAGCTCCAAGCCCAACCCTAACCCTAGCTCCAACACTAACCCTAACTCCAACCCTAACCCTAACCCTAACCCTAGCTCCAACCCTAACCCTAACCATAACCCTAACCCATGCATTCCTATGGGAAAAAATCAAATTTTTTTAGGAATGTCCTAGAGACTCGGGAGTTGGTTCAGTGCACTCAGAAAAATCCTAGCTCCAAGCCCAACCCTAACCCTAGCTCCAACACTAACCCTAACTCCAACCCTAACCCTAACCCTAACCCTAGCTCCAACCCTAACCCTAACCCTAACCCATGCATTCCTATGGGAAAAAATCAAATTTTTTTAGGAATGTCCTAGAGACTCGGGAGTTGGTTCAGTGCACTCAGAAAAATCCTAGCTCCAAGACCAACCCTAACCCTAGCTCCAACACTAACCCTAACTCCAACCCTAAACCTAACCCTAACCCTTGCTCCAACCCTAACCCTAACCCTAACCCATGCATTCCTATGGGAAAAAAATCAAATTTTTTTAGGAATGTCCTAGAGACTCGGGAGTTGGTTCAGTGCACTCAGAAAAATCCTAGCTCCAAGCCCAACCCTAACCCTAGCTCCAACACTAACCCTAACTCCAACCCTAACCCTAACCCTAACCCTAGCTCCAACCCTAACCCTAACCCTAACCCATGCATTCCTATGGGAAAAAATCAAATTTTTTTAGGAACGTCCTAGAGACTCGGGAGTTGGTTCAGTGCACTCAGAAAAATCCTAGCTCCAAGCCCAACCCTAACCCTAGCTCCAACACTAACCCTAACTCCAACCCTAACCCTAACCCTAACCCTAGCTCCAACCCTAACCCTAACCCTAACCCATGCATTCCTATGGGAAAAAATCAAATTTTTTTAGGAACATCCTAGAGACTCGGGAGTTGGTTCAGTGCACTCAGAAAAATCCTAGCTCCAAGCCCAACCCTAACCCTAGCTCCAACACTAACCCTAACTCCAACCCTAACCCTAACCCTAACCCTAGCTCAAACCCTAACCCTAACCATAACCCTAACCCATGCATTCCTATGGGAAAAAATCAAATTTTTTTAGGAATGTCCTAGAGACTCGGGAGTTGGTTCAGTGCACTCAGAAAAATCCTAGCTCCAAGCCCAACCCTAACCCTAGCTCCAACACTAACCCTAACTCCAACCCTAACCCTAACCCTAACCCTAGCTCCAACCCTAACCCTAACCCTAACCCATGCATTCCTATGGGAAAAAATCAAATTTTTTTAGGAACGTCCTAGAGACTCGGGAGTTGGTTCAGTGCACTCAGAAAAATCCTAGCTCCAAGCCCAACCCTAACCCTAGCTCCAACACTAACCCTAACTCCAACCCTAACCCTAACCCTAACCCTAGCTCCAACACTAACCCTAACTCCAACCCTAACCCTAACCCTAACCCTAGCTCCAACCCTAACCCTAACCCTAACCCATGCATTCCTATGGGAAAAAATCAAATTTTTTTAGGAATGTCCTAGAGACTCGGGAGTTGGTTCAGTGCACTCAGAAAAATCCTAGCTCCAAGCCCAACCCTAACCCTAGCTCCAACACTAACCCTAACTCCAACCCTAACCCTAACCCTAACCCTAGCTCCAACCCTAACCCTAACCATAACCCTAACCCATGCATTCCTATGGGAAAAAATCAAATTTTTTTAGGAATGTCCTAGAGACTCGGGAGTTGGTTCAGTGCACTCAGAAAAATCCTAGCTCCAAGCCCAACCCTAACCCTAGCTCCAACACTAACCCTAACTCCAACCCTAACCCTAACCCTAACCCTAGCTCCAACCCTAACCCTAACCATAACCCTAACCCATGCATTCCTATGGGAAAAAATCAAATTTTTTTAGGAACGTCCTAGAGACTCGGGAGTTGGTTCAGTGCACTCAGAAAAATCCTAGCTCCAAGCCCAACCCTAACCCTAGCTCCAACACTAACCCTAACTCCAACCCTAACCCTAACCCTAACCCTAGCTCCAACCCTAACCCTAACCATAACCCTAACCCATGCATTCCTATGGGAAAAAATCAAATTTTTTTAGGAATGTCCTAGAGACTCGGGAGTTGGTTCAGTGCACTCAGAAAAATCCTAGCTCCAAGCCCAACCCTAACCCTAGCTCCAACACTAACCCTAACTCCAACCCTAACCCTAACCCTAACCCTAGCTCCAACCCTAACCCTAACCCTAACCCATGCATTCCTATGGGAAAAAATCAAATTTTTTTAGGAATGTCCTAGAGACTCGGGAGTTGGTTCAGTGCACTCAGAAAAATCCTAGCTCCAAGCCCAACCCTAACCCTAGCTCCAACACTAACCCTAACTCCAACCCTAACCCTAACCCTAACCCTAGCTCCAACCCTAACCCTAACCATAACCCTAACCCATGCATTCCTATGGGAAAAAATCAAATTTTTTAGGAATGTCCTAGAGACTCGGGAGTTGGTTCAGTGCACTCAGAAAAATCCTAGCTCCAAGCCCAACCCTAACCCTAGCTCCAACACTAACCCTAACTCCAACCCTAACCCTAACCCTAACCCTAGCTCCAACCCTAACCCTAACCCTAACCCTAACCCATGCATTCCTATGGGAAAAAATCAAATTTTTTTAGGAATGTCCTAGAGACTCGGGAGTTGGTTCAGTGCACTCAGAAAAATCCTAGCTCCAAGCCCAACCCTAACCCTAGCTCCAACACTAACCCTAACTCCAACCCTAACCCTAACCCTAACCCTAGCTCCAACCCTAACCCTAACCCTAACCCATGCATTCCTATGGGAAAAAAATCAAATTTTTTTAGGAACGTCCTAGAGACTCGGGAGTTGGTTCAGTGCACTCAGAAAAATCCTAGCTCCAAGCCCAACCCTAACCCTAGCTCCAACACTAACCCTAACTCCAACCCTAACCCTAACCCTAACCCTAGCTCCAACCCTAACCCTAACCCTAACCCATGCATTCCTATGGGAAAAAATCAAATTTTTTTAGGAACGTCCTAGAGACTCGGGAGTTGGTTCATTGCACTCAGAAAAATCCTAGCTCCAAGCCCAACCCTAACCCTAGCTCCAACACTAACCCTAACTCCAACCCTAACCCTAACCCTAACCCTAACCCTAGCTCCAACCCTAACCCTAACCCTAACCCATGCATTCCTATGGGAAAAAATCAAATTTTTTTTAGGAACGTCCAAGAGACTTGGGAGTTGGTTCATTGCACTCAGAAAAATCCTAGCTCCAAGCCCAACCCTAACCCTAGCTCCAACACTAACCCTAACTCCAACCCTAACCCTAACCCTAACCCTAGCTCCAACCCTAACCCTAACCATAACCCTAACCCATGCATTCCTATGGGAAAAAATCAAATTTTTTTAAGGAACGTCCTAGAGACTCGGGAGTTGGTTCAGTGCACTCAGAAAAATCCTAGCTCCAAGCCCAACCCTAACCCTAGCTCCAACACTAACCCTAACTCCAACCCTAACCCTAACCCTAACCCTAGCTCCAACCCTAACCCTAACCCTAACCCATGCATTCCTATGGGAAAAAATCAAATTTTTTTAGGAATGTCCTAGAGACTCGGGAGTTGGTTCAGTGCACTCAGAAAAATCCTAGCTCCAAGCCCAACCCTAACCCTAGCTCCAACACTAACCCTAACTCCAACCCTAACCCTAACCCTAACCCGAACCCTAGCTCCAACCCTTACCCTAACCCTAACCCATGCATTCCTATGGGAAAAAAATCAAATTTTTTTAGGAACGTCCTAGAGACTCGGGAGTTGGTTCAGTGCACTCAGAAAAATCCTAGCTCCAAGCCCAACCCTAACCCTAGCTCCAACACTAACCCTAACTCCAACCCTAACCCTAACCCTAGCTCCAACCCTAACCCTAACCCTAACCCATGCATTCCTATGGGAAAAAATCAAATATTTTTAGGAATGTCCTAGAGACTCGGGAGTTGGTTCAGTGCACTCAGAAAAATCCTAGCTCCAAGCCCAACCCTAACCCTAGCTCCAACACTAACCCTAACTCCAACCCTAACCCTAACCCTAACCCTAGCTCCAACCCTAACCCTAACCCTAACCAATGCATTCCTATGGGAAAAAATCAAATTTTTTTAGGAACGTCCTAGAGACTCGGGAGTTGGTTCAGTGCACTCAGAAAAATCCTAGCTCCAAGCCCAACCCTAACCCTAGCTCCAACACTAACCCTAACTCCAACCCTAACCCTAACCCTAACCCTAGCTCCAACCCTAACCCTAACCATAACCCTAACCCATGCATTCCTATGGGAAAAAATCAAATTTTTTTAAGAATGTCCTAGAGACTCGGGAGTTGGTTCAGTGCACTCAGAAAAATCCTAGCTCCAAGCCCAACCCTAACCCTAGCTCCAACACTAACCCTAACTCCAACCCTAACCCTAACCCTAACCCTAGCTCCAACCCTAACCCTAACCCTAACCCATGCATTCCTATGGGAAAAAATCTAATTTTTTTAGGAATGTCCTAGAGACTCGGGAGTTGGTTCAGTGCACTCAGAAAAGTCCTAGCTCCAAGCCCAACCCTAACCCTAGCTCCAACACTAACCCTAACTCCAACCCTAACCCTAACCCTAACCCTAGCTCCAACCCTAACCCTAACCCTAACCCATGCATTCCTATGGGAAAAAATCAAATTTTTTTAAGGAACGTCCTAGAGACTCGGGAGTTGGTTCAGTGCACTCAGAAAAATCCTAGCTCCAAGCCCAACCCTAACCCTAGCTCCAACACTAACCCTAACTCCAACCCTAACCCTAACCCTAACCCTAGCTCCAACCCTAACCCTAACCCTAACCCATGCATTCCTATGGGAAAAAATCAAATTTTTTTAGGAATGTCCTAGAGACTCGGGAGTTGGTTCAGTGCACTCAGAAAAATCCTAGCTCCAAGCCCAACCCTAACCCTAGCTCCAACACTAACCCTAACTCCAACCCTAACCCTAACCCTAACCCTAACCCTAGCTCCAACCCTAACACTAGCCCTAACCCATGCATTCCTATGGGAAAAAAATCAAAATTTTTTAGGAACGTCCTAGAGACTCGGGAGTTGGTTCAGTGCACTCAGAAAAATCCTAGCTCCAAGCCCAACCCTAACCCTAGCTCCAACACTAACCCTAACTCCAACCCTAACCCTAACCCTAACCCTAGCTCCAACCCTAACCCTAACCCTAACCCATGCATTCCTATGGGAAAAAAATCAAATTTTTTTAGGAATGTCCTAGAGACTCGGGAGTTGGTTCAGTGCACTCAGAAAAATCCTAGCTCCAAGCCCAACCCTAACCCTAGCTCCAACACTAACCCTAACTCCAACCCTAACCCTAACCCTAACCCTAGCTCCAACCCTAACCCTAACCATAACCCTAACCCATGCATTCCTATGGGAAAAAATCAAATTTTTTTAGGAATGTCCTAGAGACTCGGGAGTTGGTTCAGTGCACTCAGAAAAATCCTAGCTCCAAGCCCAACCCTAACCCTAGCTCCAACACTAACCCTAACTCCAACCCTAACCCTAACCCTAACCCTAGCTCCAACCCTAACCCTAACCATAACCCTAACCCATGCATTCCTATGGGAAAAAATCAAATTTTTTTAGGAATGTCCTAGAGACTCGGGAGTTGGTTCAGTGCACTCAGAAAAATCCTAGCTCCAAGCCCAACCCTAACCCTAGCTCCAACACTAACCCTAACTCCAACCCTAACCCTAACCCTAACCCTAGCTCCAACCCTAACCCTAACCCTAACCCATGCATTCCTATGGGAAAAAATCAAATTTTTTTAGGAATGTCCTAGAGACTCGGGAGTTGGTTCAGTGCACTCAGAAAAATCCTAGCTCCAAGCCCAACCCTAAACCTAGCTCCAACCCTAACCCTAACTCCAACCCTAACCCTAACCCTAACCCTAGCTCCAACCCTAACCCTAACCCTAACCCATGCATTCCTATTGGAAAAAATCAAATTTTTTAGGAACGTCCTAGAGACTCGGGAGTTGGTTCAGTGCACTCAGAAAAATCCTAGCTCCAAGCCCAACCCTAACCCTAGCTCCAAAACTAACCCTAACTCCAACCCTAACCCTAACCCTAACCCTAGCTCCAACCCTAACCCTAACCATAACCCTAACCCATGCATTCCTATGGGAAAAAATCAATTTTTTTTAGGAATGTCCTAGAGACTCGGGAGTTGGTTCAGTGCACTCAGAAAAATCCTAGCTCCAAGCCCAACCCTAACCCTAGCTCCAACACTAACCCTAACTCCAACCCTAACCCTAACCCTAACCCTAGCTCCAACCCTAACCCTAACCCTAACCCATGCATTCCTATGGGAAAAAATCAAATTTTTTTAGGAATGTCCTAGAGACTCGGGAGTTGGTTCAGTGCACTCAGAAAAATCCTAGCTCCAAGCCCAACCCTAACCCTAGCTCCAACACTAACCCTAACTCCAACCCTAACCCTAGGTCCAACCCTAACCCTAACCCTAACCCATGCATTCCTATGGGAAAAAATCAATTTTTTTAGGAACGTCCTAGAGACTCGGGAGTTGGTTCAGTGCACTCAGAAAAATCCTAGCTCCAAGCCCAACCCTAACCCTAGCTCCGACACTAACCCTAACTCAAACCCTAACCCTAACCCTAACCCTAGCTCCAACCCTAACCCTAACCATAACCCTAACCCATGCATTCCTATGGGAAAAAATCAAATTTTTTTAGGAATGTCCTAGAGACTCGGGAGTTGGTTCATTGCACTCAGAAAAATCCTAGCTCCAAGCCCAACCCTAACGCTAGCTCCAACACTAACCCTAACTCCAACCCTAACCCTAACCCTAACCCTAGCTCCAACCCTAACCCTAACCCTAACCCATGCATTCCTATGGGAAAAAAATCAAATTTTTTTAGGAATGTCCTAGAGACTCGGGAGTTGGTTCAGTGCACTCAGAAAAATCCTAGCTCCAAGCCCAACCCTAACCCTAGCTCCAACACTAACCCTAACTCCAACCCTAACCCTAACCCTAACCCTAGCTCCAACCCTAACCCTAACCCTAACCCATGCATTCCTATGGGAAAAAATCAAATTTTTTTAGGAACGTCCTAGAGACTCGGGAGTTGGTTCAGTGCACTCAGAAAAATCCTAGCTCCAAGCCCAACCCTAACCCTAGCTCCAACACTAACCCTAACTCCAACCCTAACCCTAACCCTAACCCTAGCTCCAACCCTAACCCTAACCATAACCCTAACCCATGCATTCCTATGGGAAAAAATCAAATTTTTTTAGGAATGTCCTAGAGACTCGGGAGTTGGTTCAGTGCACTCAGAAAAATCCTAGCTCCAAGCCCAACCCTAACCCTAGCTCCAACACTAACCCTAACTCCAACCCTAACCCTAACCCTAACCCTAGCTCCAACCCTAACCCTAACCCTAACCCATGCATTCCTATGGGAAAAAATCAAATTTCTTTAGGAATGTCCTAGAGACTCGGGAGTTGGTTCAGTGCACTCAGAAAAATCCTAGCTCCAAGCCCAACCCTAACCCTAGCTCCAACACTAATCCTAACTCCAACCCTAACCCTAACCCTAACCCTAGCTCCAACCCTAACCCTAACCCTAACCCATGCATTCCTATGGGAAAAAATCAAATTTTTTTAGGAACATCCTAGAGACTCGGGAGTTGGTTCAGTGCACTCAGAAAAATCCTAGCTCCAAGCCCAACCCTAACCCTAGCTCCAACACTAACCCTAACTCCAACCCTAACCCTAACCCTAGCTCCAACCCTAACCCTAACCATAACCCTAACCCATGCATTCCTATGGGAAAAAATCAAATTTTTTTAGGAATGTCCTAGAGACTCGGGAGTTGGTTCAGTGCACTCAGAAAAATCCTAGCTCCAAGCCCAACCCTAACCCTAGCTCCAACACTAACCCTAACTCCAACCCTAACCCTAACCCTAACCCTAGCTCCAACCCTAACCCTAACCCTAACCCATGCATTCCTATGGGAAAAAATCAAATTTCTTTAGGAATGTCCTAGAGACTCGGGAGTTGGTTCAGTGCACTCAGAAAAATCCTAGCTCCAAGCCCAACCCTAACCCTAGCTCCAACACTAATCCTAACTCCAACCCTAACCCTAACCCTTACCCTAGCTCCAACCCTAACCCTAACCCTAACCCATGCATTCCTATGGGAAAAAATCAAAATTTTTTAGGAACATCCTAGAGACTCGGGAGTTGGTTCAGTGCACTCAGAAAAATCCTAGCTCCAAGCCCAACCCTAACCCTAGCTCCAACACTAACCCTAACTCCAACCCTAACCCTAACCCTAGCTCCAACCCTAACCCTAACCATAACCCTAACCCATGCATTCCTATGGGAAAAAAATCAAATTTTTTTAGGAATGTCCTAGAGACTCGGGAGTTGGTTCAGTGCACTCAGAAAAATCCTAGCTCCAAGCCCAACCCTAACCCTAGCTCCAACACTAACCCTAACTCCAACCCTAACCCTAACCCTAACCCTAGCTCCAACCCTAACCCTAACCCTAACCCATGCATTCCTATGGGAAAAAATCAAATTTTTTTAGGAATGTCCTAGAGACTCGGGAGTTGGTTCAGTGCACTCAGAAAAGTCCTAGCTCCAAGCCCAACCCTAACCCTAGCTCCAACACTAACCCTAACTCCAACCCTAACCCTAACCCTAACCCTAGCTCCAACCCTAACACTAACCATAACCCTAACCCATGCATTCCTATGGGAAAAAATCAAATTTTTTTAGGAATGTCCTAGAGACTCGGGAGTTGGTTCAGTGCACTCAGAAAAATCCTAGCTCCAAGCCCAACCCTAACCCTAGCTCCAACACTAACCCTAACTCCAACCCTAACCCTAACCCTAACCCTAGCTCCAACCCTAACCCTAACCATAACCCTAACCCATGCATTCCTATGGGAAAAATTCAATTTTTTTTAGGAATGTCCTAGAGACTCGGGAGTTGGTTCAGTGCACTCAGAAAAATCCTAGCTCCAAGCCCAACCCTAACCCTAGCTCCAACACTAACCCTAACTCCAACCCTAACCCTAACCCTAACCCTAGCTCCAACCCTAACCCTAACCCTAACCCATGCATTCCTATGGGAAAAAATCAAATTTTTTTAGGAATGTCCTAGAGACTCGGGAGTTGGTTCAGTGCACTCAGAAAAATCCTAGCTCCAAGCCCAACCCTAACCCTAGCTCCAACCCTAACCCTAACTCCAACCCTAACCCTAACCCTAACCCTAGCTCCAACCCTAACCCTAACCCTAACCCATGCATTCCTATTGGAAAAAATCAAATTTTTTTAGGAATGTCCTAGAGACTCGGGAGTTGGTTCAGTGCACTCAGAAAAATCCTAGCTCCAAGCCCAACCCTAACCCTAGCTCCAACACTAACCCTAACTCCAACCCTAACCCTAACCCTAACCCTAGCTCCAACCCTAACCCTAACCCTAACCCATGCATTCCTATGGGAAAAAATCAAATTTTTTTAGGAACGTCCTAGAGACTCGGGAGTTGGTTCAGTGCACTCAGAAAAATCCTAGCTCCAAGCCCAACCCTAACCCTAGCTCCAACACTAACCCTAACTCCAACCCTAACCCTAACCCTAACCCTAGCTCCAACCCTAACCCTAACCATAACCCTAACCCATGCATTCCTATGGGAAAAAATCAATTTTTTTTAGGAATGTCCTAGAGACTCGGGAGTTGGTTCAGTGCACTCAGAAAAATCCTAGCTCCAAGCCCAACCCTAACCCTAGCTCCAACACTAACCCTAACTCCAACCCTAACCCTAACCCTAACCCTAGCTCCAACCCTAACCCTAACCCTAACCCATGCATTCCTATGGGAAAAAATCAAGTTTTTTTAGGAATGTCCTAGAGACTCGGGAGTTGGTTCAGTGCACTCAGAAAAATCCTAGCTCCAAGCCCAACCCTAACCCTAGCTCCAACACTAACCCTAACTCCAACCCTAACCCTAGGTCCAACCCTAACCCTAACCCTAACCCATGCATTCCTATGGGAAAAAATCAATTTTTTTAGGAACGTCCTAGAGACTCGGGAGTTGGTTCAGTGCACTCAGAAAAATCCTAGCTCCAAGCCCAACCCTAACCCTAGCTCCAACACTAACCCTAACTCCAACCCTAACCCTAACCCTAACCCTAGCTCCAACCCTAACCCTAACCATAACCCTAACCCATGCATTCCTATGGGAAAAAATCAAATTTTTTTAGGAATGTCCTAGAGACTCGGGAGTTGGTTCAGTGCACTCAGAAAAATCCTAGCTCCAAGCCCAACCCTAACCCTAGCTCCGACACTAACCCTAACTCAAACCCTAACCCTAACCCTAACCCTAGCTCCAACCCTAACCCTAACCATAACCCTAACCCATGCATTCCTATGGGAAAAAATCAAATTTTTTTAGGAATGTCCTAGAGACTCGGGAGTTGGTTCATTGCACTCAGAAAAATCCTAGCTCCAAGCCCAACCCTAACGCTAGCTCCAACACTAACCCTAACTCCAACCCTAACCCTAACCCTAACCCTAGCTCCAACCCTAACCCTAACCCTAACCCATGCATTCCTATGGGAAAAAAATCAAATTTTTTTAGGAATGTCCTAGAGACTCGGGAGTTGGTTCAGTGCACTCAGAAAAATCCTAGCTCCAAGCCCAACCCTAACCCTAGCTCCAACACTAACCCTAACTCCAACCCTAACCCTAACCCTAACCCTAGCTCCAACCCTAACCCTAACCCTAACCCATGCATTCCTATGGGAAAAAATCAAATTTTTTTAGGAACGTCCTAGAGACTCGGGAGTTGGTTCAGTGCACTCAGAAAAATCCTAGCTCCAAGCCCAACCCTAACCCTAGCTCCAACACTAACCCTAACTCCAACCCTAACCCTAACCCTAACCCTAGCTCCAACCCTAACCCTAACCATAACCCTAACCCATGCATTCCTATGGGAAAAAATCAAATTTTTTTAGGAATGTCCTAGAGACTCGGGAGTTGGTTCATTGCACTCAGAAAAATCCTAGCTCCAAGCCCAACCCTAACCCTAGCTCCAACACTAACCCTAACTCCAACCCTAACCCTAACCCTAACCCTAGCTCCAACCCTAACCCTAACCCTAACCCATGCATTCCTATGGGAAAAAATCAAATTTCTTTAGGAATGTCCTAGAGACTCGGGAGTTGGTTCAGTGCACTCAGAAAAATCCTAGCTCCAAGCCCAACCCTAACCCTAGCTCCAACACTAATCCTAACTCCAACCCTAACCCTAACCCTAACCCTAGCTCCAACCCTAACCCTAACCCTAACCCATGCATTCCTATGGGAAAAAATCAAATTTTTTTAGGAACATCCTAGAGACTCGGGAGTTGGTTCAGTGCACTCAGAAAAATCCTAGCTCCAAGCCCAACCCTAACCCTAGCTCCAACACTAACCCTAACTCCAACCCTAACCCTAACCCTAGCTCCAACCCTAACCCTAACCCTAACCCTAACCCATGCATTCCTATGGGAAAAAATCAAATTTTTTTAGGAATGTCCTAGAGACTCGGGAGTTGGTTCAGTGCACTCAGAAAAATCCTAGCTCCAAGCCCAACCCTAACCCTAGCTCCAACACTAACCCTAACTCCAACCCTAACCCTAACCCTAACCCTAGCTCCAACCCTAACCCTAACCCTAACCCATGCATTCCTATGGGAAAAAATCAAATTTCTTTAGGAATGTCCTAGAGACTCGGGAGTTGGTTCAGTGCACTCAGAAAAATCCTAGCTCCAAGCCCAACCCTAACCCTAGCTCCGACACTAACCCTAACTCCAACCCTAACCCTAACCCTAACCCTAGCTCCAACCCTAACCCTAACCATAACCCTAACCCATGCATTCCTATGGGAAAAAATCAAATTTTTTTAGGAATGTCCTAGAGACTCGGGAGTTGGTTCAGTGCACTCAGAAAAATCCTAGCTCCAAGCCCAACCCTAACCCTAGCTCCGACACTAACCCTAACTCCAACCCTAACCCTAACCCTAACCCTAGCTCCAACCCTAACCCTAACCATAACCCTAACCCATGCATTCCTATGGGAAAAAATCAAATTTTTTTAGGAATGTCCTAGAGACTCGGGAGTTGGTTCATTGCACTCAGAAAAATCCTAGCTCCAAGCCCAACCCTAACGCTAGCTCCAACACTAACCCTAACTCCAACCCTAACCCTAACCCTAACCCTAGCTCCAACCCTAACCCTAACCCTAACCCATGCATTCCTATGGGAAAAAAATCAAATTTTTTTAGGAATGTCCTAGAGACTCGGGAGTTGGTTCAGTGCACTCAGAAAAATCCTAGCTCCAAGCCCAACCCTAACCCTAGCTCCAACACTAACCCTAACTCCAACCCTAACCCTAACCCTAACCCTAGCTCCAACCCTAACCCTAACCCTAACCCATGCATTCCTATGGGAAAAAATCAAATTTTTTTAGGAACGTCCTAGAGACTCGGGAGTTGGTTCAGTGCACTCAGAAAAATCCTAGCTCCAAGCCCAACCCTAACCCTAGCTCCAACACTAACCCTAACTCCAACCCTAACCCTAACCCTAACCCTAGCTCCAACCCTAACCCTAACCATAACCCTAACCCATGCATTCCTATGGGAAAAAATCAAATTTTTTTAGGAATGTCCTAGAGACTCGGGAGTTGGTTCAGTGCACTCAGAAAAATCCTAGCTCCAAGCCCAACCCTAACCCTAGCTCCAACACTAACCCTAACTCCAACCCTAACCCTAACCCTAACCCTAGCTCCAACCCTAACCCTAACCCTAACCCATGCATTCCTATGGGAAAAAATCAAATTTTTTAGGAATGTCCTAGAGACTCGGGAGTTGGTTCAGTGCACTCAGAAAAATCCTAGCTCCAAGCCCAACCCTAACCCTAGCTCCAACACTAACCCTAACTCCAACCCTAACCCTAACCCTAACCCTAGCTCCAACCCTAACCCTAACCCTAACCCATGCATTCCTATGGGAAAAAATCAAATTTTTTTAGGAACATCCTAGAGACTCGGGAGTTGGTTCAGTGCACTCAGAAAAATCCTAGCTCCAAGCCCAACCCTAACCCTAGCTCCAACACTAACCCTAACTCCAACCCTAACCCTAACCCTAACCCTAGCTCCAACCCTAACCCTAACCCTAACCCATGCATTCCTATGGGAAAAAATCAAATTTTTTTAGGAATGTCCTAGAGACTCGGGAGTTGGTTCAGTGCACTCAGAAAAATCCTAGCTCCAAGCCCAACCCTAACCCTAGCTCCAACACTAACCCTAACTCCAACCCTAACCCTAACCCTAACCCTAGCTCCAACCCTAACCCTAACCATAACTAACCCATGCATTCCTATGGGAAAAAATCAAATTTTTTAGGAATGTCCTAGAGACTCGGGAGTTGGTTCAGTGCACTCAGAAAAATCCTAGCTCCAAGCCCAACCCTAACCCTAGCTCCAACACTAACCCTAACTCCAACCCTAACCCTAACCCTAACCCTAGCTCCAACCCTAACCCTAACCCTAACCCATGCATTCCTATGGGAAAAAATCAAATTTTTTTAGGAATGTCCTAGAGACTCGGGAGTTGGTTCAGTGCACTCAGAAAAATCCTAGCTCCAAGCCCAACCCTAACCCTAGCTCCAACACTAACCCTAACTCCAACCCTAACCCTAACCCTAACCCTAGCTCCAACCCTAACCCTAACCCTAACCCATGCATTCCTATGGGAAAAAATCAAATTTTTTTAGGAACATCCTAGAGACTCGGGAGTTGGTTCAGTGCACTCAGAAAAATCCTAGCTCCAAGCCCAACCCTAACCCTAGCTCCAACACTAACCCTAACTCCAACCCTAACCCTAACCCTAACCCTAGCTCCAACCCTAACCCTAACCCTAACCCTAACCCATGCATTCCTATGGGAAAAAATCAAATTTTTTTAGGAATGTCCTAGAGACTCGGGAGTTGGTTCAGTGCACTCAGAAAAATCCTAGCTCCAAGCCCAACCCTAACCCTAGCTCCAACACTAACCCTAACTCCAACCCTAACCCTAACCCTAACCCTAGCTCCAACCCTAACCCTAACCCTAACCCATGCATTCCTATGGGAAAAAATCAAATTTCTTTAGGAATGTCCTAGAGACTCGGGAGTTGGTTCAGTGCACTCAGAAAAATCCTAGCTCCAAGCCCAACCCTAACCCTAGCTCCAACACTAACCCTAACTCCAACCCTAACCCTAACCCTAACCCTAGCTCCAACCCTAACCCTAACCCTAACCCATGCATTCCTATGGGAAAAAATCAAATTTTTTTAGGAATGTCCTAGAGACTCGGGAGTTGGTTCAGTGCACTCAGAAAAATCCTAGCTCCAAGCCCAACCCTAAACCTAGCTCCAACCCTAACCCTAACTCCAACCCTAACCCTAACCCTAACCCTAGCTCCAACCCTAACCCTAACCATAACCCTAACCCATGCATTCCTATGGGAAAAAATCAAATTTTTTTAGGAATGTCCTAGAGACTCGGGAGTTGGTTCATTGCACTCAGAAAAATCCTAGCTCCAAGCCCAACCCTAACGCTAGCTCCAACACTAACCCTAACTCCAACCCTAACCCTAACCCTAACCCTAGCTCCAACCCTAACCCTAACCCTAACCCATGCATTCCTATGGGAAAAAAATCAAATTTTTTTAGGAATGTCCTAGAGACTCGGGAGTTGGTTCAGTGCACTCAGAAAAATCCTAGCTCCAAGCCCAACCCTAACCCTAGCTCCAACACTAACCCTAACTCCAACCCTAACCCTAACCCTAACCCTAGCTCCAACCCTAACCCTAACCCTAACCCATGCATTCCTATGGGAAAAAATCAAATTTTTTTAGGAACGTCCTAGAGACTCGGGAGTTGGTTCAGTGCACTCAGAAAAATCCTAGCTCCAAGCCCAACCCTAACCCTAGCTCCAACACTAACCCTAACTCCAACCCTAACCCTAACCCTAACCCTAGCTCCAACCCTAACCCTAACCATAACCCTAACCCATGCATTCCTATGGGAAAAAATCAAATTTTTTTAGGAATGTCCTAGAGACTCGGGAGTTGGTTCATTGCACTCAGAAAAATCCTAGCTCCAAGCCCAACCCTAACCCTAGCTCCAACACTAACCCTAACTCCAACCCTAACCCTAACCCTAACCCTAGCTCCAACCCTAACCCTAACCCTAACCCATGCATTCCTATGGGAAAAAATCAAATTTCTTTAGGAATGTCCTAGAGACTCGGGAGTTGGTTCAGTGCACTCAGAAAAATCCTAGCTCCAAGCCCAACCCTAACCCTAGCTCCAACACTAATCCTAACTCCAACCCTAACCCTAACCCTAACCCTAGCTCCAACCCTAACCCTAACCCTAACCCATGCATTCCTATGGGAAAAAATCAAATTTTTTTAGGAACATCCTAGAGACTCGGGAGTTGGTTCAGTGCACTCAGAAAAATCCTAGCTCCAAGCCCAACCCTAACCCTAGCTCCAACACTAACCCTAACTCCAACCCTAACCCTAACCCTAGCTCCAACCCTAACCCTAACCCTAACCCTAACCCATGCATTCCTATGGGAAAAAATCAAATTTTTTTAGGAATGTCCTAGAGACTCGGGAGTTGGTTCAGTGCACTCAGAAAAATCCTAGCTCCAAGCCCAACCCTAACCCTAGCTCCAACACTAACCCTAACTCCAACCCTAACCCTAACCCTAACCCTAGCTCCAACCCTAACCCTAACCCTAACCCATGCATTCCTATGGGAAAAAATCAAATTTCTTTAGGAATGTCCTAGAGACTCGGGAGTTGGTTCAGTGCACTCAGAAAAACCCTAGCTCCAAGCCCAACCCTAACCCTAGCTCCAACACTAATCCTAACTCCAACCCTAACCCTAACCCTAACCCTAGCTCCAACCCTAACCCTAACCCTAACCCATGCATTCCTATGGGAAAAAATCAAATTTTTTTAGGAACATCCTAGAGACTCGGGAGTTGGTTCAGTGCACTCAGAAAAATCCTAGCTCCAAGCCCAACCCTAACCCTAGCTCCAACACTAACCCTAACTCCAACCCTAACCCTAACCCTAGCTCCAACCCTAACCCTAACCATAACCCTAACCCATGCATTCCTATGGGAAAAAATCAAATTTTTTTAGGAATGTCCTAGAGACTCGGGAGTTGGTTCAGTGCACTCAGAAAAATCCTAGCTCCAAGCCCAACCCTAACCCTAGCTCCAACACTAACCCTAACTCCAACCCTAACCCTAACCCTAACCCTAGCTCCAACCCTAACCCTAACCATAACCCTAACCCATGCATTCCTATGGGAAAAAATCAAATTTTTTTAGGAATGTCCTAGAGACTCGGGAGTTGGTTCAGTGCACTCAGAAAAATCCTAGCTCCAAGCCCAACCCTAACCCTAGCTCCAACACTAACCCTAACTCCAACCCTAACCCTAACCCTAACCCTAGCTCCAACCCTAACCCTAACCATAACCCTAACCCATGCATTCCTATGGGAAAAAATCAAATTTTTTTAGGAATGTCCTAGAGACTCGGGAGTTGGTTCAGTGCACTCAGAAAAATCCTAGCTCCAAGCCCAACCCTAACCCTAGCTCCAACACTAACCCTAACTCCAACCCTAACCCTAACCCTAACCCTAGCTCCAACCCTAACCCTAACCCTAACCCATGCATTCCTATGGGAAAAAATCAAATTTTTTTAGGAATGTCCTAGAGACTCGGGAGTTGGTTCAGTGCACTCAGAAAAATCCTAGCTCCAAGCCCAACCCTAAACCTAGCTCCAACCCTAACCCTAACTCCAACCCTAACCCTAACCCTAACCCTAGCTCCAACCCTAACCCTAACCCTAACCCATGCATTCCTATTGGAAAAAATCAAATTTTTTTAGGAACGTCCTAGAGACTCGGGAGTTGGTTCAGTGCACTCAGAAAAATCCTAGCTCCAAGCCCAACCCTAACCCTAGCTCCAACACTAACCCTAACTCCAACCCTAACCCTAACCCTAACCCTAGCTCCAACCCTAACCCTAACCATAACCCTAACCCATGCATTCCTATGGGAAAAAATCAATTTTTTTAGGAATGTCCTAGAGACTCGGGAGTTGGTTCAGTGCACTCAGAAAAATCCTAGCTCCAAGCCCAACCCTAACCCTAGCTCCAACACTAACCCTAACTCCAACCCTAACCCTAACCCTAACCCTAGCTCCAACCCTAACCCTAACCCTAACCCATGCATTCCTATGGGAAAAAATCAAATTTTTTTAGGAATGTCCTAGAGACTCGGGAGTTGGTTCAGTGCACTCAGAAAAATCCTAGCTCCAAGCCCAACCCTAACCCTAGCTCCAACACTAACCCTAACTCCAACCCTAACCCTAGGTCCAACCCTAACCCTAACCCTAACCCATGCATTCCTATGGGAAAAAATCAATTTTTTTAGGAACGTCCTAGAGACTCGGGAGTTGGTTCAGTGCACTCAGAAAAATCCTAGCTCCAAGCCCAACCCTAACCCTAGCTCCGACACTAACCCTAACTCAAACCCTAACCCTAACCCTAACCCTAGCTCCAACCCTAACCCTAACCATAACCCTAACCCATGCATTCCTATGGGAAAAAATCAAATTTTTTTAGGAATGTCCTAGAGACTCGGGAGTTGGTTCATTGCACTCAGAAAAATCCTAGCTCCAAGCCCAACCCTAACGCTAGCTCCAACACTAACCCTAACTCCAACCCTAACCCTAACCCTAACCCTAGCTCCAACCCTAACCCTAACCCTAACCCATGCATTCCTATGGGAAAAAAATCAAATTTTTTTAGGAATGTCCTAGAGACTCGGGAGTTGGTTCAGTGCACTCAGAAAAATCCTAGCTCCAAGCCCAACCCTAACCCTAGCTCCAACACTAACCCTAACTCCAACCCTAACCCTAACCCTAACCCTAGCTCCAACCCTAACCCTAACCCTAACCCATGCATTCCTATGGGAAAAAATCAAATTTTTTTAGGAACGTCCTAGAGACTCGGGAGTTGGTTCAGTGCACTCAGAAAAATCCTAGCTCCAAGCCCAACCCTAACCCTAGCTCCAACACTAACCCTAACTCCAACCCTAACCCTAACCCTAACCCTAGCTCCAACCCTAACCCTAACCATAACCCTAACCCATGCATTCCTATGGGAAAAAATCAAATTTTTTTAGGAATGTCCTAGAGACTCGGGAGTTGGTTCAGTGCACTCAGAAAAATCCTAGCTCCAAGCCCAACCCTAACCCTAGCTCCAACACTAACCCTAACTCCAACCCTAACCCTAACCCTAACCCTAGCTCCAACCCTAACCCTAACCCTAACCCATGCATTCCTATGGGAAAAAATCAAATTTCTTTAGGAATGTCCTAGAGACTCGGGAGTTGGTTCAGTGCACTCAGAAAAATCCTAGCTCCAAGCCCAACCCTAACCCTAGCTCCAACACTAATCCTAACTCCAACCCTAACCCTAACCCTAACCCTAGCTCCAACCCTAACCCTAACCCTAACCCATGCATTCCTATGGGAAAAAATCAAATTTTTTTAGGAACATCCTAGAGACTCGGGAGTTGGTTCAGTGCACTCAGAAAAATCCTAGCTCCAAGCCCAACCCTAACCCTAGCTCCAACACTAACCCTAACTCCAACCCTAACCCTAACCCTAGCTCCAACCCTAACCCTAACCATAACCCTAACCCATGCATTCCTATGGGAAAAAATCAAATTTTTTTAGGAATGTCCTAGAGACTCGGGAGTTGGTTCAGTGCACTCAGAAAAATCCTAGCTCCAAGCCCAACCCTAACCCTAGCTCCAACACTAACCCGAACTCCAACCCTAACCCTAACCCTAACCCTAGCTCCAACCCTAACCCTAACCCTAACCCATGCATTCCTATGGGAAAAAATCAAATTTCTTTAGGAATGTCCTAGAGACTCGGGAGTTGGTTCAGTGCACTCAGAAAAATCCTAGCTCCAAGCCCAACCCTAACCCTAGCTCCAACACTAATCCTAACTCCAACCCTAACCCTAACCCTAACCCTAGCTCCAACCCTAACCCTAACCCTAACCCATGCATTCCTATGGGAAAAAATCAAATTTTTTTAGGAACATCCTAGAGACTCGGGAGTTGGTTCAGTGCACTCAGAAAAATCCTAGCTCCAAGCCCAACCCTAACCCTAGCTCCAACACTAACCCTAACTCCAACCCTAACCCTAACCCTAGCTCCAACCCTAACCCTAACCATAACCCTAACCCATGCATTCCTATGGGAAAAAATCAAATTTTTTTAGGAATGTCCTAGAGACTCGGGAGTTGGTTCAGTGCACTCAGAAAAATCCTAGCTCCAAGCCCAACCCTAACCCTAGCTCCAACACTAACCCTAACTCCAACCCTAACCCTAACCCTAACCCTAGCTCCAACCCTAACCCTAACCCTAACCCATGCATTCCTATGGGAAAAAATCAAATTTTTTTAGGAATGTCCTAGAGACTCGGGAGTTGGTTCAGTGCACTCAGAAAAGTCCTAGCTCCAAGCCCAACCCTAACCCTAGCTCCAACACTAACCCTAACTCCAACCCTAACCCTAACCCTAACCCTAGCTCCAACCCTAACACTAACCATAACCCTAACCCATGCATTCCTATGGGAAAAAATCAAATTTTTTTAGGAATGTCCTAGAGACTCGGGAGTTGGTTCAGTGCACTCAGAAAAATCCTAGCTCCAAGCCCAACCCTAACCCTAGCTCCAACACTAACCCTAACTCCAACCCTAACCCTAACCCTAACCCTAGCTCCAACCCTAACCCTAACCATAACCCTAACCCATGCATTCCTATGGGAAAAAATTCAATTTTTTTAGGAATGTCCTAGAGACTCGGGAGTTGGTTCAGTGCACTCAGAAAAATCCTAGCTCCAAGCCCAACCCTAACCCTAGCTCCAACACTAACCCTAACTCCAACCCTAACCCTAACCCTAACCCTAGCTCCAACCCTAACCCTAACCCTAACCCATGCATTCCTATGGGAAAAAATCAAATTTTTTTAGGAATGTCCTAGAGACTCGGGAGTTGGTTCAGTGCACTCAGAAAAATCCTAGCTCCAAGCCCAACCCTAACCCTAGCTCCAACCCTAACCCTAACTCCAACCCTAACCCTAACCCTAACCCTAGCTCCAACCCTAACCCTAACCCTAACCCATGCATTCCTATTGGAAAAAATCAAATTTTTTTAGGAATGTCCTAGAGACTCGGGAGTTGGTTCAGTGCACTCAGAAAAATCCTAGCTCCAAGCCCAACCCTAACCCTAGCTCCAACACTAACCCTAACTCCAACCCTAACCCTAACCCTAACCCTAGCTCCAACCCTAACCCTAACCCTAACCCATGCATTCCTATGGGAAAAAATCAAATTTTTTTAGGAACGTCCTAGAGACTCGGGAGTTGGTTCAGTGCACTCAGAAAAATCCTAGCTCCAAGCCCAACCCTAACCCTAGCTCCAACACTAACCCTAACTCCAACCCTAACCCTAACCCTAACCCTAGCTCCAACCCTAACCCTAACCATAACCCTAACCCATGCATTCCTATGGGAAAAAATCAATTTTTTTTAGGAATGTCCTAGAGACTCGGGAGTTGGTTCAGTGCACTCAGAAAAATCCTAGCTCCAAGCCCAACCCTAACCCTAGCTCCAACACTAACCCTAACTCCAACCCTAACCCTAACCCTAACCCTAGCTCCAACCCTAACCCTAACCCTAACCCATGCATTCCTATGGGAAAAAATCAAGTTTTTTTAGGAATGTCCTAGAGACTCGGGAGTTGGTTCAGTGCACTCAGAAAAATCCTAGCTCCAAGCCCAACCCTAACCCTAGCTCCAACACTAACCCTAACTCCAACCCTAACCCTAGGTCCAACCCTAACCCTAACCCTAACCCATGCATTCCTATGGGAAAAAATCAATTTTTTTAGGAACGTCCTAGAGACTCGGGAGTTGGTTCAGTGCACTCAGAAAAATCCTAGCTCCAAGCCCAACCCTAACCCTAGCTCCAACACTAACCCTAACTCCAACCCTAACCCTAACCCTAACCCTAGCTCCAACCCTAACCCTAACCATAACCCTAACCCATGCATTCCTATGGGAAAAAATCAAATTTTTTTAGGAATGTCCTAGAGACTCGGGAGTTGGTTCAGTGCACTCAGAAAAATCCTAGCTCCAAGCCCAACCCTAACCCTAGCTCCGACACTAACCCTAACTCAAACCCTAACCCTAACCCTAACCCTAGCTCCAACCCTAACCCTAACCATAACCCTAACCCATGCATTCCTATGGGAAAAAATCAAATTTTTTTAGGAATGTCCTAGAGACTCGGGAGTTGGTTCATTGCACTCAGAAAAATCCTAGCTCCAAGCCCAACCCTAACGCTAGCTCCAACACTAACCCTAACTCCAACCCTAACCCTAACCCTAACCCTAGCTCCAACCCTAACCCTAACCCTAACCCATGCATTCCTATGGGAAAAAAATCAAATTTTTTTAGGAATGTCCTAGAGACTCGGGAGTTGGTTCAGTGCACTCAGAAAAATCCTAGCTCCAAGCCCAACCCTAACCCTAGCTCCAACACTAACCCTAACTCCAACCCTAACCCTAACCCTAACCCTAGCTCCAACCCTAACCCTAACCCTAACCCATGCATTCCTATGGGAAAAAATCAAATTTTTTTAGGAACGTCCTAGAGACTCGGGAGTTGGTTCAGTGCACTCAGAAAAATCCTAGCTCCAAGCCCAACCCTAACCCTAGCTCCAACACTAACCCTAACTCCAACCCTAACCCTAACCCTAACCCTAGCTCCAACCCTAACCCTAACCATAACCCTAACCCATGCATTCCTATGGTAAAAAATCAAATTTTTTTAGGAATGTCCTAGAGACTCGGGAGTTGGTTCATTGCACTCAGAAAAATCCTAGCTCCAAGCCCAACCCTAACCCTAGCTCCAACACTAACCCTAACTCCAACCCTAACCCTAACCCTAACCCTAGCTCCAACCCTAACCCTAACCCTAACCCATGCATTCCTATGGGAAAAAATCAAATTTCTTTAGGAATGTCCTAGAGACTCGGGAGTTGGTTCAGTGCACTCAGAAAAATCCTAGCTCCAAGCCCAACCCTAACCCTAGCTCCAACACTAATCCTAACTCCAACCCTAACCCTAACCCTAACCCTAGCTCCAACCCTAACCCTAACCCTAACCCATGCATTCCTATGGGAAAAAATCAAATTTTTTTAGGAACATCCTAGAGACTCGGGAGTTGGTTCAGTGCACTCAGAAAAATCCTAGCTCCAAGCCCAACCCTAACCCTAGCTCCAACACTAACCCTAACTCCAACCCTAACCCTAACCCTAGCTCCAACCCTAACCCTAACCCTAACCCTAACCCATGCATTCCTATGGGAAAAAATCAAATTTTTTTAGGAATGTCCTAGAGACTCGGGAGTTGGTTCAGTGCACTCAGAAAAATCCTAGCTCCAAGCCCAACCCTAACCCTAGCTCCAACACTAACCCTAACTCCAACCCTAACCCTAACCCTAACCCTAGCTCCAACCCTAACCCTAACCCTAACCCATGCATTCCTATGGGAAAAAATCAAATTTCTTTAGGAATGTCCTAGAGACTCGGGAGTTGGTTCAGTGCACTCAGAAAAATCCTAGCTCCAAGCCCAACCCTAACCCTAGCTCCAACACTAACCCTAACTCCAACCCTAACCCTAACCCTAACCCTAGCTCCAAACCTAACCCTAACCATAACCCTAACCCATGCATTCCTATGGGAAAAAATCAAATTTTTTTAGGAATGTCCTAGAGACTCGGGAGTTGGTTCAGTGCACTCAGAAAAATCCTAGCTCCAAGCCCAACCCTAACCCTAGCTCCGACACTAACCCTAACTCCAACCCTAACCCTAACCCTAACCCTAGCTCCAACCCTAACCCTAACCATAACCCTAACCCATGCATTCCTATGGGAAAAAATCAAATTTTTTTAGGAATGTCCTAGAGACTCGGGAGTTGGTTCATTGCACTCAGAAAAATCCTAGCTCCAAGCCCAACCCTAACCCTAGCTCCAACACTAACCCTAACTCCAACCCTAACCCTAACCCTAACCCTAGCTCCAACCCTAACCCTAACCCTAACCCATGCATTCCTATGGGAAAAAAATCAAATTTTTTTAGGAATGTCCTAGAGACTCGGGAGTTGGTTCAGTGCACTCAGAAAAATCCTAGCTCCAAGCCCAACCCTAACCCTAGCTCCAACACTAACCCTAACTCCAACCCTAACCCTAACCCTAACCCTAGCTCCAACCCTAACCCTAACCCTAACCCATGCATTCCTATGGGAAAAAATCAAATTTTTTTAGGAACGTCCTAGAGACTCGGGAGTTGGTTCAGTGCACTCAGAAAAATCCTAGCTCCAAGCCCAACCCTAACCCTAGCTCCAACACTAACCCTAACTCCAACCCTAACCCTAACCCTAACCCTAGCTCCAACCCTAACCCTAACCATAACCCTAACCCATGCATTCCTATGGGAAAAAATCAAATTTTTTTAGGAATGTCCTAGAGACTCGGGAGTTGGTTCATTGCACTCAGAAAAATCCTAGCTCCAAGCCCAACCCTAACCCTAGCTCCAACACTAACCCTAACTCCAACCCTAACCCTAACCCTAACCCTAGCTCCAACCCTAACCCTAACCCTAACCCATGCATTCCTATGGGAAAAAATCAAATTTCTTTAGGAATGTCCTAGAGACTCGGGAGTTGGTTCAGTGCACTCAGAAAAATCCTAGCTCCAAGCCCAACCCTAACCCTAGCTCCAACACTAATTCTAACTCCAACCCTAACCCTAACCCTAACCCTAGCTCCAACCCTAACCCTAACCCTAACCCATGCATTCCTATGGGAAAAAATCAAATTTTTTTAGGAACATCCTAGAGACTCGGGAGTTGGTTCAGTGCACTCAGAAAAATCCTAGCTCCAAGCCCAACCCTAACCCTAGCTCCAACACTAACCCTAACTCCAACCCTAACCCTAACCCTAGCTCCAACCCTAACCCTAACCCTAACCCTAACCCATGCATTCCTATGGGAAAAAATCAAATTTTTTTAGGAATGTCCTAGAGACTCGGGAGTTGGTTCAGTGCACTCAGAAAAATCCTAGCTCCAAGCCCAACCCTAACCCTAGCTCCAACACTAACCCTAACTCCAACCCTAACCCTAACCCTAACCCTAGCTCCAACCCTAACCCTAACCCTAACCCATGCATTCCTATGGGAAAAAATCAAATTTCTTTAGGAATGTCCTAGAGACTCGGGAGTTGGTTCAGTGCACTCAGAAAAACCCTAGCTCCAAGCCCAACCCTAACCCTAGCTCCAACACTAATCCTAACTCCAACCCTAACCCTAACCCTAACCCTAGCTCCAACCCTAACCCTAACCCTAACCCATGCATTCCTATGGGAAAAAATCAAATTTTTTTAGGAACATCCTAGAGACTCGGGAGTTGGTTCAGTGCACTCAGAAAAATCCTAGCTCCAAGCCCAACCCTAACCCTAGCTCCAACACTAACCCTAACTCCAACCCTAACCCTAACCCTAGCTCCAACCCTAACCCTAACCATAACCCTAACCCATGCATTCCTATGGGAAAAAATCAAATTTTTTTAGGAATGTCCTAGAGACTCGGGAGTTGGTTCAGTGCACTCAGAAAAATCCTAGCTCCAAGCCCAACCCTAACCCTAGCTCCAACACTAACCCTAACTCCAACCCTAACCCTAACCCTAACCCTAGCTCCAACCCTAACCCTAACCATAACCCTAACCCATGCATTCCTATGGGAAAAAATCAAATTTTTTTAGGAATGTCCTAGAGACTCGGGAGTTGGTTCAGTGCACTCAGAAAAATCCTAGCTCCAAGCCCAACCCTAACCCTAGCTCCAACACTAACCCTAACTCCAACCCTAACCCTAACCCTAACCCTAGCTCCAACCCTAACCCTAACCCTAACCCATGCATTCCTATGGGAAAAAATCAAATTTTTTTAGGGAACGTCCTAGAGACTCGGGAGTTGGTTCAGTGCACTCAGAAAAATCCTAGCTCCAAGCCCAACCCTAACCCTAGCTCCAACACTAACCCTAACTCCAACCCTAACCCTAACCCTAACCCTAGCTCCAACCCTAACCCTAACCATAACCCTAACCCATGCATTCCTATGGGAAAAAATCAAATTTTTTTAGGAATGTCCTAGAGACTCGGGAGTTGGTTCAGTGCACTCAGAAAAATCCTAGCTCCAAGCCCAACCCTAACCCTAGCTCCAACACTAACCCTAACTCCAACCCTAACCCTAACCCTAACCCTAGCACCAACCCTAACCCTAACCCTAACCCATGCATTCCTATGGGAAAAAATCAAATTTTTTTAGGAATGTCCTAGAGACTCGGGAGTTGGTTCAGTGCACTCAGAAAAATCCTAGCTCCAAGCCCAACCCTAACCCTAGCTCCAACACTAACCCTAACTCCAACCCTAACCCTAACCCTAACCCTAAATCCAACCCTAACCCTAACCATAACCCTAACCCATGCATTCCTATGGGAAAAAATCAAATTTTTTTAGGAATGTCCTAGAGACTCGGGAGTTGGTTCAGTGCACTCAGAAAAATCCTAGCTCCAAGCCCAACCCTAACCCTAGCTCCAACACTAACCCTAACTCCAACCCTAACCCTAACCCTAACCCTAGCTCCAACCCTAACCCTAACCCTAACCCATGCATTCCTATGGGAAAAAAATCAAATTTTTTTAGGAACGTCCTAGAGACTCGGGAGTTGGTTCATTGCACTCAGAAAAGTCCTAGCTCCAAGCCCAACCCTAACCCTAGCTCCAACACTAACCCTAACTCCAACCCTAACCCTAACCCTAGCTCCAACCCTAACCCTAACCCTAACCCATGCATTCCTATGGGAAAAAAATCAAATTTTTTTAGGAACGTCCTAGAGACTCGGGAGTTGGTTCATTGCACTCAGAAAAATCCTAGCTCCAAGCCCAACCCTAACCCTAGCTCCAACACTAACCCTAACTCCAACCCTAACCCTAACCCTAACCCTAGCTCCAACCCTAACCCTAACCATAACCCTAACCCATGCATTCCTATGGGAAAAAATCAAATTTTTTTAGGAACGTCCTAGAGACTCGGGAGTTGGTTCATTGCACTCAGAAAAATCCTAGCTCCAAGCCCAACCCTAACCCTAGCTCCAACACTAACCCTAACTCCAACCCTAACCCTAACCCTAACCCTAGCTCCAACCCTAACCCTAACCCTAACCCTAACCCATGCATTCCTATGGGAAAAAATCAAATTTTTTTAGGAATGTCCTAGAGACTCGGGAGTTGGTTCAGTGCACTCAGAAAAATCCTAGCTCCAAGCCCAACCCTAACCCTAGCTCCAACACTAACCCTAACTCCAACCCTAACCCTAACCCTAACCCTAACCCTAGCTCCAACCCTAACCCTAACCCTAACCCATGCATTCCTATGGGAAAAAATCAAATTTTTTTAGGAACGTCCTAGAGACTCGGGAGTTGGTTCAGTGCACTCAGAAAAATCCTAGCTCCAAGCCCAACCCTAACCCTAGCTCCAACACTAACCCTAACTCCAACCCTAACCCTAACCCTAACCCTAGCTCCAACCCTAACCCTAACCCTAACCCATGCATTCCTATGGGAAAAAATCAAATTTTTTTAGGAATGTCCTAGAGACTCGGGAGTTGGTTCAGTGCACTCAGAAAAATCCTAGCTCCAAGCCCAACCCTAACCCTAGCTCCAACACTAACCCTAACTCCAACCCTAACCCTAACCCTAACCCTAGCTCCAACCCTAACCCTAACCCTAACCCATGCATTCCTATGGGAAAAAATCAAATTTTTTTAGGAACGTCCTAGAGACTCGGGAGTTGGTTCAGTGCACTCAGAAAAATCCTAGCTCCAAGCCCAACCCTAACCCTAGCTCCAACACTAACCCTAACTCCAACCCTAACCCTAACCCTAACCCTAGCTCCAACCCTAACCCTAACCATAACCCTAACCCATGCATTCCTATGGGAAAAAATCAATTTTTTTTAGGAATGTCCTAGAGACTCGGGAGTTGGTTCAGTGCACTCAGAAAAATCCTAGCTCCAAGCCCAACCCTAACCCTAGCTCCAACACTAACCCTAACTCCAACCCTAACCCTAACCCTAACCCTAGCTCCAACCCTAACCCTAACCCTAACCCATGCATTCCTATGGGAAAAAATCAAATTTTTTTAGGAATGTCCTAGAGACTCGGGAGTTGGTTCAGTGCACTCAGAAAAATCCTAGCTCCTAGCCCAACCCTAACCCTAGCTCCAACACTAACCCTAACTCCAACCCTAACCCTAACCCTAACCCTAGCTCCAACCCTAACCCTAACCCTAACCCATGCATTCCTATGGGAAAAAATCAAATTTTTTTAGGAATGTCCTAGAGACTCGGGAGTTGGTTCAGTGCACTCAGAAAAATCCTAGCTCCAAGCCCAACCCTAACCCTAGCTCCAACACTAACCCTAACTCCAACCCTAACCCTAGCTCCAACCCTAACCCTAACCCTAACCCATGCATTCCTATGGGAAAAAATCAAATTTTTTTAGGAATGTCCTAGAGACTCGGGAGTTGGTTCAGTGCACTCAGAAAAATCCTAGCTCCAAGCCCAACCCTAACCCTAGCTCCAACACTAACCCTAACTCCAACCCTAACCCTAACCCTAACCCTAGCTCCAACCCTAACCCTAACCATAACCCTAACCCATGCATTCCTATGGGAAAAAATCAAATTTTTTTAGGAATGTCCTAGAGACTCGGGAGTTGGTTCAGTGCACTCAGAAAAATCCTTGCTCCAAGCCCAACCCTAACCCTAGCTCCAACACTAACCCTAACTCCAACCCTAACCCTAACCCTAACCCTAGCTCCAACCCTAACCCTAACCCTAACCCATGCATTCCTATGGGAAAAAATCAAATTTTTTTAGGGAACGTCCTAGAGACTCGGGAGTTGGTTCATTGCACTCAGAAAAGTCCTAGCTCCAAGCCCAACCCTAACCCTAGCTCCAACACTAACCCTAACTCCAACCCTAACCCTAGCTCCAACCCTAACCCTAACCATAACCCTAAACCATGCATTCCTATGGGAAAAAATCAAATTTTTTTAGGAATGTCCTAGAGACTCGGGAGTTGGTTCAGTGCACTCAGAAAAGTCCTAGCTCCAAGCCCAACCCTAACCCTAGCTCCAACACTAACCCTAACTCCAACCCTAACCCTAACCCTAACCCTAGCTCCAACCCTAACCCTAACCCTAACCCATGCATTCCTATGGGAAAAAATCAAATTTTTTTAGGAACGTCCAAGAGACTCGGGAGTTGGTTCATTGCACTCAGAAAAATCCTAGCTCCAAGCCCAACCCTAACCCTAGCTCCAACACTAACCCTAACTCCAACCCTAACCCTAACCCTAACCCTAGCTCCAACCCTAACCCTAACCCTAACCCATGCATTCCTATGGGAAAAAAATCAAATTTTTTTAGGAACGTCCTAGAGACTCGGGAGTTGGTTCATTGCACTCAGAAAAGTCCTAGCTCCAAGCCCAACCCTAACCCTAGCTCCAACACTAACCCTAACTCCAACCCTAACCCTAACCCTAACCCTAGCTCCAACCCTAACCCTAACCCTAACCCATGCATTCCTAAGGGAAAAAATCAAATTTTTTTAGGAACGTCCTAGAGACTCGGGAGTTGGTTCATTGCACTCAGAAAAATCCTAGCTCCAAGCCCAACCCTAACCCTAGCTCCAACACTAACCCTAACTCCAACCCTAACCCTAACCCTAACCCTAGCTCCAACCCTAACCCTAACCCTAACCCATGCATTCCTATGGGAAAAAATCAAATTTTTTTAGGAACGTCGAAGAGACTCGGGAGTTGGTTCATTGCACTCAGAAACATCCTAGCTCCAAGCCCAACCCTAACCCTAGCTCCAACACTAACCCTAACTCCAACCCTAACCCTAACCCTAACCCTAGCTCCAACCCTAACCCTAACCATAACCCTAACCCATGCATTCCTATGGGAAAAAATCAAATTTTTTTAAGGAACGTCCTAGAGACTCGGGAGTTGGTTCAGTGCACTCAGAAAAATCCTAGCTCCAAGCCCAACCCTAACCCTAGCTCCAACACTAACCCTAACTCCAACCCTAACCCTAACCCTAACCCTAGCTCCAACCCTAACCCTAACCCTAACCCATGCATTCCTATGGGAAAAAATCAATTTTTTTTAGGAATGTCCTAGAGACTCGGGAGTTGGTTCAGTGCACTCAGAAAAATCCTAGCTCCAAGCCCAACCCTAACCCTAGCTCCAACACTAACCCTAACTCCAACCCTAACCCTAACCCTAACCCTAACCCTAGCTCCAACCCTAACCCTAACCCTAACCCATGCATTCCTATGGGAAAAAAATCAAATTTTTTTAGGAACGTCCTAGAGACTCGGGAGTTGGTTCAGTGCACTCAGAAAAATCCTAGCTCCAAGCCCAACCCTAACCCTAGCTCCAACACTAACCCTAACTCCAACCCTAACCCTAACCCTAACCCTAGCTCCAACCCTAACCCTAACCCTAACCCATGCATTCCTATGGGAAAAAAATCAAATTTTTTTAGGAACGTCCTAGAGACTCGGGAGTTGGTTCATTGCACTCAGAAAAGTCCTAGCTCCAAGCCCAACCCTAACCCTAGCTCCAACACTAACCCTAACTCCAACCCTAACCCTAACCTTAACCCTAGCTCCAACCCTAACCCTAACCCTAACCCATGCATTCCTAAGGGAAAAAAATCAAATTTTTTTAGGAACGTCCTAGAGACTCGGGAGTTGGTTCATTGCACTCAGAAAAATCCTAGCTCCAAGCCCAACCCTAACCCTAGCTCCAACACTAACCCTAACTCCAACCCTAACCCTAACCCTAACCCTAGCTCCAACCCTAACCCTAACCATAACCCTAACCCATGCATTCCTATGGGAAAAAATCAAATTTTTTTAAGGAACGTCCTAGAGACTCGGGAGTTGGTTCAGTGCACTCAGAAAAATCCTAGCTCCAAGCCCAACCCTAACCCTAGCTCCAACACTAACCCTAACTCCAACCCTAACCCTAACCCTAACCCTAGCTCCAACCCTAACCCTAACCCTAACCCATGCATTCCTATGGGAAAAAATCAATTTTTTTTAGGAATGTCCTAGAGACTCGGGAGTTGGTTCAGTGCACTCAGAAAAATCCTAGCTCCAAGCCCAACCCTAACCCTAGCTCCAACACTAACCCTAACTCCAACCCTAACCCTAACCCTAACCCTAACCCTAGCTCCAACCCTAACCCTAACCCTAACCCATGCATTCCTATGGGAAAAAAATCAAATTTTTTTAGGAACGTCCTAGAGACTCGGGAGTTGGTTCAGTGCACTCAGAAAAATCCTAGCTCCAAGCCCAACCCTAACCCTAGCTCCAACACTAACCCTAACTCCAACCCTAACCCTAACCCTAACCCTAGCTCCAACCCTAACCCTAACCCTAACCCATGCATTCCTATGGGAAAAAAATCAAATTTTTTTAGGAATGTCCTAGAGACTCGGGAGTTGGTTCAGTGCACTCAGAAAAATCCTAGCTCCAAGCCCAACCCTAACCCTAGCTCCAACACTAACCCTAACTCCAACCCTAACCCTAACCCTAACCCTAGCTCCAACCCTAACCCTAACCCTAACCCATGCATTCCTATGGGAAAAATCAAATTTTTTTAGGGAACGTCCTAGAGACTCGGGAGTTGGTTCATTGCACTCAGAAAAGTCCTAGCTCCAAGCCCAACCCTAACCCTAGCTCCAACACTAACCCTAACTCCAACCCTAACCCTAGCTCCAACCCTAACCCTAGCCATAACCCTAACCCATGCATTCCTAAGGGAAAAAATCAAATTTTTTTAGGAATGTCCTAGAGACTCGGGAGTTGGTTCAGTGCACTCAGAAAAATCCTAGCTCCAAGCCCAACCCTAACCCTAGCTCCAACACTAACCCTAACTCCAACCCTAACCCTAACCCTAACCCTAGCTCCAACCCTAACCCTAACCCTAACCCATGCATTCCTATGGGAAAAAAAACAATTTTTTTTAGGAACGTCCTAGAGACTCGGGAGTTGGTTCATTGCACTCAGAAAAATCCTAGCTCCAAGCCCAACCCTAACCCTAGCTCCAACACTAACCCTAACTCCAACCCTAACCCTAACCCTAACCCTAGCTCCAACCCTAACCCTAACCCTAACCCATGCATTCCTATGGGAAAAAATCAAATTTTTTTAGGAACGTCCTAGAGACTCGGGAGTTGGTTCATTGCACTCAGAAAAATCCTAGCTCCAAGCCCAACCCTAACCCTAGCTCCAACACTAACCCTAACTCCAACCCTAACCCTAACCCTAACCCTAGCTCCAACCCTAACCCTAACCCTAACCCATGCATTCCTATGGGAAAAAATCAAATTTTTTAGGAACGTCGAAGAGACTCGGGAGTTGGTTCATTGCACTCAGAAACATCCTAGCTCCAAGCCCAACCCTAACCCTAGCTCCAACACTAACCCTAACTCCAACCCTAACCCTAACCCTAACCCTAGCTCCAACCCTAACCCTAACCATAACCCTAACCCATGCATTCCTATGGGAAAAAATCAAATTTTTTTAGGAACGTCCTAGAGACTCGGGAGTTGGTTCATTGCACTCAGAAAAATCCTAGCTCCAAGCCCAACCCTAACCCTAGCTCCAACACTAACCCTAACTCCAACCCTAACCCTAACCCTAACCCTAGCTCCAACCCTAACCCTAACCCTAACCCATGCATTCCTATGGGAAAAAATCAAATTTTTTTAGGAATGTCCTAGAGACTCGGGAGTTGGTTCAGTGCACTCAGAAAAATCCTAGCTCCAAGCCCAACCCTAACCCTAGCTCCAACACTAACCCTAACTCCAACCCTAACCCTAACCCTAACCCTAGCTCCAACCCTAACCCTAACCCTAACCCATGCATTCCTATGGGAAAAAAATCAAATTTTTTTAGGAACGTCCTAGAGACTCGGGAGTTGGTTCAGTGCACTCAGAAAAATCCTAGCTCCAAGCCCAACCCTAACCCTAGCTCCAACACTAACCCTAACTCCAACCCTAACCCTAACCCTAACCCTAGCTCCAACCCTAACCCTAACCCTAACCCATGCATTCCTATGGGAAAAAAACAAATTTTTTTAGGAACGTCCTAGAGACTCGGGAGTTGGTTCATTGCACTCAGAAAAGTCCTAGCTCCAAGCCCAACCCTAACCCTAGCTCCAACACTAACCCTAACTCCAACCCTAACCCTAACCCTAACCCTAGCTCCAACCCTAACCCTAACCCTAACCCATGCATTCCTAAGGGAAAAAATCAAATTTTTTTAGGAACGTCCTAGAGACTCGGGAGTTGGTTCATTGCACTCAGAAAAATCCTAGCTCCAAGCCCAACCCTAACCCTAGCTCCAACACTAACCCTAACTCCAACCCTAACCCTAACCCTAACCCTAGCTCCAACCCTAACCCTAACCCTAACCCATGCATTCCTATGGGAAAAAATCAAATTTTTTTAGGAACGTCCTAGAGACTCGGGAGTTGGTTCATTGCACTCAGAAAATCCTAGCTCCAAGCCCAACCCTAACCCTAGCTCCAACACTAACCCTAACTCCAACCCTAACCCTAACCCTAACCCTAGCTCCAACCCTAACCCTAACCATAACCCTAACCCATGCATTCCTATGGGAAAAAATCAAATTTTTTTAGGAACGTCCTAGAGACTCGGGAGTTGGTTCAGTGCACTCAGAAAAATCCTAGCTCCAAGCCCAACCCTAACCCTAGCTCCAACACTAACCCTAACTCCAACCCTAACCCTAACCCTAACCCTAGCTCCAACCCTAACCCTAACCCTAACCCATGCATTCCTATGGGAAAAAATCAAATTTTTTAGGAATGTCCTAGAGACTCGGGAGTTGGTTCAGTGCACTCAGAAAAATCCTAGCTCCAAGCCCAACCCTAACCCTAGCTCCAACACTAACCCTAACTCCAACCCTAACCCTAACCCTAACCCTAACCCTAGCTCCAACCCTAACCCTAACCCTAACCCATGCATTCCTATGGGAAAAAAATCAAATTTTTTTAGGAATGTCCTAGAGACTCGGGAGTTGGTTCAGTGCACTCAGAAAAATCCTAGCTCCAAGCCCAACCCTAACCCTAGCTCCAACACTAACCCTAACTCCAACCCTAACCCTAACCCTAACCCTAGCTCCAACCCTAACCCTAACCCTAACCCATGCATTCCTATGGGAAAAAATCAATTTTTTTAGGAATGTCCTAGAGACTCGGGAGTTGGTTCAGTGCACTCAGAAAAATCCTAGCTCCAAGCCCAACCCTAACCCTAGCTCCAACACTAACCCTAACTCCAACCCTAACCCTAACCCTAACCCTAGCTCCAACCCTAACCCTAACCCTAACCCATGCATTCCTATGGGAAAAAATCAATTTTTTTTAGGAACGTCCTAGAGACTCGGGAGTTGGTTCAGTGCACTCAGAAAAATCCTAGCTCCAAGCCCAACCCTAACCCTAGCTCCAACACTAACCCTAACTCCAACCCTAACCCTAACCCTAACCCTAGCTCCAACCCTAACCCTAACCCTAACCCATGCATTCCTATGGGAAAAAATCAAATTTTTTTAGGAACGTCCTAGAGACTCGGGAGTTGGTTCATTGCACTCAGAAAAATCCTAGCTCCAAGCCCAACCCTAACCCTAGCTCCAACACTAACCCTAACTCCAACCCTAACCCTAACCCTAACCCTAGCTCCAACCCTAACCCTAACCCTAACCCTAACCCATGCATTCCTATGGGAAAAAATCAAATTTTTTTAGGAATGTCCTAGAGACTCGGGAGTTGGTTCAGTGCACTCAGAAAAATCCTAGCTCCAAGCCCAACCCTAACCCTAGCTCCAACACTAACCCTAACTCCAACCCTAACCCTAACCCTAACCCTAGCTCCAACCCTAACCCTAACCCTAACCTAACCCATGCATTCCTATGGGAAAAAATCAAATTTTTTTAGGAAGTCCTAGAGACTCGGGAGTTGGTTCATGCACTCAGAAAATCCTAGCTCCAAGCCCAACCCTAACCCTAGCTCCAACACTAACCCTAACTCCAACCCCAACCCTAACCCTAACCCTAACCCTAGCTCCAACCCTAACCCTAACCCTAACCCATGCATTCCTATGGGAAAAAATCAAATTTTTTTAGGAACGTCCTAGAGACTCGGGAGTTGGTTCATTGCACTCAGAAAAATCCTAGCTCCAAGCCCAACCCTAACCCTAGCTCCAACACTAACCCTAACTCCAACCCTAACCCTAACCCTAGCTCCAACCCTAAACCTAACCCTAATCCATGCATTCCTATGGGAAAAAATCAAATTTTTTTAGGAACGTCCTAGAGACTCGGGAGTTGGTTCATTGCACTCAGAAAAATCCTAGCTCCAAGCCCAACCCTAACCCTAGCTCCAACACAAACCCTAACTCCAACCCTAACCCTAACCCTAACCCATGCATTCCTATGGGAAAAAATCAAATTTTTTTAGGAACGTCCTAGAGACTCGGGAGTTGGTTCATTGCACTCAGAAAAATCCTAGCTCCAAGCCCAACCCTAACCCTAGCTCCAACACTAACCCTAACTCCAACCCTAACCCTAACCCTAGCTCCAACCCTAACCCTAACCCATGCATTCCTATGGGAAAAAATCAAATTTTTTTAGGAACATCCTAGAGACTCGGGAGTTGGTTCATTGCACTCAGAAAAATCCTAGCTCCAAGCCCAACCCTAACCCTAGCTCCAACACTAACCCTAACTCCAACCCTAACCCTAACCCTAACCCTAGCTCCAACCCTAACCCTAACCATAACCCTAACCCATGCATTCCTATGGGAAAAAATCAAATTTTTTTAGGAATCTCCTAGAGACTCGGGAGTTGGTTCATTGCACTCAGAAAAATCCTAGCTCCAAGCCCAACACTAACCCTAACTCCAACCCTAACCCTAACCCTAACCCTAACCCTAGCTCCAACCCTAACCCTAACCCTAAGCCATGCATTCCTATGGGAAAAAATCAAATTTTTTGAGGAACGTCCTAGAGACTCGGGAGTTGGTTCATTGCACTCAGAAAAATCCTAGCTCCAAGCCCAACCCTAACCCTAGCTCCAACACTAACCCTAACTCCAACCCTAACCCTAACCCTAACCCTAGCTCCAACCCTAACCCTAACCATAACCCTAACCCATGCATTCCTATGGGAAAAAATCAAATTTTTTTAGGAACGTCCTAGAGACTCGGGAGTTGGTTCATTGCACTCAGAAAAATCCTAGCTCCAAGCCCAACCCTAACCCTAGCTCCAACACTAACCCTAACTCCAACCCTAACCCTAACCCTAACCCTAGCTCCAACCCTAACCCTAACCCTAACCCATGCATTCCTATGGGAAAAAATCAAATTTTTTTAGGAACGTCCTAGAGACTCGGGAGTTGGTTCATTGCACTCAGAAAAGTCCTAGCTCCAAGCCCAACCCTAACCCTGGCTCCAACACTAACCCTAACTCCAACCCTAACCCTAACCCTAACCCTAGCTCCAACCCTAACCCTAACCCTAACCCATGCATTCCTATGGGAAAAAATCAAATTTTTTTAGGAACGTCCTAGAGACTCGGGAGTTGGTTCATTGCACTCAGAAAAATCCTAGCTTCAAGCCCAACCCTAACCCTAGCTCCAACACTAACCCTAACTCCAACCCTAACCCTAACCCTAACCCTAGCTCCAACCCTAACCCTAACCCTAGCCCATGCATTCCTATGGGAAAAAATCAAATTTTTTTAGGAACGTCCTAGAGACTCGGGAGTTGGTTCATTGCACTCAGAAAAGTCCTAGCTCCAAGCCCAACCCTAACCCTAGCTCCAACACTAACCCTAACTCCAACCCTAACCCTAACCCTAACCCTAACTCCAACCCTAACCCTAACCCTAACCCATGCATTCCTATGGGAAAAAATCAAATTTTTTTAGGAACGTCCTAGAGACTCGGGAGTTGGTTCATTGCACTCAGAAAAATCCTAGCTCCAAGCCCAACCCTAACCCTAGCTCCAACACTAACCCTAACTCCAACCCTAACCCTAACCCTAACCCTAGCTCCAACCCTAACCCTAACCCTAACCCATGCATTCCTATGGGAAAAAATCAAATTTTTTTAGGAACGTCCTAGAGACTCGGGAGTTGGTTCATTGCACTCAGAAAAATCCTAGCTCCAAGCCCAACCCTAACCCTAGCTCCAACACTAACCCTAACTCCAACCCTAACCCTAACCCTAACCCTAGCTCCAACCCTAACCCTAACCATAACCCTAACCCATGCATTCCTATGGGAAAAAAATCAAATTTTTTTAGGAATGTCCTAGAGACTCGGGAGTTGGTTCAGTGCACTCAGACAAATCCTAGCTCCAAGCCCAACCCTAACCCTAGCTCCAACACTAACCCTAACTCCAACCCTAACCCTAACCCTAACCCTAGCTCCAACCCTAACCCTAACCCTAACCCATGCATTCCTATGGGAAAAAAATCAATTTTTTTTAGGAACGTCCTAGAGACTCGGGAGTTGGTTCATTGCACTCAGAAAAATCCTAGCTCCAAGCCCAACCCTAACCCTAGCTCCAACACTAACCCTAACTCCAACCCTAACCCTAACCCTAACCCTAGCTCCAACCCTAACCCTAACCCTAACCCATGCATTCCTATGGGAAAAAATCAAATTTTTTTTAGGAATGTCCTAGAGACTCGGGAGTTGGTTCATTGCACTCAGAAAAATCCTAGCTCCAAGCCCAACCCTAACCCTAGCTCCAACACTAACCCTAACTCCAACCCTAACCCTAACCCTAACCCTAGCTCCAACCCTAACCCTAACCATAACCCTAACCCATGCATTCCTATGGGAAAAAATCAAATTTTTTTAGGAACGTCCTAGAGACTCGGGAGTTGGTTCATTGCACTCAGAAAAATCCTAGCTCCAAGCCCAACCCTAACCCTAGCTCCAACACTAACCCTAACTCCAACCCTAACCCTAACCCTAACCCTAGCTCCAACCCTAACCCTAACCATAACCCTAACCCATGCATTCCTATGGGAAAAAATCAATTTTTTTAGGAATGTCCTAGAGACTCGGGAGTTGGTTCAGTGCACTCAGAAAAATCCTAGCTCCAAGCCCAACCCTAACCCTAGCTCCAACACTAACCCTAACTCCAACCCTAACCCTAACCCTAACCCTAGCTCCAACCCTAACCCTAACCATAACCCTAACCCATGCATTCCTATGGGAAAAAATCAATTTTTTTAGGAACGTCCTAGAGACTCGGGAGTTGGTTCATTGCACTCAGAAAAATCCTAGCTCCAAGCCCAACCCTAACCCTAGCTCCAACACTAACCCTAACTCCAACCCTAACCCTAACCCTAACCCTAGCTCCAACCCTAACCCTAACCCTAACCCATGCATTCCTATGGGAAAAAATCAAATTTTTTTAGGAACGTCCTAGAGACTCGGGAGTTGGTTCATTGCACTCAGAAAAATCCTAGCTCCAAGCCCAACCCTAACCCTAGCTCCAACACTAACCCTAACTCCAACCCTAACCCTAACCCTAACCCTAGCTCCAACCCTAACCCTAACCCTAACCCATGCATTCCTATGGGAAAAAATCAAATTTTTTTAGGAACGTCCTAGAGACTCGGGAGTTGGTTCATTGCACTCAGAAAAATCCTAGCTCCAAGCCCAACCCTAACCCTAGCTCCAACACTAACCCTAACTCCAACCCTAACCCTAACCCTAACCCTAGCTCCAACCCCACACCTAACCCTAACCCTAGCTCCAACCTTAACCCTAACCCTAACCCTAACCCTAGCCCCAACCCTAGCTCTAACCCTAACCCTAGCTCCAACCCTAACCCTAACCCTAACCCTAACCCTAGCTCCAACCTTAACCCTAACCCTAACCCTAGCTCCAACCTTAACCTTAACCCTAACCCTAACCCTAGCTCCAACCCTAACCCTAACCCAAAGTAAACTTTTCAAAAAGCTTACCCCAGAATAAGGTTCTATAGACTCCCCGTGGCCTGAAGCGTGCTCCTAACACAATTCTGGGAGGTGAAAAATTGGATTGGCACTTAAAAAAATTTTCAATTTTTTTTCCCCATGCATTCCTATGGGAAAAAATCAAATTTTTTTTAGGAACGTCCTAGAGACTCGGGAGTTGGTTCATTGCACTCAGAAAAATCCTAGCTCCAAGCCCAACCCTAACCCTAGCTCCAACCCTAACCCTAACCCTAACCCTAGATCCAACCCTAACCCTAACCCAAAGTAAACTTTTCAAAAAGCTTACCCCAGAATAAGGTTCTATAGACTCCCCGTGGCCTGAAACGTGCTCCTAACACAATTCTGGGAGGTGAAAAATTGGATTGGCACTTAAAAAATTTTTCAATTTTTTTTCCCCATGCATTCCTATGGGAAAAAATCAAATTTTTTTTAGGAACGTCCTAGAGACTCGGGAGTTGGTTCATTGCACTCAGAAAAATCCTAGCTCCAAGCCCAACCCTAACCCTAGCTCCAACCCTAACCCTAACCCTAACCCTAGATCCAACCCTAACCCTAACCCAAAGTAAACTTTTCAAAAAGCTTACCCCAGAATAAGGTTCTATAGACTCCCCGTGGCCTGAAACGTGCTCCTAACACAATTCTGGAAGGTGAAAAATTGGGTTGGCACTTAAAAAATTTTTCAATTTTTTTTCCCCATGCATTCCTATGGGAAAAAATCAAATTTTTTTAGGAACGTCCTAGAGACTCGGGAGTTGGTTCATTGCACTCAGAAAAATCCTAGCTCCAAGCCCAACCCTAACCCTAGCTCCAACCCTAACCCTAACCCTAGCTCCAACCCTAACCCTAACCCAAAGTAAACTTTTCAAAAAGCTTACCCCAGAATAAGGTTCTATAGACTCCCCGTGGCCTGAAACGTGCTCCTAACACAATTCTGGAAGGTGAAAAATTGGGTTGGCACTTAGAAAATTTTTCAATTTTTTTTCCCCATGCATTCCTATGGGAAAAAATCAATTTTTTTTTAGGAACGTCCTAGAGACTCGGGAGTTGGTTCATTGCACTCAGAAAAATCCTAGCTCCAAGCCCAACCCTAACCCTAGCTCCAACCCTAACCCTAACTCCAACCCTAACCCTAACCCTAACCCATGCATTCCTATGGGAAAAAATCAAATTTTTTTAAGAACGTCCTAGAGACTCGGGAGTTGGTTCATTGCACTCAGAAAAATCCTAGCTCCAAGCCCAACCCTAACCCTAGCTCCAACACTAACCCTAACTCCAACCCTAACCCTAACCCTAACCCTAGCTCCAACCCTAACCCTAACCCTAACCCATGCATTCCTATGGGAAAAAATCAAATTTTTTTAGGAACGTCCTAGAGACTCGGGAGTTGGTTCATTGCACTCAGAAAAATCCTAGCTCCAAGCCCAACCCTAACCCTAGCTCCAACACTAACCCTAACTCCAACCCTAACCCTAACCCTAACCCTAGCTCCAACCCCACACCTAACCCTATCCCTAGCTCCAACCTTAACACTAGAAGGACCGGCTTTTTGCTGTTCTACCTATAAAGACCAGAGGGCAGCCAAATGGCTTGGAGGGCTTTTAGCTAGTACTAAATCACCTCTGAACACTCAGTTTGTTATGCAAACGAGGCTATCGCTGGTGCACCACAGGAGGGGATATGCTAAGTTATTTCAAGGAAACTTGTGTTGTGGGGAGAGTGAGTGGGGAGGGGGAGGGGAGTTTCCAACCTGAGAACAACTGTAGACAGAAACTGCTTCAGCCATAGCCACTGCACAGACAGTTTGGGCCTCTGTTTGTTTTGTTTGGTTCTACTTCTCCTGATGTTCCTGCACCTCAGCAGATGCCCCAGCGGTCGGTCCACGGACAAAAACTGTTTGTACTTTATAATAATGACATTGTAAATGTATCTAAATTGTTAAATTGCATACTGTTTGCATATGACACTACATTTTTTATACTCTGGTGAAGCTGTTGAGAGTATGAATGTGAGAATGACCATAACGACTCAGGTGAATGCAACCAGTCCCATTCACAGGATCACTATTTGATTGACAATTTATCACATTTTCTGGTTTGCTGGTGAGCAAACCTGGGAAACCCCCAGATCATGGCAACCATGCCCCGAAATCGCTTCAAAGACATCATGCGACACCTACGCTTTGATGACAGGGACACCCGCAGTGAGCGCACAAAGACTGACAAGTTTGCTGCAATTTCTGCTGTGTGGTCGTCATTTGTCACCAACTGCATCACATCCTACAACCCTGGTCGACACATCACCATTGACGAACAGCTTTTCCCCTCAAAGACTCGCTGCTGTTTCCTGCAGTACATTGCAACGAAACCTGACAAGTTTGGGATCAAGTTTTGGGTGGCTTGTGACTTGAAATCCAAGTACATCTGCAATGTCCTCCCATATCTTGGCAAGGACCCCAGTCGTCCCAGTGGGGAGAGACTGTCCGAGAATGTAGTCATGAGGCTGATGGAACCATTCCTGGACAAGGGCAGAAATGTTGCCACGGACAATTTCTTTACATCACTGTCACTTGCGCAACAACTGCTTAGGCGGAAAACCACCATCCTAGGCACAGTCAACAAGATTCGCCAGGAAATTCCACAGTCATCTAGACAGAGGGACTGCAATGAACTTTACAATGCTACAAAGTGCAGCGTGGATGTGATGGACCAGATGGTGCGGGAGTACACTGTCCGCACAGGAACATGGCGCTGGCCAGTCGCTGTGTTCTATAACATGATTGATACGGCAGCATTGGATGCACATGTGCTGTATCAAGCATGCACCGGGAGGAAGGAGAGACGGGTGGACTTCCTGGTGGAGCTTGCAAGAGAGTTGGCTAACTCTCATGTGACTGCGAAGAAGGCATGAAAGGAAGAATTGCTTCGGCAACAACCTTCCACACCTAGCCCTGGGAAAAGAGCCATGTGCCAGGTTAAAAATCAGTGTAAGAACAATCATGCCACTGTGCGATGTGTTGACTGCTACAGATACACATGTGGGAAATGCAGAAGGGAGATACCATGGCAGTGCCAGGATTGTGAGTGAGAGTCTAACACTGTATCCTGATGATGCATATTCACCTGAAGTCCATCACCAACCTTTTTATACTTTATATATGTCCTGCATGCTCTTGTTATTTTCTATTCTTGTATTTGACATATTATTCTCCGTTTAATGTTGCACCATCACGCCGTAAAAAATCCTAGCATTGTACGTAGCCTTTCATACTTTTATTCTTTATATATGTCCTGCATGCTCTTATTTTTTATTCTTGTATTTTACATATTATACTCTGTTTAATGTTGCACCATCACGCCGTAAAAAATTCCTAGTCTGTGAAACCTGTTCATTGACAATAGCAATAAAACCCCTTGTGATTCTGATTCTGATTCTTGTTCTTATTCTATACAGTTGTTTAAATTTTGTTTATTTTTAATCAATAAATTTCAGCAACAAAGTAAACAACCCATGTGTGTTGATCCCTTCCTTTCTGTTGTCCCTTCCCACTGCATACACCACTTAGTCCAGTCCCCTCCTGTGGTGCACCAACGATCACCTTGTTTGCATAACAAAATGAGTGCTCACAGGTGATTTAGGATATTAGCTAAAATCCTTCCAGCCGATCGGCTGCCCCGTGGACCTTGAGGGGGGTAAAGCCAAATGGCTGCTCTGTGGTCCTTCTAGTGTTAAGCTGGAGTTGAACCAGCGATGTTCACATCACATCGTTTCATATCAGGAACTTCTTACAGTCCTCTGCTCTACCAACTGAGCTATGAAGGTGCTCATAGACACAACCGCAGAAAACATAGTGGCTGAGACGACACACTTTGCCAACACAACAATTAAAGCTACATGGTCAATGAAAAACTTGAAAAGTGCATCCACCAATGAAATATGGTGCTTTGAGCTGGAGTTGAACCAGCGATGTTCGTATCACAGCATTTCATACAAGGAACTTCTTACAGTCCTCTGCTCTACCAACTGAGCTATGAAGGTGCTTATAGACAGAACCGCAGAAAACATAGTGGCTGAGACGACACACTTTGCCAACACAACAATTAAAGCTACATGGTCAATGAAAAAGCTTGAAAAATGCATCCACCAATGAAATCTGGTGCTTTGAGCTGGAGTTGAACCAGCGATGTTCGCATCACAGCGTTTCATACGAGGAAATTCTCACAGTGCAATGCTCTACCAACTGAGCTACGAAGGTGCTTATAGACACAACCGCAGAAAACATAGTGGCTGAGACGACACACTTTGCCAACACAACTATTCCAACCACATGGTCAATGAAAGCCCAGCCCTACCTTCAGAACAGAGCTTCACAGTTTGTACCCAACAGTCATTGCCAAGTCCCCAGAACTGATAATCAGGACTTTTTAGCTGGGTGAATAAAGATTGATGGTTGGAAAATTAAGAAGTTATGTTGTTTGTGTTTTTATATTTTGGAGGAGTTGACAGATGAAGACAAGGCTTGGCTTAATTTCAATGTGATCAGAAGTTGAACATTGCACACACCAATGAAATGCATGTGCTTGAAGCTGGAATTGAACCGGCGACCTTAGCATCACATGAGGAACTTCTTACAGTCCTCTGCTCTACCAAGTAAGCTATCAGGTGCTCTCCCTTCTCACAACTGCAGAAAACATAGTGGCTGAGATGACACACTTTGCCCACACAACTATTCCAACCACATGGTCAATGAAAGCCCAGCCCTACCTGAAGAACAAAGCTTTGAAGTTTGTTAGCAATAGTCATTGCCTAGGACACAGAACCGATAATCTGAACTTTTAGGCTGGGCTTTTGATTGACATGGCCAATGAAAAGCCCAGACCTACCTTCAGAACAGAGCTTCACAGTTTGTACCCAACAGTCATTGCCAAGTCCCCAGAACTGATAATCAGGACTTTTAGGCTGGGTGAATAAAAAATTGATGGTTGGAAAATTAAGAAGTTATCTTGTTTATGTTTTTATATTTTGGAGGAGTTGACAATTGAAGACAAGGCTTGGCTTAATTTCAATGTGATTAGAAGTTGAACATTGCGCACACCAATGAAATGCATGTGCTTGGAGCTGGAATTGAACCAGCAACCTTAGCATCACATGAGGAACTTCTTACAGTGCTCTGCTCTACCAAGTGAGCTATCAGGTGCTCTCTACTGGCAACTGCAGAAAACATAGTGGCTGAGACCACACACTTTGCCCACACAACTATTCCAACCACATGGTCAATGAAAGCCCAGCCCTACCTGAAGAACAAAGCTTTGCAGTTTGTACCCAAGAGTCATTGCCAAGGACCCAGAACTAATAATCAGAACTTTTAGGCTGGGCTTTTGATTGACATGGCCAATGAAAAGCCCAGTCCTACCTTCAGAACGGAGCTTCACAGTTTGTACCCAGCAGTCATTGCCAAGCACCCAGAACTGATAATCAGGACTTTTAGACTGGGTGAATAAAAAATTGATGGTTAAAAAATTAAGAAGTTATCTTGTTTGTGTTTTTATATTTTGGAGGAGTTGACAGATGAAGACAAGGCTTGGCTTAATTTCAATGTAATAACAACTTGAACATTGCGCACACCAATGAAATGCATGTGGTTGGAGATGGAATTGAACCAGCAAGCTTAGCATCACAGCATTTCATATGAGGAACTTGTTACAGTCCTCTGCTCTACCAACTGAGCTATCAGGTGCTCTCTACTCACAACTGCAGAAAACATAGTGGCTGAGACCACACAGTTTGCCCACACAACTATTCCAACCACATGGTCAATGAAAGCCCAGCCCTACCTGAAGAACAAAGCTTTGCAGTTTGTACGCAACAGTCATTGCCAAGGACCCAGAACTGATAAACAGGACTTTTAGGCTGGGTGAAATCAAAAAACTTGTTGAAACATCAAGAACAGGGCCGGATTATGGGGGGGTCTGGGCCTCGGGGCCAGGAGTTTCTTAACTCAAGACACCGTTTCCTCAGTCATCTGTGGCAAGCTGAAGAGTCCTCAACTGGTCTTTTAAGTGTGCATCTGTGTGTGAGTGTGTGTGTGCTGTATGTGTTAAATGGGGTTTTGTATTTGTATTTGTATTTATTTTACTTCATTATTTTTCAATATCCTGCATGAATGGACAGCTTTGTGCTACATTCTTGGTATGAAAATTCCTTAAAAAATAAAGATTTGAGCTTTTTTGTTACTAATATAACTTAATGTGCATTAAATCACACAGCAACCAATAATCCTGTTATTTAAAAATATCAGTCATGCAAATATACTTTTAGGCCTATTATAAGTCCTGCTTAAATACTCCTCTCATTATAGATGGAGAATAAGCTGAATGTTTTCAGGCATGGACATTTCCTCACTGTTGTTTTTCAAAACTCTGAAAACACACACTGCCATCACGTGGAGAAAAGGGGACTAGACTTTTTCTGTAGATGTGAAACTTCTCTGTCAGAAACAATGAAATTCCACATCTAAGGAAAGCAAACAAACAAAAAAGTGATTCTTACAACGTTTTTTTATTTTCTTTGCATGAATGTGCTGTGCTGGTGCACCCTTACCTCCACTAAAACCATTTATGAGTTGATACTGAGTCCACGTACAAACACCATGAAGCTGTAGTGAGAACTAGCATGACAACAAGAAGCACCAATGGCAATTGCGGTCCAAGTGTTGCTGCTACAGAGAAAATATGACACCTCTGACTTCAGGCTTGATTCTCATAGTTCTAACAAATCACCAGTAAGATCTGCAGCTTCCCATTGCTCAACATTAACCAGAGGGCTTCACCTTCTGATGACCTGTTGGTCTACATGAGAAAATGTGTATAACCGCCAGTGCACAGCTTCAACAAGGGGAGGTTAATGATAGGTTTTTGGGGTGGTTAGATATAAAATTTCACTTGACAAACTGGCCTCACACAATGTAGCAAAAGCTAGAAAAAAATTAAGTGAACCATTATTTCTTAAGTGACTGAAAGACCTTTAATTTAACAAATATCTGTTAACACTATCCAATTAACTGAACATAAAATTGTCTTGAGACAAAGGCACCTATTAAGCCGCGTTCAGACCAAACGCGACCAGGTCGCGTCGCGTCGCGTTGGTCGGTCAGGTCGCGTCGCGTGGTGCCCTGGTGTGTCAACACCGGGTCCAAAGCTGCAGTCGCAGGTCGCGGCTGGTCGCAGGTGACGTCATCCATGTCACTAGCTCAGTTTTCAGTTCATCAGTGCTGCCGCATATCTGTACATCCGCAGTAGACGCCGCCGGCGTTTATGGGTGCATGAAACCATCCGGAGGAGGACGGAGCTGGGTGAATTTCACCGCTTGCTCCAGGAACTCCACCTGGACGACGGCCGCTTCCAGCGGTACTTCCGTGTGTCGACGGCGCAGTTCGAGGACCTCCTCGCCCGGGTGGGAAGCAGCATCTCCCGCCTGGACACGAAATACAGGCGCTCCGAAACTGAGATGCCTCTTCTTTGGCGTTGCGGTCCCGGTACAGCCCGCAACCCACGTCGTATAGCACCGGGTGGTAGCTAACGGATGTGATTAACTGCTCCTCCATTGTGATTCTTCTTCTCCTCTTCCTTGTTTCGCCGGTTTGTTGACGTCAGCAGAGCCCTGATTGGCTGTCGCGGCACGGAGTCGCTCCCAAAGTTCAAATATTTGAACTTTGGGAGCGACGCGACTTGGCGTCCTGCGACCTCGGCGACGCGACCTCGGGGACGCGCCTTGGCGACCGGTCGCGCCCGGTCGCCCGGTCGCGCATGGTCGCGTCGCAGGAAGCCGGCGGTCGCCAAGTCGCGTCAGGTCGCGGCTGGCCATAGACTTTGCATTGGGAGCCGTCGCCAAGTCGCGTCAGGTCGCGGCTGGTCTGAACGCGGCTTTATGCTGCTACAGTGTTTCTATCACATGTCAAATTGGCAAAACACAGGTCCTCCTACAAGATAATGCATCCTTTTTCAGTCTGCAATAATTGATTTCACCAGTAGATGGTAATAATGCCACATAACCATTTGAAAGATGATCCAAAACTGTTCACCAAGTTATTTCTCTCTGTTTCTCAACTAACTACAGATGTGAAGGCAGAGCTGACCCAAGGCATAAGCGAACTAGGTGCCTGCTTAGGGCCCCACAGCCAGTAGGGGGCCCCCAAAAGCAATCAAAAATAAACAAAAAATCTGTATGTACATGTATGAGTGATGCTTTCTGTATGATCAAATAGATATTATTGTAAAAATAAAATAAATTCAAAATGTTTTAGTGCTGCTGCTGATGTAGGCCTATGATTCTTACTGCCGATTACACTTTTACAGTATTCACAATGCTTTATCACTTGGAATGTTGTGAAAATCAACCCCAGGCCGCTCTTGTAGCTGAATGTGTTACATTTTGAGATTAAACACCATATGTGGCACCCTGAACATCATCAGTCATTCATTGGCATTATTTGTATGGTTGCGTTGGTGTTTTTTATGTTATTACCAAGGCCACCCCCTTAAATGTGTGAAGAAATGTCACGCACATTAAATTTGTACTGTAGTAGGTGTGTGAATGATCAACAATCAATACACTGGCAGATATAGAAGGCCCCAAAATCAAATTTTGCTTGTGTAAAGGTATCTAAAAGATGATGTAATCCTGTGTGTTTTTGCTGGAAAAATTAACACAAAACTGTGTAAGGTTTCAGTCGTCTTATTCTTTGGTGCTAAAAAAGGTTGCTTCTGGATGGTGCATGGGAGTTTGCTCATCCAGTCCATGTATTCTTTGTGGGCTTCACTTTATCAGTAAGCTCTATACAAGTTGGCATGGAAGTGTGGCAATTAGGTCCACGGCAGAGGGGTTCAAAGTTCAGATTCATGCCAGGGCTTTGCCACATAGACCTTGAGTGTTATCAGCTTTCTCACACCAGAATGTTGACCATTATTTGAACACCACACTAAGTAAAGGAATCTCTACAAGTAACTACTGCAAGTACTAGCATTGCTACCTCACATCAACAGGATTCTGGGTTTAAATGCTCTGCCAGCTTCCAACTGAAGGGTTGATCATGATTTTGAAACATCAAATCAACATGATAAATAAACTTCAAATAGTTAGTGCTGCAGGGAGGCACATCAGCGGTTTGTGCCGCTGTCTCACAGTAAAAGGGTTCAGGGTTCAAATTCAGGCTGGGCCTTCTGATCTGACTTTCCTCTCTGGAATTATTGACTAACTGACTGGAAGACTACAGTTTGTATGCATACAACAGTGTGTGTCAGACAGAGTGGTCGGCAACACTGTGGCACAGTCCCACAGACTTCAAGTACTACACAGGGAATGGGGAATTTGCTTTGTAAAACATTGCAGAAGTGCTCCCATGTTGTACTTTAAGTGTGTGACATACTAGCTGACACAAAGCCCTCAGCTTTTCATTTTAGGGATGTGAGTGAGAGTGTTCCAGGTTTCAATCCAAGTTGGGGCCTCTCTGAATAGAGCTAGGTAAAAACTTTGAAACTACCAGAATGTACAGAAAAGTAGGTATGAACTCAAAGAAGCAAGAAAAAATGGCAAATTGGTAAAGTGACTATCATGCCATGTGTGTAAATCAGCATTTTGTCTAATTTACCACTTGTTCTTACTGGGCAGTGAAATTACAAAACATCAGTCCATGCAGGATACGAATATCCCCTCAGAATCAGTATCATGGGTCCCTGGGTAGCTTCAGCATTGCCTTTGACATCTTTTAAGACACATTTGTTTCCCTGATCCAAAACCTGGGTTTTCCTAAAGGCACGTGTTTAGGTGATTTTCAGCTGGCAGTAGTGAGAGAGGGTAAAGTAGGTTTGGGTGGATTTGAAAGCTGCGTGAAGGGAATAAGGTCATTAAGAGTGGTCCTGGAATTTGCATGCTATCTTTATTTAGCACAGTGGTTATGAAAGTGGGTAGAAAAGAGACTAAGTTTACAGTTTATATATATATATATATATATAAACTGTAAACTTAGTTTTATATATATATATATATATATATATATACTGTATATATGTGTGTGTGTGTGTGTGTGTGTGTGTGTGTGTGTGTGTGTGTGTGTGTGTGTGTGTGTGTGTGTGTGTAAGGGATTTTTTGTTCATGAATGCCTAATTTAAGTTATTTTGTTGCATTTTTATGGTCGCCTCGTGGCCCCTTTCCCCCTCCCTTTGGACATTGCATGGCTAAAAATAATAAACTACTTTAATTTGTCATCTATGGCCCTTTTTTATATATATTTTGATGACAAGGACTTTTTCTTGGGTATGTTATTTCGGGTAAAAATCACCCAGCGACAGTGATGGTGTTACTAATTTTAGCGATAGTGTTCCAGGGTTAAATAAACAAAGAAGAAAACCCACATAGGAGTTAAATTCTGACATACCTTTCATCCACCAGAATCTGGTCTTACCACGTGACCGGATCTGTTATCGATTCGCAAGCCTGTTTGTAGTTTTTATCTCAGGTCCAGTTTCGCTTTAGATCGAGGAAAACGTCGCAGAGATCCCGGAACTACAAACAAAGTAGTCTTCTTGGATAGCACAGGGCACACAGGTAAGAGCCCCCCTCGAGTTTTATTGTAAAAAGTGAAGGTAAACTTATGTGAATGGTGCTGTTTTTCTTGATAGAAGTTTGTTAAAGTGAGGAGGACTGAATATCTGTGGTTCAAACTTTGAGGAAAGTGAGGTTGTGTTGCTAGCTGACTCTCTTAGCCCGTAACAGATTGTGTTGTAGATGTTTGACGGATCTATCTCACCGGGATGATAGCATTTTAAGCTGGTTGTTGTGTATTTATGGAACTGACGGTGTTGCTTGTAAGATATTCAGCTGTTTCATTGTGATTTGTGAACAGGGATGGCCACCGCGCCACAGTCTAAACTGCAAATGAGGTCGAGTGATCTCATCAAAAAGGAGCCTCTTGCCTACGGAGGATTTGGAGAAGTCTACCTGTGCTACCATGTCACCCTCGGACAGGTGGTGTTGAAGACTATGTACACTGGCCCCCTTCGTAACGAGTGAGTTCTGAGTGTGTCTGTTCTTGTATGGGGTCTGCTCTGCTGCTGGGTATTCCCCTTAATGCTGAGTGGAGTCATGTGCTCCTATTGGACACAGACTCTTCCCGTCACACAGACTGATGTTTAAGTCTGATTTTTCCTTCCTGACAGCCTACAGAAAGCACTTTGACTTCATTCGTTTATGTGATATTAACTGTAAAATGTGGTCATCATGGAATAAGTTGTAACCCCAGTTTGTGAGAACCTCCCCCAGTTCTGTGTTATGAAAAAAAGCATGCTCTGACTTCTTGGTACTTCCTTTTGTCTACTAGAAAGAGGCGTCTGAAAAGCGGATGTTGGTCTGGCATTCACATTCACTGGTTCCTAAATATGTAGCTATTCACCTTTCTAATTCAAATCAAATCAAACTTGATTTATAAAGCACTTTTCATACAAAAGATGTAACACAAAGTGCTTCACAGTCCATTAAGAACTAAAAAAACAAAACAAAAAGTCACATACAGTGTCTCCCCTAAAGCCACATACACACACACTAACAGCAGTACATAAGGACACTAAGATAGTGAATCTTAGGTCAGGTAAAGCTGAAGATAAGAGATGAGAGATGTGGCACACACCAACCTCCATCAGGAACCCCGTGACCGGCCCTGCGACCACAGCTGACCACTGCTCCCGGAGCTGAGGGCTCCCCCAGAGGAAACACTGGGGTCCTAAAAATGATGAAAGGATAAAAACAAGTAAAAACTAAAATATGAATAAAACACAGACCAACTCAGTGACAATAAAAACAAATAAATACAAAATAAGAAACCGTGTCTAACTAGAATAAATGGAGATAAAAATAAATAAATATTAATCAAAAGCTAAGCTAAAAAGGTGGGTCTTGAGCCTGCTCTTAAAAACATTAACGTTCTCTGCAGCCCTGAGGTCCTCTGGCAGGCTGCTCGTCGTGGGTGTGTGTCCTGACTTTTGGAATGACTAGGAGCCTGCTGCCAGAGGAGCGCAGGGTCCATGAAGGTTCATAAGGTAAAAGCAGTTCTGAAGGATAGGAAGGCCCAAGACCATAAAGACGTTTAAAAACAAGTAAAAGAACCTTAAAATTGATCCTTAAACACACAGGGAGCCAATGCAAGGATTATAAAACCAGTGTAATGTGGGCATGCCTCCTGGTAGTCAGGACATGACACATTTCACAGACTGCATGTTAAAAGATTCACTCGTACTAACACTCAAACTCAACTTAAATTTCTGGTGTACCAAACTGATTGCTGAACCAACCGACGGGCTTATTTAGTATTATATTTAATATTCAAATCTGTATTTAGAGCAATAACCCTGAATTAACTGTCCAATCAGGCACAACAGGGCTGAAGAATGACCATATTTGATCGGCACATCCTCATAGTCAATAATAAGTCTACTACAAGACTGAAATGATTAAGTTTGTTAGTAAATTCTCACCATGTTACTTCACTTTCCAGGGAGAATAAGAGGTCCCTGCTGGAGGAGGGAAACATCATGGCAAGCCTGAATCATGAGCGTGTGGTCAAGCTGCTGGGTGTGATCATGGAGGACAGAGACTGTTCACTAGTGATGGAGCTCCTCCCCAGAGGAAACCTGTTGGTCATGCTAGAAACGGTCAGGAAAACTCTTTGCAGCATATGTAAATCAATTGGGTTTTTTTTTCATGATTAAAGGGATCTATGTACCTATTTTTTTCCATTCCCAAGGTGTCTGTGCCGATTTCAATAAAGGGCAGGATCATCTTAGAGATTTTGGAGGCCATGATCTACTTAACAGAGAGACATATTGTTCACAAGGACATCAAGCCAGAAAACATCTTAGTTGACAAAGATTTTCACATTAAGGTAAACAGCACTTTACTCATGCTACATGGCGCACCTCTGATTCTGACAGTGTGTGCATGTATGCAGTCACTTTTCCTCTGTTGTTCCTAGATTGCAGATCTGGGCCTGGCCACCTGCCAGACGTGGAGCAGACTCACCAGGGAAGAGTCACGCAGGAAGAGTCGCATGGGGCTGTCAGCTGGGGCGAGGGGGGCCGGCACACTGAGCTACATGGCCCCTGAGCACCTGGAGAGTATACACACACCCTCCACTGAGAAGTCTGATATTTACAGCTTTGCTATTGTGGTTTGGGTCATCCTCACAGGGGAAGAGCCTTATGCCAGTGAGTGCTAGGAGTCCTATTAACATGTCATGTATATTGTTAACTTTATTTAGACAACCAGAGTACTGTAAGTCACTTTTCTCTACTCAGATGCCAGAAGTGAAGATCATATGAGCCAGTGTGTCCGAAAGGGGGACAGACCGGCAGAGGACCTTTTACCAGTTGACACACCAGTGGAGATAATCACGCTTATGAAGAGGTGCTGGGACCACCATCCAATGCAAAGGCCGACATTCAAAGGTGCACTTATAAGATTTTAATTAGTTTATCAGCAATAACCGAACCTTTATATGTAATCTGACAAACACAACTCAACCTCCTCTAAATTTCAAGTTACACAATTTGACTCCTTAATTTAAAGTGCAAATTCCTTTCTCATCTATTCCTCTTTTCCTTTTCTTTCTTTGCAGAGGCCTACAACCATTTCCTTCCTTTCTACATGGAAAAGCTTGAACCGTGTGTAGAGGAGGATTTACATGAACTAAGGGTAGAAATTTCTCTTTCATATTCAGTGTTGTAATTTAGGTTTGCAAGTCTGGAAGTTAAAATAACAACAATAAAAATGTATGTTCTGGCTACTTGTTGTCACAATTTTCTATTCATTTTCAGAAATCATATGAGGGCCCAGATGACCTTGTGGAGAAGATGAAATCACTGACTTTTGAGTGTTTGCCAGGAGGTTAGCGTTTTAGGCAACCCTTGATATACAGTCCACACTGTGTGGCATGTGAAGTTTGAGAGATAAACAGCTGAAGTGAAATATTTATTCCCGGCTGCTTTTGTTTTTCTTTTGCAGATAGCCCTGCTCCTTTGGTGAGTTCAGACAGAGTTGTCTCTGAGCCTGTTGAAGCCAGTATTGAGGACCTCCATGGACATCAGTATGAGCCATGTGATGGGTCCGTGCAGGTGGATGCAAAGGTCTTAAGCAGTCCTTCAGTTCTTGAGGAGAAACTGGATCGGGAGCTTCAGTACCACAAACACGGTAGCTACGCCTGTGAGAACCAGCTTGGAGCTGCAAACTGCCACCATCAAAACAACTCAAACCCTTTCATGCAAAACGACTTCGGCTTCCCCGACCATGCCATAAGCCAGCCAGAACAAGACAAATCTCCCTTTACATCCTCTGTCCATTCCTGGACAAAACCTGAGCCAGTTCAGCCTACAAGCCAGGAAGAGGCTTGGTATCGCCCAGCTGCTGGTCTCTATGATTCCATGAACACTTCCATGCCAACTTCTGCCAGCACCCCTTCACTACCACAGCTTAACCAGCAGCACCCAAACTCCCATTATGACCGTCAGCAGTCCTGGCCAATATACCCAGTGTCCGACACCTCTGCGCCTGATGTGGGTTCTGGGCGTCTTCTGGTTCCTTCAAAGGGAAACACACTTCAGGATACAGGTACAGACAGTTACTATTGTCAGCTTTGTCGAAGAGACTGTGTTTTATATATGTTTGCTTTTTGCCTGCTGTAGGATCTCTTTTCATCCAGAACGCCAGCGGGATCCAGATTGGGAGCAACAACTCGATGAGTATCAGAGGTCATGACTCCACCCACAGTTTGTCGTCTCAAACTGCGAACGGCTCAGCTCTCTCTCGGATCAAAGAGGGCATTCTGAAATACGGTAAACCACAACAACATTTGAACCTGGCTGAAATAGTAATGGCTGTAGAGTTTGTTATGTCACCTTTTCTCCTTTTAACAGCACTTTTGAAGGATGACACACTGTAAAGTGTGGACCAGGGGCTGTGTCATTTTGCAAAGGAAAAACAGTCAGAGCCAAAAACTTTCTCCCCTTCCATTCAGCTTCTCTGGCTTTCTAAGCTAACCTCAGGAATTTAAAGAAGTTTAGTAAATCAGTGGTGTTCAGATTGCAGCCTTATATAAACTGCTGGCATTCTCTGATTCAGAAAGGACCCTGAAATACTGTTGCTCATATCAGGAGTTGCTCTCTTGGCTTATGGGCATTTGTAGACAAAGAGCTGACACACCAAGTAACTTCGTCTGCTTTCAACCTTTGTAAACTCTGATTCATAAAAGCGTGTCCACAATAAGAATAACTCATTTTCAAGTTTGGTTGTATTTCGGTTTCATGTACCGTACACAATTCTACTTAAAAACACTAAACCATTCCTTTAAAAGCCTGTACTTGTTGAAGGGGTACAGGGTAGAGCTTTTAAATATCTTTCCTCCATCTGTTGATTCAAAACATTAGGCACATGGTTTACTCTTAAATAGAAAAGCTCTCATTTTTGAGTAGCTTAAGTCAGAGATGTAAAAAAATGACTAAAAGTTAAGACTCTAATTTTACAAAAATCATCACAGCTAAGATCTTTTTCTGCTTTAGAGGACCATTCTGTGACCGAGGATCACCTGGATCTGCTGAGGGAAAACATCGGGAACAAGTGGAAGCGCTTTGCACGGCGACTGGGTTTGACCTCAGTGGAAATAGAGACCATTGAGCATGATTGTTACCGCGACGGCCTGCCGGAGATGGTGCACCAGATGCTGGATCGTTGGAAGATGAAGGAGGGAAGCATCGGCTGCACCATTGGGAAGCTTTGTCGAGCTCTGGAGGGTAACATAGACATAGACATTATCCAGAAAATATTGGACACCTGTGGGTCTTCACCTTAAATTTCCTAAACTTTGGTAGATTTACTTCGCTCAATTCTCTTCCATTGAATTTCTGCCCATGATGGCAGCAATTTCATACAGCCTTAACCAAAATGGAGAACTTTTTAGGAGTTTTGTTGAGTATGTGCAAAGCAAAAAATGATATATGTGTAGGTCAAAACTTGAGCAGGACTGGTAATCAGTGCTCTGTGTAGAGCACCTATGCAGAAAACAATACTTGTTAGTAGGAATTTAAAAATCTGTTTGTAGTTTATTCAAGTAAAAATATCCCTTTCTTACAATTCACAGTATTCTGAGCATCATCAGGAGCTCCTACAAGACAGCAGCCTCCTGTTTTATTTTTGGATGGTCACATCACTACTGCAATTATCTATATTTCTGTCACCCTGCCCCTTTTAAAAGTTACTGGGTCACCGTGTAGGTATTTGGTGAATATTTTGCCACCAAAAGCGGGATTTATTTGTTTATTTATCTTCCTAGCAGGGCTCTGGTTACAGCTTTTAAATTTAGCAGTTTGTCAAACAACCTCTTGGTCTTCATTTAGTTTAACTGTTTTTCCACCAAATATATCTCAGTAAGTGGGAAATATGAAACACTGTAAGGGTTGGGCTCTTTTAAATATGGGATTTAACAATCATTGTTTATTTTTAATTCACTATGAATAAGTCATGCTCTCAAAGAAGTATTTCTTTTTCAGACTGTTAATGTGTCATAAACATACGTAAATAAAGAGGGAATATTTTGTGCAATCATTTCCAAAAGCCAATCAATCTTTATTTGTATAGTGCTAATTCACAAGTTGTCTGAGTGATCGTGTAATGAAAAGCCTTCGAGTTTTCTCTTGTTGACCATAGCTTTGACAGAATAATGGACTTATAACAAGTATAAATTAAATAGGGTGTGGAAAACATTTATTCTAGCCTGCTATGAGCACAGAACTGAAGGGCGCTTTAAAAAAAAAAACGTGAAAATGCTTGAGTATTATGTGTCCAGTAGGGGTCAGTACATTAGTATTACGTATACAGTATACGGTATAATGTGTCTGCTATGGACTCTGTTCTCCCATTTCACACATTGCACTAACAGTGCATGAATCTTGATAAAGTGACTCTCTAAGCTGATAAGATTTCAGGTTGTACTTTATGAAGTGTTTTTTAACACTCAATCCGATTTCATTTTTCAATTATTTTCCCCACAATTCTAAGAGCCGTACTAAGTCTGGATCTGTAAGAAAGCCTTTTTGAATAAAATGTTTGTACATATCTTTCTAAAAGTCCTGAGTAAACGTGTTTTTTCAGCTCATATGTTGCTTCACACTTAAAGCTTTTATGCTGCCTAGCTATGCATTACCAACATTTCTTTTGGATTTTTTCCACAACAAGCTAATAAACATGAATACACTATAACAAGGAAGACATTAAGACAGCTGATCTTGTATACACCAGACAGAAAGACACCTTCCTCTTTAATGTTCTCAGACAAAAATCCTTTAAACCAAGAATACATGGGGTGGATTGATAGATTATAGCTGGGTAGAAATCATTAGTGCTCCTTTTTGCAAATCAAGCAGCTAATGCTGTTTCTTTTTCCTGGTGAGTTTGATAATCCTTCCACTAAACAGGAGGAAATTAATCCTTTCATGCTGCGGATGATGAGAAACTGTTTAATTTCAAATGTTTCTCATCAGATTTACAGATGATGATAAAATGGCGCCCTTATGACTGATAGATTAAATCTAATCTAATCTAATCTAATTACTCTACAGCAGTTTTCTTTGTTCAGTGTGACCCACATCATAAATATTTGTACTGGTAAAAAAGAGGGATGTGCTCAAGAGATGAAACAGCAGATGACCTTTGGGATGAGATGATTCTGAAACAACAGTTTGAGTTTAATCCAGAGTGACTGCGCACATCCCATTTGAGTCTGGTCTACTTGACAACAGATTTACACAGAAGCACAATCACAGATAGAGTCAGCCCAAAATGAATGAATCTAACTGCAGCTGCATTGATCATTTTTTTCCTCTCTGAGCCTTTCTATGAATAAACATGTCGATTCTCTTTGTACACACAATAAATTACTTTATATTCTTATAATACAGGTAGTTGGAGAGTACAGTGCTGTTTTTCTTCAGTAATGTAGTTCTGGATAAATAACATAGCACCAGAAGAGAGATGTAAAAACAGTACTTAGGCTGGCATAGTAAAGAAAGGGTTAACAGCTCTTAAAGGAGGATGGCTTAAAGTTTAAATTTAGACTGAAAAACGTGTCTGCTTCGTGTAGATCTGTTATTAAAAGTGTGTTAAACTGTGAGCGTCGTCAACAGTCATTCCAGAGTACAGTTATTTATACAGTGAACAGTTAAACATACATACAGTAGGTCTACATTCAGAAATATTTAATGATAATTTCATAAAAGTTTTAAGGTTTATTTACATGATTGTTACAACTTAAAGCTTCTGTGAAGAATTTTTGCATTTATGGTTTCTGGTGTTGTTTTATGACCGATTGAAAACGCCTTAAAAAACATGAATGTTAACTCATGACACTATCAAGAGTCAGAGTATTGACTGGAAAGCTTTTCTCATTAGTAAAAGAAAAGAAAACGTAGGAAACCAATAAATAAATAAGTTACATAGCTGCTTTGCATATGGTTCAATCAAATCTGAAAGAACTTAACCTGATTTATTCTGTAAACAAAGAAAGAAAGCCCTCAAGGCCAAGCCACTTTTGCATGCCCTGGAACCATCTCTAAATTGATATGGAAGTTGTCCACTTCTGAAGTCCTTTTTGCACACATGCTGGCCAGCAGAGACTTTCTGGAGCACACACTTTGAGTCTTCTGCTGTTGTGTTTGGGGAGCTGGACCGTCTTGATCCTTAAATGAGTCTCTGTTGGCTGCTGGGTTGGTAACACTGCACATTTGGGGGTAGTGTCTGAAGCATTCAAAGGCATCCTTGCACTTTTCACAGCGGCGGTCCTTGAACGCTACTTTGGGAGGTTGAGCGGATGATTTTGAAGAAGGAATCTGGTTTGTTTGTCTGTGGATTGTGCGAAGTTTGACCCTGATCTCCGTCTTGGAGTGGCACTTTGTCGGCCTGCCAGAGCAGAGGCAGCTTCTCACACAGCTGTGGCAAAGGGTGCCTAGGTCCCTGCGCATGACCATGCGGAAGTTTGGCCTCAGCATTAGGTAGATGATTGGGTTGTAGATGGTGGAGGACTTTGCAAACATGGCTGGCATGGCAAAAGCCACAGGATGAATGTTCTCTATGTGTCCAAAAGCAGCCCACATAGACACCACGGCATAGGGACTCCATGCTGCAAAGAAACCGATGCAGACTGCCACACTTAGCTGACAGGAAAAAGAGAAAAACAAAGAAGTGTCACTGATATGAAGGCAAAAGGGACTAGGAAGTCCCCTGCTTTTCTTTTTTTTTATCCTAACACAAAAGGGTCGACTACATCTAGTGCTGACAAAACCTCTAGGAGACACTCCATAAAACAACCAAAGTCAGTCAAACTGCTTTTATAAAGATAGAAATAATCAAATTTACAGATGTACACATGAAATAGTTTACAAGAAATTCAGCATCTACTCAAGCTTATACAATCTTGAAAGAGGCACCTGTTGATTTAATGAAGTTATTTACATTTTCAAGCAGATTATTGTTAAGTCCCAATGAACATTTGAGCAGAGTAGTTTCAGCACACTTCAGTGAAAAGTTCAGTGAGAAGTTATTGTTTAAAGAAACAAACCAACACATTTTTGATGCTGTAGGGATTACTCACAGTTTCAGGATAGTCTATGTGAAGTTTTTTCTTTTTTTTTGTTGTCTAAATAAAAACTGAGTTCTGTGTCGGGGGGAAATCTAAGCTTTCCTAAGAGTAAGAGTGTTGAAAGGTAGATTCAGGCTTATAAGTGTAAAATCATAGCTCTTTACAGCCTGAAAAGTTCACTGCCCAACAGTAACATCAGCCAGATAGTATAAACAGTGAAACATGTTGTTTTTATTAGCCTTTAATTTGCACATCAGTTATTCCTGTAGAGCACGGTGTGTGATGGTGACCATATATCAGCATGGCAACAGAAGAAGCTTTTCATCCATCACAATACAGCCAGAGCTAATTCCTGCAAATGAGGAGCTGTATCACTGGGGGATATATTGAGGTCACTGCCAGTTTCTGCAGCAAATGGATGAGAGAGGAGCTCTCCAGAGGACTGTGGTCTCTCAGGAGGTGCTTTGATAATTTACCCCTGAACTACAGCATCCAACACCCAACCTCCCCCTCCACCAACTTGTAACTCCTTCACAATCTTCTTTCTCTGTTATTATTCTGAGTTGTACTTAACATGGTGATTTCTTTGATTATTTCCAAGGTGGACATTTAAATATAGACTGAGAGCCAACTGGTATCTCAAAAATAATGCCGGTAATAATTTGTAATTTCCCTCTCACCTTCGTAATAATTGCCTGGATGCTGCTTATGTGAGTTTGCCGCGGCGCGTGCTGCTCCATATTCTTGCGGGACGCGTTCACTGTGAGCAGAATGCCTGTGTAGGATGACACAATTACACAGCATGGAAGGATGTAGCAGAAGATGAACAGTGCCAAAGTGAAGGAGCGCGCTGTGGTATGCTGATTGGACAGGCGCCAGTCAATGCAGCAGGCAGTGCCATAGGGCTCTGGTCCGTATTCCCCCCAGTGGACCAGCGGGGAGCAGGCGAACAACAGGGCGTAGATCCAAGCGCAGGCAATGAGCAAACAGCCGTGAAGAGAGTTAAACCTGTTCCCTGTGAAAGCAGATTACATCTCATTTGAATTATCTGTGTAATTAAAAGGCAGTGTTTTTATTTATTACTCATGAGTAATTAGCTCTTTAGGTTGTTTGAGAGAGGTGTTGCATCTTGGGATTAAGACTGCAAACCAAAATCAGAGACTGCAGATGTGTGTGTGATTTCCTGTACAAACCCTCAAAGTTAGGTTCATACACTGTAGTCAGGAAATGAAGTCAGGCATTATTCGTAAATGATCATTATAGTTGCTCATAGGAAGAGTTTGGTTAAAGAACCTCTCAGTGACACTGCCTGGGAAAACACGATTCCTTTCGGTCGAATAGAGGCCCTTTTGAACTGCATTATGCAACATCAAAAGTAATGCTTATTGAGCGCAGCCCTCGGACTTGTCAGTCATCAAAGAAAGGCTAATGTTCGGTGCTTTGTGGAGGGATTATCACTGCGTTTCCAGCTACAGATAAATCAACAATCAGCCACTTAGGGATGTGATGGTTAATCCTTTGTCATTTCAACGAGATAGCTTCTTTGAAGACTTACCATAGAGCGGAAAACAAACTTTCACAAAGCACACCACGCTCAGTAAGGTAAGCGTGGTCAGACTGCAGATGCCAAACAACATGCCACAGAAAGCGTATATAGAGCACACCGTTTTTCCGTAGAGCCACCTGCGTAGGAGGGGAAGGGGGTGTGAGAAAGCCAGAGAGGACAGCACACAGAAAGAAAAGACAGATCAATGAGGTAGGGAGGTGAGACAGGGGACAGAAGAGAACTGCATTAGAATTAGACTCTGTATCCGTGAACTCAAAGTCAATCCAATTCCCAACTAACTAACTTCTTGTTAAATGAGATATACAAGGGAGTGTAATTTAAAAGCTGTGACTACTGATGTTTTTTATCTTTTACTAAAGTATACATATGTTTTAAGAGTTCCTTTCCCAGACCATTTAGTCGTTCTTTGTCTACAGTAGGTGCAGAGTGTAGTACCTGTGATAGAGGCTTGAAGTTATTGCCATGGGGTACAGGGACAGAGTCAGGCCCAAGTCACTAACAGCAAGGTTGATGATGAAGTACTCTGCCGGTTTAAGAAGGTGCTTTTTCTTGTAGGAGACATATAGTAGTGTGCTGTTTCCAAACAGTGAACATATACCTGCAAGAAAAGGAGAATTCATTATCAGAATTTTTAGTCTTAGTTAGGTAAATCTCTACTTTAGTTTCTTAAAGAAAATCAATTCCTCTATGATAATTATAGGCTATAACTGTTACTCAAATAGGCAAGTGTTACTACTTTTAAGGACATACAGAATGAACATTTTAAAGGACAAAGACAGCTCATTCAATCTTAAAGGTAGAAACATACTTTATAAGCTCATGTTTGCAGCATTGACTGTATAAACATGCTTGTTGTCTCAGTGGTGTCTGAAGCCCAACAACTGCAGTTGTCATATTGGAAACAAAGACTCTATCTAACTTTGGTCAACTTAGCAAGAGGAAAAATGTGGGACAAGGAGAGCCTAAAGCCTCCTGGAAAATAACTACTATCTGCCTTACTATATGCCAAGTCAGCAACACCCCAAATTATGCAAAACCTGTAGTCTTAATACCCTGAGAAGAAATTAAATATATATATAAAAATACCCCCTTACAGTGTGTAAGGTGATGTTTGAAACTCTTTCAAACAACACCTTTAAGTCACCTTCAAATTAACCACACTGATAGGAAGATAAAGAGTCTGACCCCTAATACATTTACAGAATAAGTATAAACATGTAACTTTAATGCCTACACTGGCACTGTGACGACGTAAACAGCTCTGTTTTTTTTACAAACCAACTCCCCGAGTTCAGGATGAAACTCCTGAGAAAAACTTTTGGTTTGTGTTGATTCCGGCATGAAGAGACGCCTCTTGTCTCTTTGCGTTTTTACTTCTCTATATATTATGATCTGACCCACAGTCTGTTCCTGATGTATCTAAACAGTAAATCATATTCCTATCCTAACTGTGAATCTTCGCTATGGAGAAGGCTGTTCTGAATGCCTCTCTGTGGCAGTGTTTAAATAAAGTTGAAGGATTTCCTATTTTTGCTCATGTTGGTCCTAAAAAGACATCTGCATTAATTTCACTGTTTTATAATCAACTTGAAACTCCTCACGGTAGCTTTAAGTGTCACACATGGACACCCCCACAGTCACATGTAAGTTGAGCGATGAAAAATCACATATGAAGTATAGCTCTGAATGTAATGTGGCCAAAACGGAGATTACAGTTAATCTGGGAATTTTACTAAAAGTAATATGTATTTTTTTTTTTACTGCAGGGTGAACCTCAAGACTTTACGAGCACAGACCCTTCTTGTTTAACAGCTGCAACAGCTAACCCCTAACGAGGTCTGTACAGTCGTTTATGAATCTCTGATGAAGGACTGTCTGATGCAGGAATGAAATTATACAGGAATAGTAAATGTTGGCTGACATGAAAGTATTACACACACGGTGGACAGAGATGGAATTATTGCGATTGCCTTACATCATGCTGTTAATCATCTCAGCCTGAGCAGAATCAAACATGAATATCAACCTCCTTATTGACAGTATCATGATTTCTGTTAACTCTTTATCATCTGTTCAAGTAAATGTAGAGAAAATGATCTGAATTTCTGGAGATTAACTCACCAAAAATAGAATAGACCACTGCCACTGTGATATCCAGAGGGACAGGTATGTTGGAGCGGAATGCAACGTCTTCCGACAGCGACATCTGAAAATGATTAGAAAATTTTAAAACCAGTGTAAGAGGTTTTTTAACCTGATGTTTCACCTTTTATGGTGCAGATAGAAATACACGACACTGAAAAATGCTGACCACAAAGAAATCTGTCTTTGCCAATAATGTCACTCAACTTTATTCATCATTTATATAAAAAAAAAATTCTATGCAAATGCAAACAACTAAACATATCTCTATGTATCCTGTGTGGCCTCATCAGTTACATTTTCCATTCCCATGTCTTTTTTTTCTGCTCTAGCTGCATTAATCAGAGGGAAAGTGACAGGCAATAATCAATGGATGACGTGACGGTCAGTTAACAGTGGTTTAATTATAAGTAAACACCTCTTCCTCAGATCAGCCGCATTACTGAATTTACAGAAACATATTTCAACAGTATTTAAAGTTCAGCTCACTGCCAAAGATTAAGCCTGAAATTCTTTACCTGAAAAATTAAATGTTTTGCTAAACTGAAGCATTTATTTACTTTAAGCTTTTCTTGTGCCTGTCTCGCTCTCCACTTGTCGCTGTGTCTTATTGTCAGTTTAATCTGTAGGAAATGTCATATCAAAAACTACAGCTTCATTTTAATATTATAAATCGAAAACATATTCATAGTTTGTAGCCAACTATAAGTAAAAGAACAGTTTTATCTTTTTGTTTCTCAACTGGAGAATAAAAGCATCAACATATAAAGAAATAAATGCATCTTAGTGAACATTTCTGTTGTCTGGAGTTTTAAAGAAATGAAAATGTACTATAGGTTTATTAACAGTGGAGTCCAAGTTCTCCTCATGTTCCTATAAAAATAAGTCTCTTCTTCTGTTTTTGTTTTTCTCTGAGCAACTTTAGACTCTACTGTTTTGTAGTCTATCACTCACAGTACCATTTACAATTTGTTTTTCTAACTAAATTCACGCATTTCGGATAACCTTTTTAACCCACTATTGAAACAGACGACATGATGCTGATAATCACAAAACTACGACTGAACATGACAACAAGAAGTAGTTACACTTGTAAGAAATAAAGTTGCTTACCTCGGAGAATGAGCGCTAAATCGACTAAATCCTCCACACATGGAATTAGAGTCCTTGTAGGTTTCCAAAAAAATGTCTTTTTTTAACCTTTCCACTCTTGACTGTGTTTAGACAGGATGGTGTTTCAGAGAGGTTCACTCCGCAGGATACAGAGGCTCCACGCAGCCGTGTCGACTGAAGAGCACGAGGCTCCCCTAATGAGCTGGAGAGGCTTCGGTCAATTAATGACGTCAATTACACATAGTCTCGCGGGGTGACCGTTACGTCTTATATTGAATTGGCTATAAGGCTGGAAGTGGTGCATATGTAATATCTCTAAAATTAAGCTGCCCTCAGATCTGGGAGAGCACTACTGCATTTTCCTGACTTTTATATAAAGAGAGAGGGGGTTGGCATATTGGTTTTGGAGTGGGGGCGTGATTAAGTGCTGCTTTAAGCATCTCATTGTTGAAAAAAATTCATTTGTATGCATGAGCACATATGTTCTGAGACCCCCACCACCTGTATAACTGGTCCAGGTGGTCTTAAAAAACTAATTATTTTTTCTGTTATTGGAGTTATACACAGAGTAATGTGAGGTTATACATTTTTATGACTTTTCTTTTTATCATGCATAAAGGGCAACACGACTATTGGGTTATTAAGCCCATGGAGTCGGCTTTTCCTTGAAAATAACATTGAGGATTTATTTTTCTTCTGCAACCATATATATGAGTAGCATCACATTTTTTGCATCAACAAAAACAAAAAAGAGAAGTCACAACAGCAGTTACAGATGTAAAAAAAAGAAATGGAACCCCGCTGCAAAAAAAAAAAAAAAAAGAAATGGTGCAGATTTTAAAAAAGCCACAATGGAAGTTAACAACGCAAAAAAAAGTGGCGATGCAAAATAAAAAAAATAAAAAAAAATTGAAATAGGAAAACTAAAAGGATGCAAAAATAATTAAAAAAAGCACAACGGAAGTGAAGTGACCAATAATGATGATAGTGTTTTACGATTTCAGCACAGAAGACAACGGCGAGAAGACGAGCAAAGCAGTAAGTGGAAAGGTTATTGTTTAATTTTACTTTGTCCGTTTTCAGTGCGTCATTTGGTTAGGCCATGTAGTTCAGGCGCAAGTAAATAACATTTCCACTTACTTTGCTCGTTTTCTCGCTGTTGTCTTCTGTGCCTGATCGTAAAACACTGGCGCATCATCTTGGTGGTCCCCAGCAGCTCACTTCCATTGTGACTTTTTAAAATGTGCATTCTTTTAATTTTAAAGTAAGTAACTTTGTTTTTTTCCATCGTTAACATCTGGTGTGGTTTTTTTTAATTTTTTATCTGCACCATTTCTTTTTTCATTTACTGCGGGCTTTGGTTTCTTTTTTTGTTGCATCAGTAACTTCCGTTGTGACTTCTTTTTTATTTGCAGCAGTGGCGGTTCTCGGCCACCTTACAATTCAATCGACTCAACTACTCTGACTACAGATAAAACCATTTCAGTTGTCACTATGACGACAGCAAGTAAAGGATTACCATAAATCCTCATCTTGATGTTAATGATCCCCTTGTTTCCAATCAAATTCTCTTTAAGTAGGCTACCTCTCAAAATAAACGAGTCTGTTGGACAATATCAAAGTGCATAAAAAAACCCATCATGAGCTATCTCCCCACCTTCCTGTCGCATTAACATCTCCAGTGTTGAAGGGCCTGGAAATGCTCAAGTAATAACTCAAACACTGACCCTCACAGTGTAGCACAGAGAGCGATGGTGCGGGTCTGACACGCTTACTTGGTGTACATAAAAGGGAGGGAACAGGACCTGTTAAAAATATTACAGTTAATCCGTGACCTCAAACTAACTGACAATCACTATTTCTGTCTGTAACTGAAAGGAAGTGTACAGGCAGGGCTGCAGTAGATACAGATTCTGCAGTTAAAGATGTGCTGCCAGTGTAGACGATATCTGGGACACCCCCTAAAGTATACTTGCCCACAATTATAGCATTTTTCTTTATTTTATCAACCCAAGTCAACCATTTAGCATTATAAGGAGGCCAAAAGTGTATTCCAAGAAACTGCAACACATAGAGCCCCACATAAGTGAATTAGCTCTAGATTGGTATCAATTCATGTGACTGTTTTCGTCCATTCACTTTGGCATATAGACAAGTTCAGCTCTCCAATCTGGAGCCTTCTTAAAGGTTATATTTCTGAGTCTAAGTTGCACTCGAGTTGCTGTGTGGTTGTCCTGGAGCACAAAAAAAACAACAAAAAAAAAACGTGTGAATGTCCAAATACTTCCACGCTAACAGCTGCAAGGCTCGATTTTCTGCTTTTCTAAAATTCAAACCAGCACGAAAATTTAAATGTTAAATCTTTGGGGACCTTGAGGCCTGCGCACGAATTTCAATTGGAATTCCGATCATTTGTGTTGTATCTTTTCACACACCACCCACTTGTAATGGACTTGCCGAAGGTTACAAAGGGTTGAAATGGCTAAATGCAAATCTCTGCTGTTTAAGCAACAGGGTGTCAGTCTTGTGAACATCCCTCTTCTATAGTGAGAAATATTTATCCATGTCATTGTAGCTTGATGTTCAGTAAACTTCACATAGCCGGATTAAATCAATAAAAGGTGAGTCAAAAGGTACACATGAGGGCCCTTGAAAATTAATTCAAAATCCGTCTCAAGAAAAGCAAAAAGGGAACAATCTGGTCGATCACAACTGGAAAGTAGAAATGAATTATCTTCAAAAGAATTACACACACAGTTACTCTGCTTGCCACCTGCTCTCTGTCTTTCTTTCCTGTGTGAGTATAAACACACATACACACAAACCACACAAGGAAACGTGCTGGAACAAATTGAGACATAGTCTGAGATGAAAGCTAAATTTGAAGTGCAATGGTGATGTTGTAGAATTAATTGTAATGGCCACAGAGGGTAGAAGGGCATGAATGTTCACTATAAGATAAAACAGTACTAACATCAAAGTGGTCTGATGGGAATACAGAATAAGCATAACACACATGCACGCATGAGCACGCGCACACACACTGTCTCACAAAGAAAAGCTGCGGCTTCAGAGGATTAGCCAAATGCTATCATATTTTTAAAGCATTTATTGTTCATTGATACCAAATTAAACCTTTAAAAATGTCATTTTAAAGGGTTTGAATCCATCAAACATCCAGTTTAAGTCACAATAAAAAGGAACTTGCCACAGATTTTTAGACATCAGTACCGCCGTATTGCTTCTAGAGAACATCTTTTCATTTCTCGTAAGAAGAAGAAGAAGGATAATACATTTAATTAATTAGTCCCTATAGCTGTTGGCTGGTTGGAGTAACATTTTGATAACTGTTCAAGAGACTGAGAAGAGGGTCTTTATTGTTGCAGAGACAGTTTGAGTTTGGTATAATATTTAAAAAATAAGTCCTACAAAAGGATCAGATTAGAAGCTGATGGAAATTATTCCTTCCTATATGTTTGAAATGAATTAAATTTGTACACTATAGAAGAGGGGAAAAGTTCGAGTCAAGCTCTCCAGGTAAGAAGATATAAAAACTCTGGATAATAACATTTGCATAGTGGGCTGAATCGAGGAGCATGGTTATTTCGTGACTTAATTGAAATTGCCTTTTTTTTCCAAAACTGACTAGCTCGTGTCGACATGTTTATTGAAATATAAGCCCAAAGGCTTACTTAAAATGACAGTTAAATAACTTTTTTTTATACCTGTTGCTGTTTCATGTTTTCCATGAATTCATTTCATCCAGACTGCGGCTCCAGCACTGTTTTCTCTTTGTCCAAGCCTGTTTCATATATCTCTCACTGCCCCAGAGTCACAGTTTATGGTGAACTGTCCAGTAAATGCATTTCCTGCTCCATCCATCACTACCCTCACATTTTCTGCAATGTGCTCAACTCAATAGCCATGGGCACCTCTGCTGAGATAACCAGAGCTTTCTGAGGAACATCACACATTTACCGCTTGCGGGCTGGTCGAGTCTTAAGAGCCATTATATGGACAATTGCTGCATGGTTCCCCATCATATGTCAAAAATGTTTTGAGTACAACATCTCACATCTAATGAAACCATACCATTAAATGTAAGGTTCCAGCTTTATTCTAATTGTTTGGTCCCTGGGGGAGAATGGAAAGAATAATGAACGAATTATTAAGCTGATGAGGGGGGATGATCTGCAATGGGCCTATATGGATGATGCACATTCACAAACACGTGCAAAAGTCCAAAACAAACACAAAAGTAGAAACTCGAAATGAAAAACATGTGCAGATAAAGACCTAACAACTGCATTAACAGCAGACACAATGCAGATACACAAATGATGGGTATAATCTAAAACATACAAACTGTGCAAGTTAAGACTTTCGACCATCTTTAATTTACATCCTGGAGATTTAAAAATATGCTTAAGTTCAAACGTGTGGAGCCAGAACACTGTAGTCATACAAAGAATGTCTTCTGCAGGGATTTGTATCAGCGTGGGATTTGAACCTAGGATCTACAAACTGTTAGAGATCAGCGCTCCCTGTGACAATATAGGATACCACTATGCAATTGTGAAGGCTTATTTGCTATCTGGAAGATTACACTGGCTTTGTACCCAGTGCTAGAATCCAGGACTTAAAGCAAGGATCAGAATTCCCAGCCTACAGTCTGTGCCATCTGTGATTACCCCTTTAGTAATTTATTGCTCTGCAGAGCTTATTTATCCACTTTTATTTAATTTCCATTGCACTGCAATGGACGGCTAACTTTGTTTCTGCTCGCTGTCTTATCTCTTTGGGATCACTTACTCAAACATTTTTTCTCTACTTTAGAGAGTCATAACTATCCTTTTTTTGAAGCCTCTCTGCGTCTTAAAGGCACAACAATATGAGTGTAAGAAAATAAAAGCAGAAAAACATAATGAAATGAGTTGAGGCATTGCATTCAATTGGTTAAGAGTAAGTGGACTACACAAAAAAAATCAATGAGTACTCCTCCTGACCTGCTTTCACTTGTTTGCGCAATTGATTTTCAGTCACCGTCAGCCCTGTGTGGTAGGACTTTCTCATTCAGCTGGACAGAAATTCATTTCAGTAAAGACTCTTCTTTTATAAAAACACTGAACTTTCTCTTCTTGAGCGGATTCTGCAAATCCTTCCACTGGAGAAATTTTTGTCAAAATTAAAATAAGAATTACGTAATAAAAGCATTGTGAGGAATATTGCACTGGTTTCTCTTCAGGTTATTAACACCTTGCATGAATTATAATTGCAGAGCCATCATTGCTTCAGGTTCACCCATTGATCATCTGTCTGTGAAGTTGTGGGACATTTCTATTCTGTTGCAGGCAGGGGGGATTGACCATCATGCCGCATGCACTATCTCTATATTCATCTTGTAAAACCTCTTTGAAGATAGATTAGCTGTTAGCACTCAATGCTTGGTAGAACCATGAAGTCACATCTCTGTATTGACCATGTAATCTGGTGGTAATTGCATGTGTATACTAAGAAAAGAGAGAAGAATGGAGGTTTTCTCTGAAAAGGTGATAATTGGTGGAGACACTGCATGAAAAAGGTGTATGAATACTAAATGTGCAATAACAACAGTACAGAGTCAGATCAACAGACTGGTGTAGCTTTAAAAAGTAAAACTATACGTAGATCTTGTAAGGTTAACTACGTAAAGACAGAAAAAGATGTATAATTTCAGTTAAAGCATCAACAATTGTAAGTATACTGAGCTGCAATGTGAAGAAAACTTCTTGCAAATGTTTTTGCAACACATCCCAGATAGTCAAGTACCAACTCTGACAAAGCACACAGCTTTTGGGGTGGCCAATCAGATTTAAGTGGGGCATGTGCCACCACTGGCCACCCCACTGAACATGCCTCTGCAGACAAACAGAGTAAGCTGGCTCTGTAGTTACCAAATCAAGGTTTAGGCCTGAAAAACAAGCTGTATATTCAAAATTGCGAAATCAAAACTGTATGGATGAAAAAAAAAGGTAATTTGACCAAAATAATGCGCATATGATATATCTTTGGAGTTTTAAATACCTACCCTAAAGCCGTCCATAAATTGCACTCTTCCTGGAGCATGGATGTTGCCTCAACTTAAGTGCCGTTACACCAGAAACAAGCAGCGGGAAAATTCACTGTAACAAACAAACAGGTCATAAATTACTCATTTGAATTCAAAACCACCATAACAGCCAGAAATGAAGATCTTAATATGACTGCAAAATGAAATGTTGTGTTGGCTGGTTATCGGCCAACCCATGTAAACATGCACCCTGTCCCCAATAATGATCTATACGCCAACTTGAAAACATGAATGCTGCAGAATTACGGTCAGTTTGTGAGCATGAGATCAATGAAAACGGTGAGCTTGTTATTAATGCGGTGGTGGACGGGCTAGAGTCTTGCTGTGTTGAGACACTCACAGCAGGACTGATCCGAACAGCACAGCTGGTAGTACTGCTTATGAGCGCACTGTCTGCAAACACAGGGGATCCAGATCATACTTTGAATATTTATTTCACACATTTTCTAAAGGTATGAAGACAACGTAAGGAATGTCAATGAGGGGGAACTAGCCTTGATATTCAAATTTTGGCTCAATAGGAAGCAACAACAAAAAAAAAACATGCATGTTAAAGCTGCTGTTGTGAATTTTTAATTAGTCAATTACGCCTCCCATGAAAACAAAACAGTGTTTCTCACGTCTTTCTGCACAGTTAAAAGTGAAAAGTTCTCTTAATAAACCCTGCAAAAATGAGTGCTTTTAAAGGCCATCCTTTTGGCGATTGCGTTTACCGTAATTATCCCAATGCATGTGCACTTAAAATTCTTGAAAACTTGACACAAGTTCACAGAACTCAAAAATTTTATCTTAAGGTCACGTCGTGAAAACTTGCCATTATCACAGTGTTTTAACTCCCTTTGATGAAATCAGTCCTTTAAGCTGACACAACTTAAAATATTATGTAGTGCTGACAAAAATTAAGAATCCTTTTTTTACAGTGTGGTCTTGTCATCAGCCTTGAAAAGTAAGGGATAAAACTACTAAATACACAGTCGACAATGTTTTCCCTGTCTTTTTGCTTTTTCCTGTCAAATAGAGACATCACTCTTAATCTCAGTCTTTTCATAAATCAGATAAAAACTCCTAGGAGCTTTGGGCAATCAGAGTCGGATGTGTGTTTGCACCGAAACATCTACATCTCCCCGTCTCTTTGGTTAATAAATCCCTGTGATCTAGTTTTCATCCTAGCGGCAGCTGGAACATTCAAGTTTCTTCAGGGCTTCCATAAAAGGAGAGTAATTCCTTGTATGAGCAGCAAATTTTATAGGATAAGGTCCTATAGCGAAGCAGCAACTCACTTTCAATTAAACCCCCCAGTTATATATCCTATTAATATTTTAAAAGGTAGCATGTGAAGAACCAGAGGGCAAAACTCAATGGAAACATTCCACCTCTTGCAGCTGAAGCCTATTCATCAGTTCAATTATGAGGTATGAGGCTGACACTCATGTGGACCTGTTTTTTATTCTTTACAATAAAATGGATGACTCACATTGTGAACAAACAGCCCTGATTGAGATTCAACTACAGACTGAACAGCCCACTTGAACCTCAGCGATTCCTTTAAATGAATAGAAAATAAGGACACACAGGGATGAAATAGATTTATCACAAGATGGGTTTTCTTGTAAAAATTAAAAGTGCTCATCCTTTGTGAAGATGGTTAGCATTGGATATGTCTTCAGGACTAATTCAGCACTTGAGAACATGGCCCAAAAACAGTCTCTATGGAAACCAAATACCCTTTAAGCAACAGCTTCCCCCATTTACACCTTTAGAAATCTTTCCATGTATAAAATTCCTATATTGTCGCTGAAGGTGGCCGCTTTCTGACATATTTGTATTAAATCTCCTTGAAGTGCGAGTCCTAATATAAATAAGGCCACAGCCTGAACTTCATCAGTTCAGCCCCATTACTTACATCTATTGCATGAGCCTGTCTTATAAGTAAAATAAAGCAGGTGCCAGGAAACGTCAATAAGTAATCACCACAGACCTAAATTATGGTACCTATAAACCACCAAAGTTTGCATGATGCCACAGCTGTGCTTGTTTTCTTCTTCTTTGTCCTAGTTCTTCTTCTCCTCTCAAAGGCACACTAAATGTCAGCTTCAAATTTAAACCTTTCTAGTATGAGAAAGCACTGTTATGCTTCACCAACCTGATTTAGTTTTGATTTCTTTATCTTTTATTTGCATGATCTGATAAAACCTTGTAACTTACATAACCTTTACCTGGACTGAGGGTAACACAAAAGTGTTTGTGTGTACATGTGTGCACATCCAGATCCAATACAGCAGGGAAAAACAGCTCTTTTGGGATTTTCTTTCAAGTGTTAAATCTAAGAAACACTATGATCAAGAAAGAGGTGCACTCTTACTACTGCCACCTGCTGGACAGTTTAGATCTCAGTCTAATTGTGCACACTGTAAGGGCAAACTGTCTCTGTATATATCCTGAACTGTCACTTGTATCAGGTATCTGTTGCATTGAAGAGGTATAGTATATTGAGGCCTGGGTGCACATGTATATTTAAATTATTACACCAACTTGTTTTAAATCATGCTAAATGCTTAATAGAATTAATTTTAACTCAAACTAATCCACTTTAACTTATTTTAACCAATTAATAATTAAGGTACATTTCAAACTTAATATTCAAGGTTATGGTCCATTTAAATCAAATCATTTCACTCTATGATGGCTAAAAACTACTAGTGTCTAATCCACCAGTGCCGCTGTATTAGTTCGAACACTATATTTTAAATGCACAGGGCTTAAATCATCAGTAAACATCAACATTTTAATCTCTCAGTCACTAAATAAAAGTTATCTTATTTGTTAATTTGGTTGAAATTAAAGTTTGCTCACCTCTGGCGTCTCTGAGGTCTCCTTGCAGTGATGCCACCAAACACTCCCTCTGTGTAACAAAAGGGTGACACACCTGTTCATGAGCCTCTTGATTGTCTCAGCCCTACCATCCCCCACTCTACCTGCATTTGCTGCACTCTACCTGGCCCGCTGTGGCTCTCTAATGGGAGAGACAAAACTTCTGCAATATAAATTCAATCAGACACATTAATGCTGATAAAGAATTTCTCAAGACCGTCCTGACACAAACATACATATTTTATAAACTGAGTTGATTTCACATGCTCACTTTGTCATCCATATTAACACAAAGAAACTGTTTGAGTTCAATATGTTTAGTATTTCTGTCATCATTGCCATCAATCACCGCAATGTGAGCCCATTAGAAAATAATAAAAGTAAAATAAAGGAATAAAAACTTAAAGAAAAAAGATAAGAAAAGAAGAAGAATTGTTGTAATGATACAATGTGTATAATTTAATGTGTGTAATTTATTGCTGTAAATTCGATGGTATCAAAAATGACCTTTTGTTGGATGATTTTGTCTTTTTGTAAATTACACTGACATCTTATAAACAGATGATGTTCAATTTTCTCCCTTTTTTCTAAAAAACACACATCTTTGCCAAATGGTATCCCACTTTAATAACCCCTGTTAAAATGGCTTAACATGGACAACATAACCAACAGACAGACCGTCTTCACATTGTCTGTCGCTGTCCAAGTCCACTAAACTATTTGCAAAACAATAAACTTAATCGCAGTCTTTAAAGATTAAGCTGAAGCTATTGGAAGCTCTCCAAACAAGTTTATGTTCTTATTTGAAATAATGAAGCAAGTACACTTGTTACAGCTGTCACTTCTAACACACTCATTATTGCTACTCTCACCCAAGCTAATGATTATCCATGGTTTGTAAGGAAACACTTGTAATGAGCTTTGAACTGCATACATTTGATTGATTTATAGAGAATCATTATCTGTGTTTTTGCCAGGAGAGAGTAAGTAATGCAGCACTAATACTGCATATACTTGAGGTTTCAGTGTAGGTATTGAATTACAAATTAAGAGAAAGGCGGACTCAAGAACTGTAATTGTAAAGTATTGTGTTTTCTGTATGGACGTTCTTCTAAATTGACCTATCAGAGACAATATGCTGCTACTTAAACATGTATTAACCTCCTGTCTTGTGCATACAGCTTATTTTCTGCGCCTGTCTTTGAGGCGTCTCTGCAGCATATCTGCAAATGTGTAAAGATTTGTTAGCCGATAAGAGAGAAGACTCAAGTAATTGTGTAACTTGTGTAACAAACTTATATGGCTCTATCAATTATCAACTCATGTTCACATGTTTTTCAATATTTTATTTCCGTTTGCACCTGTGCACAACTTCTGCTTTTGGAGTGTGGCAGTGGCTGTAACCGTCACTGTCCCGTTAGTAAAGGATATTTCAGGACATGGCAGCACAAAAACCTACAGGTTTACTTATTCTTCATGTTGTTGTCCTTCTCTGTGGTTCCAGCCTGAGCTTGGTGAGAAGTTGAATAATTTTGATAACTCTTTCAGTTTAGTTTTTTTATTTGTAGATTAATTATTTCTACATTTCTCCTCTTTTTTTGTTCAGCCCACAGCAAAATTATCAGGTTTGTGTTTGTTTTTCTCTAGCAAGACATGGAATTATCTTATCTATTTATGCTTTTGTTGACTAGATTTTAATTCTCTTTATTTTCTATTTATAAATACTTGGCAGACTATGATGTAGACGGTGGACGAGACCTTGACATCTTTGACATCAATGAAGGTATATACAAAGAAGGTCTGCTCCTCAAGCTTATAGATTATTGTTAAGAGATGTTTAAAAACTTATTTTCCTCATGCTTGGTCTCCACAGAGGCAGGGCTGGATCTCGTAGAGGGAGATATTGTGCTCGATGAGGTATACCTGTTGTAATTTTACTTGTAAAACTGAGCGTTGTGGAGTAAAGTAAAGCCTCGATGCATGTGTTTTTTGTATTTTTGATGGTTGCTTCTATTCCCACAGAGGCAACCCCGTAATTCAATCATAGGGGACGAGTACAGGTGGCCCAAGACGATCCCATATTATATGGAAGATGACTTAGGTAAGAGTGTCTCTTAAGTATAAGATGGCTAACATGTGATTTCAGTCTTTCAACTCTAACTGCCTAACACCATCTTCACCAATATCTTTCCTTCACCATCAAAACCATGTATTTTAATACATTGCTCACATGTTATCGCAGTTATACTAATATGTAATTCTATAATACTTCCATTCGATACCTGTCTACCTGGTGGAGACACTGGTATAGATGTCTTTTACAACGCGAATGTGTTATTTTATTAAGTGTTGTGTTTGTTTCTGTTTGTACTTCTACTTATTGCTTCAGGTCTGTCAATAAAGTATCTCTCTCTCTTTATAATGATGTAAAACGGACAGGAATCATTTTGTATTTTGAAGTATTTTTTTCTTAAAGGCACTGTAAGGAGTTTTTAGCTGATGCTGAAATAATGTCAATCTTGTTCTGATGCTTCTTCACGACACGTTGTGTAAATTAAAATGATTGGCTACAATATTATTTATCGATTTAACCTTAATTTTAGTGCATGTGTCCAGATCATATTTTCTGCAAAAAAGTCGAATTATTTTTCAACATTCACCTGAAAGTAACTGTGTTTGGTTGGCAAGCAGGGAAGGTCTTGTTTTCTTTAGATTTTTGTCTTTTTGCAATTGTTCTCATTGCTGACACTGGAGCTGGATTGGCAAAAAGCACTTTCTTTGGTTTAAGTATTGCTTGTAACAGAGACACTTTACAATCAGGGTTTGGCTGGGCAAAAGAGCAATGTAGCTAAATAAAGGATTTTATGGATTTATGGGTTATGGCGGTGACTTTAGCAAACTAACAAGCTGTGATTCATCAGAGTTTGATAATCAAACAAAGCTACAAATCAATATACTGCCTCCTCATTCAGCTTCCAACAAAAAGTTAGTGGGAAAAATAGCGTTAAAAAGAAAAATGGGTTTTCCCTTCATTTGCTTCAACAACAAATTACAATGGATGGTGGTGCTCATGGGAAATGAAGTCTTCATTTAAGAAAAAGTCCATCTATTTAGTTCAAGGAGTCACTAATTCATCACAAAATGAAGTTTCTTTACTGTTCCTTTAAATACAGCAGGTAAACGTTGATAAGACTTGCCTTATATGTTTTGTGATTATACAATTTTCAAGTTTGGTGCATTTAAAATGTGAACCTTGTGGGTGAGTTTTCAACCTAACCATGCTTAAATAACTCAACAGAGGCCTTTTATCAACTTTCCCTCTGTGATATCAAAAATGAAAGGGAATTTTGAATAGACATGATCAACTCTAAGAACTAAATTTGCTTCTTTTCTGCAGAGATTAATGCGAAAGGTGTAATACTAAAGGCCTTTGAGCAATATCGTCTCAAGAGCTGCATCGACTTCAAGCCATGGAATGGAGAAGCAAACTACATTTCTATCTTCAAAGGAGGCGGGTGAGACAAAAAATAGACTTTCATGGTTCACGAATGGAATTATAAGCTGTACTGTGTTAGAAATGAATGTGAATGAATTATGCAAACTACAAAGAAAGTAAGTCAGTACATAGATTTCTCTTTGCATTTCATGCTTATCAAAGCCTTGTTTTTCTTCTCCTACAAGATGTTTCTCCTCCGTTGGAAACAGAAAAGTAGGGAAGCAGAGGTTGTCGATTGGGACCAACTGTGATCGCATCGCCACCATTGAACATGAGTTTCTTCATGCTTTGGGTTTCTGGCATGAGCAGTCCAGATCAGACCGTGATGATTACGTCAGAATCATGTGGGACCGCATCTCAGCTGGTACTGAACTTCTTACTGTTGGACTTTAATTAATTGAAACATGGCTCATTCATGTTCCTACATTTGATCCATCGCTTTATAGCATGCTTACGTCATGGCTTCCATTTACATGCGTGAGTTTATAGGCTATAGCAACAGCATTTACAAAATAACATTTAAATAAGCTTTGACAAAATTCCCATTCTTACATCTTATGTTTGGAGGTTTGTGAGCACTTTGAGCAGCAGTGGATTTATTGCTTGTGTGATACGCATGTGTTGTTTGTTTATAATCTTAGCCAGATAGGAAGAGCCACTTCAAGCACATCGAATGTCAGACTTTGTGTCATAGCTGTGTTGACCTACGTGTCTCAAACCATTCATTTAAAAACCTATTTGATTGCATTTGACTTGACTTATATTCTTGTTGATTGATGTGTGGGTGCATTTATGCTGAAGTCAAAACTGATGCCTCCATATGACCTATGAGAGTAAATAGGACCATCAGCATTAAGTTTTATATAATATTTATATAAACAATGAGATTTTTTATTAGATAACATTTACTAACTCTTGCAGAAATCAAAGTAGGGTCTTGTTTACAAGCGGGGCCAAAACCAAAAGTTTCTTACAGGAGCTTTAATCTCATACATGGTCCCTAACTTCCCTGTTTCTTGTCTAGGTAAAGAGCACAACTTCAACACCTATGATGACACCACTTCCAGCTCTTTGGGTGTACCCTATGACTATGGGTCCATGATGCACTACAGTAAGAACGCCTTCCGCAACGGCACAGAGCCCACCATCGTCACCAAGATCCCTGCTTTCAGTGACGTCATAGGCCAACGAATGGAGTTCAGTGACAGTGACCTGCTCAAGCTACATCGCCTCTATAACTGCAGTAAGAGTCAACAACCCACACCCAAATATTGTCTTTATCAGTGCGAGAGGTGCTTTGTCAGCGAGCATTATCCACGTTAAGCCCTCATATTCATTAGTGTGTTGATATCTACAGTCCAGTAGTTGGTTTATCTCCTGAATTTCTGTCACATGGAAATGCAGATAAGGAAAGCTTCCTCTGTTTATAGCAGTGCAAGGTCCAGTGTGTCTGTTTATGTGTTTATGAGATGTCTTGTAGCCCAGGGCTCCACTTTCCTGGACTCATGTGACTTTGAACGAGAAAACATCTGTGGTATGGTCCAGGGACCGGTGGACAAGGCAGACTGGGTCAGGGTTGACAAAGCAGCAGGAGGGCCGGACACAGACTACTCCAACATGGGAAAATGCACAGGTGAGGATCAGGGGTGGAAATAAAAACATGGCTCTGGTGGCGTCTGAGTTGTGAAGTTGCTTATTATAATGTTACATTTCTGGTCTTTAGGCTCAGGGTATTTCATGCACTTCAACACTGGTGCAGCTAATAATGGTGACACAGCCCTTCTGGAAAGCAGGTTACTTTACCCCAAAAGAGGATATCAGTGTCTGCAGTTCTTCTACTACAACAGTGCAGGCTCCAGCGACACACTGAAGATCCATGTCAGAGAGTATGACAGTGCCAATCCCAACGGGACACTGCGCTTTATTAAGACCATTGATGGTGACTCATTACATTTACTCTCAACCAGTTTTTTTAATGATTGAGTTATGCAGGAACTTCCTGTCTGATCGTTGCATGTTTTGACTCGTGTTGTAACAGGACCTCCTCAGGATCTTTGGCAGCTGCACCATGTGAGTTTAGACGTCAAAAAGAAGTTCCGTGTCGTCTTTGAGGGGACAAAAGCGGCTGCTGGGCCTTCATCAGGTGGACTGTCTTTGGATGACATCAACATCTCTGAGACCACCTGCCCAGAGTTTATATGGCGTGTGAAAAACTTCAGCAATGTAATGGACACCACCCCTGAGGACACAGCTATCTACAGCCCAACCTTTAAGTCGAAGGAGGGTTACAGCTTCCAGATGGAGCTGTACCCAAATGGGAAGGAAGGTTATTCCGGTGAACTGTCCGCCTATGCTCATCTGGTGGCTCGGGAAGGGGACACTGGTCAGAAATGGCCCTGCCCTTGGAAACAGATGACCATGATGCTAATGGATCAACACCCGCATATACAGAAGCGAATGTCAAACCAGCGCAGTGTGACCACTGACCCCAACATGAAGGCAGCAGGTGAGGCTAACATTCAGTGTCTAAATCAGGAGGAATTTAAGTAACTCTAACTGTGCAACACTGATTTTTGCTTTTGCTCACATCCAAACAGGTTCTGACAAGTTTTTCTGGGATAATCCTCGCGACGTGGGTGTCGAGGTCACAGACTCAGATGGGTCCAAGTATTTCAGAGGACCAGGTGCCGGGACTCCAGTGTATCTCACTCACCTCAGAGCCAAAAGCAGGGACTTTATCAAGGGAGGAGATGCCATCTTTCTGCTCACCATGGAGGGTAAAGAAACAGATTCAGCATCAGCTCAACAGAATTTGATGTATAATGTTGTTTTTGCAGATATTAAAGATAGAAGTTTTGCCTTAAAGCTTTATACTACTTTATAAGTATGCTACAAACTCATCTCCAACACCATGTCTGCCAGTAAAGCATGATTGGTCCCATAATACCTGTACTCACTCATCAGATCACTATCAATCACTGCCTGTTCAGTACATGCTCACTACTCGTCAGTTGTTTTCCCTCCAACTGGATTCGATTAACCCCTATCCTTTTTGCCTCCCAGATGTGTCTCATCTGACAGTGACACAACCACTGCCTCCCACAACCTCACCAACAACCCCAACATCACCAACATCACCAACATCACCACCTGACGTCTGCCTTAATGTGGAGTGTCTGAATGAAGGGATCTGTATGGAGGATGAAGGGAAGGCTGCTTGCAGGTATGTGATCTCTGATTGGACGTTTCCAGCCTGTGAGGCTCAAAAAGCAATACATATTTTCACAATCAGCTGGTGGGAATTGTTCCTGTGCATGAAGAGTTAATCCTCCTGTTATCACCTGATTTGGGGGATCTAATTGACAAACCTCAACTCTTGGTTTAGAGGTTGTGACCTTGCCCTGTAGAGCACAAATGCAAACATCAAGCTGAGTGGGAGGCCTGTGTTGGCATTGTTAGCATAGCGTGTTACCGCTCTGTATGAAGGCCTTTGACAGAGCATCGATCTGTCTGTTTATTTAGATAAATAAGTTCCAATCCATTCGCCATCCTCACATTCCATGCCTGGACCGGCGATCTCCAGTGACTGGATCTGTCTCTCCCACTTTATGCAAATCAACTCTATTCAAGGGCTCTGTCTGTTAGAAAAAAAACAGGCTCCATGTGACGGTTGCTGTGGATACATGGGAAAGTGTGCGGTCCATAATGGGGCCCAGCACACATGAGAGTACACGCTACCAGACCAGTGTGGGCAAATGCCTTTCAGACCACCTCAGTATGTGGACCAAGTGATCAGATCTTAGCACACATTGATGACTTTGAAGTGGTTTTGCCAGATCCAGTTATGCTTGGTGTAGACAAATCTTCAAATCACTACCTTTGAAAAACACAAATTAACACAAACTTCTCAGATCCTCATACAAACCATTCTATTTTAATTGGGGTCTCATTTTTTTGCTTAAATCTACTTTTTAGTGACCCTTGACCCTGTAGTACTGTGCAGGTTACATCTGCTATCTGTTAACAGAGCCAGGCTAGATGTTGTCCCTTGTTCCCAGACTTTGCGCTTACCTAAGCTGACCACCTGTTGGTTGTAACAGCAATAGGAGTGTTTATATTCTCTTAGAAAGAAAGTAGGTGCGTTTCCAAAATGTAGAACTGTTTCTTAAAGCTCACTCTTTGAAAAAATGTTAGGAATATTGTTTTTGTCAGTGGGTTTATGAAACATTTGATCCTGAGAATTAAAATTTAACAGTTCAGTAGTAAATTTATTTTTCATTTCATCCTCTTCATGATTACTTTTGATAACTTTGCATCACCTTTAACACCATTTAAAGGGATAACCTCCTATTTATCGTCTACCTTGCCTCCTATTTTTCCCTCTCTCTCTCTCTGCAGGTGTGCAGTGGGAGATGACTGGTGGTACTATGGGGACAGCTGTCAGTACAAGGGCACCAGCAAGGATAAAACCACCTTGGCTCTTGCCTCCTCTCTGTCTGTACTTGCAGCAATGCTGCTGATCACAGTGGTCAGTGTCATCTGTGTGAAGAAGAAATATCAGAAGAAAAGCAAAAGCGACAGATTCGAGAGGTCAAATGAGATGACCAGTGAGAGGTTGTAGTGGGAGCTCTAAACTCTCTGATAACCATGTGAAGAAAATTTTGAGTGCAGTTTTTATACTGAAAATCTTATAGAGCAGAATAGCATTATATTGAAAGTTTAGAGTGTGAGCTGTGGGTTATGTTGTCTGACATTGCCCCCTTCTGGTAATTCAATGTAACAACATGTTAAACCAAACCATTATTATTGAGAATAAACTCATTTTTAAAAACAATCAAGTCTCACGTAAACTCTCTATACCAAATGTAAACTGTTAATGAAAATCAGATCCAAGACAGCAGGACTTATATTCACAAATTTAAAATTTATTATACCAAAGACAGGAACATCTGTGTTGTCTCTTTTCCATGTGGATATATTTGTTTGTATTACTGAACTTGACACAGTCATGCCGGTGATAACAGTTACTGCAGGAGGAAGGTGGGACTAATATTTAGTGTCAGTGTCCATGTTTGTGTATTTGTGTGTCTGTGCATGCAAAGATCTGCCTGTTAGTGTTCATAAGATACAGTGATGACTACAGGACATCACAATCAAACAAAGTGGAGCAAACCATAGCAACTTTGTGTAGTACTTTTGCATGGAATGTTGGGTTTTCTGACCTGCAATTGCACATATACATTTGTATGTTTGTGTGTAAATGTGTGTGTGTGTATGTGTGTGTGTTTGTGGGAAATTTGTGGATCTACTTTGAAAGATAAAAAGGGAAAAGGGGGTGACACCTCCATAACAGCAAACTCTTAGCGAACCAAAAATCCTTCCCACCTTTAAAACCTCCACCGACATACAGGTACGCAGTTCCTTTAAAAGCATCAGTATACAACATTTCTCTTATTTACAATCATTGGGAAAAAAAATCACCATTTCTCTCAGAGAAGATTAGTAAAAGTGACTGAGTCACCATAAAGAGTATGCAACTCCTAGGAGTTAGTATTCAAAATTTCTACAAAAAATTTCTATGCCATTTTACAGGCCAAGAGCCATGATTTACTGAAGAAATACAGTATTTTTAAGTGCCCTATCTACAACAGTTAAGTGTGGTATTACTGGTGTACCATTCGACATAGTTCACTGATAATAAAAAGATTATGTGTCTCTGTTTTTAAAAAGTTCTTTCAGCAACTTCACTGCTTTCACATTAAAAGATATGGTAAGTTTTTACAAAACAAACAAACAAACCAACCATGGAATTGTTATCCATATTAACAAGTGTTGTGGCGAGCTAATGCTATTGCAAAGAGACAAGTGTTGATTACATACTCAGCTGGTTGTCTAATGTAAAAATAAGTCTGTGTGTCCAAAGTCTGTGAAGGAGGGCACAGCCGTGGAGCTGCGTCCACAGGCTTTGAAAAGAGGGTTCAGTTTCATTAAAGGGCTCATTTGCTTGTTTCATTCTAAGGGTTGTTGGGTAAAAATGGTCGGAGCAGGTTACAGTACATGGTTCTTCGAAGATGAGGCTGCTGCTGTAGAGCAGGGGAGGCCATTTAGAAAAAAAACTATGATCGAACTTCTTCATGTGCGTTCTTGCAGCCATCCTGAAGAAACGTATGTGTTTGTGACTGCAGAGGGGAATTCGTTAGGGCTCCTGTGCACGCTGCAGTTAGGAAGGAGATGAGGCTGTAGTTGTTGGTGTTGGTGGTGGTGGTCTTGTTCAGAGAGGGGTGTCGTAGTAGTCAGTGGGCTGATCACTTCCTGGTGGCTTCTGCTGTTTTTGCTGATGCTGCTTCATGATTTCCTTCACCTCTTCCTCCAGCTCAGGGGGGATGATGAACTGATCATCGGGGTCAGGCTGGGCTGGAGCTGTAAAGTAACCCCCTGACTTCTTGGATGGAGCATCAGCAGCCACCTCGATAAGGTTGTGACTCTTTTCCTGCTGCGCCACTGACCCGTTGATCCTCCTCTTGCTGGTTAACTTTCCTCCTTCCCCACCTGCGGCGCCAACTCCCTGCCACGATTCATCCCTATCCATCCCATTTTCAGCCTCACCTAGGCTCATGTCGATGCCCTCCTCCAGGGGCTCTGGTGTGCATGGTGGAGGAGGAGGAGGAGGAGGAGGAAGAGTAAGCAGGTTACGCTCCTGACTAGAGGAGGAGGGTAATGATGTTTGGGTTGGAGAGGAGGAGGAGGAAGACTCTGCTCTGAGGCAGTGGATGTCTGCCTCCACTTCAACGCGGCTCCCGTTAGAGAAAACCCCGGCGATGGGTTCCTCATCCTCGCTGTCGAGCCCGTTGTCAGACAAGGCGCTGGAGAAAGTGGCGCTAGAGAGCTGCCTCTGGAAAGATCCCGCCAAGCAGGCAGGGTGGAGGGCACAGCAGCTGCGGGCAGAAGGCAGCTCTGCACCTGGAAACAGGTACTGGCAAGGCTGGGTGTTTGTGTGGGCCTGCTGGTGCTGTAGGGATATCGAGTGAGCCTGGTGGTGCAGGTGGAGGTGAGGATGGTGAGGCTGCTCGTGCAGCAGCACTAGAGAGCTCTGCGGTGGCTCATCAGACGAGGCTGTGGAGCCCACCTCGCTGCTCATCTCACTGGTGCTGATCTCGCTGCTGATTTCACTGCAGGAGGACGGCGGCACAGGCAGCGAGCCATCTGAGGGCCGCTCCTTGATGACGGAGGACGATGGGGGGTAGGGGCCCAATCCGGGGCTGGGAGGAGGCTGGGGAGGCTCTGAGCAGCAACATGAGCAGCAATCTTCACTCACACTGAGTTGGACCACGACAGCGCTGAGGCTATCTGTGCAGCCGTAGCCCTGCGCCAGCGTGCACAGCTTCTTGGCAGCAGCTAGGCCGTCGGGGACGTTTCTTACAGCCTCCACAGCCTCTGTGGGAGACACGGCATCCCACAGACCCCGACTACCCAAAATGAAGAACTCATCCTGGGGGGTTAGAGTGACTGTTTGCACGTAGGGACAAGGAATGACTGACGGGTAGAGGAAGGAGTATCCCATGATTCGTGTAGAATCGGTCACACCGTTCACCTTGTTGTCCTGTGGACAGAGGTACAAACATCAATCTGACATCCTACAAACAGAACTGGTTTCAGTGCGCTGTGAATGATTGAAGGATCTCTACCTCAGTTATGATAGCCCGATGCTGCCTGATCCTGCGGTATTCTTCCTCCAGCCCAACATTTTGTAGCAGTGACAGCGACAAAGGCTTCCCGTCTCGGCACAAGATGGCCTGGCACTTGCCCACATTAGCAGCAGTGAGGGTGAAGCAGCCGCCAGGGTCAGTGGGGTCATGGCGGATGTGACACAGAGCAGCTGAGCCACCCAGTTTCTGCCCTGCGGTTCCCAGTTTTCTGTGGTGGCAGAAGAAGAGAGGAGAGATTGTAAAAATTCTACTGTCAGTCAGCTCATCGTGCAGATCTGAGTTTGTTTAGTCTCGTACCTCTGCATGACGAGGAAGGTGTTGGTCATGTAATCCTCCTCGCTCTTGGTCTTGTGGATTTCCTCAGCCAACACGTCATTCATGGTGCACTGCAACAGGTAGGGCACTTCGACGTTCCTGTCCCCATCAAACACACCGTACAAAGCCTCTCGACTCCCACAGAAACTATTCACCGACAGAGCTGCGACACAGAGTCTGCAGAGGAAAAACAAGAGGAAGTATACTATCACTGTTTCACGCTGGGAGGGAAAAAACACACTCTGTGAGGGCTTCAAAGCCATTTTACTCCTCTTTTCTTGTATTGATCATTCTACTCCACACACTAATAACCATGGAGATAATGCCTTCTGTGATTTATTCAACTCCACAGCTGAATGTGCGTCATCAAAGCAGCCTGGCTGATTGAACATCTCCTGGAAATGCAGACAGAATATGTGCAATCTGCTCTTTAGCGTGCACATTAAAAGAGTCGAATCGCCAACCGAGCTCACAGCGAGTTGTTTTGGCATGTGAGTACACATGATTCATGTTTTCAATAAGCACTGTTTCAATGCTTCCTCCGTTTGAGTCATCCGGCTTTAACAATGTGAATCCTCAAGAGGTTTGAATTAGTGAAGCCTCACCGGACGAGTGCGATGGTGGGTGTTTTTTTTTCTTTCTTTTTTTTCATCATTGACTGAATTGAACTTACTTGTTTTTGACGCCCGAGGCCTCTGTGTAACCATGACTCCACACAGCAGGCCCACCAGATGCCTCATTGGAGAAGGTTGGAGGCGGATCAATACGGAAGCAGCGAATATTACTGAAAGACAAGGAACAAGAAACATATGAAAATGACTTGATCTCACCGAAGGCGAGACACAGGAGCGGAGCGGCTTTAATCCTGGAGTAAAAGGTCAGTGGGTTGATACAAAAGGCAGTTGTGTGAATAAACTTGACAATTATAGCAGTATCTAACACAAAATGATCAAAAATCAATAAATAGCTGCACTGAGAATTTAAAAACAGAGGCAAGTTAAGTGTTTTTATTTTTTTTTCAAGAAACAGAGCAGTCATAGTCCCAAACACTTTATCCGTAACACTGTACTTGATGCCTATCTCTATAACGCATTATAAATATATGTATAATGCGTTATAATCACGTTATAGCACTGTATAACTATAGTTATAAACACTCATAAATGATCATAAAGATTTATAGCAATAATCACAACACATTATAAAGCATTTTATCAGGACTTACAAGGTCAGGTATTATAAGGTGTTATGCTTATTGTTATAAAGCCTTTTGATAAATAACAAGTGTTTATAATGATAGTTATACAAGTTGTTAAGCAAATTATAACACATCATAAATATATGTATAATGCATTATCTATGTGGGCATTGTCAGTGAGTTGTTGACAGTTGTAACATATTATAATACCTGACCTTTTAAGTCATGATAAAATGCTTTATAATGTGTTATGATTGTTTCTATAAAATTATGATCATTTATGAGAGTTTATAGCTATAGTTATACAGTGTTATAATGTGATTATGATGCGTTACACATATATTTATAAAGCGTTAAAGAGATAGACGTCAAATAAAGTGTTACCACTTTAACTATAAATATCTATCAATTGACATACTTGAGTTGTTCGAGGGTCTTGTGGTCCAGATTCAGACGTGGGTTTCCGGTCAGGTCCAGTTCCTGAAGCTTGGGAGGCAGATTCTCCGGCAGGGTGATCTCACTCAGTTCATTACAGCTCAGATCCACACACTGACAAAAGACAGGAAGAGATGTGAGTACAAACAAACAAACAAACAAACACAGCTCTGAGATCAGGGGCTCGTACCTATACTGTAAATAGACAAACACAGAGATGCGGAGATGCGCTACTGCTGCTACTACTGTCTTACTTTCATCTCCATCAGCTGCATGACCTCTGGAAAGACCTCGATGGAGTTGGAGTGGGCGATGAGCGTGTGCATTCGCCGGCAATTCATGATGGTGGTGGGCACAGTCTTCAGCATGTTTCCGCTCAGGTCCACCTCCTCCAGCTCCTCCAGCTTGGCCATTTTACTGAAGAATGAGGGAGAAGCATTGAGCAATTTTAGAACATATCGATTTATAAATTAGTCAATAACACAGAAAATATATTGAGGATAACGCTCCACGTGTTACACAGGAAATCCACAAAATTCTCTTCATGCTTTTAAATCGGTTCATGAATCATTTTCTAATTTGCATTTTTGATTTTCTATTGTATCAAATTAATTATATTTAGACCATAAATCTGTCCGTGACGGCAGATCATTTTTCATTCAAGGGAGTTTTTGGCACCCTTGAATAAGTTGGCCAATAAACACAGAAATACCAAAGTTATAACATGTTTAAAGTCATTCAGATTCAATTTCTTCATAAAACTTTAACTGCTAAGTATTAAACCAAATTTGTTATTTGTTATGTTTGTGTTATTATATGTTCAAAAATAAACATAAAAACCTGCTTGTAATTTCTTATACGATGATTCAATAATAAAAGATATGACGATTAAAAACAAATTGTTGAAAGGAGCAAAAAAAAAAAGGTGTTATTTACCTGGCTGGAAAGGTCTGGAGATGGTTGTACGCCATGTGCAAAACACGTAGGTGTGTGTGGCCTGTTAGCATGGGCACACACTTGTCTGTGAGCCTGTTATTGGTCAGGTAGAGCTCCTGCAGGATGCTGTGGCTCTCCTCTGATAGGCTGGATGGCGGCAGGTGCTCCAGTTTATTGGCCGATGCATTGACACACCGTAAACTGAGTGGAAAACAAAAGGACAAATTCATGACTGCTGCAGAAACTAATTGCTACATGAATTCCACATTTTTTGACCTTGATCAAAACCCCCTCCTCTTCCCCTCTTTATCCTGATTGGTTGTTTTTTTTCACTTTCATCTTTGCCCTTGAGAATCTTTCCCTCGATTGTAATCTCGTTCCTAATTTCCATACTCCATCTTCAAATGGTTTCATTTTCCTAACGTTTAATCTTTCCGTCTGATGTCTGGCCCGTCATCTAATAAAAACAACAAATCACTTCCAGCTGGTGATTAATGCTACCTGTCAGATTTGAGGAACAGGTTGCAGGGCAGCTCCACAAGTTGATTGTGCTGTACGTCTAAAACCTCCAGCAGAGGGCGCTCCACTCTTTCAGGCAGCTTCTGCAGCTGGTTATGTCCTGCACCCAGCTTCCTCAGACTGTTGCTGCATAACAACCTGCGGCACAGGGAAAAACACGGATACCCCGGTCAGAACTGTGGAATAAATGGAGACATGTCTGTTCCTGTAGAGGCGTAGAAAGGTGAGGTTGTGTAACTGGACAGAAATAGGGAGAGTTGGGTATTGGTAAATAGCTAAAACAACTAGCAAACAGATGAAATGAATTCTTCCTCTCAAGCAAACTTGACTATTCACTAGAATATTGATGGACATGGGTGCTTATTGCAACAAAAATAGGGATGCAAGACTAGAAAAAAAGCACCACTTCTCATGGAGCCGGCAACTGGAATTCACAGATGAGTTAAAAACACATCTGCACAAAATGAGGAGAGAAGAAGAAGACAGAAAACTACGATAAGAGAAGCAGAAGGAAGGAGGTGTGACAGCTTGTGTGAGACAGAGACAGCGGGAGGAAGATGCAGCATCTGAACTGACCTTCTAAGAGGCTATATAAAGAGGAAGAGAATGGACGCAGGCCACAGAGGTTACAGGCTATCTGTGTGATTTATGGGGCTCTATGGGGGATAGATGACTGGCTGGCAAAGGGCAGGGAGAATAATGCAGCACTGTAGTCCATTTACAGACTTAGGGACACATCCACTGAGAGACTTACCGCGCAGGGAGCTCAGTGAGGAGGTTGTGGCTCACGTCCAGGACTTCCAGTTTCTTTGCTTCACACAGCCAGTCAGGCAGGGACTCCATATGGTTCCTACAGGAGCAGAGACAAGGATGATAAATTATGTGCGGTTTGTAAAGTGAGATACCGAACATAGAATATAAAATGTCCTGGGATGTTTCTGAATTCCCAACAGTTCTGCTCTGGAAAAGTGGGAGGCGGCATCTTCAGTTCTGTTTTTTCTTTTTTTTTGGCAATATTTCAGATGCTGTTTATCAAGAAAATGAAATCTCAGCTTCTAAAAGATTAAAAACATCAACCTAAAGTTAATAAAACTCAGAGAGCAGCCTTGCTTTCACTTGCTCTGGTTGCCAAAGGTGAAATGTCAGGGTTCAGGGATAACAACTCTGACATTTCGACACACTTTCAAAGATTTGCTCGCAAAATATTTGGCTCTGAAGCTGCAAGAACTTTATATCAATTTTACTCTCCAGGACAGAGAAGGTGCCAAAAACAAGCTCTACACTTTTTCCAATCAAAGTTGTGTTGCCTTGTCTGTGTGTGTGGATTTAACTCACCTCGAGATGTCCATGTAGCTGAGATTGGAGGGCACAGGAGTGACATCGAGTTGTCGTATCTCTGCGGAGAGAAATCCAAACACATTAACCTACAGCAAGGACAGACGCGCTCTATTACAATCGCAGGTGGATGGGAAATGGAGGGAAGCGATAGGAGTGGAGGGAGGGGGATGAGATGACAAGTTAAAGAGGTATGATTGAAGAGGGACAATCGTACTGCGGCACTGATGAGGAAGATGGATGCTTGTAGAGAGAGAGAGAGAGAGAGAGAGAGAGAGAGAGAGAGAGGTATGGGATGAATTGAAGGATGAGAAATGAGAGGTATATGTATGGTATAGATTCGCAGAAAAGGATTCAGTGTCAGGAGTAGTGAGCTTGTGCTGATGTGAGAGAAATGTAAGGGGATCTTTCTCTTTCAACCACACTGTTGTTGTCAAACCCACCGTTGTTGGAGGCGTAGATGCCTTTGAGCAAACAACCCTTGGCCTTGAGGCTGGTGATATGGTTCCTCTCGCAGTGCAGCACCTCCAGCCTGGGGAACACTGAGGCGTCCAGCTCCGTCAGCCTGTTATCCCTCACATCCAGCTGGGTCACGTGCCGCAGCAGGTCAGGCTCATCTGGCACCATGCGGGAGATCTTATTCAACCTGACAAGGGGGGAGCAGGGAGGAGGCAAAGGTTCAGCTCCAATTGGATAAGGTTGAACTGCACAGGCTGTGGCCTTTCTTGTAAAGCAGGGAACACGCCTCAGGTGAGGGCTGATATATTGTGTAGGTTCTGGCTGCTTTGTGGAAAAGTGAGCTGTGAATCTGTTGCACTTGGAGGAATTTTATGTCACCTAGTAATGATATCTGAAATGATCCAGCACTGAATTCTTCATTGAGTTTTTAGAAATCTCCTGACAGTAAAGCAAACAGCCAATCATACCCGTTCACAGCTTGTCTTGATTGGCAGGTAAATGACAAAACACCTTTGAAGTCTGACAGTGCTCAGCATAAATGAGTACACCCCTTCAAAGTTGTCAGAAAACCTTCAGTTTCCTTTCAAAATCAACATTTTCTATGTCAGACTTCACAACAAAATACTCCTTAAAACATAGGCCATTAATTGCAAACAAGATTTTTAGGTTGCATACAAAAAAGTATTTTTTTCATTTAAAATCAGGATGCAAAAATGAGTACATCCCAATCAAAGTTCTGGGAGCAGAGCTAAATTTTAGTTACCGTATCACCCATATTTTCATCTAATGGTGAATAAAATGTGATGTTAAACTCAGCTTTGTCAAAACTTTGCTCTTATAGATATTGAGTAATACATTAGTTTTAACAGGGGGAGTACTGACTTATGCTGGGCACTGTACAGTCAAATAGAAAACTACTACAATGCAATTAAAATCCTGCTTTGTCAGAAAAGTTAAGAAAAGAAACCAGCTCAAAAACAAAGAAACTCTACACTAAAAATGTGCCTCATTTAAAAACTTTGTTTCCATATTTTCCTTTTCTTTCTGTTACTTTTTAAAAATCTGTTCATCATTTTGCTTTTGATGAAAACATCCATCATTGTATCTTTGTGAATATTTTTATCAGTGTCGTTTTATTTGAAGATGAGACAAGAAAACTAGCAAATCAAAACGTTTTAGAGGAAAAAGGCGCTATTTTTTAACATAATACAGGGATTATTTTTTGGATTAAAAGTTAAAGAGCCAGTAAATCTATCACAATTATTCAGTCAATTGTTCAGTTTATCAGCCTTTAATTAAAAAAGCAGCAGTGGCATTCAATAACAAATAATCTAGTAAAACTTGCATTGGAATATGTTAATTATGACTTCTAATAAAAAGACAAACGTTTTTTTTTTCATGTGTTATCTTTAGTTTGCACATTTCCCACAATTTTGCAGACCACATGCTTGATCAATTAAAAACCTAAAAGATTAAATAATCTCATTTTTTAGCAAATCTCTTGACACGTTTTCTAATTAAATCTTTTAGTGTGATGGTAAAATAAAAACATCAAGGGGTCTTTGCTCACACAGGTGAGAGGGTTGGAGAATGTATTGACTGACCTTGCCTCGGCAAAGTCAGAGGGAGTGAAGTATTAACTGGAAAAATAGTGCAAGTCATTGCAGTTCTGGGCTTTAGCAAACAGTGGTTAGACACCTGATGGAGCTACGACAGGCAAATGATTTCCTGACTGCGTGCTGTCCTGCTGTCTGCTTGTGTTGTGGTTTCCTCTTTGTGTTTTTGTTTCTATCATAAGCGGGATAACATGTGTCAGGGAGGGCATTGCATAGGATGAGCATGACTAAGGACTTCAAGTGATGCTTGTTCTCAACCATGACCCTATCGTAGTCTTATACCCAGAAGAGTTGTACCTTAAATCGATGTGTTTGACTCTCAGAAGTCTGAAGTTCTGCAGGGTGAATATTTCTAAGTTGTTCCCGGCCATGCACAGCTTCTCCATGGTGGTCAGCTGCTCCAGCACCTGAGGCACATGGCTGAACTGGTTGAAGGAAAGGCCCAGGTAATTCAGCCTCTGGAGGGAACCCAGCTCATTGGGCAGATCACCTAGACTGTTACCGTCCAACAGGAATGTCTGCAAACTGAAGGAAACATGCGAAATTAAACTTTTGACACAGACTGGCATTCAAAAACTGAGGCTTTTCTTAACTACACAGTGAACCAATCAGTGATACTGTGCCTTAAGAGACCTGTTCAAAATCAGTACATTTATTGTCCAGCAGATGGCAGTAGCAGCACAAATGCCCTACTGGACACTTGAGGAATTTACAGGCATACCAGATCATTCCTGCAGATTAAAGTCTCATCCAGCCATGTTTCAAGCTGCATACCTGTATGCTCAGTTTCAAATAAGATCTGAAGCACACAGAGCAACCCAAATGTCAGCACTGACAAAAGGGCTCCTGTAATCTCTGTATTCCCTGCTGTCACAGTGGGCTAAATTAGATGACACAGTGCATGAATTTTCATGTTTTGGACCCTGATCTGAATTAATTTTGAATATTATTGCAATTTGCTGACATTAATCTAAAGAGTATGCAGGTTTTTCCACAGACAAGAGGGCTGATATTAGGGTCAAACCAAAAATACAACGCTCAGAGGATTCCCATGAGAATAAGTAAAAATGTTTTTCTGGCTGGTAATATTGTTTTTTTATCGTCTTGAAATGTTGTCCTAGAATTAAAAAAACAATCTGTGGTTTGGTCTTTGAGGTAAACCTAATAACCTCCAAACCATCTGAACCATCTGACATAATCCAGTCTGGACTGTAGTGTAATTTGATTGGTCTTTAAAGGGACATCAGTAACTCAATAAAATTATAGGTCTTTAAGGAAAATGTGAGATAATCCGTCAAGTTTGTGTATGAAAAAGCCGAAGACGAAGTGGAAAACTGGATTCTTTGCAACAAATCAGCTCATAAAAGCTTAAGTAACAGGACAAAGAATGTGTAACTAAAGGTTTGAGACAGATGAGTATGCAATTAAATTTATAAACGGAATAATACCCATTGATTCATCTAAGTTTATCAAAAACTTGGGCCCTACTCAGGTTACTTACTTGGTCATTGTTCCCACAGAGCTGGGGACACAGGCCAGGTAGTTACAGCTGAGGTTGACCTCCGTCAGCGTGGTGATATCACAGATGGCCATGGGGAACTGACCAAGGTGGTTGTTGGATAAGTTGAGGCTTCGCAGCCGAGAAAATCTGTGAGTGGAGAAGCAAAGGACTAATGAGAAGAAGGGAAAGTACGGGGAAAATCCAGATGGAGAGGGTAGAGATGAGAGCAGAGCGAGTGATTGGAGATGTTGTATCTTGTCAACATGAATATTTTAAGAGTAGGAGATATTCATAAATATATTAATGGATATATTTGCAGGCAATGTAGCAAAGTATAGCTTACAGAGAGTTTGTTTAAGTGTTAGATTTATCAGCCATAAACAAAGCCCGCCTTAACGCCAGGACTAAACCTACACATGTGATCATGTGATTGTTGAGCAAACAAGCGCAGCATTGATGTCTCTGTTGTTCATTCAAACAACAACCAGTGGCATTTGGCGAGGTGTCCTATGGCAGGCTGGTGACCTTCAGAGGGGTTAGTCCCTTAAGAGGGGGAGGGGGGGACCTAGCTTAATAAAGGACTCTCTCAGTCTTTATTTATACATCTACACACATACAGAAACACATGCAACCTTTCTGTCACCTATCACACAGAGAGAGAGAGCAAACATGACATACCAGAGACAGGCAGTGTGCCATGTTGGAGCATCAGGCTAAAGCAGCTGCTTTTACTGGCACAACTTAAATCTCCTTCGGATGTACACACACACATGTGCTACACACACAGGACACACAGTTTGTCATGGTGATGGATAAAACAGCAACAGACACGTCAGGGCTATTGATTAGGATGGCTAAGTAATTCTAGCTGAGGGTGACTCCAGGCGGTGTGTGTGTGTGAGTGTGTGCGTGTGTGTAAGGAGGATAGGGGGGTTGTGTGCAGGAAAATGTCATTCCAACCATTAAATCAACCCCTGCAATCTGCTGAGTAATGCTCATACCCCCTCCTCGGAGCTGTACTTCTCTGTGTCATGCTGTCCCGTCATGCCATTTTGATAGTTCCTCTTTTACTTTCCTTCTTATGCATTAAAAGCTGAACTCAGATTTTTTTCCCCGAAAGATAAAAAGACGAGGGATCACTTAAAAGGAAACAATTTTGACAATAACAATTAGCTGGTTTCCGTCTTTTAACTACCTAGCAACAAATGAAAGATACAGTTACTAGAACAGGGGAATATAACAGACAGAGCTACGGTCATGTTACAAACCAAAGAAAAGAGTCAATATTTGACTGAAACGAGTCAGGTGAACAAATAAAAAACAGAAAATGAAAGTTCAGGCTGCTGAGTCACCTGTATGAGTCAGCAGTTGTCGAACACGTTTACATGCTAGTATTATGTTTTTGTGTAAATGTCCAAACAATGTGAATGAGGGTTCAAATCTGCTGATCAATGTCTTTCTGAACCACAACGATCAATTCATGTCAGAGTCTCTGCAGGTTTCAATAAGTCAAATTTAAGACTTTTTAAAGACCGTAATGAAGACAATTTCAGACCATTTAACATCCACATGGCAACAAAGTACAAAAGATGCGAAGGGAAATCAGAACATTTTACATTACTTCGAATCAATCTTTATTCCTATGGCACGCTGTTTTATTTGTAAGTAGAGTTAGCACATTTTTAAGACCTTTCAAAAATCACATTTAAGACATTTTATGAGATTTTAAGAGAATTTTACAAATTTCAAGGCCTTAAATTCAAATGATTGGATTTTAGACGTTTCAAGACCCCGCGGATACCCTGCCATGTGCACATATTGGAGCCATTTGGGATGCCAAAATCCTGAATATTCTTATTTTATGAGGCGAACAGACACATCACTCTAAATAAGTAATCGCAAAAGTTCCTTTGTGTTCGCTGGATGAGTAAATAAGTAACCGCTCGCAAACATTTCTCACATCTATGTTACAGTTTTAGCTTCTTTCACTTCCACCAAAGAAGTGAAGTGGGCTAATATGACTTTATCCTTCATGGTTGGCCTTGACTACCTGCTTACATCTCAAATTTAGTGTTTATGCCACCGCCTCCCTTTTTTTTTCTACCTTCATTTTCATAACTTTAATGTCCTTCATAACTTGCTTAGCTGTCGTATCCATATGAAAATAAATAGGCCAAAAGGTTCAGTCATATGCATGGAGCATTAAATATCCCCCATAGTGAGCACCTCTGTCTTGCGAGAGAGATGCATGCTGGGAAGAAAATCCCATGCCAGAGGATAGAGCTAGTATCCCAGACAACTGATTATGCATATCTGATTGGCAAATCACCCACCAGTTAGCATTTGGCCACAGAGAGAGAGAGAGAGAGAGAGAGAGAGAGAGAGAGAGAGAGAGAGAGAGAGAGAGAGAGAGAGAGAGAGAGAGAGAGAGGCATGTGTCAGGTTCACACATTCTAGTCCTCTTGGAAAAATACGAAGCACCCTGACCCCGTGCTAGATGTCAGAGAGCGCCAGTGTTTATACTGCAACCCAAACAGACCCTCGCACAACTGTCCACATCAAAACACACACACACACACACCCACATTCACTGAGGCTGTGCACAAATTATCATTGTTCACAACTGCAGGTCTTTCACTGTAGTGTCTCAGGGGGAAAGTGAGTACTCAAGTAACTCTGCTACACATTTCTGTCAAAACGCCTCTATTTTCAGCTAACTATTCATCTCTTTCTCATTACTGACCTCTTTTTCTCTCATGCTGGGTCAAATGCGGATGAGCCTACTTAGGTTTGGCAGAGCAAGAGGGATGTTATCTCGCTCGACCAGCAGGGGAGCTGTGCATCACTCCCTCAGATTTCAAAATGAGGTATTTCCCCAGCATTGTTGACTCCAGTTTTGATTTGAAAAACTTGTAAAAATCCGTCAGTGACTCAGAGATAGGGTAATATAAAAACCTAACCTCTTACTCATTTATGGTTTTCTCCCTGAAAGACACGCAAATATGCAAGATTGTACATGTGCGCAACAAATACACATTCCAGTCAGTGCAGTCATTTTTAAAACAGGAATGCCATACTGTATCAAGGCTTTGTATGCACTGACCCTAAATCTGTAGCCTGAAGACACTCTCTCTGTAGCACACAAGCAAGCAACTCTCTCTCACACGTACACACACACATAGACACTTTATTCTGCAGACACTACTGGCACATACCAAAGCATCGAATTCACACAGTTCACTTGCATAAATGGTTCGAAACATGGAGCGGTAATCTTCAGAAAGAAAGGCTGTGACAGGAGTGCACATGCACCACTGTGCGTATGGATACAAATACATGTGAATGCACAACTCACACACACACACACGTAGAGGAACACACACATACGTCTTGGCTGTGGGCTTTAATCTGGGAGCATGATAAGCATGCAGCAGATGGTGCCCACAGAGAGAGAGAGTGAGGGAGGCCAGGCACATTAAAAGCTTCCCTGCAGACGTATCTACCCCTCTGGGCTCTGGGCTCGTTTGGCCTGGCCTGGTGCAGCACAGCCCTGGCTAGCCTCTTTGGACCCTGTGCGCTCATGGCCTCGGTCCTAGACTGCTCAGGTCGATTGCTTGCAAATTGCCGGTGAAATCTAAAGCTGTCCAAAGCAGCCAGCCATGGCCCGCTGTGTCCAGTGAAGCCTCACAGTGCAAGTGTCTCGTCTCTGCCCTCCCTGTACAACAGCTCCTGTTGTGCCCAAATTATGCTAAGCTTTGCTAAAACCTCTTCAAGCCTCATCTTGCCCGACTGAGCCCTTTCAAACTGCCCTGAAACGTCTCCTCGACTCAAGCCCGTCCATCCCTTTGTAATCTCTGGCTTCCTCCTCCCACGTCCTTTTTTACGTTTATCCCCAGGTATGTTTACTGTAGGTTTACAGTGCCCTTGTACCTCTGCAGCTGCTGCAACCGCTGGTCTGCAGGCAGGAAGTTGTGTTTGAGGTTGAGGTGGGTGAGGTCCTGGCTGTAGAAAAGGTTGGGAGGAAGCTGCTCCAGGCTACAGCAGGACAGATCCACAGAGTTGATCCTCTGGGACACCATCTGAGGGAGTAAAAGTGAGGAGAGGATGCAGATAGAGAGAAACGTGGAGTTTAATAGGATTATCTTTAAGGCACATGACTACACTAGTTAGCTGTGGGTGTGTGTAGCCTGATGCTAGCTGGTCAAATGTCATTCAGTGGCCAATCTTCTTAGGATTATGGAGTAGTCAAGGGAAAGTCCTACAGGTTAGTGACTTAACATCTCACGTTACATCATTGTGTAATGGAGCTAACTGCAGGGTGTGCAGAGCAGTTAACCTGGCGATGATTTGCTCGTCAAATTCATGTTAGCATCTTAAATGACATGATAGCATTAACGTCGGTGTACGGGGGGAAAATCTTTTCAGAGCGGAGTTAGCTGGAGGAGCCTTTGTCACTGCGGCACGTGCTGCTTCTATCCAGGCTTCTATTCTGAGTGGCCCTCTGGGTGCGGGTGACATGCACGTCCCTGTTAATATTTAGTAAAGAGGTTTTCTGGCTATGGCCTACTTGAGTTCAAATGAGAGAGAGGAAGGGAGAGAGAGAGAGAGAGCTATGAGCGGTGTTTATATGTGTGAGTGCAGCCAGGCACACGTACATGTTTATATACTACAGAGTGGACAGCAGTGAAATATGCGCTGTTTTCAATCCACTCAGGCTGCGGCGGGCGCCGAGCCATATTTTCATACTTCAGCTTGCAGTCAGGCATGTTCTGATATACAACGCAGCTGACCCGTGAGCGATGCCCCGGGAGCATATGCTTATCCTCTCCTTTTGTTTCCCCTGCCCTCATGCACATGCACAGTCTTACCTTGGCAGCGTGTCTGTGCCAGCGCAGGTGCTCCGTGAAGCTGTCAAAGCTGACGTAGTAGGTTTGACTCTGAGGCCCTGCTGAGCTGAAGGCCAAGCAGTGGTTGTGCTTCTTCACCTCCTCCACCTGCAGCAAGACACACAAAAGGGACGTTACTGTCTGAAGTAGTCATGGGGGAGAGTGGGGTAAGATGAGCCATTTTTCATATTGTGGATCACTACATCAAGGCAATCACAGTTTTGTGTCTAACTAGTGTATCTGCATATATTTCAAGATGTTGTTAACCCCTGCAAACCAACAGAATGAGTGTAAACATAACTGTCTTGATAATATAGCATGCCAAAAAAAGTGGTTTAAGTTGAGCGGGGTAGGTTGAGCCGCATCCCTACTACCCCCCACTTACCACCCCAGCCCTCCCTCACCTTCTCTCTCACTAAATAACAGTCACTTCCTCACATTCATGTGTATTTTTATCTATTATTCACTATTCAACTGGTACAATCAGTCTTTTTATTATTATTGCATATAACTGCTGAAAAGCTGTTTTGTACAAAGTCATTTTAACATGAGAATGTCTTTATGAAAGAATACCCAAATCTTTCTGATCTTCTTTTACCTTCTTTTACCTTATGAGCCAGGTCGAGCCCTTAGGTCTTCAGAGAGTTCTCTGTTAACATTACCTGAAGTTAAAACTAAAACATACGGTGAGGCATCTTTTTATTACTATGGCCCCCGTTTATGGAACAGCTTACCTGAAGACCTGAGGACTGCACCTAATCTTAATGATTTTAAAACCAAACTGAGAACAGACCTTTTTAGTCTTGCTTTTAACAAAATTTTATATCATTAACTTTGTTGAAGTGTTTTAGCATTTATCTATTCTAGTTTTAATGGCAGGATCGTCTTTTATTGAGCTATTTTGGTGCTCTTATTTTAGTATCTTTTACTGTTGTTTTTACTTCATTTTATTTATTATTTCTTAAATTTTCAAACCTCCAGTGTTTCCTTAGCTTGAGTTTTAAAATGACGTTTCCTCAGTGCACACATTCCTGTTTCCACAAAATCAAGCCCTTTTTAAGTTTATGCATTTGAATACTGTTTCTGTTGCATTTAGATCATGGGGTGGGAATGAGGGGTTGGGCTGGGGTAGATTTGGATATTCTTTGTTTCCTTTATTCCTTTTTCTGTGTGAAGCACTTTGTGCTACATGGTTGTGTATGAAAGTGCTATATAAATAAAGACTGATTGATTTAAGTGATTCAGAGCATTCACAGCTGAACTGAAACTCTGATCCTCTCATCAGACATCTTTACTTTCTCAGTTGAGTCACTGGCTCAACTTACCCCTGAACTACTATTATGACTTTATTAGTCCTCTAAGCCAAAATGGTGGACTTTTATGTGAGGTTTTTGACCTCATGTTGTAGCTCATAGATACCACAAATGATGTAGAAAACAAATTTAAAATGATCTTTTTTGGTCTGAACACAATTCTAATAAAACTTATGACAGACTAAATTCACTTTCAAGAGTAAAAAATGTTTTTTTGTAAATAAATGTCTAACCCCTTCACCCATGTTCTTCTAACCTTCACAGACTCCATGAATTGATGCCCATCTCCTAAATATTTGGTCACATGATCAATTTCTTTTACCATTTCCAAGCAACAGAGGGTGGCTCAACTTACCCCACTCTCCCCTATCTCTGACCCCCATTTGGATATATAAACAATATAACCCCCATGCATGCATGTGGAGTGGAGGTGAAGAATTATGAAACACAGACAGAGAAGCTCGGTAGAAATGATGAACACCTGTAGAAGAAACTGTGTTTTAGTCACACATACACATACACACTTACACACATACTTGTACGTGTTCTCTGTGAATGAATGCCTGACTAGTTATGGTATATGAACAGATTCTGGCACGCATGCACTCAAGATCACCTCACACAGGCACATGCAGAAGCAGAGTGTGCATGAATGGTTGACTGGAGGTCACGCACTGTGTGGAAATGTTTGTAAAGTGGGTTTGGCAGGTCACGGAGTATCTCTTTTGTCAGGAGACTTATTCGTGCTTATTCCTTGGTGTGTCAGGAACACATATCCATAAAGGATAAAGGTCATATTTCCTTTAGCACTAAAGCGCCTCTTGACCCAGAGCTAAAAACAGAAGTAAACATCCCTGCAGATTACTGAAAACTATTAAAAACTCAGCCCGCACTGTTTCTCTGTCACCTTGTGCTAACATGAGCAAAGCTGGATGTCACGCTGAAGGACAAACAGTAGCTGAAGGTGAAGTGTCATCGAGGACAAACTTCACCGCACAGAGAGTCTTTGCAGAGGGTTATCAGAGTGACTTTATCAGGCGTTTATGAGTTTATGATCCAAAGCATTTATCACGCAACACCATAAAAGGACAGGGAGAGGAAAAAGAAACATCACATGATGCCAGGCCTGCCCTCCAGTGCTGTGTGTTACACCTACTTTTCCTCCAATGAGCGGCAGGATGTGCATCTTCCCCGTCTGGCTCTCCTTCACAGAGGAGACGATGAGGCAGGTGCCGCACAGGATGACCTGCCGTCTGGTCCAGCGGTTCACCGGTAGCTGGAGCTTCCCTTTCCGAACGTTGTATGTCCCTGACAGCTGGACCCGCTCCGAGCTCTCGATGCTTTGGGGCTTCCCTGAAGCAAAGACAGAGATTTTGCCTAGTTAGCACTTAGGCTCTGACCTCAACACAGCTCTGTTCAATTATTTGGTAAGTTTTGTAAATGGATGAGCAAACAACAGCAGAAAAAGAAAGAATATACTTTTAGTGAAAGGGTATAAGACAACAGTCTTTAAATGTTAATCACAGCACAGCTACAAGGACAACTCTAATCCAGCAGGTTTACCGTTTACCGCTCTCATTATTTAGGATTATAGTATCCCAGGTTCGAGTAACCTGGGAAGTCAGATGTCGGAGCTGAAAATGATGTCACACCTGAGTTCCCAGTGTTTCAGTTACCAAGTCAGAAAAAAGCAAAATCAGACGCCTGAAACAAGATGGCTACATCTACAAAAGTTATTTTAGTGCTTGCCTTGTCCAAATGTAAGCAAGGACAAGGCAAGCGCTAAAATAACTTTCCACTATCATAGATTAGATTTCATCTTAACAATTAATGTGAAATATCGATACTTGGTAAATGAGACGATACGATATATCACCAGACAAAATATCGCAATACTATCCTGTATCGTTTTTTTTCTCTCAACCCTAGTTAACATTGTTTGAAACTTTGACACAACTTTTCATGACACTCAAACAACAAAAATAATCTGAGGGTTTCATCAGGATATATCATCAGGGAACAATAAAAACATATGAGGATTAATCTAATTGTGGATTAGAGAAAGCGCTGACCTACTACTAGTGGTGCTGAATTCAGACTAATGGGCTCCAAAGACACTCCTTTGCCATCTTAAGAAAATGAATGTCTGCACACAAGTTTACAACAATAAATGAACAGATATTTTAGTCTGCACAGCTGCAAGCATGGTTCAAAACAAATCTCTGCAAGCTGGCAACCATATAAATAATGCCACAAAGGGAGCGACATACCCACAGTGGTTAGGAGAAGAGCTTTCAACACAATACTGTTATAAAGCAAGTCAGCACAAGAGCTCAACACACTGTCAGCCGAGAGGTTGAAGAGTCTGGGTTTGCTCTCACTGCAGCTATACATTATAATAAGAGTCTCAGTTTCAGTATCAGGTGGACCTCTGCTAAAGTTTGAGCTCAGCTTTACCCATCTGTCCAGCTCTCCTCCATACCCTGTTCCCTCGCCTCACAGCCAGCCTGCCAAACCTGACAGTCAAGCTGCTTATCAGGCGTCCTGTCAGCTAGGTAGTCTTATCATACTGTCTAAACATCCACCTGCTTTCTGTCGACTAACACCTCCACAGAAAACTCCCCACAGTTGGAAAGCCCTGTCCTTCCTCTTGTTTTTCTCAGCTTCCAGTTTCTCTATGCTATCTACAGTTATGGTTTAGGTTTAGCCTCCATGTTTTTTCCTCCATATTTATGGCATGGTTAAGGAACTTTTCCACTTGAAGTGACAGATGGCCTCAGAAAATGCCTCACATCCTGTGGCCTCCTGTAGCCTAGCTGTATCCGTCTCGCAGCGCATCTTTAACACTTGACTCCAGAATGGAGCAGCAGGGAGGTGGAGGTGAGTTAAACAGAGGAAGCAGAATTCAGTAGGGTAAGCAAGTGTGAACTCACAAATGCCTCCATGGCTTTAAATAATTAAGGTCTCTCACATGCCAACTGTAGTCGAACACAGTGGAGTACTCTGCAGCACGCTTCTCTCGTCCAACACACTCAGCAGAATTTAATCATATTCTGATGTGACCAAACCTGAGGTCATGGCAATGCATGCATATATATTTTATTCAAATGACCGCCATGAAGATACACTGAACTGGATTCACCTCTAGCAAGAGGCAGACTTTTCAACGAAGTGACGATCATATCTAAAAAAAAGGGAAAAAAATAGCACAGCCACTGAGCGCTGACCTTTCCTCTGTGCTGCAGGCTGGTCTTGTGTTCACAGCAGAATCAATAGCCTAGTTTGCAAAAGGATATTTGCTTTGACTAAAAGCTGAGTGTGTAGCATAACACACTATTGTTAAATGTTGATTATGAGTCATGTTTGACAAAATCGAGGGCTGTCTTTGTGTAGTACAACAGAGGAGACAACACAGACTGAGGAATAACAACCTTTGAACAGCTGTTAAACTTACAAACTTAAAGACCCACTCTGATGACAAATAAATCGTGTTTTTCTTGTTTTTACATGTTCATATGGTCTTTTGCCTGATGCTACAGGACATATCATGAGAAAACTAAGCACAAAATTGCATTTCTGAGTATTTCAGCATTCAAATCGCTGTGAACTCCTAACAGACCCAAATAGCAGATAGATTTCCTATGTCATAACTCCAAGCTCCGCCCCCAGAGCCCCACTATGCAGGCCACACTTGGACAAGTAGAGGATGATCGCGGAATAAGTGTGTGTGTTAGCAGATTGCAATCTTCGTAAGAAAGCTAATCATGATATTAGCTTTTATCATGCCCCCAAAGACATTAGTGTCTGAGAGTTGAATAGCTCCTATGTTACTTGCAACTCCTACGAAACCGACAATGGTAGGCTGAAGAGTGAGAAGAGCAGCACTGTCTCCATCCACGACTCAGAGGCAAATTTGCTAATGAGCTACTGGAGCTCTGCAGAAGGAAATCCTTTGGAAATGACTCAGGTAACGTGATTTTTGCTGAAAACTTCATAACAACAATTTAAAGACCACTGAGAACACTGTAAATTGGGACTTTAATATTACAAACCAAAGTATAGCGCAACGTTGCAGATTAAAAAAGCACAGATGCAACAGTGTACATAGCAAACTCCAAATGACACTTGTTGTTCTTGCAAAATGAACAAAAATAAATGTAACATCCGTTTATTTCCAAACACATCCAAGGGATTCTGTCAGAAAGATGCACAATTTTCTCAATTCAAGTGAAGGACTATTAATGGATCTGTCTCAAGGCGGTTGCAACTTAAATTTGATCCCACAATGGCAAATGCAGCTCACACTGTGCACAAAGCTTTGAAGCTATCAAACTATAATGTAAATGACTTTTTATGTAACGTAAGCACATTTCCTTTTAATCATTTCTCTCTGTGCACTGGCAGTCTGCCTCGGCTTCACAGCAGTAATCAAAAGCTGGCAATCATGCATTTGGGATTAATATGGATAAATATGTTTTAATGAGCTATCGGGATATGAAAGACGTCTGTAATATGGTGTCCTTAAAGTGTATTTAAAGGTTTAGGAATTTGATGAAATCCCAAGTTTGGCAATTTCCTAGAATAGGAAGAGACTTGTTTAAAGGTTTTTTTTTTTATGTTGTTTTTCAGCTTTCAAACTTTCCCCTATCTCCCCTGCACCCCCTCCCCTTCACAGTTGATCTACTCTTTCACTTAATTGCACTCTGGTAACAAGTGGAGTGAGGAGGGAGTGATCACGACTGCAGGTTTTATCTCTCTTTAAAGGGTCATCATTACCATCCACTCCGAATGAAACACTATTGAATCGCTGAGTGTTTGTATTATTATGAGGATGTGTGTACACTTGTGTGTGTGTAGTGTAAGAGCTGGATGGCTGTGATATGCCAAACTTTTTTGAGGGATATTCTTTGGAGAAAGATGAAAGAGAGAAGAAGAAAGTGGAGAAAATTGCCGCAAGGTTGTTTTTGACAACTTTGGTCCCACTTTCACAGTTTGGATCATAATTTCCGAAGAGTATGGTGTCATTTCACGGACCGACTTCCTCGCTGATGGAAGGTACAGTAGGTCAGGCAAAACAAGACCTTGGTACAGAGTGCAAAGGACAAAAAACACAATTGCACTGACACAGAAAGTTTTACAAGGCAGTGGACAAACAAAACAAGCGCCGGCTTTCGTTTTCGCTTTAAAATGAGTGGGTCAGATAAGTGTGCTAAACTGGGGGCTTGAGATTACTTTAAGAGCAAACACAGAGAAGGGTGAGATAGTGGAGCTGTCAGAGGGTTTAAAATTTAAAGGGAAACACTACCAAGTTCCTAAAACCAACCAAAATTACTCAATTTGGATTTGTAGTTTAGAAAAATTATCTTATTTTAATTTCTGAACCCAGGTCAGCCAGGAGCCATCACCCGCTTAACTTCCTCATGTGATATTAAACCAATAGTGAAACTGAACAGACTGGTAACCCCTTTCTAACCTGGCTGGCTGGCAGAGGTAACCAGCAGGCGCACATTTTCGTGATCTCGCCCGGGAAAGGGGGGTCTGTGTTGCATTAGACAAATTATTCACGAGCTTTTAGCCTCAATATGTCACATGGGCATATTCCTACTATTTTTAGGCCTTTTGTCAAAATGTGCTCTCTCCCACACAAGCATATGCACAAACACGCACACACTAACTACTCCTACTCCACCTACTCTTTGCCTTGCTCACATCTACCCACACACACACACTAAAAGACACACACACTGACATAGTGACAGTGATTAACCATCTCCATATGTGAATCCATCTAATTGCCCCCCATTGAATGTTGATAGACTAAAAAGAGGGAGAGACGCTGCAGAGGGAGAACAATACAGACAGACAGATTGAGTGGGCTGCTTTAGTGGTGAGAGAAGTTTGAAAGCTCCTCCAGTATATGTCACCCTCTACAGCCATCTCACATGGACGTGGGATGACTGCATGGAGGCTAATGCTTCTGTCTGGCTATGAGAACGCACGGCAGAGGAAGCAGGGAGATGGGTGCGACTCCCACGTGAGCTTCCTGTTTACAGGGGTGGGTCGGAGAAAAGCAGGATCTCTCTGTAGCAATCCACTGCAAGGAGGAAATTATAAGAGACAGTTGCTATTTTCCAAATATTCCACAGGCAGCCTACACCAGAAATATTTTGAGTGGCGCTGATGTTAGTCATAGTGGTCATCCCATAATCCAAGGGTGATGTGAATTTAAAAATAATAGACAGGCACTGCAAGGTGGGTGTGTTCATGTGCAGAAGTCATGGACTATTCTTGGACCTACTGTATGTAGGAGCCGGAGTACTACAGAGTGAGTGTTTGTGATGGTTACTGGAGATGGCTTCCTTCCTTTTCCCCAAACTCAGGAAAGGAGTGTTTCCGCTCGACACTAGGCTCCAATACCCATGTGTGTGCACCCAAAACACACACACACACACACACACATCAATACATAAACACTCCTTAATGTGAATACTTTCCCCCGCAGAAACTAAAGGGAACAATCAATGTATGCGTCAGTGACACATAAGGGTTTGCATCATGAGTAATTCAAAAATGTTTTAATAAATTGTTTTAAAAGTTTGGATTAGGTTTGCAAACATGTAAATTTTGTATCTCTGTTGGTTTCGTATAATTTCGAATAGCATTTAAACCTTTTTTTACAAAATGAGTGTTGGATTTCCCTTGAAAATGTCAAGTGGTGTAACCAAAACAAAAGGGTAAATATTTAATACTTATTTCCACCCATAGTGTATGCAAGTGTACTTATAAAAAAAGTGACTTAATTTTAATATAGCAGTTGAAAATACATTTTGTTAGGATTTTTTTTTTTTTACAATGAAATTGACTGCTTGTATCGGGACACCCCTATTAAACATCCATGAAACACGCTTAAAAGAAACTTTACCCATTAAAAAATAATAATAAAAAATAATAATAATAATGGAAAAATAATAATAAAAACTACTGTTTAAATTTACAGGAAAATGCCTCCGACTAATAAGCTCTAATGATTTGCATTGAAAAGAGGCAGGACTTGACAACGATCAAATTGTACTACACTGAAACTATCTGAGAGTCTTGCAGTGTCAGCATGTTGTATGCACCTGCAACAATACACTCCCTAATAGAGATATCCATTTATACAAAGCATGCACGTGTAATTTCGCTAACAGCCTCGCTCATTCCAATGCCAGTATCCGGTGATAACATTTCCAATCCCAGGCTACTAAACTGCGTCCCACATGCCCCGCTGCCCCTGTCATCTATCATTGTTAGTGATCAGCACCCAAGGCTGGTCTCCCTCCATCCATCTCCTTTATTTAACAGATCCACACTCCTTTCTTCTGGCTCTTCCCAGTAATAACAAGGACACATCCCTGGTTAATCATGCTGCCCTGCTGAATGCAATCTGACATCAGCACACCTCCGCTACAGGACCGGGCAGGCCGTACCGTAGGGCATCAGTGACCCACATAAGTCACAGCGGAGCACAAGCATGCGTAGATGCCGGCTTGCTCATACTACTATAGGGGGTGACAGATGTGATACACTGGATGGCAAGATTGCAGGACTTATAAATGCCTCTAAGCCTACACCGGTCTTCTACAGAGACAGCTTCTTTTGCTTGTTTTGAGAAGATGGATCTTTTCTGAGGCGTCTCATTTAAGATGAAACTGTTTGGAAAAATCCATAAAAAAACTCAGAAAATGTTGCATAAACGAGCTGTCAGCTGGTAATGTGTATCAGTTAAAACAGAGCAGGCGAGACTTGATGTAAGTTGATGGAGAAGGGATATAGAAATAGATGTAAGACAGAGAGAAGCCAGATGTTACTCTGTGACATAAATAGCTACACTGTCCTCCGCACACATGCAGACACACAATGTCAAAATGCATCTGCTTAAAGATGTGTGTTTGCAGGCGAGGAGATCTACTGCCTCTTTGCCCAAATCGCTCAACCCTTTTATTTGTTTTTGCATCTTTCCTCCCTTTTTGCTTCTCGCTCTTCCTCTGTAGATGATGTGGGGTGATCCCTCAGATCCAAAGTGACAGGCCGTGTTAAGCCAACTGTCTGCTCAGGCGGCAGCCGGCAAGCCCTGCTAGAAGGTGGCAAAGGCCACCAAGGATGATAGGCTGCTCACTGCCCCTCACCTCAGTGCTTCACATCTTTCTTCACATTACTCTCTACCTCTCTGCACCTTTCACAGCCACACACATGTTGAGCTGTGGATGTGGGAGACTTTCAGGGAGGCCGTTTAGATCTCACAGTTTTACAGTTTCTGAAACAAGTGCAGCTTAATTAGCAGCTCCTTAATGCTACAGACGTCCTCACTAAAAGTTCCCAGATGTTCTCACACAAATGGGTCCACAGAGAGAGAAGGGGGCTGCCTCCTGCTCTGGGACTGCAGGGGTGTTGATGTGTGAAATGTGTCAAGCTGTCCTTTGTGTAAAAGTGATAAGATGATGAGGTGTGTGTTTGCATGGGAAATGAGCGAGATGTTCGAGCATTATCGCTGTAGGAGAGATCACATTTGCACATGCATGCATCTGTGTGTACTTAGTTTGAATCATGTTTACCTTCACTTTACCTTCAAGAGCAAAGATGGGAGCTCTGTGCAAAGGTCTTTAATATTTTGACTGTCAAGGAGGCAAAGAGTCGAGAGTCAAAACATCAAACAAGGACGGACTTGGATGGTTTGAGTTTTCGCAGGTGGTGGTGTTTAGGTTTTCAGATGGCTGTACCAGACTGACACTTACACTGACATATCTTGAATTTCACTTTTGGATGGATTACCATAAATACATATATGCTTTTGTGGTATCAGTGAATCTCTTCTGCAGACATTTCACTAGATTGCGGTACTCATATCTCCTTTCGGGTTAATAATAATTATTTGGACTGATTTAACAGCAGTGCAGATTTTTTAGAAAGTATGATGAAGTTTTAGAAAGTATATTTGAGAAAAGTCAATTCATTCTGGTTTATCTGTTCTAATGTACTGTAACCAGCCACCAGGGGGAGCTCCAAAAGTTATGGTTTTGAATTGTTTTATCTGTGGTTTTGTACAGTTTATAGCACCGACATCGCAGAACTGACAGCAAACTAACTTTTGCACCTGCCTCTGTCTAACATGTTAGCTTTCCTGTAGGTACTATTTATTTATTTTCGTAGACTTACTTAGACTTTTATGATATTATAAAGGGATTCATACAAATGTGCTAATGGTGTAAGTATCAAACCACACTTTCATCCTGGCTGCAAACTTTGGTCTTGAAAAATGAAGCTGATAAGGATGTGATAAAAACTGCAGTTCCTCAAATGTCCACTCGAGGCTGCTGCAAAGGCACCAGAAACCACATACACACCCAGTCGAAAAAACAGAAAATCTTTGAAACAGCAAAAATAAACATGTTTACAGTCTGGATTAGGAAACTATATAAATCTCAGGCTACATTAAGTTTTGGACAAGGCTGTCACAGTAAATTGGAACTGATGGCAACCGTTTCTAAAAAAATCAAAAATATTGATATTGTGCTTAAAATAAGCATACAGTATTAAAGTGATTTTTTTGCAGTGGTTCACTACATTGGCTATGTCTTTCAATTAAGAATAGCTGACTGCTAGCAAGCTAGCTGTACGGACCCACTGAGACATGATTTGACACTCTGACAAACTGAGTATAAAGCATAGATTTCAGCTAACTTTATCATTCCTGATCAGAAACTTGTAAAAATCTATAATCTTCTATCAAGTACAGGAAAAAGGGAAAGGCCCAAGAATTGACCCTTGAGGGTTTCCACATGGCTGAGGGAAGGGCAGAGGACATTACAGAGTTCCCAAGTCTGTCTGAGAAACACGTCTTGTGACCAGAAAGACTTGAACCACTTGATTGCTGCATCTTTAAAACCCACATAGTGCTCAAGGCGAGAGATGAGGGCTGTGTGATCAACTGAATCAAAGGCAGAAGTTAGATCTAAAGGCATTTAAATGGCAGAATCACCAGACTCAAGATCATTACAAACTATTAAAATCGCATACTGTGCTGAAAAGCTTCAAAACCAAATTGATAAATCTCAAGAATGCAATGTTTATCTTAAAAAAGGCTGTATTTGTAAGAGTCCAGCATTCTCAAGGACGTATAACTTTCCTTCATGGATCTCGTCCACAGAGATGGCCACTGTTTCTGGTCTAATTTTATCGACAACAACATCAAGAGGGGAATCTCTTGAACATGATTTATTCAGCAAAAACAGCACGGACCAAACTGCTCTTGGGATTGAGTCTTTAAACCTGCAACATATACATAAAGAGTCGACTCACAGGCGCAGTCAACAGTGAAATCATGATAAACGACAGTGTAAACTCTGCAGCTATTGGACAGCAGCAGAAGCTAAGCTCAATGAGTGTTTATTTAATCATGCATGTTGTTTGATTATCACTTTAATTAATAAAACAATTAAACCTGCTAAGACTGTGGCGCAATTTAGATGGGAACAGTTGAAGTATTAGGTGCAGAATTGAAATGATCTTATTTGAACTAAAGCAAATTCAGGTGATATTTCAGGATAAGGTCAAAGGCTGTCTGCGTGTGTGTGTGTGTGTGTGTGTGCGTGTGTGTGCACTGTTTCCCGTGCTCTCCACAGAGTGCTGAGGAGAAATCCCAGCGGGAAAAGCTGAGTAGCACTGCTTTGTTGTCACAAACTGTACATCCTTCAGCTTAAACAGCATGGTGGAGGTGATGCTCCTCCTTCACCTGCCGTGTATACACTGTGATGTAGCACGAACAAGCCGGCGTGAGAAGCAAGAGGCTCAGGGAGAATATGTTGCTGTGTCACGGATGACCATGAGACGTCCCTCCATCCCCGGGGGAGAGGGTGTAGCGGATAATTAATAAGTTGATGGAAGCCCTCAAATTCTGATAGCTCATCTCGCTCAGGCATGTCACCAGGAAGGACACAATCAGACATTAACACACGCACACATACACACGCAGAAACTACACAAAACCTCCTCTCAGTCCACTGAAACACATCCTGAATCCAAATGAGGTCACAGCCTGCAATATCTCCCCCATCAAACCATTATTACCCTTTGCCCCTGGGGAGAAGGCGACTAAACAGCCCTCTGCTATTAAAGGCGATGTGCAACTCTGGTTATCAGGTCAGCGCATTACCCTCTACCACCTGTGGGGGCAGTGTGGAAATGCATTAAAGCAGGAGGGGGTGACCTGAAGCAGGATTTGTAGTGAGTTCTAAAATGCTGAACTATCCTGCTTGTGCTTTTTTTAACTAAGATTTGGCCCACTTGCTCACTCCATTTTGCATTTTTAATTTCTGAGATGACTCCACGCACAGCAGAGGACTCGCTCTACTTCATCTCTGGCTTGTATTAACCTCATACAAATCCCTGTTTGTGAAGCACAACAGTCAGAGAGAGGGATAGAAATGATGTGTAAATATGCAGCACAACTATAACTCATGCTCCCGACGGCTCGAATGTGGAACCACATTGAAAGAGGTCTCATGGGAGGTAATAAATCAAGTTGTGCAGCGATAAATCTCCAAGTGCACGGCTTATGTGCCCCCTAAGTGAAGGAAATAACGGCATCCTCCATCAGCTGTGCCGTCCTTCACACTAATGCTGCTCTGTGAACATGCTTCATCATGTAATACAATCAATATTATCTAAAAATAGCGTCCAGATACGGCAGATAGGAGGTATTTGTTACAAATGCTTCAGATCCCAGGTGTTGGCATCAATACAGAAGAGAAATCAAAGACTTCCCCCCGTGGTTCCCTCTGTCAGTGGAGGGGTGGGACGCTGACGTACGCAAATGTGTGCGCTCCCTCTTTCTCTCTCTCCCTCTCTCTCTGCTCACCCCCCTTCTTCGCGGCTCCACTCCTGCTGTTGTTATGTAATGAGTGTGTGTTACGAAACCTTACATTGGAAAACACGAGCCCACTGATCAGCTCGCTCAGAGAACACACATCACACATACACACGCACACTTACACACACATGAGCTTTCAGAATTGTTCTCACCCCCCCTACCTTGGGAGTGAGAATGTTGTCACTGTAGTGGACCAAAGTGTATGTGTGTTTGCTCATGCAGACACGGTGTGTTATTATGTGTGCACACTACAAATTAATTACAAACACAGGAACGATGGTGCGGCTGTAGAAGTGTGCAGAGCGCCCACATGAATTATTTAGCGTGTTTGTCGGTTAGCGTGTAAATAAAATACATTTATAACAGTACAGAAAAAATAATGAGGTCCATGGATGCGTGCTGCAGCTCAAGCGTGAACACTTGGAGCTATGCTGGTGAAGAAAGAGCTACAGCAGGAGAGAGAGAGGGAGAGAGAGAGAAGTGGGGGGGATGGAGACAGGGAGCTGTGTGTAATAGAAAGGATAGAGAATACAAGATAAGCCCAAGCAGAGATTGGTGGGAGAAAGGAAAGGAAATAGTACAGTATGGATAGATAAATACAGGGATAAACAGACAGGAAAGGAATTGGCTGGGGGCTCATCCTGTCACCTCAGGCTGATAGACTCAGGAGAGGAAGGAGCTGTGAGGCGAGGTGAGCTAATCTCAGCCAGCCGTAAATAAGAGAAACTGACAAAATACTCCCTGCCAGACTCTTGATTTGTCTTGTTCTATTAACGGGTAATAACACTCTATCACAGCCAGGGCTTTGAAAGTTTGGCCTTGATTTGTACCAATTATAATGAAGTACTTAATCTGCTTTTTACAGCAAGCATCCAGATCAGAGACAAAATTGTAAACTATGATGGATAATTATGGCACAGCTTTGGGATTCAGTTTTCTGTTTAGTGCTGCTGATACTATTTTTAACTTGCATATATAATGTTATGGCTGTTATGGGTGTTTGTACTTATTCATTACTTTTATCTATCTTATAAAATAAATTGTCAATGGCTGAGACCTGTGTGAAATTTTATAATGATATCGAATTAAATTATTATTAATTCCTCTTCCTGAGCAGTAAAAGCAAACAAAACCATCAGCGCAAGACTGACTATATTTATAGTTATTCTGGACTGTTGAAATCACTGTCATGAGTTTGCTGACAGGTGAGGTGATAAACTTCACAGACTTTGAACATTCACAGTGAGTAATGTTTCCGGAGGCTAAAGACCCGTCTCTGGTAAGTAGAACAAAAGTTAGGCTGAGTCAACATGAGGCTTTCAAAACTCTGCTTCACAAAAGAAAAGGTGACGTAACAGATGTCCAGTTTTCAGTTTGTACAACATTAAGGTCGAGAGTTATGCACACTTAGGCATAACGGTGTAACCAAGATTTTATTAGCCTGTCTCTGCTTAACCTCTTCGCCTGTTCCCAGATCAACTTGGAGTGAGACTTTCTGATATAGCAGCCACTAGGGCTGGGCGAAATGGCCTCAAATCAATATCACAATATATTGAGCAGTTAACCTCGATAACGACAAGTGGACGATAACTACTCCACAAGCTGCTAACCCCCTTCCACATGAACTTCGTCTACTTTTGAACCGTCCTCCATCTCCTCACCTGTCTTTCCCTCTTTGTTACGGACTGGATGGGGTGGAGTCACGTCTCTGACGTAGGACAGCATCTTAAAGAGAATGAGACCATAGCCTACCTGCACTCATCCAAAACCAACTTATATTTATTTTTTTGACACTGAATATACTGATATGGGCAAAATGACGTTGGTTATCGTTGGTTATTGTCTTAAATTTCAGTATCGGTAAATTTTCAGTTTATCGGCCAGCCCTAGAAGCCACCATCTCAGGCTTCATGATGCCTCGTCATAACCCAGTGTGGGGATATAAGTGAAACTTCATCCATGTTTTTACAATCTATGACCCTTTCACACGACATTCACTGGAAAAGAGTCATACACAAACACTTGTGGTGGATATAACAATCTTATAATATGAGGGGAAGAACAGCTTCATACAGGCATCTTTGAGTGTAGGCAAGTATACAGCTACAAAAATTCATTAACAGAAGCTGTTACACAAGTTGCTCCTCCGCCTCTGCTGTGTTTGTGACACTCTAGCCTCTCCTAAGGCATTTTCTTTCCCCGGTGATCGATAAACATCTCATTTAGAAACTGAACTCTGCCAGGTTTCTCACCAAGATTTGTTACCATAATCACCGGTAACCACAGGAGTTGCCAAATGAACCAGAACTGCAATCTGGAGAGTGCAGAATTAGATCCTGCAGGCAGGATATTTGCCCCATTTGTATACTTAAAAAAAAAAAAAGTGTGGCAATGAAAGCTGACACTTAAAATACCGTATATTATTACTGTCACACAGTATATTACTGAAAAATACCTAAGGATCTGTATTAACAGCATACACAGCAGACACAAATTCATTTAAGAGAGTTAATAGTGTAATTATACAACAAAATGGCAATAACAGGAACCGTTTTTTATCCGTTTTTAGAGCTAACAACAAGAAAAAAATCTGTTTTCTAAGTCAAACTCAGTGTCTTTGCAGCTAAAAGATCAGGTACACCCACACGTGTGATGCTGTTTCATGTAAATCAAGTCTGCATGCATGACAAACTCCTCCATCTATGTAGAAAAGGGCGCCTATCCCATGTTGGGAAATAATGAATTACCAGCAGGTCGTGAATGCGTGTGAAACAAATGGGGAGGCTGCGCTTTCACACGCATAATAAAGCAAGCCCGCACACGTGTGAACCGAGTTACTGTTGTGTGATAGTAAACTGGCAGGAGAGCCAAAGAGGGGTGATCGGGTTATGTAATGGGCCTCTGTCTCGCTTACACACACACAGGTTATTATGGGTAGTGAGGTTTTAACTGTGTGTGTATGTGCGTGTTTTAATGTTTCACAAGGTAAGGATGGGCTCAACTGATCTGATCTTTTTTTTCTTCTTCTCATCTTCATCCATTAGTTTATTTTCCTTCAGAATATAAGGTAATACCTGCTCATCCACTTCTCTCTCTACTTTCCTCCGCTCTGATTTAAATCATAAGTGGTTTAATGTGTCGGCTCTTGCAGGGAATCTTCATTTCTAGCCCTGCTTGCTCACAACCTGACCTCTCTTTCCTCACACCTTTAAAAGCCTCAGCCTCCCTTTGAAATATGTCAGCACAGGCTCCATCCTGCTTAAGTGTCCTTATGTGGCACCAGCAGGCTCTGGGTCTCTGCTCTGGAGGAGATTATACTCTCTGCCCCAAAGAAGAAGTGGAGTAAAAAAAGGGAACTTGCAGGAAAAAAAAGGAACGGATAACATAGTATATTAATATTAGTGTCCTTTCCTGGCCCCGCCCACAACCCTCCTCATGCCAGCAGTCCCTGCAGTGTGTCCTCAACACAGCCTGTGCCATCACATTCAAGGATACACTGTTGACAGCTATGGGTCACTGCAATCCAGGCACAGGGTGGCACACACTCATGAATGATGCAGCGCTGGTTATCAGTCCTCAGGCCTTCTTGCCATACATGAGGAGGACACAAACCCAAGTTTGATCTCAGGCAATGCATGCAAAATGACACAAAGGCAGACCTCAGTGTGCGCTGCAGATGCAATTAAAGCAAAACTCAAAGCTGCAAATTAAGTCTGACATTATTGTGACAGATTCTCTGCCTGAAAGAGCTTTTATTTTTTAAATGGCTTTTATTTTTGGGTTATTTTTTCTTTTTTTTTTTTTTTTTACCTGGATTGGCAGGACAGCTGGAGAGAGACAGGAAATGTGAGGGGGGAGAGAGACGGGGGATGACAAGCAGCAAAGGGTCGTGACTGGGAGTCCAACCAGTGACTGCTGCAATAAAGACTACAACCTCTGTATTCTGGGACTCCAGATTAGAGCCGAACTAAACATTTCATACATCTGTATTTTGTAGACTGACATAAAGTAAAGACAGAATAACTTCATATCACGCTCAATCTTAGGGCTGGGCGATATGGCCTCAAATCAGTATCACAATATATTAAGCAGTTCACCTTGATGTCGATAAATGGACGATAACTACTCCACAAGCTGCTAACCCGCTCCCACATTAACTTCATCTACTTCAGCCGCTACAACTTTTGAACCATCCTCCATCTCCTCACCTGTCTTTCCCTCTTTGTTAAGGACTGGATGGGGTGGAGTCACATCTCTGACGTAGGACAGCGTCTCAAAGGGACATGAGACCATAGCCTACCTACACTCATCCAAAACCAACTTTTATTTATTTATTTTTTTTGACACAGAATATACTGACATTGGCAAAATGATGGTCATTGAAATTTTTTTGCTATTGGTAAATTTTCGTTTTATCGCCCAGCCCTACTCTGTCTATTTGGGGAGCACAACCCATAGGTTTGTGGCCAATGGCAGACAAAACAAATGGAGGACATGAGTGCTAAACCCAAAAGGAAGCTGAGTTAAAGAGAAACAAGCTCACAGAAACCACAAACCACAACACAGCAGGTAGGGGCTTTGGTGAGGCTACTGGATTGGCTGAGAGACAGGAAAACACAGAAAGAGAAATTAGGACCCTATACCGATGCTGCTGTTATTTCCTTTAACAGCATATGAAGTCTGAAACAATCACTGGCTTGTGTCGACTTAACATAATCCTTCACTTTGGATGAGAAATTATAAGCAGATAAATAAGAATAGGGACTAGCCAGTCACAATGGCAATCTGCCCCAGTGCCCATACTCAATTTAAGGCATATTCTTCCACTGCAAGAACAGCCGTGATAACATGCAGAGCCATCAAACAGGCAGATCAGAGAGAGATGATTATAATGCTTCACAAATCTTTTGAAGATTTCCCCAAATCTTGTGAGAAGTTTCTCAAACGCGTTATTATCTCATAATTCAGGACACTGGTTGCTCATCAGCGGCGTCACTGTGTCACTTCAGCCTCCGCATTCTGTCACTCAGCAGCTGCTAATGGCTTGTATACAGCAGCAGCCTGTCTCTGCAGCCCTCTATACAGCCCTGATAAAGTGGAGCGCCTTAACACTGTATGGAGGGGCTTAAAGAGAGGGGAGAGAGGCATTGTCATCCTGAAGCACCCGCACAATAACCCCCCTAAACAAGCACAGAGGTTTAGGCTTACCCACCTAGTATTCAAAGCCCCCTGGGAAGAACATCAGGGGAGGGTGAAACGTGAGAGCCGGGGATGAAGGGTGAGCAGTGATAAAGGAGCTGGCTGACAACACCTCCCTCTGATAATGAGACTAAAGAGGCGAGATGAGACGCTAATTGGTAAAGCAGTGAAGGTTTGATGTCATGCAAAAGGTTAGAGTATGAGGTGGTCGGGTACACATGCATACGCAGAGACAATCTGAATTTGTATGTGTGTGTGTGTGCGCGTGTGTGTTTTGTGTGTACATCAGTGATTAATTAGCTCCCAGGGACTCCTGCCTGTTTGTCGCTCTGGGTTTCCCTGTTCGTTTGTACCAATGCATTAATAATGCCTGTCCCCGATTGAAACAAAGGAGGAGCATTTTACATTCACAACTTGCCACTTTTAATCCCTCACTCTTTTTTCCTCTTCAGGACGGTCGCTTTGACAAGACTGCTGTCATGTCTTATACTGTCATTATCCAAAAAGAGCATCCTGGAGCGTCTCCTCTTTAATCCGAGGCATGTTAATTCTCTCTCAACAATCTAAATGGGACCTTTCCTGTGATGAAGAACAGGATGATAAAATACCATCTTCACTTTGTCAATATCATACAGTCCACATAAGCATTCAATGCACAAACAACAGCAGGGACAGTCCCAAAATTCGAACAATGAAAACTAAGAATCCCCTCATAAATCAATTAAATTCATCCAAACTCCCTTATGTATATTCAGCAAAAGCCTGGGCAAATATGATGTCGGTACCGCCATTAATAAAGACTTGAGAACAAGTCTAATCATCCCACCTGGAGGCAAACATAAACATCCATTATGAGGACACGGCTGAAAAGGTCACACGATTCAAATCCGTTAAAGACAATCAGGTGGATTATTTATGCTAAGCACTGGATGTGATATGACATTAGATGACATTTGCAAACTTCTAACACAGCGATAATAAAGTTCTTTTATCTGAACTTTGTTGAGCATTCATTATAAAGATTTAAAGACCTTGTTGTGCAAAACTGAATACCTCAGCACCAGATATAAAATATAGTATTTCATATTTAAAGTTTTTTCGCGTTTATAAAATAGACTGAAATTCACATTATTTCTTTTTTAGGCGATCCAAAACCAAACAAGACCATCAGCGAACAAGATTGATGATGTTTATATAATTTGAATGCCCTAAAAATAGTGCAGTGGGATTGGTGTCAGCTGAAGAGGTAAAGAAGAAGCCCTGGTTTTATACTTTTCACATTAAGTATTCACAATAATCAGCAGGATGAGACTCTTTTGGTCAAGACTCATTACTGATGCATGTAGAAAACAAGGAAACAAAGACTATTTTGTCCACAGGGAGTGCCAACTTGAACACAAACCAAAAGTTCCTAACAGGAGCTTTAACAAAATGTATATTTCTGGTACTCTCTGCACTTTGTAAATACAGTTTTATTCACTCTGAATCTTTTATTTCTATATCCATATGTGTATTTTCAACTTGTATAGAAATGCACCAAAGTTTTAATGTACTTTTACTGTCTTGTACCTGTGCAAGTGGCAATACACATCTATTCTATCCTATTCTATTCTGTCATTTATCATATATCTATAATTCTATGTACTGGGGGTGAAACCCTCCATTGATCTGGACTGATCCATACATAACCAAATTAAATCTACACTGTAATCTTTGAGATAGGCTTTTATTTTGAAAACCCGACTGCTCACCTGTTTAATAGTTTCTGCCCAGGTGCACCAGCACAATATTCTCAACTTTCAAGCAGTGCCAACAGAAAGGAGACAATGACAAGTAGCAGAGAGACGGAGCAGAGGATGAAGATGATCTTCACCTCCCTCTTTGTGATAAATCAGCCATGTGGGAATATTGGGTTTCTGAGAAGAGACTGGTCAACATATGGACAAAACCAGAGGGGCACCTGAAGTATCACAGTATCATGTTGACCATCTTGACTCTGTAGAATCTAAACAACTCTGTCCAGTAAAAAAGATAAATAATTACAGTATCTAACACTGTAGTTTTCAATTGTAAGGATATTTACATTCAAACATGAAAACTGTAGCAGATTACTTTAGAAGATGTGTTTCATTCTTTTTTATATATAAAAACAAAAGATGCTTTCATTTACCAGCTATGTTTACATAATTGAATTGTCCAAATATATCAAAAGCTTTTTCTGATTGCCAAACAGGCACATAATAATGTCTGAAATCAATCACAGGCAACTAGCTGGACTCATAAATGTACCATGACAGGCTCTGTGATAAAAGCAAATGTCCTAGTCCAAAAAAACATCTGCACATTGTGTATATTGTACTTGTTAAACACATGAGGAATACATTTGTGTTTCATAAAAAGTACCTGTCATTTTCCTTCTGGGATTTCTGCTTGTGGTTTATTTTCTGTGTAAACACCGATCATGTGCTACCAATCAACGTGCAGACAGATTTCAAAGAAGAGAAAAGACAGATTCAAGTAGGTGGCAGCAATATTTTCATAGATGTGGTCCGAGAATAGCAGTAGAGTGAGCAAGAGAGAGGGTGAACACCAGATCAGCATACTGTACTGTGATACCATGTGAGTGTGTGTATTGTTTGTGGGATATAAAAAAAAAACCCTGTGGCTTGCTGGTCTGCTCTGGTCTCCTGTCTGAACTTGTTTTGCTCAAAGACAACGCTCTGTATTTGTGTCGTAATGTCAAAGTGTCATGTACTTCAAAACCGACAAACACTGACACACTTTTTAACACTGACTTGAGAGAAATACACAGTGAGTTCAACCGGTCGGCTAAACTGAAACTGGGACTAAATCTGTGCAAAAACACACAGATAAGGAAAATTCTGCACCCATGTTGCAGTTTGCCAACAAGTTTGGCCGAGCTGGTTCCAGTTTCTCATTCATCCTCATGCATTATGCATGGAGCCAAGAAACTGTCTTTATAGGAACAGTGTGTGGTGACAATGACAACATTTGTATCACTGATTGAAATTATTAGCTGCTCATCCACAATAAAGGCGGTCAAAGCACTTTCAAGTTTTCCCTGAGGGTTACTGACTCCCTGATAAGCACATCGCTGTTATTGTTTGTACTTAGCCTCTAATGCTATTCATTATCCGAAGCTATGAAGGACTCTGGTAGCTTAGCTAAATCTGGCTGTGAGCCACTGAGATGCTGCGACTTTTTATTAAAAGGTGGCCATGTTGTTGCATTCGTTTGAGAGTGAAAGAGCAGGAGTAAGGAGAGCACAAGCAATAATAATTCAGGTAAACAGCGACCATTACTACTGTTACTAGTTCAGCTATTCTGCAAGTATCAAACATGCTTCTGAATCTGCAGGGCATTGGTGGCCTTCAGCTGATCGAGTAGGAAGTTGCGCGGAGGGACAGCGGCAACAGAGTCGGTTGTTGTTTAATCCCACAGAAAGATAGGCCACAAAGTAATCAGACCCCAGATCTGTGGTTAAAGCTACAATCGCTCCAGCTCAGAGCAGAGAGAAAGAGAGGAAGGCTTTCACACAACAAGGGTGAAGGGAAGGAAAGCAAGAGAGAGAGAGAGTGTGAGAGAGAGAGGGGGAATTAAAGGGCCACTCTCTCCCAACGATGCACAGGGACAGCAGGACGAGTGAATGAATGAGATTGTGATGCTGTTGCACATTCCCCCAGCCCCCACGTGCTAACTTTTTCTCTTTCTTCTCCTTCTCTCTCTTTCTCTCTCTCCCTTTCCTCCCCTCCTTTCCTTCTTCTTTTGTTTTGTTTAAAATTTAACAAGGTCTGGAACAGTGAAGGGCTGAAGCGGGCATCCGGGGTGTTTTGGCTCAGCTTCATGTCACATGCAGGGGCCATGTGAACACAGTGGCACTGAGAGAGAAGGGGGAGGAGGGGGGGAGTTAGGATGGCGACGGGGTGCTGGAGCAGGAGGGCAGCGAAAGAGAGAGAGAGAGAGAGAGAGAGAGAGAGAGAGAGGAATAGTGAGACAGAAAAGAACCAAAGAGGGGAAGTCTTTAAACCAGAGGGACCGGGAAGCAGTGAGAACTGGAAAAGATCTGGGTGGTTTAGAAATGACCGTATTCATGAGAAAGACACCACAAGGGAAACAGGAAGTAAAGAAAGAAAAAGACTTGCCAGCACAAGGGATAAGCACACATGAGATACAACTAAATGTAATGCAAAGGACAAGGACACTGGAAGGGAAAGCAATAAGTAGCTTCCTGGTGCAGCAGGTGACAGCTCTACTTTTTTTTTTCTTTTTTCCAGGGCTCGGGTGATTATCAGACTGCACAGCTGACAGCATGAGACAAGCAAATTTCAGTGTTAATGATTGAGGCAGGCTGCACATGCAGGGGCATCTGTCTGGACAGAAAACCGCACTTTTAGTTTCACAAAGCTCAGCCTTTTACACCGCAGAGGACTTATGAGTAACACCTAGATAAATGAATATATAAAGTATAGATAATCATAACTGAAATGACATGTAAAAGAGGAGACATTATGGTGAAATTTTAAAGTGATTGACTCAAACTGGACTATCAGAAACAGCCACTCTGGTCTAAGAGGTTGGCAATGTTTACCTATCAGTTCTGATCTTTCAACTCTAGTTCAACACAATAATCTTGATGAGTCAATGACTGAGCCTTCTGCTCTAATGCTCTAATTCTGCTCAGTAATCAACAACAACATAAACAGCTGATACACAGACTTGTCCTGGTCATGTCCAGAACTTTGTACTCTCCTCCAGCTCTGCCTTTTCTGGTGCACATTGATTCCCTTCGTCTATACTTGTCATATATTTACACATTGAACTGCCAGGGCAATGAAAACCATCACGTCAGTTTATTCCTGATTTGTGGTGCTAAGAGTCGGTGGTCTATAAACTAAAAGGTTGGGGGTCTGATCCTAAATCCTACTTTCCATGTCCTTGGGCGGGACACTTAACCCCAAACTGCCCCTGCTGGCTGAGTACAACGGTGAGCGAATTGGATTAGTTAGGACTGATGAGCTTTACATCGCAGACTCTGCTATCAGTGTGTGAATGGGTGAATGTGACATGCTAGCTTGTAAGGAGGACTAAAGGCTGGTGGTGCTAGCTCTTCTTATGCTAGCTAGGACTACAAACCAGTTAGCCAAGTCTACACTGTATAAACATTTGGGGACAACAAAGACCATCTCTGAGAGTTTTGAAAATAAAATATCGTCCCATCCTTGTTTGAGGAAGGATTTCAGCTGCTCAAGCATTCAGGTTCTCTCTGGTCTTATTTCTGTTTTTAATGCACCACATGGTTTTATTGATTGACAAGCAGTCAAACCAGTTAAGCACCCAGACTGTTGTACTGCAGAGCCATGTAAGACGTCATGCATGGTGAAAGGGTATTAGAATCTGGACAAGGTAAGATTGGACTAATAAGATGGGCGATGTTACTCCAGGTGTTTCTGTAAGTATGAATATCGTGAAATAAAATAACAAAAAATGTTCTCTTCAAAAATTGGATGTTGTCTTCGCACTGTTTTGAATTAAACATGGGGCTTGATTGATTAGCAAAACATCCAAATCTGTTTTTATCAACACTTTGAACATCTCATCTGTTTGAAAATGAGGTTGAACAGCAACTTTATCAAATATGAAACACTGTTAGACTGTATATTGAATTAAGGTATAAAGGATTTAAAATAAGCTCACATTAGACCTGTAACAACAAATCATCATATATTCCCACATCTATCGTAATAAACAGCTTAGAGTATAATAATCTGTATTTTTTAATCTTCCATACTTGACCTTATTGACATGGCTTATATAGTTAGCTACCAGTTATAGCATCAATTTTTTTTTAACTTCAACTTTGATGTCTGTTGTTTGGTCCTTTTCAGCTGTTTTAATGATTTTAAGGTACATTTTAATATTTCACTGATTTTAAGTTGACAGATACTTTCTCTGTTCTGTGTTTCTCACGGGGATAAAAAACAAATCAGGACATAACTAATGGAATAGGAAGAACAGGTAAAAAGTTTGTGGCTTATTTTGTTTTTCTGAGAAATAAATAATTTGGGCAAACACTGAGCAGACAAAAACAGTTATCTGTTTGTTTTATTGATTTTAAATTGTTTTAATCTCTTTTTCCATTTCCAATATATTTTCTTGTATCTGTAAAGCACTTTGAATTGCCTCGTGTATGAATGGTGCTATACAAATAAACTTGCCTTGCCTATCTAGTCGCATTACTCAGCAAAAATAGAGCTACATCTGAAAAATTGATAGTTAAATATATGTATATCTTCAGGGAAAAAGCTGCCAACAGTCTCTCTATGTGTATTATCTAGAATTTTGTCAGTGTTGTGGGATGTTGGGCAGGTAATACACAGAGGGCTTTAAAAGCATTGCTGCACCTGCCAAAAGTAGAGCTACTAGTGCAGTGAGAGTGAAGTTGAAGAGCATCTAAGACTGCTGTGCAAAGGATACATCTCCGGGATCAAAGTGAGGAACTCATGCACTTTAAAAGTGTGCACAAAGCTGCTCCTGAACATCTAAGGGGTGCTGCGGCTGTGTTCCCTTTCAAAGCTTCTCCGGGAAAAGACACACTCGCCAATAAGGAAGTATCATTCTAGTGCTTCAGCATTTTTAAAGGGAATGAACTTTAAACTAGGTCATCTCATATCAACAGCTCGGCCTCTTTCTATTAGAGCAGAGTCCACGCACACAGCAGCTCAGCTCCACCCAAACAACACACCTTATCTCGCTGTGACCATATGACACAAAGATTTGGGGACAGTTTGCGAACTCTCGGAAACTGTTTCAGACAGCGCTCTCGGCTGAACAGTTGTACAACTTTGCCTTTTGTTTTTCGGTGCAGGAAGGTGCCTCTGTAATATAATCTGCAAGAAAAAAAAAAGCATCTGCCCCACAAACTAAATAAACCAATCCTCTTGTAATTACTAAATGCCTTATAAAGAATATGAACAGCTTAGAAACTGAAATCTTAAAACACAATGCAAAATTCTTTCTCTAGAGACTCGGGCTTTGTAAAACAAATCAGTTTAAGCACCACTGGAGCGCTGGTATTTAGAAACCTCCCATCCAGGAATTGACACAGTTCTGTCCCGTACACTAGCAGGCCGTGTGTTCCCTAATCGGAATTTGTGGGCCTCTTTAATGCTGAGAGTTGCAGATGTTGCCTGGTATTAGGCTGTGCTGCTGCTGATCAAAGCTGCAGAGAGTGAGCCCCTGCTGGACTGACTCTAATCCCCCCTCCCGCCCTCTTCATGCATGTGGTCTGAGCAGAGAGAGAGAGAGAGAGAGAGGAGGAACTGGACTGGTTCTCCGCTCAGGGACATGCAGCCTTCTTCATGACCCCTCTGAAGGGGGGGGGTCATGAAGAAGGAGGGGAGGGGGGGTCCTGCTCGTGAGCACTACCGACTCCATTGCCTCAGAGGATTCTGGGAGATTGTAGGCACGGGCAGTTTGACAGACAGCTGAGGAAGCCGGGTGTCTCCTACAGGGCAGGGAAGTCACTGCCCTTCCTTGCCTCCTTCCCCCTATTCCCTTCTCTGTGAATGATCCTACAGGCAGACAGGAGGGACATACCAGCGTGGCGTTGTTCAGCCCAGATTTAGCTGCTAACCAGAAAGCTCTGAGAATCTCTATGGTTGTTTCTGTTTTACTTATTTCCACAGGGAGCAGGGGCTAAACTCAACTGTGCACCAAAGCGTATACATCACAAACAGAGATGGCAGAGAGAGAGAGAGAAAGAGAGAGTTTTTAAGTGTGCTACAGCTGCACAAATACTAACCAGGGCTGCCTCTGATAAATAATTTTTAAGGACAATTAGAAGGGTGACCATTCATTTTTGAAGTGAAAAGCAATAGGCTAGGGAGAGATAAAGAGATATGGAGAGATAAATGGGAGCTGTCAGATGGTGTGAGGGAGGAGGAGATGCTAGGAGAGATAGCGAGAGAAGAGGGAGGGGGGATCGATCATGAGAGAAATTGAGAGAGGGAGGAAGATTCGGCGCGAGAGGAGAGAAAGGTGGGAGGATGTCAGCCAAGAAGGCAATCTATATTAGACAGAAAACAGTTCCCCTGGTTTTAGCCGCTACAAGCTGACACCACCATCCTCCCCGCTCCATGTCTGCATCAGTAGACGCACACGTGTGAATCCTCCTCCGAGATCTGCATATTCCAACTCCACGCTGATGCCGTGCGGCCACATTTCACTTAAGACCACTTGTTCACGTGGGGCTTGCACGTGAAGAGACATGAAATACACGGATCTATTCTTTGATAGCCTGCTTTTATCTTTGCGGCGCACATATACACACCAGGGAATGCATGAAAACCTCACAGACGCATGCATATTGGAATTGAGCTCTGGAACGTGTGAAATCTGATTACACAATTACATAATGACTCAGCAATAGGCCATTTAGAAAGACCATTAGCTGACAGGCCAGGACATGGATGTGACAAAGGATGAAGGAGCCTAGCGCCTCATTTCTGCTAAGACTTCAGGAGAGCTGGTGAGTATGGAGATGCTGTGTGGTCCACGTGAAACCGACACTCGAATATTGCAATTCATAAATCTCTGGTGACCAGTAGAACATCATTTGAATAACAAAATTCATTCAAACTAACCCACAGCGAGGGATGCTGGTGTTTTTACCAGGATAACCAGTGAGGCATCCTGAAAACACAAAAAAACAAAACAATGACAAAATCAGCGCAGACTGTTCTCCTTCTGCCTTTGAAAATGTTTTCATAGAGATGCAAGTGCGAGTGTGGGAGCAATCTGGCGTGCTGACTGTACGCGGGGAGAGCGACGTGGCACAGACAGGACGAGAGTGAGTGGTTCTCTGCTTAATAGCTGCCACGGCCTGCTGGAGAAAGCTGGGAGCTTCATTAAGCCTTTAAACCCTGCAGAGTCCTTTAAGTCATCACGTCAGCAGCCACTGCCTCCTCAGAGACGGCCTGAGGTTAGAGTGGAGGGATACAGTTCTGCATCAAGATTCCTTTAAGCTTTTAGAGTAATTGAACTATCACTGTCTTCTTAAAATGTTAACATCTTGTGTCTGCGCCGAATACAGACGTCATATCAGGAGTCAGGCCTCCTTTAATACTCAGACCTGGGTCAAGAGCTGAGTGCTTTCATTTTATTGCTTCTGATATTGGCTAAATGATGGTAACTATTGACAGCCATTAAGTTTAGTAATAGGACAGTATTTCCCAGTGATGATGACAGGATGTTAGCCCTAGAGGTCCTAAAGCAATAAAAGGTGGGTTTTGCAATAAGCGATTGTGGAAAAATTCAAAGGAGTGTCAGTCAGAAATAGTCAAATGATTTGAGGATTACTTCAAAATTTGATGTGTGACGTATAGCAGTCCTTTTTTCCCACTATATTTGTGTCATTTTGCCCTACATATGTAGAGCTTAAAAGTAGGCTAGAGCATTGTTTGTGTTTTATAAGAGCAGAGTCATTATCAACAACACTCCATCAGATAGCTCTGTTTTTATTGGTTCTGCATGAACAATCCTTCCTGCCAAGTTCACCTTGCTGGCAGGTACCGAAGGGAACAAGGAAATTACCTGAAAATTAGGTGCATAATGTTGAAACTGTTATCAGCCCTGACTTCCCTTCACAGATGCTTACGCCGTAAACCTGCATGAAGCTGAAAGGGGATGAATTCCTCACTAGAGTCTGGGTCAGTGTATGCCAGTGATCATTAATTTGGCTCAAATCTCAACACCGCTCTAGATTTACAAGAACTCACATTTTAAAAAGTAAACATTTCAACTTTAATAGGGCAAGCTCACTAAATGTAGCGTGTACGCTGAAGTGCATGGGAGGGAGTGTTTGTGAAGCTGAGTAGGCTAATGAATCTAAATTATTTAGTGTGCTGCTTTGGTTTGGTTAAGAACTCTGGGTCCTGTGCCCCCATGGGAAACCCTGTGCCAGTGTGTGTTAGTGTGCCATTCCCTCTTCTTGTAACACACACAAGCCTGTGTGTAAAGGCGGAGAGCGAATCCTAGCAAGGGGGCAGGTTCATCACTCTTAAGGCTGAGGATCCCCTGTCCTCACACACTGACCTGAGCCCTGTTCTTTCACCTGAGTGGACAATTAAATCACAGCTCAGACTCCTGTGTGAAGTTAGAGAAATCTGTTAAAACCCTGCTCCCTCTTGAGTAGGTGTAGTTTTATTTAAAGCTGAGGAATTTTGGGCCTCTCAGCAGCAGAATGTGCATGTATTGATTATATGAGTCTGTGCATGTTTTTTTTTTTTTATTCTTTTCCCTTCTACTCAAACTCTAATAAAGCTGCCTCTGCACTACAAGAGGCTCCTGTGTGGGCAGCTCTGAAAGGATCACTCGTCAGCTTGCCAAAGAGGACAGCGGCCCTTTGATCTAGGCAGCCTTCTGTACATGTGTATGAGCGTGTGTGTGTGTGTGTGTGTGTTTGTGTGTCTAGCAGGGCAAAGTGAGTTCTCTCATCTGGCCTCTGCAGAGTCTGTGCACTCAAAGCATGACCTGAACCCTTCAAAGTCAAACCGGCCTCTGCATTGTCCAAAAGGATCTGCTGAGACGCACCATGGCAACTCCTCAACTGAGCTGCCTCTACCCATCATCCTCCTGCTTCCTTAATCATGCTGAGTGCTGAGTACCTCATCTGTCGCTCATATTAAAGATACAGCACCTCTTAGAAGGCGGCTCGTACTTCAAATCTAGGTTAGACCCTACATTCAAATCCTGCACGGCGCTCTTGTTGTGCCACATAAAAGGGCAGAGACTGGACTTTGTGTATTAAAAGGCAGCCCCGCATGCATAGACATGAGAAACAAAAAAGGCTTTTAGACTGACTGAGGTCTACAGTTGAGGCAGCTGCGCCTGAGAGTCAGCCAGCAAGTCAGCTGAGACAGTTCCCTGTCTGCCCTCTCCGTGCAGGACAACCATTCAAAGACAGCTCAACATGTGTCAGCATGGTGTCCCCCCTCGTACCTCCCCCCACCCACCATCCCTCCCCTCGCTCTGTTTCCTCCTCAGCAGACGTGCCTGACATTCTAGACAAGCCGGCGTACATTCCTCACATGCTTCTATCGTGTAAGGAAACGGCGGAAGAGCGGGCCAGACATGTCGCAAGAGCATGAGCGCCGCTTTGTCTTTACAGTGAATGCATCTGTGTGTTTGCATGGAAGTGCTCTTCAGGGCCTTTCTCTGTGGGGCTGAATGAGAATTAGGCCCTCTGTGCAGGCTGGGTGTTGAGCTGTGTTATTGGCTGCGTGAAGGGAGGGAGGGAGGTGGAGAGAGTGCTCAGGTGACCGCAGTTAAGCTGTCTCACATGGGATGTGGAGGCGTCACCCTCTCAGAGGCTTCAGGGTAACTTTAGCGGCCTGCAGCGGCTGCTGCTTGAGCTCAGCTGACTGCACTGCCTCGTTTTTTTTCCCTCCTCTGATATGCACATCTATCTACACGAGCCCTGTGTGCATGCTCGTTTTGCCTGCCAAATGATGCTATCTGAATGAAATGATTCGAACTCAAGCGAGCCAGAATCCAAGAGCACAATAGGTCATGAAACGCATGTGACTGTAAACGTGAGCGGGAGCACATGTGGCCATTTTCAGCTCGGTATTGAGTGACCTCTAGTTCAACAGCCTCTCAGGACAGGAAGCTGGAGAGTATTAGTGCCTCTCTTGTCTTGTTCAAACCCAACAAACAGTTTTCTCCTCCACTGTCCTCAGCAGACACTCGGTTCCACTGATACCCCTTCCTTCCCCCCCTCCTCTCCTCAATTCATTTCCCTCAGCGGCGACAGCAATAGCAGCAGTGGTGGAGGCAGTGGCGTGATGAAGAAAAGGGCTTCCTGCGCTTTGGAGAAGCACGTTAACCCAGCTTGGCAGGCAGTTAGTTAGTGTGACAGTAGCCGCGCTGGATGCCAATAGGACAGGCACTGTGCAGCATCTCAATGACTAAACTTTACTGGGTCCACAGAGAGGGTTTATGGTCCTCTCAGCCATACCACTCCCACCCCTACTCTCCATCCAACCACAAAGGCATTCACTCTTTTCATTAGGATGATAATGGGGCAAAAGCCGGAAAAGGGCCCCATGTCTGTGCACCATAAGTTGTGGTGATGGCTTTGTGGTGATGTCATGCGTGTCCATGGAAGCACAGTGTGCTGCTACGGTCCAACAAAGTCAGGCCACGACGGAAGAAACCTAAAATTAAAGGAAGTTCTTCAGGCCAGGTAGATCTGGCAAAGCAGGAACCTTTAGGCCATAACCTCAGTGTGAACTAATCATGCCATTAAATAGTTAAACCTTAACATGGTGCACCGTCACAGGGAAAGCCTATCTAAGCTCATCACACCTGCTTTTGTTTTTGGCAAAGGTCCTCTTCTGCACTCACCTTGACTGACGGCATTCAAATTGTGCCACAGTGATATCAGTAACATCTGGACCTCATCTTTCAATCCTTCAAGAATGTAAAACAGAGGACTCTGGCTCATGTTTGAAAAACTGCTCTGAGTCAGAAACTACCCACCTGTAAAAATCAGACTGTCTCAGCAAAAACAGGATATAAACTGTTGCTTTGCTCTAATAGTACAATGTCACTGGTCTGCACGAATGCACCTGCCTCATTTAGTGATACAAGTCGACAACCTGTAACAAACACTGCAACACTAAGGATATTACAGCCAAAGCACAGTGTGTAGGCCTCAACAAGTCCCAGAATGAGCTGAAAACTTCATCACAAGAGAATATAATCACACCTGGATGAACTTACCTGCATAAAAACGTAACAAAGAGCCAATTTCTGTGTTGAGCCCTTCCTCTTGAACTCTCCACGGGTCCTTAAATCCAAGCTTAAATAGAAAGTCATTCTGAATCTGCAGAGGCCTCTCATCTGGGCTAAGCCTCCTGACAGCTTCACCATGCAGCTGAACATACAGCGTTGGGCTGGAATCACAGGAATCTCCATTGAGATCTGCTGTCAGCCCTGATTTTACAGCACTCTGGCCACAGTCCGGATCTTGGATGTCAGGTGTATTACCTGTAGAACAGGCTCTTGACAATGAGCCGGCACTGCTGCTGGGTGGCAGGCTGCCCAGACTGTGCGGGTTGAGTCTACTATCAGACCCCATATTGTTTGTCATGTTGTTTATATGCTCTATGTTGCAGTGCTTGTAGTTGGCAGTGACAGCACTGATCCCATTGGTGTGATGTTCAGAAATGGGGTCCATGTTCGTGCTGGACACAGGACAGTCAAGCTCCAGTTCGTCTGAGGAGCTGCCATACATGTCGTGGCCCTCTGTGGCACTGTCAAACGAGGGGCTGAGGATAGAGGCCTCTGTTCCCAGGACCATGTCATCACTGAGGGAGTCCCTGTGCTCGCTGAGCCGGGCCCCAGAGCTCAAGTCATCAAAAGCACTGCTTTCCACATCAGAGCCAGAATTTAATCCATAGCTGTCCATACCGTTCCTGTGCTCTGAGTCATCATCATTGGGGGTATCAATGTTAGAGTTAGAGTTCAAATCTGACAGTGAACAAGTTATATTGTCCTGTGATTCTGATTCAGGGCTGAAAAGTTTTCCATCAACGTCCTGTTGCTTTTGCCTCTCATCTGCATTCTCCATGAGCAGCAGCCTCAACCTGTCACTCGGATGGCCCCTCAATTCTGTGGATTCCAGGGGATTCAGGTGGTTGCATTTTATACTGGAGTCTTCATTCACCTTGCAGTGGTTATCATTATATTCATACTTCACATTGCAGTTGCCATTTTGATCAGTCTTGGGGTTATCTTTAGAAAAAATGCGCATAACGGAGCTCGACTTACTGCAGAGTTTGCTCAGACGGAGAGCCACCTCGCCTGCTGTGGTATCCAGAGTGCAAAGAACCGGTCTGGGATATGAGGGCGTCAGTCTAGAGTGAACATGCACGGAGCCCCGGTGGAGATCTGCTCTCACCCACTCGCGGTCTGCGGGCTGCAGCTGCATGTTCTGTCGGTGCTTGAGCAGAGTCTTTCGATCCAGACTTCGAGTATGTAAAGACGCAGAGGACAGGGCCGAGTTCATCTTGGCGCCGCAGGCGGCGGTGACAGCTGAGGTGGCGGTGGCTGCAGCTGCGGCGGCGGAGAGGTTCCTCTTCAATCGCCTCCGTCTCAACAGGAGGGAGCTGGAGTTGTTGGAAGAGCCCCGGCCATTAGACGCCACAGTTCGGTTTGACGCACTTGATCCCGTTGTAGAGGAGGAATGAGAGAGGCTATTCCCGTTCTTTGCCTCTACGCGGGAGGGTGCCAAATGTCCACCGCCATCATCCGCCGGAGTCCCCCGGGCGACAGACAGTCCGTTGGGCTTCTTCATTAACTTGGTCGCGCCTCCATCCGACGCGCCATCATCAGCAGCAGCCTGCACACTTTCCATCTCTCTGCCAATGAAAAGTCCTCCACTCTAAATAAATAACGGTGCGCACTTGGTTACACCTACAACCTCTACATTTAAAAGCCTGAATACGTGCCCACCGTGGTAAATGTCCGCCAGCTGGGCGGTGTTGCCGACTTATTCCACTAGTAGTCATCCACTTCTTGCCTTCCTTTCCCCCTCGGAGTCTCCTCCGCTTCTCCAGTTGAAAAAAAGCATTTTACCGATACAGTTCGCTGGGAAGAGGCTGGGCGCGCGGGGACATATCAGGGCGGAGACGTGACTGTGCGTCCCATTTAGAGCAAAATACAGCGCTGGAATATGAAATGAACGTCGGCCGACCTCCTACGCAAATACTGACTGATATATATTCATGAGGAGGACACAAGATGGGGTCGGTAACAACAACGCGGTGCATTATGGGTAGTGTAGTCACATTATTGACCCTCCTGCTTTGAGCACTGGTGGGGAGAAATGATGTCATGAATACATTTCCCAGGGAACTAGTCTTCCGGTTCAGTCAACTGAGGCGGTGAACAGATGAGAGGCGTAAACATAGCTCGTATAAATAGTTTGGTGTACCGCTGCAGAAGTTCGTCCTCTCATCTGTAGTGGTGTTTTAATAAATATATGGACGATTAAAGTGAAGAAATGTAGTGTATCACTCCGCGTGTGCACAGTCCTAACTGTCAACTGTTGAATGTAAGTGAACTGAACTGAAATGTAGTCGGCCTCCGCCAATGTGTCCAAGTTAAATTTGGTTATAACCCTTAAACTAACTCTTTGAAACCCTACATCCAATTAAACTAATTCACATTTTTTGCCATGTTTATTGAAGACTGGTGGTGACTAGGCAAATAATTTCAGCACCATCTCATCAGGACGCCATTTCACAAGGCCGAACAGTCGGTTCAGTATACAGGCTCTTATTTTGAAGGATTTTTCGCCATCTAGTGGAGAAAACCTCGAGGCCTCACCGACACTGTCCTGGTTCAGACAAAGCAACAAAGACCAGAGAGGGCCCTGTGTTTACACTTCAAAAATAAGGTCACCTTTGTTGGGATAGCAGGACCATTTCTGTCAGATAAATCTCTATATTACAGGCATTTTTCAAGGAAAACTGTTGTCTCACACTTGGGCCTATAATATGAGGTATTTGTTCTTTTTTTAATGTATTTTGTTTCTCACAATTAACCTTTGAGATTTTTAGAAATGTCCTTTTCTATTAAATATATTATGTTATGTTAAATTATATGTTTTAAAGTGATTTAATTAACAGTGACAGAGCAGACTTTAACCTTGATCAACAGTCCTTAACAAAAAGCTAAACATGTTGGTCATAAATTACATAAAGACTCAAGCAAATATATGTATTCAATGTCATAAAGACAGACAGGTCAGTTGCCTGTCTGGGTTCACTTGTCTACAGATTTGAAGGTTTTAATCCCTAATATCATCCTGTCCTCTTTTTTTTTTTTAAATCAGCACAGGTTGATTCCCTGAAATGGTTTTCACTTGCTGTAAGTATTCCTCCTGTTCAAACTAACAATCACATTATTTTAGGACACACTTTCAAACACCGTAGAGCCATTGGAGATACTAAATGTCTTCTTTTTTTAATTTAAAAACAAATTTAATCAGCATCCTGGTCAGCTGATTACATTTAACCAATCATGTTTTGTTGTTTTTTTCACATCTCATGCATATTTAAATACATATCTAAATAGTCACACTCTGAGTCTAATACTACTCTCAGCTTACTTGCTGAAAATATTTGCAAGTTATTTACTACCTGAGAACTTTTATAGTTCTTGTAGAAAATGGGTAAAAGGAAGAACAGAGTATTGAATCCTGATAGGATATTCGTCAGGCAAGCCTCATTCCATACCTGAAAAATGTTTGTTTTCGTTCTAAGCTGACTTAAAAGTCTACTGTAATAAATGTCTCCTTTACAGGAATGTGCTGGCATCACAAAGTATTTAAAAAAGGACAGATATAGATTGTACAACAACAAAAAGAACTAAGAATTAAACAACTCAAATGCATTCAGAAATGGAATTTAATTGGCATGATGTATCCTGTACACGGTATTCTGTATTTCAAAAATGAAAAAAAGGAACACTTTCAAATTCATTCAGCTGCTTTACCAACATGTAAAAAGGAAAAATGATTATTGCTGAATTCATGTTCCTTGATTCCAGCAAAATGGGAAACCTCATGCTCAGCCCAGTGGCCCAGGTTTGTGTTTTTAGAGCTGAAATTAGAACGAATTTAATCCTATTATTTTCTATTGTACTAAACCTATGGATGGGACATGTAAATCAGTGGCATATGATGTAATCATACAGAAGCTGGTTCTTATACAAAGTACCTCATATCTATCGAAGTCTCCTGGACAGGATGACCCAATTTTTTAGTGAATAAATAATGGAAATGTGACTTGAATGACAGAATTTTAGGGGAATCCGCTCGCAAAAAGGGCCTCAGGACAGAAGTTAATAAAAAGCTGTTTTTCTCTGTTCCTAGGGTCACCAAATTATCACTGAGACAGACTTTGAAAATAAAGGATAGCATGTTTTCCACTGCAGACGAATGTGTTACGGTAGGTGGCCAACAGCCCATAGTCTCTACATTTCCTGTACAATCAAACAAGAATTTCATATTGCAACTTTTAAAGTAAAACTTTAACCAAAAACAACAAAAATGTTAGGTGTACATAAAGCTTTTGAGCGTTCAAATACTGGTGTAGGATCAGTGATGAAGTGACAAGACTGTTGAAGTGAAGGAAATGTGGTCACAGTTCAGAAATCCAACAATATTGTACACATTTGGGCCCTGACCTTGAAAACAGTGACCACTGTAAAGCCAAACTTTTGACAGTGCAAAGAATTTTTTATCAATAAAAATCTAAAAATCATGACTTGAGTGAATTCACCCAAATCTGTATATTGTGTCAGAATCACCATTGGGTTCAACCGTAGATCTGAGATTGAATTAAGTGTTGTTGAATGAGTCTGCAAGTTGTTAAAGAGGCAGATTCTTTTTGTGGCTCAGTCAAGAAAAAATGCAGAAAAAAGTCCTCCTGTGAAAAGCCTTTAAAGTAAATCAAACCCTGAAGTGAGGCGTAGTGTATAAGCACAGTAAAAAAAAAAAAAAACAACTTGTGGAGAGTACACTTGTAGTTCAACATTTCCTCTACAAACAACAGATATTGCTTATTTAAAAGCTTATACCATTATGAGTATAAAAGGAAAGTATAATACAATGCAAAGATCATTTAACACAGTGATGCAGACAGAAAAGTACAAGATAACATGGTGAGCCAGCTCTTTGTATTTTGTTCTTAAAAAAAATCTTGATCTGAAGAGCTAGAACATGTAAAATCATGAAATTAATCTGTTATGGTACAAGTGCCTCTATCAAAAACAATTAAAAACGGACTAAACAATTAAAAAAAGATCATTGTTGCACGCACTGGAACCAGAATATCTCTGCCAGCGGCAAGTTTAACATTAAAACTCAGAAGATTGTGACTTGGTCAAGCATGATTCTACTTTGAACATAACTCTCCGTCCTCATTATAAACAAAATGTACATTTAGAGAGAGCTTAAGACTCTCAAATTCACAGTTAAGCATTTAGATGTCAACATTGTCGGTACAATGAGAATTGCACGTATGAGGGAAGAATAGGAGTTGGGACTACATCGTAATGACACAGAGGGGACTCTAGGGGGTGCTATAGCCTAGAAGAAGCAGAGGAAAAAATATTGCACATGATTGTAATGTCAGACACCCTCTGTTTTGAACTGTTTCCTTAGTCCCAGCAGGTGCAGTAAAGATGGATCCTCTGCTGATATCAGTGAGCTAAAAACAGTCAGCACTGCATCCATGTGCAGATTTGGGCAAGAGGAGTCCAGAGTGACAGCATTGCAAGGAAGAGGGATTAAAATACGTCCACTGAGACATGTCCACTGGTGTAACTGATGGACCAAGGTGCAGCTTTTCCTCAGTGGGTGTTGAGAGTGTCAGTCAGTTGCAAAAAAAAATAAAAAAACGAAAACCCTCCAGCTGTCTGTCACCACTGAACTGAGCGCCTGCCTGAGAGCTCAGCAGAGAGGTTGAAGACAGTCGAGCTAATTCCAAAGAAGGGCGATGGGAATCAACCAGAGTCAGTATGTGCTACTACAGTGGGTGGAGTAGTGAGTGTCTGCATCTTGGGAGCGAAGTACCGACTCAGTTGTTTTGGGGTCTTGAAAAAGGCATTTCAGAAGACATGGCCTTATTGTAGAAACGGGCACCATTTTACTGTCCAGCACTTAAGGTTCTCAGTGGAGGAGCAGTGGGACTGGTCCGGCACCGCTCGAGACAGTGATGGTCTACTATGGTCTGTGAAACCTGAAAGATCAACAGAAATAGATTTGTCTCATATATTTCGTGGGATTTCATCACCTCGTCTACAAATAGCTGCCTTAACCCCCAGCATATTAATGGTTCCAGCTGTGTATGAGCTAGAGGGAATCGAAGAAGTAGACGTAGGATGACATCATCTGCTGGTTTATAAAAAAAGATCGTCGATAGCTCCCCAAAATATTTAAAGCCCCACACCCCCCACACTGAATGACTGCAGGGTAGGTCATGAAGCCTCCATGTTAGCAGACAGGACACGGTAAGTGCAAGATTTGAGTTTCATGTGGGTGAGATGTGGGCCTTCTGCTTGCAGAATGAATAGAGTTTAAGTTTGCACTGGTTCTACAGAGGCTACACACATCTCGTACACATATATTTTCACACTCTGTTGTTATTAGTGTTGTGTCGTTCATGAACGATTCATTCAAAAGAACCAAATCTTTTAAGTGAACGTACTGAACCAAATCCCTTCCTCGAGTGATTCATTCGTTTCTCATTTTAGTTGAGTTGAAGTGAGAAACAGCATTGCCAGTTGAATAGCCGGCGAACAAGGGACCGTATGCACCAACACCTGAATCACTTGGTGAACGAATCATGCATTAAACTACACTCTCTGGAATCATTTTTGTCAGACAAAACTACCTTTTTTTCACTGCTAAACTGCCACCACAACAACTTGCATACAATAACACACAGCATGTAACAAGTAGTGCATTAAACCCACAGCATCCTATCATTGCAGAGGTTTGTGAGGGAACGGTGTATGTTCAGTTTGAATTCTTCTAAACGTTCAGCGAACAAATCACTAACTGACCCCAATTTACAGAGCAGACCTGATAAATAGCATACCATCGTACAGTACACTTAAAACATCATGACTTATAAACAAGTTCAGCTGTTTATCAGTTCAGGAGGTCAGAGTCGCAGGCTACTCCTGCCAAGCGCTAAATGATTCAGTGATTTGGTAAACGAATCTTTTGAACGAATCTTTTTAGTGAACTGATTCTAGTGATTCAGTACATGTAAAAGAACTGCCATGCCCATCACTAGTTGTTATGAACTAGCAGCAAAGTCATACGTCTGGGATCTTCATGTTACCTGGTTAAATGGCGACTTGACTCGTGCACTTCCATTTCATTGCTCTTGAAATCATTGAGTTCCTTCCGTATGGCTGCCTGCAGAGAACAAACAAAAAGGAAATTTGAGAAAAATAGCTGCAGAGGCTTAGTGCACACAAAAAAACAGCCTCTAAGCACTGACTCTACCTCCTTTTAGCATGCTTCATGCATCATTTACGCTTATCTGGAGGCCATGAATGATTCTGCTGAATTCTCTCCTCACACATCACAAGAGCCCTCGATTTCCTCCTCTTGAGACATCTAAGAGCATTAACAACAACACACAATCTAATGCTGGTCTACTCGGGTAGTCGGCGGCTCGGGTTTTTAACTATAATGAAGTGGTGATGTCATGGATTTACATAGATTAAAAACGCAGAAAAAAGCACATCAGAATAATGTTCAGACCAAAAACACTTTTTTTAGGAGTCTAAAGCTGTGCTGTGTGTTTTTGTGATAGAAGCAGGCAGTCTGTGGATTAAAAGCTCAAGATAGTATACACATTTTGAGTGTGAAATAGGACTACAAATCATGGAAGACAGTGGGAATAAAAAAGGCAGAGCTCAGATTGTTTCAGCTGGGGACAGTGAGGGGTGATATCCTCTACAGCTCTTGAAAATGCATCAGTCATGTATTGTCGAATAAGCTTACATCAACTTGTGAAACTGAAGAACTTGTTGAACACATTAAAAATAAAATTCACCCTTAGCCTTTAGGAAATGTTGATTTTTTTTATGACATACATTCAAATAATTTTGTACTTTGACTAATACAAATAGGCTACTGTACATTTTTATAGTCTGACACCTGGCAAACTGAAATGAGTCAGCACAGTAATCACAGCCATTTGCTTCTGCTTTTTGCTCCCTTTTTGCCCTTGAATGTAATTAGACTGATGTGAGAGAATTACTCAGTTGCAAAGCTTCTGTTTTGTGGGCAAACAAAAGATTATTACAGCATCTATCAGCTTGAAGGCATCATGGCTCCTCTTCCCCTTTTTCTCCTGCCCCTGTCACAACAGCAGAGGTTTTCCAAGAAAAGTGCTGAGCTGGTTCGACTGTCTGGCTAGACTTTCCAGACTGGAAACACGGACTGGAAAGCTACTTGCCATTTATAGCAAAAAAGGCTGAGATCATTGAGGTGGCTATGAAAAAGTTTCCCTTGTCAGGCCTAAATATTTTTGACTCTTGTGTCATTCAGGGCTCATGATGTGATGCTCCAGTTCTGCTTTTATGTAACCAAGATACATAAATGACCCCGAACTTGTTTTTCATATTGGTTTCCAGGGCAGTTCTGATCAAAACTCTCCAGGATTGAATCATGCCCCGAACTCTTTTATGACAGAGTTATACACTGCAAAAAAAGAATATCAAGAAAGGAAAACAGCCTTGCATTCAGGAAATAAGTCTTATTTTTTGCACAAAAAGAATATGAATCTTGTCCAGCATGTTTGGCATTAGAAAAATTATCTTATTTTAAGAGAAAATGGTTAACTTTATCTTGATATGATATTCCAGCTAATTTTGAGATAGAATGAACCAGAAATAGAGTAGAAAACTTATTTTACAATAAATCCAGAGGAGCAACAAGATCATTCATCTCATTTTAAGGGTAAGACATATGTACAACTTCTCAATTTAAGAATGCCATGAAACAAGAACAGTTAGATTTTTTTTCAATTAAGATTTCCATTGAAGGTTAACCTGACAGAATATGCTGCCTCATCCATTATCTGACATATAAAGATGTCAGTAGGCTAGTCTGTGCAACAGACAACAAAATACAATGACCAGATGAAAACTGCAAAACAACAAAGAACATGTTTGCTTTCCACATGCTTGCTTGTGGAATAAAAAATATATTTAATGAGAATGTTTTGGTATCTTGATTTAAGACAACATCACTTATATTTGCTATGCTGAAATTATGTCTTATTTAAACTACTGTTGTGCTAGATTAAGGTGTATTTTCTTGAAGTTCATTTACTCAGGAGACTAAAATTCTAATTTTAAGTAACTTCATCTTCATTTTTTGTTGCTTGCTGTAGAAAAAAAATAGATTAATATAAGATTTTATGTCTAGTTTTAAGTTTCATTTGAGTCTGTCAGGGCCAAGAAATTTGTTCTTATTTTGAGAATTCTTGTAAAGCTAAGAAAGCTTAACCCCATTGGCAGATTTTTTTGCTTGATATAAGATTATTTGACTGAATATAAGAATATTTTGCTTCTTTCTAGTAGGGCTGTTTTTGCAGTGTAAGAAAAACATCCCTCTTTTGTTGAGGACCAAAAGTGATATAAACAGCAGATGAAGAAGATCCCAATTCTGTCTTTCAGGGTTGGAAAATCTTCTCATAAAACCATCTTCATCCAGGGGGGATTTTCAGACACAAAGAAAAGCTGTTCCCCCATTCATGAAGTCATACACACTCATGTTTGGTGAGTCATGTGTTTGAGTAGCACCTCTGCAGCAGAGGAGTGCTGAGTGCCTTGCCCAAAGGTAGAATGTCTGCTAAAAGGCACTGAAAGTCATGATGAGTCAAAGTTCTAGGATATTAAATGCGTGCTCAGCTTGTTTTAACAACCTTTTATCCCCTCAAGCATCTAATGTGTGACAGCAGCCTTGCCAGGTGAGGTCATAGCTTCCTGCTGTTTAGTATGGCTCACGGGGATGTCTGCGGCCTCAGGGAGGACTCTTTTGCGACAGGAGAGCAAACAATATTTAAATCTGCGCACAACAGAAGTTACAAGGGGAAAAAACGTCAGCAGAGTAGTTCTGCAGCCGAGGGGTCCTGAGGCACTGCTTGTCCGATTACTCTTATGTAAGGGGAGCAGTTGCATAATCAAAACGCTGAATCCCCGTGATTTCCACATGAGTGCTTCTCAGGTGTGTTCAGAGCTCTGCATCATCAAAGCAAAGGAAACAGCGCGGCAGCTCTGGAAAATCAAGAACTCATTAAAAGTCAGAGGCTCGGGCTGCTGGGCAGTGCGCAGCAGGACTGCTGCAGGGATTTTACTCACAAACAGGAAGCAAACAGTTCAGGTGGAACTTGCCGTGACAAGAGTTGGGAACACATCCTCCCACCATTACTCTCCTGCTTCATAGGTTGCATCATATCAAGCGCAGACAGGGGGGAAGGGGAGGTATGATGACTTTTGAAGGAATTTTGAAGTAGTCAAGGAGAGCTTTTGGGATTATCAAAAGATTTTTTTTCAGTTTAACTTAAAGATTAGGTGAGTGATACTGGCCTTGTCAGCTGCTGTGAGCCGGGTCCAGGGCTTATCTGCCCTTCTGTCGTAGTCCTGGGCATCTGATACTTCCACGTAGTCACTGAACCGGATGAGAATTTTGGCCTGTCTCAGCTCCTCTACAGTGGGCCTTTGGCTCAGCTGAAACAAGAAAAAGTGAGTTAAGAGCAGGAAGTATTACTAGTCACTGTCACGGCTGGCAGCTTCTTGGGATTTGCATATATTGAAGTCCTTATAGAAAGATTAGGAAAATAAGGTTTTTGAAGATCCAGTATTTTTAAGCAGGTGCACCAGGGTTCAATATCTCACAATGGCATTTTGGACTTTAATTGAATCAGTGCTCCAATTTAACACTTCAGCTCTGGCAGACCTTCTTTAGAGCATCACTTTATTTTTACTGGGATTGTTAGACACTGCCAGAGGTTATTTTAAGACAGTGATGTTGGAATTACAGAAACAGTAAAAACTGATGAATCAGTTCATAAACAGTTTCATATTTTACACTTTCCAGTACATATCTTAAATAAACAGTCTTGGAAAAATCAATAGACAAATTCTGTTTTGGATAATTTGAATTAACAGCTGCGTCATACAGCACTCCCAAACTACATGTTTGGTATACCAACTGTTTCATGTGTGTAAACCAATTTGCTCCATATAATCAGAGCCTCAATGGGGCCCTAAGCAAAATTTGATTTTGGTGCCCTCTATTTCTGGCAATAATATTGATTGTTGATCATTCACACACATACTACAGTATAAATTTAATGCGCCTGACATGCTTATACCTTGGGCTGGCTCTGCATATATTTCAAATGTTATCAGATCTGTTTTTTTTTTGCACAAGTTAAAATTCCTGATTTTTTTTGCCAGGAAGAGGAAACTCATAACTCAAACCCTGTACAAAGATAAGGTTTAGCTGGTAAGTATATTGGTGACATAATACTGTGTTATATCTGTATTGGACTCAAGGCTACAAGCTTAAAGAGGGCATGCTGGTTGTGCAATGTTCCCTGTACGCCTGGTCATGTAATATACAGAATAAGATAAGCATTTTGTTGTGTTGAAGTTTCTAATAGACATGTGATATCCACATAAATTCCTTGCTAGTATTTCTGTTCAGGGCAACATGTCAGCAGGCGAGCAGGATGTGTTATAATCCACCACAAAGTGATGGGAACACACTCAACACCTCTGTATGGGGTCGAAGGATTTGGCAGCCAATATGGCGAAGAAGCCAAGGGCAATAAGGGCACCAGCGCCCCCTGGGGCAAACCTGAGAGCTGCAATATGGGGGCCTGTATGGGACAAAAAAAAAAAAAATCGCACTTCTTGCTACATGAGTCATTGTCGCAGTGTTTGCTTTTTCCGGCCAACAATTTACCCCCTGCAACTGCTCAGAGACCAAGAGTGGGTGAGCATGTATGGAGCTATTTTAGACTCACCTTCCGTGTTAGCCTCCGTTTTATCTCCCTCTTCTCCTCCATCTCCTCTTGTTCGTTGCGAGCTGCAGAGAGCGAAAAGACGAGTTCATGGGCATGTGAACAGTGGACTGCATGCAAAATATCAAGAAGTTACTGAAAGGGGAACAAACACCTCATTTGCATAATGTGGCTCATTAGATGCTCACAAACTGGATAAGTTCCTCAATGCCTGGAATAGTTTCCATCATTTAATATGTTTAATACTATTAGGAATGGGTATCAGGGGAGAGAAGATTTGCTTTATTCTTTTCAAGCTGTCCCAGGGCCTTTCTTCTCCATGTTTGTGATCGAGTGATTAACCTATTTAAGAATTTTACAAGAAAGAAATTCTGATAACTTTCAGTTCTTGTGTCTCTTTAAAAATTCATCCATATGTTGTTCAAAATATTCAAATTAACAGAGACAAATTTTCTTCTGCACAGAAAAAACAAGCAGAATCCAGAAACATGTAAACAAGGAGCATACTGGGACACTATGTCTTGTCTGCAAAAGCTTTGGTGCTCACTCTACATCTGTGTTTGTGCTGAACATGTACTGTATCAGCAGTAGGACTCATAGTTTTATATTCCAGACAGTGCCTCAGCAGACAGTGAGGCTCAGTGTGTTTAACCTCGCTACTGTATGTGTATGAGTGATGGGGAGGACTTGACATGTCACTCATAAAGCCTTAGACTTTGTGCTTTCCTCCTGCGCCGCTGCCAATCACACAGGAGCCTCCAGGAGAGCAGGAACTTGCCGGTAAATCACTTTCATGTAAGAGCTGAAGAGTCCCGGCTAACAGAACTGCTGCCTGTGTTTGAGCTAAGAAAGCAGTCTCCCTGGACATGACTCCTCGGGGAGGCCTTCTGCCTGCTGCAGATGAAAAGGCAGACCAAGGAGGAATAAAAGTAATAGATGTATGCCACAAGCTTCCACATAACTAGGCCCCGCAAATCACCAGGCTGCACTGTATAAAGCCTGCATACATATAAGGTTGCTACAAATATAGACTAGTGCTTTTTTTAACCACTCCGAGCGCCGTGAGGTTAGCTGGGGAAATTTGTCGGCTGTTTTGTTCCCTTTAAATAATGTCTAAGTGTGAACAGCTTTACAAAAAAATGTCTACATAAAAGTTGAGGACACTCACGTTTCAGTATGTTCCTTTGTTCCAGCTCCTCTGCGGTTGGTCTCTGACTCAAGCGCCTGGGAAGAAACAGGTCAGCAAATAATCAGGCATAAAGTCAGCGAGGTAACAGTGAACCTATATGTGCAAAAGTTCAAGTTAGAGTATTGAAGTAAAAGCTCAATACTCTTCCCCATCAAAGTTGTTTTATTGATATTTTTAACACACAACATGTACATTTAAACCAAAAGCTTTGTGCTTTAGAGTAAAATATGATGTGATGGTCCCTCAGCTGAATGAAATATGCATTTTCCTCAGTGTTTCCTCACCTTCACTTCAACTGATTTCAAAGCACCAGAAAAACAATTCTCTTTTCTTTTTTAATTTTTTGCTCAGCAGTGATTTGCATCCTACATGAGTCTCTGCTTCATGACAGCATGACTGATGTACTCGCTGAAAATTCACTCAGCCATGATCAACCAATCCCTCTCTTTTAATTTAATGGCTTCATCTCAACACACTGGTGCATTGCAGGTAAGGAGGAGAGTAAAAACTAGATTTTTTTCCCTGTAGACTCAGCTCTCATCTGATGCTGAATAAGGCAAAGGAGACTTTGTCAATACTACAAGCCCACTCTGAGGTTTCAAGACAGCTAAAATAAAGCTACAGCACATCTCTGAGGAGAGGAGACAAAGACATGTGCAGCTTGACAGCCAGACACTTCAGAGGATGTCTGAAGAGGTACATTTTGCACACATTATCTCCAATTTCCTCAATTTGAAAATGGCTGGAATGACTAAGACACCCAGAGGCAATCTCTGAAAGGTCACTCTAAGGGCTTTCAACTGGGGACTCTTATAATAGGATTGTGTCAGGACCCTGCGGCTGCAGACCTGACTGGAGAACTTGATCACTGATTGTTTCTGTCTCGTTAGATGTGACAGCAATCTGGATATGCTCAGCCCTGAAAGCTACTGTATGCAGGATGAAGTCTGTGTGCTCAAACTAGCTTGTCTCATCTCATTCTGTGTCCTCTCTTCTCCCTCTTGAGGGAAATGTTAACACTCCAAATCTCAGACTACAGCTCTCCGCCTGCCAGTATGGCCTGAGCATAATCCCCACATCATGCCAGCACAAGTGCAGCTGCTGTAAATAAACATGCACGGACTAGTTAACAAACATCCACATGGATGCTCCTTTCCAAATAATTTTCTACCACAGCCAGGTTCATCTTAGTAAATATCATTAACAAATAAGAGCCTGTCCTACGTTACGAAGACTAAACGGAGTTTAATGAGGTTATATAAGCAGTTACACAAGGCATAATGAATGCTAATATAATTAAAAACAACTTTAAGGCCTAACTAATGGGCTGTTTTGTCCTCAGAATTGATCAGATGACTATTTATAATGTGATAAAATCCAACAAAAATCCTCAAACTCTGCAGTTACCCTTTACAGAGCAGTTAGCATCTTTCAGCTAACGTTTGCAGACTGACAACAAATCAGCTGTCCTGTCTTGATAAATTAACTCTCACTTGTCTCTTTGACAATTTTTCAACAACAGCAAGTTATTATTTTCATTCTAAAAGGAAATTATCAAGGCAATCTTCCAAACAAGCAGCTAACAAAGCTGCTCTGTAGCTAGCAACTAGCTAGAGAACATAACTGTGGCAAGAGAGATTAACGTTTTCCCAAGGGGCTGATGCAGACCAAAATGATACCTGCATCAATATTATTCAGCATAAAATGTCAATTTTTTCTGCTAGATCCTAAATCTTGCAAAATTGTATTTTTGCAGCATCACCAGAATGTTAAATTTGGACCGAACTCTTCTATAGTTTTCTGTGTCTTTGAAGAAAACTTGTTTACCGGCGATTATTAAATCAATAAAGCTCTGCTCTCTTCCTGTAGTTTTACAGAGTCTGCAGGTTTGCTAAAAGCCTCATAATTAAGACAAGATTGCAAGAAGCTAACACGCCTGACCATGACTTTGTTTGTTTGTTTGAGACTAAGACTAACAATTAAATGCACATATTTATCAAACAAGAAGTGCTCATCATTTTAGAGTTTTCTCTTTCTTTTTCATCTACTCTCAAAAAGAAAGCAAAGCATGCATTTCTCAAAATTTCAAACTACTTCTTTTAGACACAAACTTCATTTAAGTAGAAACTTATAAGTAGAAATATATAAAACACCAATTCCTATCTTGGATTATATGGTATGTGTAATATTAACAAAGAAGAGTGATGTAGGATTTCTGGCCATGTCATGCAGCCATAGTTTAGAAACTACCAATCTGCTGGTGAAGATTATATGGCTCTCCACTTCTCAAGGGGAAAACTGAAACTCTGAATAAAAGGGTACAGTCAAAGTACATTGAGATGCTTGGTATGGGGATAAAACAGTCAACTTTGATTGGACTGGAATACTTTAAACCGAAACTGAGGGACACATCGCTCTCGGCAGAAAATTAGTGATCGTGCATCAGATGACAGTGTGCAAAGGACACTGTGACGGAGCTTTTGGTAACATGACAACTAAGCAGGCAGGCCTTCTGGGAACACGCGCTGCCTTCCAATCACACAGTGGGGAATAGATACGTGTGTGCCAGTGTCTCTCAATAACGCCTCATCCATTCCCCTTTCACTGTATGCCCCACGTCAACTATATAATTACACTTTGCAGGCTTTTATTTTTACCCTCCTTCTTGGCGGTCTTCTTTCAGCGCATCGTTACTTCCCTTTCGAGTCATGCTCAAAGCACAGAGTGAAATCGAATGAGGCCCGCGTCATTCGTTCAAGTAAAAGAACTCATGTTTATCATCTGAACATATGTATACAAATTCCTGTGATTTGGATGTACTGCATCAGCGTACAGTGTTTGTGTGTGTTTTTTTGTGTGTAGTCTGCTGATATGGATTGGCTTGCGTGGTGCTGCTGTGTGGAGGAGTCGGGTGGAGATAGTTTGGCACATGCATCACTGTGGTGATTCAGTCAGCGAGGGAGGAAGTCAGGCAGGAGGAAGAAAGAGAAGAGTGAGAGAGAGTGAGAGTGAGAGAGATATGGAGAAGACAAGAGAAGAGAAAAGAGACAGGAGGGGGGGATGATGCATTGCTGAAATTAGGTCAGCTCCATTTTCAGCGCCTCATTCTAACAAGATAAAGCCATTCTCTTTATCTGATGTTGTGAAAGAAAAAAATTAAAGGATATAAAAGTGATTTGATAGAGAAAAGGCTCACATTTGCATCAGCTTTGGACTGAGCTTCGCTTCTATCAGCCAGGATAATGAGCCGCCTAAAACCCCAAGTACCAAAGACTAAAGCTCAGTTTGGCCAAGAGGAGTCAGAGCTTATTCCTGGCAGCTATTGTTGAGTCAGCTTCACCATCATCGACGTGATTTACTGAAAATATTTGGCCCGTAAATTGTGCATGGGTGCTAATGTATTCAGGTTTAAAAATGCAACACGTCTCACCTTGTGAGTTTGGTGCCTATCTGCTGCCTAGATTCCAGTCTCTCCTCATCAGTCTGCATAGGCAGGATATTTTTCTCCTCCAGCTCTCTTTTGGATGGACGGTTACTCAGCTTGATGGCCAAGGAGTCTTTCCTCAGCACCTTCTGAGCAAGGGTACCTGAATATAAACAGATATATACAGTAAAACAGGCATGAAGCATGGATGTAGAGCCTCATTAACCCAGTTACCCCTCATCTTTTTCCTCTTTTATTGAGCTTTTTTGATTCACTAAGTGGATATTAATCAATGTCAGAGTCCTTGAATGAGGAGCAAAACCCCAATTTTTAAACTAGTATTTGACCTTTAGTGTAACTCCAGATACTTGCACTCTTCACTTCATGTTATAAACACAGATTCCCCTGTGACCTTAACTGTGACTCATACTTCTGCTGCCCCTTAAAGTCATGACGTGGCAGACCATCACACATGACCAATCATCACCTTTTAAAAACCCAAACGGCTTTTACCCAGGTGAAAAAAAGGACAATGTGTCATAAAAAAAAAAAAAAACAAGTGCAGCTTTTCACACTGCAGTGTCAAGTCAATGTGCGTCTCTGGATGACGGTGCGACTCCAGATATGCTTCTGTGAACTCCATTTTGGCCCTGTTTCTTTAAGGTCAAACTGCATCTGAGTTCTCGGAGACTTCGATTGAAGAGTGAAGTCCGTGTTTGTCTGTCGATCAGGATGAGTCAAGTAAAAAATGTGTCATCATTTTCTGTAAATAAAACAGACAAAGGCCGCTCTCCTGCCAAGGCGCTCTATGTTTTTGTCTTTTACCTCTGGTAACACACAGAGGGGATTATTGTATTGTATTTAGAGTATGAATAAAGGTCTGGGCGAACATTTATCATTTTCTTTTGGATTGTGATACTAAGTTCTGTGAGTTAAAAATATCTACAGTAGTATCACATCCATATTTCTACACTAGAAAACATGTAATTTAGGTTTTTGGACCAGTGTTTGAGCCTCTGTTCATGTCTTCTATGTTTATTGTTAGACTTCTCTTTTTTGAGGCTAAATCGACTTAGTTTGATTATCTCCCGCCCCTCACTTGTAAATATGGAGTCATCATCTTCGTCATCGTCCTCATCATCATCCACATCGTCGTCCTCGTCCTTGTACATGCTGGGCAGATCTTCGTAGTCTGACTCGTTGGGCATGTTCTCCTTGTCGTCCTCATAGTCGATGATCACAGACGGCACTTCTCTTCGGTCCAGAGGAATACACTGACCACCTCCGTGTAGTGCAGAACTGGTTAAAGGAAAAATACATATTTGGTGATTTTGAACTCTGATTCGTGCATTTCTGTAATCGCTCTCACTAGTTGTCAAGAAGAGGTTTCTGTACATCCCCCTTTACACTGAAAGACAAATCCAGTTTTCATGGAAATCCCTGTACCTAAAGCTGAGTCTTACATCATCTTTTTCCAGACAGAAAATATTTTATTTGACATGAAGTATTACCGCAACCCTCACAAGGCATCTCGCTGCATATAAGGAGGTGATTTAAAACAATAAAAGGGTTTCTGGTGCATAGCCTAATGATGGCTTAGTGGGATTTTAATCCAGCTATAGAGGGAGGGAAGATACATAACACCATCTGAATGAAACTGGAGTACAAAGAGCCTGCACACATAGCGAGTACAATTTTGTGCAGTCCTACGCAATGCAATGCAACCCTGTGAACTACACAGAGGAAAAGAATATCTGATTATACAACATGCAGAATTACAAACAAGGTGACAGAAATAAACTTCACTTTCAGGAGCCATTATTTAAATGCACCGGTGAAAATATTTGACTGATTGATGAATCACTGTCTAGTTTGAGCTCCTTATGAAGATAAGCCACTATTGCGTAATCGTTTTCAAGCTTTCAGACTAATTGTGAGCAATGTCAGGACCATTATTATTTCCTTATCCCTGTCCAAATGGCTTTGGTGAAAAAGTGCTCCACATAGAAGAGGTTACATAATGCTCAAACCACTATTCTGTCCCTTTTTCTCCAAACATGAAGAAACGCAGCTCTTGTGAAGAGCAGCTGGTCATGTTATGTCAAGCTAACTGCTGGAGGGACGCCTACTCCATGAGCCTGTGCCCACACATACATACTCTTCAAAATTAGGCCATGCTGCCCTGTGAGGCAGTGTGCTGATTTAGACCTGTGCACCGGTGCTGCATGGCAGGATACAACCTCAATAACAAGAGGGAGATTTGAGAGTGGAGGACGAGATGCGACAAAATTAAACCAACAAACAGGACACTCCAGGCTGAGGACACAATTCTGCTCCAATAACTCAACTGAAAAGTGCTACAGCTTTCACTCACGATGGATGAATTAGATGATCATGGAGGATTTTTTTTACTGAATTCACTTTTTTTCATTTACTCTGATATCCCTCTGAGGATGGGGGGCTTATTTAATGCTGTTTCTAAGGTGATAAATCATGTGAATTTAAATAAACTTGACCAGTGTAAATAAAAGCACACTTAAATGATTTCATGAGACTTTAGATTAGATAGAAAAAAAATGCATATTAGACAAGTTTTTGTCATTTGACAGCATCAGGGTTTATCAACAACTGAAAAAAAACTATTAACCTTCCTCCTGTTTCAGCTTTTACTACACACCCACCATGAGGGTCGGTTTGACCCATGTCTTAAATCAGCTGTAAATTACACTAAAAATATTTCTCTATCATCCAATTTGGTTCCCACCTCTAGGGTATCTTGTTAGGCTTCATTATCCATAAAAATATTGCTTAATAGTTTATGTAGTGGAACTCTGGGCCTTTTCTTTGTCAGTATACCCCTAACACAGATGTCCATAGTGAACTGATCTCACATGTCTGGACATGCCTGTCGTTGGTAAAATTAGAATTTTCTAAATCTCACATGATTGGAAGAGGATCTGACTGTCAGTGCACCTCTGATTTCAGTTTTTGCTCTGATTATTAGATATTGATGTAACCAGGTCAACAGCGACCCAAACACAACAAGTGCCATAATTTTAGTAAAAGCATTTTATAATTTAGTCAATTTATTTTTTTTATTTTGTTAAAATAGAGGTTCCTGACAAAGTCAAAAAGTCTTGATACAAAAACAGACAGACAGACAGACAGACAGACAGACAGATAGATAGATATTTAAGTGGTTCTTTTAAGCATTTAAAATCAAAAACGGGTCAATGCAGACTCTAACACAGGAGGAGGGTTAAAGTATAACTAATACACTGTAAGAAAACGAAAGCATTCACCCACCAATACTAGATAATGTTAGTTTATCTTATCTGGTATGAGATTATAAGATGCTGTTCAAAAGTAGAGCACAACAGTTCAACTTTTGCACTCAGCATGTGAGAATCCTGCTCCAAATTTGACATCTGAGGACCTAAATAATTCAATATAGTAAATTTTTAATAAAAAAGGCCACTTGTTGTCGTCTGCTACTCTTTGTGACATCCAAGCTCTGAATACCTTAAGTCACATTCTTAAATGGATGCATGAGGGATTGACATATTTCAGTTCTGATTTATCAAAACCAGACCAGGACAATGAAAGGCTGATCCGTAATCCCCCCCCAGCCTTTACTGAAGGACAATCAGCTTTAACGACCTCGGCTACGAACCTTTCAAACCTCTGCATGGAGAGCGCCAGGGTCTTATTGAGCTCCTCGATGATGCGGCTCGGTGTGTGCAAGCTGCCATACTGTAGCTGGAGGGGGTGACCGTGGCTCTGGTGGAAACCGGCGAGCTGAGAGGGCAGCAAGGTGCCGTGGTGGAGGGACACGCCCTGGGGAGGGGCGCACTTTTGGGATAAAGCGCTGAGGGGGTTCGGGGATGGTGAGGGCGAAGAAGAGGAGTCCAGCCCCCCTGGAGGCACACAGATCATCACTTTTTTAGGGGGCAGAGGTGGAGAGTGCTTTCCTCCAGGCATACAGGGCAACTTCATCGGCTGGCATGAATCTAGAGACAGAATGAAATTAAGTTTAACAGGAGAGATAAAAGAGGATCACTGACTGAGAATACTGTGTGTTATATCAGCTCCACTGCACTTTGCTGATACAGACAGATAAACAGAGCTCATGGCCGATCAGACATGGCTCAGACATCAGCGCACTGGTGGGATTTAGGCCAGGGTAATGCTACTTCCCTCCAACTGACAGATTGACAATGACAGAGAGGGCCAAGATGACCTAACGGCAGGAGAATTTAATGAGACTACCATAATCCTTTGCACATGTGTGTCAACTCAGGTACAGTTTAGGGCAATGAAAGTCAAGACGAACGCTGAGAAGCAGATTGTCACATTTCGGTAGCATCAAAAAAATAATCAGATTAGAGTGTTTAGTTGGAGCACTGACCTGTGCTATGGTTTGGGATCCTAGAGAAAGGCTTTGGAGGGAGTGCAGGGGGCTGTTTGTGGTACAGCGGGGGCTTCGCTGGGGTATCCTGATGGTCACCGGGGTAGGTGATCGTTTTCTTGGAGGGTAGGACCATAGATGACTTGATAGGGGGCTCCTGAGTGCAGACTCCGCTGTCCATCGAGGATCGGAACTCAACGGTCGCTAAACACAAGAAAATGACAATTTGACAGGCGCTGAAAACGGCTTTGACTGAGGCATTTCCAAACACGAAGTTAAAAATGAACTCGGGATGAGAAGTTTGGAGACAAAAAAAGGGGGAGGGGATTCGGGAGCTAAGACTGGAAAACGACCCAGGAGCCTTTTATCAGCAAGAACCAGACCAGAGAACAGTGTCAGCCGAGCAGTCTGACAGAACTTTCGCTTTTTAATTCCTTCGCAGCACTGAGCCTTTTGATGGTTTTTGCATGATCACATTTAAGGGCTGACAGTGCAACTCACAGCGCCGCTTGCATACTCTGACAAACAATGCTTTTCATTTCTAGAGGGAGTTTGTTTCCCAAATGTCACTTTGATTTAATAGTCTTACACCAGAAAACCCAAGGAAAACTTACTACTGTATGATTCAGAGAGTTGAGGTTCATTTCAAGACTTTTTACCTCTCAAGGTGTTTTTTAAATACCAATCACCTTAGAGTGTTTAACGCTTAGATCCTGATTGTAAATGCTTAAAATAGTAATTGGTAAATGGACTCTGCTTCACTTTCTTTTCTCCTCTGACCACTCAAAGCGGATCAAACCTCTGACCCACAGATTGAGACACGACCGACTCCACAGCTGAGCCACAGCCGTCCCACATACAGGTGAATCACCAAAAAAAACACCCTTCCGAGCGATGTCAATAAGTGGATATCAGGTTATATCTTCATATCGAGCTGTTGAGTCATTTAATTTGAGACCTTCATCTGACTGTGATTGGTTCGGTCGGTGTGCGACACATTTAATCCAGGTACACAGGGTGCCAGACAAAGATGAGGAACAGCTAAAGCTGATAAAAACCCGGCCAACATTAGGTGAAAAGGTTAATCCATTTTAACCGACCGGGGATATTTTTCCATTGGAATATATCCCTTTTGTTTTTGCCCCTACAGATCAGCGTCCATTTTGAGAACAAAACAAGAGCTGAATGTATTTCGCTGAAATCTTTACACCGGTGCTGATCGAACAAAGCCGCATTTATGTGTAGTGACTGTAAAAATAACCACTGCTGATTAGCTCAGACATGCACACAAGCTTTTTTGATTACAGAAACTAGGTTGTCACCGGGCAGGAAAACTGAGAACACTAGATCTCATTAATATGCATCCTTCGGAGTGGCATACTTGTGCAAAAAGAGAAACTAGCCAATTCAGTGTATCAGTTGCGACCATTTTACTGGAAGTAAAGCCAAGCCGAGGAGAAGTGGTTTGCAAGCTCTGATCCCAACTCTTGTTTATACTTGTTCTTGCTTTACTTTTTATGACGTTTGTGTTGGCGCCAACATCACTCAGAGTTGTTATTTTTCGTTAACATTGTTCCAAACGCTCAGTTTGTGCTCAACAGTGAAATCCTCATTTGCCCCGTTCACATCTTGGCAGGAGTTAGTGGACTTTCTCAGCTTTGCTAACTTTGTTTTTCGATGTCCCAGAGCATGGAGCACCCTGCTGCCAGACTGAAATATACTCTCCAGCTTTGAATCTCTGTGTCTGAAGCACATCAAATCAAGATCAAAGAGTTTATAAAAGCCTACAAAATTTTTATAATGAAAGATTATATCTTTAGATGCCCTGTGCCAAATCTTGAAGAGTGTACTTCAGAGGCTGCTGATTAATGAGGAGATGAATAACTAAAGACCTTTCACCATGTCTACTCTTTATGCAGTCTACTCTTTCTGAGATGAGGCAGTTTCCCGCTCCGTTGAATCAGATTGTAAGAGAAGAACAGCAGCTCACCTTTTTCAAAGATCTCTTTCAGCACTCCTCTCTTGATCAGCTCATCCCTGCTCTGTCGCATAGACATCTTCCTCTCCAAAGCTGAGGGGGGAAAAAAGAAAGAGTCATTTTCACATTTATCACATTAACCAAGCAACAAAACAAAGATAAATACAAGATTTTCACCTGTGATTTTAGGAAATGTTTTCAGAAAGTATTTGAAAACGATAAAACCGTTTGCTGGTCTTTTTTTTCTTCCGCCTGCGGCAATCATCTCCATGTCCAGTTATTACAACAGAGGGTATAATCCTTTAAAATGGTTTTACTTTTTTTAAAGAGCTCAGTCTCTTTGTAAAGCAGCCGGGCACTGTACTCCTAAGTAAGTTATTCAAGCAGGAGTAAGAAGTCTATTTGTTTGGGACTATTTTTAGTGGTGGATTAACACACTATTGGTGGGCTACTGAATACTTATGGCAGCAGGATGTGTGGGATTAACTGAAAATAAACTACAGTGCCTCTGTTCATTTTGGTGAGGTAACTCGTCACAAGTTTAACACAAGGAAACACGTGGTTTAGTTAGTAGAGTTGATAAGACTTTCACTGGACCAATCAATGGTTGACTTTTGTCTATTTCAACAATATTATTAATACAAACTATCACTGGTTCTTATACTTCTTATATTAACTAATCTGTCTGTGTGTGTTTTTATCAGAGTGGAATAAAACCTGATCTCCTTCAGGGAAAATAACTGCAAGACTAAAAGTCTGGGATTGTCGTTTACATAATCTAAAACCTGTGATCACTCCACCAAACACCTCAAGCTAAAAAAGGAGCCGCGATTAAGACCGGAGATAAGAGATGGAGGAGATATTTCAACAACACGTCTCATACTAATGCATTATGCACAGGGAAGCATGTCCCATAGCTAATGCTTGATTCTATTTATAGTGTCAGAAGTCGAAGCACTTAACATCCTCAGTCAGCAGGCTGAATGAAAAAATCATCAGAGCAATTTCAAAATCAACCTCTGCATAGAAACCAGTGAGGAATGTGAAATGAATATCAGCAAGAAAACTCGTGGCAGAAATGTCCCTGCGGGCCTCTGTAGCTCTTTCTTAAGAGGGGGGATCACAGATTGTGGCATGTGTGCTTTACATACGACCCAGGAGTCTTGTCCCAGCTCTATCAGAGGGCGCCGTGTCCAATGCTAATACCATCCTCAGTGTGGATTCATTTAAATACAGACAGCTTGACCTCTCCTTTCTTTGCCTTTGGTCAGAACTCAGTGGATTTAATACCAACTGCTGAGAGTCCAAAATTAAAAATACAAATGAGAGTCGAACAAATGTCAGAGTGGAGAGGCCTCAGGGGCGCGGATCTGGATACTCGCTGCTTCGGTGTTCAAAAATACAGCAGAGCAAGCTATCATCAAACAGTGCGCTCCATTATGACTTCCTCCAGGATACCAGATGTTCAATATCACTTCATACTTAAAATGCTTTAGAGGAGACGCTTGTTTAAGATCAGCTCCGCGCCAGGAATTAGTTCAGCAGTGAAACATTTTGGGGGCAGAAAAATGTGACCAAAATATCACTAAAATGTCACAAAGAGAAACCTCACAAGTGGTGCCCTACAAAGCAGTGTGAAATAAAATGAACCTGCTCCATGTGATGATGCTTGGGATGCTAAAGCTGGCAGACCTATAAAAAACCTATAAAAAAATACACAGTTTTTTTATCCCCCCTTCCCTTTAAAGGCAGCAGATTTATCTTTTGGTCAAGAACATCAGAGGAGAGCAAACACGCTCATCAAACAGATGACCCAGAATCAACAGAGAGGGATTCATCCGACTGAGAGTGGAGGTTTTTACAGTTCACCTGATTGTCTCACCGAAGCACCACAGGCACCGAGAGGCAGTGGGGCAACAAACATTCGACGCTAATGCACCCGAGTATTCTTAGCTTTAATCAAAATGTGGAAAAATTATAAATCAGAGACACTGAGGGACAAAAAACTCTTGTAAAAATTAAATAATCTTTAATTTGTCAATTTCTATGTCTGTTTTCTTAATGTTAAATCTGTGAAGTCACTTTATTGTTGTTCCTTTTACATTGAGCTTTCTTATCATCTTGTGATAAAAGCAGTAAAATCCAAGAACATGTTACGATGAAATCACAGTCATCAGTTCATTCAATTTTTTTGTTTCCCACTTCTAAAAATAGCATAAAATCAACGTCAGATACTCTCTGGCACCTTTGTTACATAATATCTTCATACAAATTGATCATATTTTGGTTGACAGCCACAAATCAATATCAGCAATATCAGGAATATGTATAAAAACATCATCAATCGAGTGGGAAACCCTCCGGGCTAAGGAGCGGCGCTACGCTGGCAGTGTTGTAACAGCCTATGTCCCAGGATTATGCTGCCGTTTCATCCAAAATGAAAAGTAATTACTCAAAGCTGTATGACATAACTGCTATGCCAAGCAATGTGCACTGTTATGCAATACCATTAAGTCAAAGCCTTTGCGAGGATGCAAAGGGTGCCTTTGTTTGCCCATGAAGAAGAAAAATTGTGGGGATTGATTTGAACACAGCTCTCTGTGCCCCATAGCTGAGAGTCAGGAGTTAAAACAAAAACTGGCTGTTCTGTTCTTATGAAAACAACATTTTCTTTAATATTTGATGAATACATTAAACGTGTACAAGACGGGGAATTTCATGTTCATTTCATCAGGAGTGCAAAGAAATACAAAAAAAAAGAAAGAACATTGACTGTGGATGAAAAAAGACCACTCACATTATAAATCTTACTTTGATCAGAGTTCAACCTGACTGCTGCTGGTTTGAGGTAAGCATACATTAAACAATCAATAAACTCCATCCTATGTCTTATCCAGAGACCGCAATATTTCATGTATGGAAATCTGAAGCTGTCCTCAAAATAACCTTGCATATCAATCATGTTCTATTTCGGCCAGGCCGTCATTGCCCAAGCGATGTCCCACACTCCTGCCACTCAATATGCAGCAGGATGAGAAGACTGTTCACTCATCAGGGAGACTCAGTTGAGAGCATATTAAATGAAACTGGCATATCTGAGTGCAGCCTGTATTGATATGAGAACGCTACTCTTAGTTTTTTTTTTAAGAAAATATATTCCACTGCGCAGTGACCCAGATAGTCAGAACACATCCTACCAGCCCTGAGGCTCAGTAGCTCAAAGTGGAGGCTTTTACCGAGGCGATTCTCTCTGCCTGAGCCGCACAAAAAACTGTATTAAAACTTTCATGGAGTCTTTTATCAATGAGAGGCTCCAATGTCAGAAGCTTGGATATGACTTAACGAGAGAGACCTTAACATAAACAACAGTTCTGTAATGATACATCTGTGTTTTCATAGAGTGTAAATCTGTCTTTTAAGCAAAGGTTATGCAAATAAACAACAAAAATAGTGACTAATGTTCTTAAGGAAATCAAACTAATGGGATTAGAAACAAAAAGATAAAATCAGACTACCACATGTGTTTCTCTTATGATGAATCTGCCTGTTGAGATCTCACTGTGATACAAACACGCCGGGCGAGATAACGCAGCGTGATAAGACATCCAACTGTCGCTTCCTTCCTGAGGTGAGGACTAAAGACCCCCAGAGCTAGCCTTCATCTGCTTCACATCACAACACATTTATAATCCTCCTGTGCTCACCGTCCAATTATCTGCAACAACATCTGCGCGCCCAGTGGCGGCTCGACTCCCTACCAACACCAAAATCATAATCAAGAGTAAGACATCGTAGATGACTGCAGAGACGAGATGACAAGACGTGGGTCTGGGGGGGCCGAGATCATAGCAGGGCTGCAGAAATGATGACTGCAATGTTTGGGTCGCCATAAGATCCTCGTCTGGTGAAAGCATGTTCTCCAGGTGGCAAATGACCAGCAGAGCCCTCCTGATAGATTGAGCATTAGCTGTAATTATGTGGCAGGAGTGCTTTATATTAAAAAAAACAATTAGGCCACATCAGTGCAGATGTTAAACAGACTGAGACAAATGAGTGCAAATGATCTATTTTAAAAGCACTGATCAGAAGTGAGGCTTCAAGACAGGGTTCCTACACAGTTGGAATTTCCATACTTTTCCATACCCTACTTTTTAGACTTATTTTTGGAAATACCTACTTAGCTATTTTAGAAAACAGAATTTTACGACTGTGGTAAAAGCCTGGAAACATAAATATTTTTCCATACTTTATTTTTCATTTACCATACTTTTTAAGACCTGGAAATTGATCAAATTACTTCCATACTTTTTCCATACTTGCGTAGGAACCCTGTTCAAATCAACTGAAGTCGGTAGATTGTCCACATGAGCTGAATTCGTTCCAGGAAACAGTTTTCTCTAAATAGTTTTCACTGAATACTGCAGCTAAGCTCCCTAACTACCCAAAAAACTCAGATCTCAAAATGATCACTTTCAATTGCTTATTTCCTATTTTCAATGTTGTCAGTAACATTCTCAGACAAAATCCACTCTCCACTGAAATTGGTTTAACACTGTGAAGTGGAAAAGTTTTTGTAGGAGACTAAACAAATGTTTAAGTTGCTTAAGACTAAACATTCATCAAACAATGAGCGTGGTCTAGACTTGCTCTCTTTCTTTGGAAGTTTGTTTGATGATTGATAAGCAACACAGATGAGAATTTTTAGTATGACATTTCCCTTCCCAAAACTATTTATTCCTTAATTTGACAGGAATTGTGCACAACACAACTGCTGCTAGAGTTAGCTTTAAAACTCATATCTACACCTGTGGTTAATTCATGTTAGCCTAACCAGTCAAGAAAGGAAGGAGAGAGGAAGAAAACAGAACAGAAAGAGGTAGAGAAGTTAAACTGACTCAGACATAATATTGGCTTATGCAGCATTGAAGGGCTGGTTGAGTAAAAAAATAGAAGCCCCCTAAACTATGAAAATACAGTAAAGAGGACTTTTCAGGTGCTGCTGTTATTTTCTGCATCTGTACTAATGTTTTTAATTCACTGTGAATGAAAATATTAAATTTAACTTCAAATCAATCCTTCAGGTGGTCGTGTAGTAACACGTGAGACAGTGTCAAATGAACAGGTGGTTATGCTAAATAGAATCTGCAGAACCGCCCACTTATTATACATTATCGCTCATATTTAAGCTGTCGTTTAGAGTCACACGTCTTATGCAACAAATATATTTACCTATATATATCTGACTCTATGTGTCATGTTTTGTTTTGGCTCATTTTTTTTAACATCACACCCTTTGTTTACATCTTTTTTCAGATTCAATGGTCTGTGTGATGATTCCTACAGTTCAAACTCTCCGAGCCACTTCCTGTCATTTTGAATCACTACACCGGCTCCTTCCTGTGACGGCTTGTTTTCCACCTCTTCCAGCCGAAGTGCAGCCCACACTCCTCTTGTTTTGGGGCTCTAAAAGTTGGGTTCACGCTTCCTCCCTCAAATTGAAAGTGACAGCTGGTGTGGAGCTGCATTAGCATCACTGCAGCGAGAGAACCAGCCTGAGCACAGGAGCTACTTGCAGGATTGCACACACCGCCTACAGCTTGAAAATAACACAGAAATTCCACTCAGAGGCCTCAAAAGAAAGATACGCTGGTAGGTCATAATCCACCATCAGAGAGGATTGAATAGAACAATAGTGGCAAAAGAATTTTTTTTAGAGACAGCAGCGTTATGCATACAAAACAAGTGGATAACAAAAGCGATGGAGAGGGCCTTTTCACTCAACTCCACTGTGCATTAACACCATTGTAGCACGACAAAAAAAGGCTTTTTGTTGTTCAGCTTTTGATAATTGTCCTCCACTACAGCTGGGGAGGCTCTGTTATCAGAGAACGTACCCATGGACAGAAAACATCCCTATGATTGTTTCATTAAGTACACACTCCTAATGCAAATACAGTAGAGCATTTAAATAATCAGACATCTCAAACTGGAAAAATTCATGCCCTCAGGACTTGTGTCTTGCTGAAAAGTCTACCGAGTCCTTCTGTAGAGGAAAAGAGAAACCGTTTGTGCAAAAAAACAAACTACTGTGAGACAACACTGCAGGAACAATGGAAGTCAAAGCCTAGCTGAAGGCTTATATAAACTAAAAAGTCAAATACATGTTTTATGCTAGTGAAAAAGACAGACATAAGAAGACATCGCTCTAAAGCAAGATCGACACTTGAAAGAGCAGAGAGGCAGTCGCAGGAAACATGATCAAAGCAGGGAGAGACTGATTCATTCAGCAAATTCACACCTGTAAAATGCTAATTTACCAACATCCCGTCCTGCTCAGACCGGATTCAGGTCCCTTAGAGATTGCTCATCTTTCCCTCTAAGTAAGAATTCTTTTCCTTCAACCCACAAGACGCGGTCTGACAAAGTGTCTCCTCCTGTCCAACAGGCTGACAGTACAATTCAGGATGTGTTAGCCGAGCAAAATAAATACAGGCACATCCGAGGAGAGCACGTCCTTCACTCGCCCCTGACAAAGCTGTGCTGCCAGATCAAAGGAACTCTTAAGAGACCTCAAAATATGAAGCTCCAACGCTGCACTTTTGCTGAATCAATTTGCTGCATTTACAATCACCCTGGAGACTGAAACTTAGTACTTCTCTCTTTTCTCTGAGCTGAAGGATGCACATTGAATTTTTCTCCCCAATCAGACAGGGAAAGACAGGGAACTATGTCTGTTTTACACACAAGAGGCGCCCAGTCCTGCTTATATTAACATAATGAATAATTAGCAAAAAATTTCACATACCAGCAGAGGTCTGCTTGAACTTCTCACTCTTCTTCTTCCTCCATTTCCATGGCTTCAGGAGGCGTCCCAGAGTTGCAAACTTGCTCCGACGTCGGATGGGTGGAGTGTGGGTGCCAGAGACCAAAGACTCAGAACGCATGGCGGCCAGCCTCTCTACTTCCTCAGCTGTTAGGATGGAAAGAAAAAAAAACAGGGTCTGGTTGAAGGTGAGGATGCAGAGGAGGTGATATTCTGGTAATCATGCAGGACAGCTAGCAGTGAGTGAAGCAGACACTTCTGCTTACAAAGATCCAAGCAGCAGGAATCTGTGCCAAGTGGCCTCCTGAATCTCCTCGTAACTGGATGAGGTTTGAAGAGGATAAACAAACCTTCATATCAGATAGCATTACGCAGGAGTCTGAGCAGTTTGAGGCTGCATCACACTGAGCGGCTGGTATTAGCTTGCCAAAACACAACCAAACAGACTGATAATAAGCACCTCATTAAGGGGGGAATCTTTCTAGTTCTCATCAAATATTCACAAAGCCCAGCCCTTTAGACTGTTACGTACTGTTGGACATCAAAAGCAACTGATGTTAAGCAATTTATTTAGGACAAAAAAATAAGAAAACAGAGAGCGCATGTCATGTTTGAAATATGCTGCAATCAAGGGCTACAAACAGCTCTAATTACAAAAAAACAAGACACCGGGGTGAACCCAAACTGGGATTACAAAACAACACCCTCCAGCTCCAAACTCAGATTTTCCATTCAAACAAAATAACCAGCTTTTGAACCGATCCGAAATCACAAAACTAATGAACGAAATCAAGAGACACTGATGTTTGTCTGAAGCAGTGTTAATTTAAGTAGCATGGCTTTGATCAGCCAAACAGTTCTTCTGTTTAACTTTATAAGAACAGCACTAAAGAGGCTTTTACAAATGTTTTAGACTCTGAACTTTGAGACGGCCTTTGACCTCTCCTAATTCCCACATTTCAAAATATCTGATGGCAGGATCTTAAACTTACTTTCTTGATAAATTTTATTACTTAAATATATAAGACATAAGTTTTATTATTCAAGCAGTAAGATGTTGTTTTTTGGGGCACTGATGGGATCATACAAACATTCAGTTTGGAGTCTGTACTTTCTAAACAGCCTATAAAGCCCCTTAAGTCCCATTAAATATTGACCATTGACTTGCAAACACATCACACACTGCATTGATTATTTTTGCAAAAATATTTTAAACCTCATCTCGCCTTAAACTTTCTTGTATCATTTTTTCTTCACAGTTATATAATAAAAACACAGGCTAAAACTGCACAGGCTTTCATTCCCAGACTTGTATTGATTATGATTTAAAACTCTGTACCTTCTAGGCATCTATTGACATCCCTTTATTTCCTCACATTATGATCAGTAGACTTGCAGAGATCTTGTGTATGCTTGCTTGCCATTTCTGTCCCACATCCACAGTATCATTTGCAGTAAGAATGTTCACATTTTGGGCTTTGCAGGAGTGGTAAAAAGCTTTTTTACCACCATATTCTGACTGGTTCAGCAGATTTGAAGAACGCCAATGGCTTTCTATAAAGTAGGATAAATATTTAAAAGGGTAAATGGATGAAAAGAGAACTGGCTGAAAATCTGGCAACAAAAGTCCAAGTTTTCCTGGTTGAATGTGTGCAGCAGACTAGAGTCTGATATGTGTGGTGACCTCTACCACAAAGTGTCTTGTCAGTTGTCAGTGTCACCACATTGCATCACATCATCATCATCATCAGCCGTGATGTGCTGTCGGGCGATGTGCTGGTAGTTTGTCTGTAAGATAATTACATCATATTCATGATGTTTGCCAACACTGACATATCAGTTTGCAGGGCAGTCACCTCCCCAGGGTGATGGGAGGGTACAGGGATGATAAATAATGTGACAGTAATCCAGTAGAAATCAGTCCCACTTGGACCATCACTTCAGCGCTCCGTCACCTCAGAGCCAACCATCTTAGCAATCCTGACACCAAAGCGCTCTATAAATAGCTCCACAGTCAATGCTAATCGAATCCGGTTGGGATTCGAATGACTTTATTTGTGGTACAAAAGCTGGAAGTGAATAACATCAAAGAGTCAAGAAACAACCACTTCTAATTTGCATGATAATGACGCTAAGACAAAACAGAATAGACAGAAGCAGTGCACTAATTCCTCTACATGCTGCTGAGGTAAATGCAGTTTGTGTTTGTCTGTGTTGGTGCAATAAGCCACTGTTCCAAATCCTCACTATACCCAGTCATTTTCATTCAACTATTCCGAGCCAGAACACACAGACCCTAAATTTCTATGCTTTAAGAGCACAACAATACAATTAATTAAAATCTTGGCAAAATCCTAGCTGAGGAAAATTTCGCTCATTCTGCACAGCTGAGAAAAAAATGGGAGAATCTGCTTCCAAGTCTTCAAACAGAGTGGTTCAAATGTGGTGTTTTCATGGCAGGTGAGACAGGCGCGCACAAACATTTCTATTCTGACTGTATTTTGTTGCATAGCTATAACCCACTTTCTCCTCTTGGTCACACAAAACACACTGATGTTGCTGGTTTTAATTAAAAACACTTGTTTGCATACCAAGATGGCTGAGTAATGATGTAATGACACTGAACTGGAAAAGGCTTTGTGTGAAAAGCAAGCAGTTTTCTGCCATTTTATTGACCCATACAAGCTCAGTATCTGAAACTAAATGGATATTCAAGCTTCCAGCATCAAAAGATGAAAATATTTGTAACAAAAAAACAACATGCTGCGATACAAGTCCGAGCCTGAGGAAGTTCTGATCCAGTCAGAGGCAGTCACCACAACAGCAGCGGTGAATCACTGGTGTTTAAGGGTAAAATCTGACCCACTAACTGTACAGAATATCAAGACAAAAGAAGGAGACACAGAGAAGAGCGAATAACATGAGCGCTGGTGAGGTTAGAGGCGCAAAGACGCATGGAAATCTCATAGACAATGAGGAGTGGATGCTGGATGCTAGTGTACCGCAGGGCTACTATGGGCGACACCTCGCAGGGCTCGAGCCTGTATACTCACCGTCCTGTGTCTCGTTCCCACGGCTGCAATTGCTGCAAATGTGCTTTATCTCTTTCCCGATGTGACAGTGGATCGTAAAGGGCATGTTGTTGTTGTGGTGCGGATACTGGCCGTGCCCTTTCTTGTTGCTCAGAGACATGATTTTAACCAGGCTGAACGGCTTTTTCTTGGGTTTCTCCACAGCCACGGCCGTGTTCTCTCGACAGCCCGTGGAAAACCAGGTGCCGTGCATGATGGTGGGCGCAGGATCCACGGTCGGGTAATTGGCCGTCTTGAACATCGGTGCGCGGAAAATGGAGCAAGTGCTTTCAGCGCGCGGCGTTACGACGGTGTGGGTTTAAAATTAAAGGGCCATCAGATGAGTCCTACCTGACCTACAACGACAGCTTCCATCGAGACAAAACCTGCAGAATCCCCACACCTTTACCTGAGATCCCAATACGTGCGCAATAAAAAAAACAGTCCCTGCTGCTTCCAGATCCAAGTGAGCTAATAATAAAACAGAGGGTGAGTAGTGAATGGCAGTGAGTACCTCTCCCTCCCTGTGCTGTGGACTGCAGTCGGTTGTAGCTAATCCACGATTAGTGGAGCTGAGCAGAGAGCGGCTGTGATTGGCTGCTCGGTGCGCTCCTCTAATAGGCCAGTGTGCACAAACGAAGGAAAAGTTGCCCGTCTGATAATAGGATTCCAATAACTCTTATTTTAAGCTGATAACACAATATGAGTCACCCTTTCTGTTTTTAAAATCAGGCTCATCATGATGATGAGGGCTAAAAGGAAAAAAAAAAACAGAAATCTGAATCTTAATGAAAAAAAAAAGTTGGTATGCGCAAAAATGAGTCAACTTTTTTTGGTGACAGAAGAGTGCGATGAAAATCAAGCTTATCCAGGGAGAAACGATACACCCCATGGTGCAAGATATGCAAAACAGTCAGTCTAACAGGGGCGTGTTGACACTTCTTTGAGTGTGGGGGCCAATGACTCAAGCAGGAGGAGGCATAGAGTGTGTGCACACAGATCCATGAATGAACAGCGTCAATTTATCCCATTTACTCTCACTAACATTGGCTTCAGCCTTGTACATGGTACCAGACAGACAATGTATTACAAAAATAAAAGTAATAGCATAGACTGTATATAGAATGGACAGCATCTGCTTGAAGCCACTCCGAGAACAGCGCCCTCTGTTGATGGGCTGCAGTATATGTCATAAATCCTGCCTCTGCCAGCAAAGCTTATGGGGCTGTGGACAAACTTTAGAAATTTATTACACAAAATATATATTTTCCCCCCCTGGTTGCGATGTTGACATGTAGTTATTGTAAGACTGGTTTGTGCTCAAGTCCTCTTTTCTCTCTACAGCTCCATTTTAAAAAGGCCGAACGTCATCACAGCGACTCTCCCACCAGATGCGTACAACGCTACTGCGCAATGTTAGTTTCGGGAAATGGAGAGAAGATGCAGAATTACAGAAAGCTTTTTGGCTTCAAATCTGTATACTGGCAGAAGGCGGAACCAAGTTGTCCTTAGTATATACAGTCTATGAGTTATACAATAGTTTAAAATTTTTAAAATTTTCCATAATCTGTTCTCTCTAAATGTTTATCAAACAACCTTGCTCATCAGGACCCTTTCTGACTAATAGAAAGGATAAAAAAGGAGCGTGCCTGCCTTTGTAAATAGACAGGCCATATAAGGAAGACCCTTCAGACTCAGAGGGATTTAGTGAGCAAGGTCAACTAGACCAAAAATGACATAATTTGCTAATCTTCTGTGCTTTTTGTCATGCCAACTCTCAACTCTTTCAAAGCAAGATACCGATTGAACAACACAATTGAAAACAAGTTTGTCTTAGTTTGACAAAAACTGCAAAATCTCTAGTTCTGTGTGAGCTGTGGGACTAGGAAACCTTTAGAAGATGGAAACACTGACCTATGGCTCGTAAATGCTCATATACCCACAAATTCCATCAGTGATGTGGAATTGATAACGAAAGTGAGAACTAGAGAAACAGCAAGAGACAACAGAGGCAGAGGAAAAACAATAACATTTATCTAATCTGAACTGAGCCCAGAGAATTACAATCAGAGCAAAGAAACACAGCTAAGGGACCTTAATCAGTGATCAGAGAGCTCAATACTTCAAATGAGAGAGAGCTCAGCCTTCAGTCAAAGCAAAGCATTAAATATTCTGTCTTTACATCACAAATGCCAAATAGCCGCTCACTTGATCCCTGCAGTAACTGAGCACATTTTGGAGCTAATTGATAACATTAATAGCTAGTTAATGAGGCGTTAATCATGGAAAAAGATAGAGGACCCCAGGGCATTTCCATTCACGTGTTTCCTCCCAAGCAGTGGATGGTCGTGGGCTTGGGGTGACTAACTTTGATGTTCCTTCAATGAGCTGCGGCTTATTCCAGTGACATCAAAGCCCTCTCTGAAATGAGGGACAGAAGCACTTGATTTACTCCCACCACGGTGCAATGCAGCAGGCAGCTGCCCTCATGTTGCCTCGTTTTAGTGCAAACTTTCACTCTCTTGCACTCGTGTGTGGGGAAGTTCAGGAAACTTGCAGGAATGGGCTATTTTTATGTATGATGTTATGTAACCCCCATATTTTGCTCCCATCAGTGCACATTATTCGGCCTAAAGACTTTTAATTATCTCTATCTTAAACACACTTAAGACCAAAGTACAAGGCTGTTCGCTGCATGGCTACGATATGTGCTAATATACATGTTCAGCTCAGGGATACTTTCACCTTGCTTTTCTGCTTGATTATTTTTTTCAAGAATCAGATCACACAAGCTAAAAGACAGGTCATCTGTTGGCTACAAAGAACAACGGTCGGTCACATGTGGCATTGAGGTTATGTAACTGCTGTTACATGCAGTTCTGATCAGTGCACGGTACATCACTTTCGTTAATTCATGGCATAGGAGAGGATGGAGTGAACATGCATTAGTTAATTGGATATATAGTATAGACTCTAAAGGCTTAATGATGTGATTTTTACACCTGCAACACGCAAAAGAGTTACTAGAAATATGTAAAACACTTTCTGGGGCAACTTTAAATCACCTGATATTCAAAAGACTCATTATACTCTTTTGTTTTAGTTCTGGTTTCTTATTAAACTTCCCTTGAGAATGATGCTGTGCACTTCAAGGGATGTTCTTTTAACTCCTTTCTTCCTGAAACAATAACAATTTACTTAGAGACAGACTCAGTTAGACTCAAAAGAGTGAACAGCATTCACGTGTTAACGAAGATTTGTTTACATACAACTGGAAAGCTAATTTGATGGTTCTTGCTTGTGAAATTTTGACTAATTCAGCATAAAATTAGCAATCCTGCAAAAAGTCTGCTTTTGAGCAGTTGATAACATACCTGACACTTGTTCCAAACTGTCAAAATAAACTTTTAAGTCATGAAGTGAGCTCACCCAAAGCTGCTAAGAAGTATTTGCCAATCTCTTCTGACTCACATCTGATGGATGTTAGCTCACAGTTTTGTTGCCATGCGCCTCAGTAAATGTTATTTTTCATGCAGCACTAAGAGCAAACATTTATTTGAATGAATCGGAGGGAAAAAAAGATAAATTGGTGATATCTTGTATGCAAGAAAGTTGACAGTGTTGTTGGGATTCTGGCTTTAACTAGTTTCAATGGGATGTGGCGCAGTTTTAGGGCTAAATAATCTTAGTTTTTGACTGAGCAGCCTGTCACTACAAATCTGCTGTTCTTGTTCTCCCTGTATCTCTCTGTCTCTTCCCATCTGTCATTCTCTCTCTGCATATTATCTGTCGTCCTTCTTCAAACATGCACACGCACAGACACACACACATTACCACATTTCCTTGACACAATCTAAAAGAGAATTAATTAGATGGTAAAAGTGCGGCGCCTTGCCTTTCCCACTTTTCATATTTGCAATGGGGAAATGTGACGGATAGTTATGCAATTATAATCTGTAAGGAGAATGATTCCTTACAAGTTTTTTTATGCAGTTCTTGGCTCCACCTTCAGCATTAAGCTCAATCTTTTCCCTGACAAGCAGCAGTGTAATGTGATGTGATTACGTAAAAGCCTCAGACTACAACATATTTCAGAAAGACATCAAACATGGACTCAGAGCAAGAAAAATATCAAACTGAGATAGAAATGTATACTCTTGTTTTCTTAAACTGTCATGCAAAGGCACAACTTTCCCTCTTGACATTAATAGTCAGTGTAAATATAATTCTGCTCAGATGCTGAAGCCAACAGAGATGTTCAGGGTACTGTCACACTCTGTCAGGGATTGTGGTGAGATGCTTATGTCTACAGAGTCAGAAATCTGTAAATAGATGATTGCTCGCTTTTCATTTCTGCTAGAATTCACTCCTGCCTATCTTTTTTTTTCCCCTGGACTGGACTGTCTTTCTCCTGGTCTCTGTATGAGGCTGGACAATATGAGTTTTAAATGTGAAACATGTGGAAACATTTACTGATTAATTAAATAATTTCACGTTTCTAATGGATACCATCCAAAATCAGCTGGCATCGCAGTCATAAGCAATGGAACATTACCTCTGATTAGTTGTATAGATTATAAAGTTAGTAAAACAAAGCAAAAATTTTTGAATTCAAGTAAAAGATTTAGGTTCAGAGACAACAGATTGAACTGGATCAGAAGTTAGACATGCCGTCATCATGAGCAATTAAAACTATTGTTTAAGAGCATACAAACAAACTCCCTCAAAGATTGTCACAAAGCTATATTAAGGTCTCCAGAAAAGTAATGGCCAGAATTCTTTTTATATAAAGTACAATTGGGAATTAGAAATAAATATAAGATTGAAGATGAGTGACTCCATGTATAAAACACAGCAAGCCTCTGCTAATTCTCAAAAGTGGCGTCTTTTTGGATGGAGGAATTGATCTCGCTTCTTTTTTTCATTACTGGTAAATATCTGGACAAAAAACAACACTGTTGGAGGCAGTGTGGCCTGGGATGACGCCACTCATACCCATATTTTCTGGTCATGATTAAAGATAAAACCTTTCTGGGACGAAGTGAATGAGACTCTGGGAAAAATCCTGCACTATATCATTCAAAGAGATCCCAAATTCCTGTATTTGGGAGCAATACCTGAGAAAGTAATGGAACAAGTAGATGTTTATTTATTCAAGATCTTGATTACTGCATGCAAAAAGGCTATCTCAGGGAACTGGATGAAAACTGATCGCCCGCTACTGGGACAGTGGATGGACATTATGGGCGAAATTTATACCATGGGAAGTCTAACTTACCACTTATATATATATATATATATATATATGTGTGTGTGTGTGTGTGTGTGTGTGTGTGTGTGGTTTCAACCATTCATGATAGAATACATTATTTTGTAAATGTGCTCTTGAGACTAACTGTTAAAACTTAATTTCTATGGTCCCAGACAAAACAGTTGACACTGTAATGGACACATTAGGCACACTCATGTGTGACACTTTAACTCCATTTCAGATTTGCAGACTTTTCACATGACAAAGGCCGCCATCTTGTGGCAAACTTTGGCGACAACCTTCCTCATAGCAAATTAAAAAAGTACCACACATTGATAAAAAGTTCGTCTTCGCCCCTATTTCTGTGCCTTTTTCATTTAATAAAAAATATTATGAATGTTAACACCCCAGAGCTATCTAAACGCCATCTTTTTTGTTTAATAGTTTTCCTAGTTTACGTTTGGACGTAATGACGTAATGAGTTACTTTCCCAAGGAGATGTCTGGTGCGTCAGACGTGCCTTCCATATTCCTTTAACCAGACAGCTTTTTTATGGTGGCGATTTAAAGCTAACATGTCCAAAACGACATCATGAGCAAGACATTCATGAACCATGGTGAGTATTCAACATTATTAAAACATAACCTCCGTTCAGTGCGCATTTATCCAAGCTGTTGTGCCGAATATTGTACTACTGCTAAACACGTGTCGTATAGTTGTATTGATGCGAAAAATAGATATTACTTTAAACTCCTGTGTCCGCAGGTTTCCCTCCCCTGTCCTCTTTGCGTCTCATCGTCTCCCCTCTGCAGCTCATGTCTGCAGCTCTGTTGGAGATAGTGAGGCGTGGAGCTGTGGTGTACTACGGAGTGCTGGAGGAGTTCGTTACTACAGTGCTGGATGCAGCTCCTGAGCTGCTCACTCACACTGAGAGAGTCCAGCTGCTGATTGGCTTACGTGCCAAGGTAAAATGACTAGATTAACTGTCTGAATAACTGTAGAATCTGATACAATGCAGACATGCGACTCAGCACATGTCTGCAGTGGTGAGTGTAACTGCAGTGCTGCACAGCCTCTCAGTTTGTGATGGGCACGACAGTTCTTTTAGATGTACTGAATCACTTGAATCAGTTTACAAAAAAAGATTCGCTCAAAAGATTCGTTCACCGAATCATTCAGCGCTTTGCAGGAGGAGCCTGCAACTCCGACCTCCTGAACTGATACACGGCTGAATGTTCAGGATTTAGTTCAATTTATATCTTCTGGGAACGGGATATGAGTGTTTGGCTGTGTTGCTTTGGCAAACAGGTTTGTAAAAAGGAACTTGTTTAAAACTCTTGCTGTTTAAAGAGTACTGTCCTATGGTATGCTATTTATCAGGTCTGCTCAGTTTATTGGGCTCAGTGAGTGATTCGTTCATCATTTTTTCGCAAACCGTTGCAATGATAGGATGCCGTAGCTTTTATGCACTACTTGTTACACACTGTGTCCTGTTGTATGCAGGTTGTTGTGGTAGCAAAGTTAGTTTTGCCCAAAAAATGATTCCTTAGAGTGTAGTTCAATGCGTGATTTGTTTACCAAGTGATTTAGGTGTCTGTGCATGCAGTCCCTTGTTCCCTGGCTGCTTGCCTGGCAATGCTGCATGCCATACCAGCTGTGCTGCTGACAGCTCAACTGAAGTGAGAAACGAACGAATCACTTGAGGAAGTGATTCTGTTCAGTATGATCACTTAAAAGATTCAGTTCTCTTGAACGAATCGTTTGTGAACGACACAACACGACTCTCAATCCAGAGCACTGCTACTCCAGTTAAAGTATGATGGTAAATCTCTTCTTTTATTCCACTGATTTTGTGTGACAGCTCCACTTACTATCTTGGCTGCATGATTAATTGCAGTTTAGTTGTTATCCCAATATGAAAAGCTGTAATAAAATCAATAAAAGGCCTAAAAGGTAAAATAAGAAAAGATTATAAGTAAAACAAAGGCTAAAAGGACAGTAAGTTGAAATAAGATAGCGGTAAAAGAGATAAAAGAAAAAGAGGAAGGCCTGGGTGTCATGATGTCTCAGTCCAATTTGGACTTTGGAAAGGATCATTCATTTTAAGAACAACCACTGAGTGCAACACATGTCCACTAACACTGCTTAGTGAAGTACGAACATTGTGATGGTTGTCAGAAAAAATCAAGCCTGGTAATGTCTCTTTACTTGCCAACAGGTGGTGCTAGAGTTGTGTCGCAATGACACACTAGCCAGTTTGCAGGACCTCCAGCATCATCTCAGTCAAATGAACACCTACATCACAAATTGTGATAAAGAGGTCAGTTCCGTGGTTAAATGTCCATAATACTTTCTGTCTGTTTTATTCACTAATCTACATTCTTTTTTGTTTTATAAAGACTTCAGATTCTAAGGTCCAAACTTCGGTTACAAACTTCCTGAAGCTTGTTCACACATTGGTGGAAGATCAGTGCCGGAAGGATATCTTTTTCAAGGTGAGTGGGTTTGGAGTTTTTACATTGTTTTGTGATTGTTTTGTGAAGTAAGAAATGTCTGAGAGGGGTTATAAAGCGTAACCTTGTCAATATTTGCAACATTATTGTGATTGATTATATTGTACGGCTGTCAAGCTAGAGCGGGGCAGAACCTCTGATCACTGATAACTCATGAGACATGGACATCACAGTCTGTGTTAGATTTGTTCTATTTGGTAAAATGACATATTTCTCTTGGAATCAAATCAGGTTTAAAGTGAGTATTTAAAAATGTAACATGCTTTTCTCTGTCTTTTTAAAGTATATCTTCCCAACAGTGTTTGGCCCTAAATTTGACTCAGCACTACAGGCTCTAATGAAGAAATGCCTCCTCAACCTGCAGGAGCTGCTGCCTGTTCCTAACCTTGAGCAAGTAGGTACAAATAAATAGATTTACAACTAGTATAAATCTTGATGTTTTATATTTATAAGAGTCCACCTCTAAAATGTTTTGTTTGTCCACAGAATAGTTGTATGTCAGCAAACAATTACAGATAAGCAGTGGAAATGATTTCCTCTCTTGAAGTTTAGTTGTGAAGTTGTTTTATCAACTTCCAATTTTTTCAAACTGTGTGGCTGGTATTAAATTTAAAGGTCAGTCAGTTCACTAAAAATGGTATTTCTATGATTTTTCAACCATCAGATTGTTATTTTTAATGCCATTTTGTACACCATTCTCTCTTTTGTTGAAACATTTTTATGGAAACTAGATGATACAAACACCTACCATTATCTGTTTTCCCTGTCAGGACTTTAAATCGCTGGGGGGATGTTTTTTTTTTTGCATATGAAAAGCTATCGTAACTAGACAGAATAAAAAGATTTGCAGTCACCTTTTTAAAATTTTTTCTCCTTCTCCTTGAGCAGTCTGAGGCACGTGTACAAACATCCATCTTAGCAAACGGCGGTCTAATTGATTTTTCTTTTATTAATTTTTAAATTAAGAAAATGTATGAATACATATTTCCTGAAATGCTGATGAGGTGTTCCATCTGAAATTGACTCTCTGTTCTTTTCTATTTCAAGACCTCCCTGGGGCTCAGTCTCTCCTCTTCCATCTTGAAAGAGTGTGTGGACTTCATGAACCAGCCTCAGCCACTGAAAACACTTATTCAGCATCATAAACACCATGGGCACAAAGTTAACCAAGGTAGTTCTTCCAGGAGGAAGTTTATTTTTCTTTTTAGCTTAAGTCACTGGTAAAAAATTGTTTTTGTTGTCTTGTCTGTCTACTCTAGATTTTTCTATTTCTGGTGATGATTACATCCTGTCCAGCCTGTCCTTCCGCCTAACAAATGTGGACCATGACAAAGGCTTCCCACCAATCAAATCTGAACCCATATGCAACCCAGAAGATTGGCAGATAAATCTCTTTCCTGACAGTGAGTCCAAAAAAGTTAAAGAGGACATAAAGGTGCTTTATTCAGAGCTTGAAAAAAGTGTGGAAGAACATGGGCAGCAATGTGTCGACGATGTAACTGAAGACCAGGGAGCGTCTGTGGAAGTAATCCTTCCATCTTTTGATGAAATGGAGTCCAGTGATGAAGAACACATGGACCAAAAATGGTTTCCCTGTTTAAAGACTGTTCGTATGACCTCTGTGAAGACCTCCGAGTGCTATAAGCTTGAAGATGTTCGTTCTCTCGAAGAACAAAAAGAGGACAAGATTACCCATTGTGCTTTTATTACAGCACCAATGACTCATTTAGATTCCACAAGTCAAAGTAGCCCTTTTGAGGAGGTAAGTTCACATCACACACTGAGGACATGTAGTGACAACAAAGCTCTCAGAGGTGAGACTGAGTTGTCGACATTCTTGAGTGTGAAAACCGACGACCCCGTTAATCTGGATCTCCAAAACGCTGAGATGTCCAATGATGACCGCTGCCCTTTTTGTCCCGTTTGTGACAGAGTGTTTGCTTGCAAGAAAAGCTTTAAGAAACACCTGCCAGTTTGTGCAGGCAGGAGTAAATGCAAAGAGGAGATGGACTCACATTGTCCCTCAAGCCCAGCTCATCACAGCGAATCATCCTCTTCTGAAACATCGATCAAAGTACCCCGGGAATCCCAATTTTCCAGCTTCTCTAAAGACCAGGCATGTAAAAGAAGCGGTCGCGTCAAACAGTGCTCAATATGTAAAGAGATATTTACTCGTTCTGCTGACTTTATGGAGCACATGAAATGCCACACTGAACTGAGTCCTTTCCTCTGTTCTCACTGCAGTATTGACTTTGAAAGCTACGAAGACTTCAAGCATCACCAGGAGGGTAAATGCAAAGCTTCAAACCAGCATATAGAGGACTACTCAGTAAGCAGTGAAAATAAAGGGAATTGCAAGAACACGGTAATTTCTACTGATATGAGTGGAACCACAACAACCACAGAAGCAGCCCTAAACTCAAAGACTCGTAAACCACTTCTGACATGTCCGGAGTGTGGCATGTGTTTTATCTACTCCAAGAGCTTTGAGAAGCACCAGATAAAATGTTTAGAAGCAGCCTCTCAAAAGATAAGCAACTCGGACCGTTTAATTTTCAGTGGTAGTGATCCTGCTTCAGCTGGTAACACCAATGAGAGTCATGCTGAGAAAAGTGCTCAAACAATGGAGGAAACCCCGTCCATTGTGGTCCTTAAAAGTTCTGAAATCTGTGAAACCCCAGAGGAAGGTACATGCAGAGCTTCAAACCAGTATGAAGAGAAATATTTACTGAACAACGAAGGAAGGAGAACTCTGGAGATCACTTTGGTTTCCAGTGAAATGAGAAAGACCTCATCGACCGCAGATACACAAGCAGACTTAAAGACACTTACACCACCTTTGACGTGTCAGGAGTGTGGCCAGCAGTTCGCTCATTTCAAGAGCTTCAGGAACCACAAGAGAAAATGTTCTGGAGCAGCTTCCCAAAGTGAAACCAACAACAGTTATGTTAGCATTGGTGGGTGTGATTTCTTTTTAGCCGGCAGCTCTAAAAAGAGTGATGCTGGAGAAAGTTCTGAGACGATGGAAACAAACCCATCAAGTTCAGACTTTAAAGACAGTGAAACACAAAAGAAAGACACATGCAGAGCCTCAAACCAGCATTTAGAGGACTACTGTGGAAACAGTAGGAATCAGGGCAACACGGTAGTTTCTAGTGAAATGAGTCAAACCTCGTCAAGTGAAGATGCACTTGCAGACTCAAAGACCTTTGCAACACCCCTGACCTGCCAGAAGTGTGGTCTGCGGTTTACCTATTGCAAGAGCTTTGAAAAGCACCAGAGTAAATGTTCAGGTGCAGCTTCTCAAAAGAGAACAAACAAAAAGTATTTCATTATCAGTGGATGTGATTTCTTTTTAGCTGGAAGTACCAATGACAGCCACGATGAAAAAGGTCTGGAAACAACTGAAGACGATACAAGAGTTTCTCAGGATAAAGCCAGAACCTGTAAATGCAGCATGTGTGAGGAGATCTTTCCAGATATGGAGCTCCTGAAAAGGCATTACTCGGAGTCACATGATGTCAGCGGCCCATTTCCCTGCATTCTGTGCAAGAGAGCTTTTTCAAGGTTGTATGAACTTGTCCGGCATCAGCAAAACAAACAGCTGTTCCTGTGCCCAACCTGCAAGAAAGGTTTCTCAAGTCAAGCGGAAATAAAAAGACACGAAAAAGTACATACTGCGAGTGCAACACCTAGTGTTTGTGAAACATGCGGGAAAAGCTTCAAATTCCAATTTAATCTGATTCGGCACCAGAGGAGGCATAAGGAACGACCACCCAGTGTTTGTTCATACTGCGGGAAACAGTTCAGTTCTAAAGATGGCCTGAAAGCGCATATGGTGAGGCACACAGATGGTTTCCCATGTCCAGTATGTGGGAAGAAATTCTATCAAAAAGCATACCTTACATATCACCTGAAGAGACACACAGGGCAGGAGAAGTACCTCTGTGACATATGTGGGAAAGGCTGGCCTACTCGGTCTCTACTCAAGGTTCACATGGTGAAACATACAGAGGGGCAGCCGTTTATGTGTAATGACTGTGGTTTGACTTACAAGAGAAACTCTGGTTTGATGGCTCACTACAGAGACAAACATCTTGGTTTGCGGCCGTTTGTATGTGAGGTTTGCAGCAAAGCCTACAGAATCAAGAGTCAGCTGAAGGATCACATGGCGGTCCACACAGGAGAACGGCGGTTCTCATGTCCATTGTGTGGCAAAAAATTTATGAAAAAATTTCTACTAAAAAAGCACAGAGAAAAGCCATGTTTGTAAGGGTGTGAGCATGCGCTGTGTTGAAACTGATGATGACCCACTGAGCATTTTTTTCTAATATAGCAAATAATATAGGTCTAATAGACATCTAAATGTAGCCTAGATGACTGGTCTAAGATCAGGCTACCACAGATCTAAAAATGAATGTTTTTTAGAAATCTAAATTTAGACCAAGTCTGTATCTGAGCTATATCTATACTACACTGTATATTGCTCAATGGCTATCACAATTATTTTGGTTTGGTTTTGCAACTCACAGTTGCTTTTTGAAATAAATAGTTATCTAATAATAGGCTAAAGTGCATTGCCTAAATTCTGTCTAAAGATATGCAGAATCTAGACGGTTGAAATTAAGTCTAAAAAAAACAAAAAAACTAGACGTCTAGTAGCTGTCTATTGCTCAGTGGGGACTCGTGCAATGCAATATTCTTCTAAAACATTCATGTGTACTCTATGTTCTGTCTATCCAAAGTATTCATAAATTAATTATGGATTCGAACATAAAGTTTTTTATTTTTAAATAGAAAAGGGACATTTGTTATTGTGAATAGAGTCTTTCTTTGAGAATAAAACTGGTCTGATTATCAAAGACTTGTTGGTAACACTTGACATTACTGTTCTGCTCATTAGCTCTGATTATTAGTTGAAAGGTGTTCATTATGTCTTCAGTGCCTTACATCAACACCATCTGATATGATGCGTGACATCTACCACCAAGTGACACTTATGAGGAAGGCAAAAGTTTCCACCAAAACATGTCAAGATCTGTGGAAAGAATGCATGTATGAGATCAAAGAAAGAAGAAAACTAGCTTTGATAAATGCCCATATAGTGTTTATCATAATACCTTCTGTTTTAAAACCAATGGGTTGAATCCTTAGCATGTATTTAATTTAATACAAGATGAGTTCTGTTGTCTGCAACTTTTTCTCAATGCAGAAAAAACTAAACTCATGATCTAAATGTCCTCAAGAGTTATGAAAATCTATCTGGGAAAACTTACAGGACATGCAGTCAGCATTTCACACCATAAAAAAAAAAAACTTGCTTTCTTGGGGGTTGGTTAAAGGATATTTCAACATGTGTTGTGACATGTCTGGAGGGCCTCTTTTGACAAACTGAGGGAACTGGGCCTTGCCTTCGCACAGGGGTTTATGTGATAAATATTGTTACCACCAAAACGACCTTAAAGGTTTATCAAGGTCTCTAATAATCTTCTAAAGAATCAGTATTTCAGGTCTACTGTTTTAACACATTCAACCCCCTGCTGTATACTTCTGCAGAGAAACCACAGCTCTACCAGAGAGCAGTGGTGCTCCATAGACTGCTTCGGGTATCAGGGGTTATACTGTATGTTTAAGTTAACAACATCTTCATTTTACAAACTGTGACCTATAAAATGCCCAAATGCAGCTAAACTCAAAGAGGCATCAAAAAGAAGAAAAAAACACTCAAATTTGAGCAGCTATTTTCAGGCTGTTTACATTGCTTCAGACCTGCAAAATGCATTATGTTTTAAATGCCACCATCTAGTGGCGTTGATAGGCGCCAGCTGAACGTAATGACGTAATGAGGCCTTTCCACGGAGACGTCCGGACGTGCCTTCCATGTTCCCATGGTCAGGCGTTTTCATATGGCGGCGATGTTTGGTCAAAATTTCCACAACGACAGCATGAACAAGACATTGATGGACAATAGTGAGTATTTACCATTTAAGAGACACTGCCTCTAGTCAGTCCGCAGACTAACACACAGCGCTAGACCTTTTTAAGATTACTTACGGCGAGTATTATCTTGCAGAGGTGATATTTTCTCTGAAACGTTACTAAAAATCAGTCTGTACTCTGTTGCATGCAATTTCATCCCTAACATGTGCATCCTCAGGTTTCCCTCCCCTGTCCTCTTTGCGCCTCCTCGTCCCCCCTCTGCAGCTCATGTCTGCAGCTCTGTTGGAGATAGTGAGGCGTGGAGCTGTGGTGTACTACGGAGTGCTGGACGAGTTCGTTACCACAGTGCTGGATGCTGCTCCTGAGCTGCTCACTCACACTGAGAGAGTCCAACTAGTGATTGGCTTACGTGCAAAGGTAAAATGGATGGAAAACCTGTCTGCAAATTGAAATGTTTCATGATGCAAATGATCACTCACAATATACCCCCATTTTATTAAAAGGAACTGCAAATTCGAGAAGCACACCACATTGTTTTTAAATTAAACTACAAGAGCTTATTTTGCTTTTGAGAATAAGCAAAATTAATCATAGGACCTCAGGGATGGGAATTGATCAGATTTAATTGATATCGATGCCATTATCAATTCTGCCTATCGATTCAATTCTTTAACGATTCCCTTATCAATGCCTTTCTTTGATTATAAAAAAAGTAGACTATAGGTTTTCACTGTTAACTCAAAATTTTATTGAGTGTCTGATACCAGAAAAAGAAGTATGCCACCTTCAGTGAGAGCCAGTGACAAGCAGACTTATGTTACTGGCTATAATGAACATCCGTCCGTCCATTCATCCATTTTCCATTGCTTACTCCCGTTCCAAGGGTCGCGGGGGGCTGGAGCCTATCCCAGCATCTTCAGGCGAAGGCAGGGGACACCCTGGACAAGTCGCCAGTTGATCCCAGGACTGACATAGAGACAAACAACCATCCACATTCACACCTACAGGCAATTTGAAAGTGGCCAATTAACCTAACCCCACTTCTGCATGGTTTTTGGATGTGGGAGGAAATTGGGGTACCCGGAGTAAACCCACACAGACACTGGGAGAACATGAAAACTCCACACAGAAACGCCCTGACCCGGATTCAAACCCACGACCTTCTTGCTGTGAGGTGATAGTGTTAACCACTACACCACTGTGCCACCCCACTATAACGAAAAGTTGGATAAAAAACAAAACCATTCAATCGCTATTGTTTATAAAATAATAGCTATTTGTACAGCATTAACTTTGGTCTGTATAACTTCTTTAATAAGAAGTTCATGTGGCATCATTAAGAATAAAAATACCCATACCAAAACTACTGTTGAATAGTCTTAAATAATGTAATAAAATCTCTGTTAAAGGTGTTTTTCTCAAGTGGATGGTTTTTGTTTCTTCCTTCGTCAACAGGTGATACTAGAGCTGTGTCGAACTGATACATTTGCAGACCAGCAGGACTTTCAGCATCATCTGAGTGAAATGAACACCTTCATTACAAACCAGGATAAAGAGGTCAGTGCCCAGATTGAATCTGTATAACTTTTGTAATACTTTTGAGATTTGTATTCACTTATCTGTGTCCTTGTTTCTTTTTTTCAAGACTTCCAATCCTGAGGTTAAAGCTTCAGTGTCAAACTTTGTGAGGCTTGCTCACACTCTGGCTGAAGATCAGAGTCAGAGGGATAGCTTTTATCAGGTCAGTAGACTGGTACTATATCTTTTTAGTGTCAAATATCCATCATATTATGCTCTTTAAGTTTATTTCTGGTATTTAAAGTTCTTCTACTTGATGAGATGGCTGCTTTTAATGTAGCTCTCAAGATCTCTTGATTGAAATGTTAAGTAAGTTGTGAAATATGACAGGACACTTTCCTTTCTACATTTTTAGAGTATCTTCCCAACAGTGTTTGGTGCTAAATATGACTCGGCACTACAGGCTCTAATGAAGAAATTCCTCCTTAACCTGCAGGAGCTGCTGCCTGTTCCTAACCTTGATGAAGTGAGTACCCGACAAAGAGTAATTATGAGACAAATGAAATTACAAACAACCAGAAAAAATAGAGATGCTCCAGTGCACTTTGAATACATGTGGTTAGTAATCAAAATTAGTTTGTGAGCACAGAAAAAAAGCGTGATGCACGAAACCCTGACCCATACATTGTTTTTTCTCTCTTCATAAACTTTCTCAGTCTATCTGAAATTAAGTTTCTGTTCTGTTCTGCCTCTAGATTTCCCTGTGGCTTAGTCCCTCCCCTGTTATCTTAAAAGAGTGTGTGGACTTTGTGAATCAGCCTCATCCTCTAAAAACACTCCTTCAACATCACAGGCTCCGTGGGCACAGAGTCTCTCAAGGTAGCCCTCACAGAAACTGTTTCAGTCTCTAATTTCTACAGATACTGATGTGAATTTGTGTTTGGTTCCCTTTTATTCTATCTTAGCTTTTTCTTCCTGCGGTGATGATTACATCCTGTCCAGCCTGTCCTTTCGCCTAACAAATATGGACCATGACAAAGGCTTCCCACAGGTCAAATCTGAACCCATATTTGACCCAAAGGATTGGCAGATGAATAACTTACTTGACAGTGAATCTAAAAAAGAAAAAGAAGACGTAAGTGTCGACGATGTAATTGAGGACCAGGGAGCCTCTGTGGAAGTTATCCTTCCATCTTTTGATGAAACTGAGTCCAGTGATGAAGACCACATGGATCAAAAATGGTTGCCCCATTTGAAAACCGTTCGTAGGACACCTGTGAAGACTTTCAAGTGTCCCGTTTGTGGCAAAGATTTCAGTTCTCGCTGGAGACTGAAGAAACACAAGTTAACACACAGTGCTCCAAAGAGGATGAAGCAGGCAGATTCTTCAAGTCAAAGCGGCTCTTTTGTTAAGATACACTCCGAACCAAGGACTTGCAGCGAGAGTAAAGTAACTAAAGGTGAGACTAAGCTGTCATCACTTGGAAGAGCTATAACACTGAGCCCATCATGCCAGAGCAGCTGCACAAACTCTGAGCTGTCTAACAACGACGGTAGTTTAGTGTGTCATGTTTGCGATCAAGTGTTTGCCAGCAGCATAAAGTTTGATGAACACCAGCCGGTTTGTGCAGTCAAAAGTAAATGCTCAGAGACGGACCCAAAGTGTTCCTCGAGCTCAGCTAATCTCTCTGAACAGAGTGCTGAGGATAAACTCCACAAACCCAAGGAGAAAAACCAAGACCAAACATGTAAAAGAAACAGTCGTGTCAAACAATGCTCCACTTGTAAGAAAATATTTACCCGTTCTACTGACTTGATGAAGCACATGAAATGCCACACTGAACAGAGTCCCTGTCTTTGTTCTCACTGCGGAGAAGACTTCGACAGCTCTGAAGAGGTGCACAACGAAGGTAAATGCAAAGCTTTAAACCGGCATTTAGAGAGCTACTCCTCAAGTACTAATAACAAAGATAAGAACACAGAAATTTCCAGTAAACAGAGTCAGACCTCAATAACTGCAGATGCACCAGAAGACTCGAAGACTCGTAAACCACCTCTGACATGCCAGGAATGTGGCCTTCGCTTTACTTACTGCATGAGCTTCGAAAAGCATCAGAAAAAATGCTCAGAAGCAGCTTCTCAAAGAAAAACAAACACTAACTATTTGATTATCTGTGGGTGTGATTTCTTCTCAGCTGATAGCTGTGACGGGAGCCGGGCTGAGAAAAGTTCTGAGACATCTAAAATCCAAAAACCATCCAGTGCTGATGGTGCAGGAGGCTCCAAGCAAAAAGCCCAAACCTTTAAATGCTGCATGTGTGAAAAGAACTTCACAAAAATGGAGCTCCTGAAAAGACATTACTCAGAGTTGCACGATTTCAGAGGCCCATACCCTTGTTCTTTGTGTAAGAAGACCTTTTTAAGGTTGTGTGAATTGCTTCGACATCAGCAAAACAAACCATTATTCCTGTGCCCTATCTGCAAGAAAGGCTTCAGAGAGCCTGGAGAAATCAAGAGGCATGAAAACGTACATACTGCAAGAGTAAGCGTTACGCCATTCGTTTGTGAAACTTGTGGAAGAAGTTTTAAATTTCGAGTTAACCTGATTATGCACCAGAGAAAGCACAGAGAGCGGCCACCCAATGTTTGTTCATACTGCGGGAAGCAGTTCAGTTCAAAAGACAGCCTGAAGGCGCATATGGTGAGGCACACAGATGGTTACCCATGCCCAGTGTGTGGCAAAACCTTCTATCAAAAAACATACCTGACATATCACCTGAATAGACACAAAGGGGAGGAGAAGTACCTCTGTGAGACATGCGGGAAAGGCTGGCCGACTCCAGCGCAGCTCAAGGTTCACATGGTTAAACACACAGAAGGACGACCGTTTAAGTGCGATGACTGCGGCCTGACTTACAAGTGGGAATCCGGCTTAGTCGCTCACCAAAGAGCCAAACATGTCGGGTTGCGGCCGTTTGTGTGCGAGTTTTGCAGCAAAGCCTTCAGAATTAACAGTGAACTGAAAAAACACATGATGGTCCACACGGGGGAGCGGCCGTACTCGTGTCCGGTGTGCGGCAAAAAATTTACAAAAAGCTTCAACCTGAAGAAGCACAGAGAAAAGCCATGCCTGTAAGGGTGTGTTTGTGAGCATGCTCTGTATTACAACTGAACTTGGTGCATGTGCCATATTATATATGCCATAACAAACACTTAATATACAGTCTGTGTTACATGATCTTTAGACCCAGTGTGTTTGTGTATGAACGTGAGGAGCTTCTGATTTTTAAATAAAGAAAAAAGGAAACCCTGATACCGTGAATAGAGTTCATTGAACCGGCCTGACTTCAGTCTCTTATACATCTCTCATGAATCAGTTATTCGGTATTTCACATGGTGTGTTTCATTCAATTTGCTGCAGTACAGTGTTGCAGAGAAACCATCGCTCCACCAGAGAGCAGCAGTGCTCCTCAGACTGCTTCAGTTTCAGCAGCTGGAGTCAAACTGTATGCCATGGGCTGTACTGTATGCAGGCCTACCAAGAACTTGTCTCATGGCAACACCTTAATGTGGCAGGTAACACAAATGCGATCAATACCCAGATTTTAGGTTCTTTAACCGGCATTGTCTGAATCCCAGGGTTTGAATCATAATTTTGATTCACACTGCAATAAAAAGGAAATAAACCTTAACAAGTAAGCACTGCAAAGTGACACAATAGTGTGGCAATGAGAAATGGTGCCTCTTGGCTTACAGGTTTTGGGTTCAAATCTTGGCAGTGGGCCTTGTGCAGCTAGAGTCTACTGGCCTCCTAACCCTGCAGTCGTGACCACACTATTAAATAACCCAACAATCCTAAAAAAGCCCCAAAAAGTAGCGGCTGAGGTCAGGGTAAACACTGATGCCTGATATTGAGCAGGTTCTGGGTTGAAGTCATGGCAGGGGGGCTTCTATGGGTAGCCAAGATTGATCAGTTTTAATGTTAGAGTGCTCTAACGCTGGAGAATAGATCACACTGTCAAGGTTGCTCTGCAGCGGATTGGTTGTTGGCACAGATACCCCACGACAAGCTGGTTCAGATTTTGTATCCAGGCCCAGGTCTTCAAGTGTGTTCTGGCTTTTTACCATTGGACAGTGAACAAAGATTTCCAGCTGCCAGAGAGTACTTCAAAATAAATAGATGTTAAAAAAAGGGGGTGGGCTGTACAATGGCACTTCTACCTTTCAGAGAAAACAATTCTGGTCCAAATCCAGGAAAAACAAAAACTGCAAGCTGTGCCAGACAGGCCTGTGGCAGAGTGCTTGAATAAAATGGATCTGGGTTCAAATCCCCATCAGTGATCACCCATGTGAGGTAGACATGTCACAGTGCAGTTTGGGCAGTGCCTTTGAGATATCACAGGGAAAAGTTGAAATGAAATGTCAGAATTATGCAAGTACAGCTGGACAGTCTTGTGGCGTGAAAGAAATACCTCTGGGTTCAAATCCAGGTACATGACAAAGTCAAGGCAGAGAAAGGGAGGAAGGTAGAAAAATAAGAAAAAGGCATTCACCCCTTGAGACGGGTAGAGAGGGGTACCAGAGTTTTCAATCCAAACCAAGGACTTGAAGCGAGTAACCTCTGATGTGTAAAGAATATAGCTTGCAATTTTCTGACTACAAGAGATTTGATTCATTTCATAACAAGGAAAAGTCTTGCATTAAAGATTTTACCGCGAAAAAAGACCCAAATGAACATCATCTGAAAACTGTGAATGACTGTCAGATTTCTCAGGAACAAAGAATATGTTTTGACAGTGCTCATGTTGACAGTTGGTGCAGTTTATGTAGCCAGTCGCTGTGTAAATACAAGCCTGCCATCATATCACAAACTACAACCCACAAAATGCAGCAGCAGATTTCTTTGATCGAAACAAATATGCAAGTCATGCTAAATCCTATATACATAATCTCACATATCAAATCCAGTTTGTCTGTTTTATACCGTGTTCTGTCTCTGCAGAGCAAAGAGGAACCCTGAGTCTGACTTTTCGTTGTCTCCTCATTAAAAACCGGTGTTGCAGCCAAGGTGAGGGTGACTGACAGCAGCTTTTTTGTAAGAATGCCCTTTTCTCAAACACAGTTACATAGGTGAAACCCTGTGTAATGACAGAAAATAAGGGTACACTGAATACTCTGCATTTTCAAAGTACTCTGGACAGGATGTGCTTTAAAAAGCAGCTTTTTGGTAATGAGGTTTGGTTATGTGCTAGCAAACTTACAAGTGGTCAGTCCCAATCAGATGCAATTGGATGCAATCTTCTGTAGACCCTGAGTGGTAAGCAGACTGTGCTGCTCTTCTCGGATGCTCTGTCTGGCTGTCTGTCTGCAGAGACAAGACGCTGATTTCTCTCCACCTTTTCTGCTGGCTCTTGATGAACAGACACCCACCACATGGGTGTCCGCTGAGGAGCTTTGGTCTCCTCTGTCTGACCTCTTCTGGCTTTGCTAAAGTTAAGACTAATATCTCCTGGGTTCAGGCACAGGTAGCTCAGCTTTATGTAACATTTTACATCTGCAGAGTTTGCCTTTTAACTGTTGAGATGTTACTGCAGGTCTTAACTACTCAATAATTAGATTGAGTTGTTAAAACCAGCAGCTAATTAACTTAAAAGTTTTCTCAAAACTATATTTTTTTGACATATAAAATGAAGAAAATCTTCAAACATTTAGTTTTCTGAGTGTACCAAATGTAATGTGGCATCAAAATGTGTGCTATCCCAGCATCTTCAGGCGAAGGCAGGGGACACCATGGACAAGTTGCCAGTTCATCGCAGGGCTGACATATAGAGACGAACAACCATCCACGCTCACATTCACACCTATGGGCAAATTTAAAGTGGCCAATTAACCTAACCGTAACCCTACTTCTGCATGTTTTTCCGATGTGGGAGGAAACCAGAGTACCCGGAGTAAACCCACGCAGACACAGGGAGAACATGCAAACTCCACACAGAAACGCCCTGACCCGGATTCAAACCCAGGACCTTCTTGCTGTGAAGCAACAGTGCTAACCACTACACCACTGTGCCGCCCGCAATGAGGTATTAAAAATACTAAACCTGAAACATGAGCTGATGTTCCTCTAAATTTTCACTATCAAATGATTTAAACAGTCATATGTTTAAAAATATCACAGAAAAGGTATAAATATCTAGTATCTTGGAGTTGGACTAAACTTTAAGCTAGCTCGCTAAACTACCTTTTTTGAAAATGGTTGAATGCTAACTTAGCTGTTGCTAACTTAACATTGAGGTATCAAAAATACTAAACTTAAAACATGAGCTGACATCCCTCTAAATTTTCACTATCAAATGATTTACACTTTCACACATTTAAAAAAATAACAGGAAAGGTATAAATATCAAGTATCTTGGAGTTAGCTAGCTTGCTAAACGACCATATTAAAAGGGGGCTGAATGATTACTCAGCTGTTTTCTGTCTGTAGCTAATGAGGTATGAAATAGCTTGTTTAGCTTTTAAAAATGGACTGTTTCCTCCTGGTTTCCACTATCAGTTATATTTGGCTAAACTATAAATTGGTGTAAAAATCCTGCTTTTTTCTTTGCGGTTATCATGTGACAAAAGTAGCTACAAAATCAATTAGACTTCAGATCAGAGAGATCATCTGCAGAAAAAGAAAGAGAGCAAAGTGCCTTCTTGGTTGAATCCCCTTAATTTCACAGAATTATTCTCTTCAGAGCCCAGTCATTTATCCCGCAGGCTGTTAGTCTGTCTTTACACAGACTTACATAACTGTCTGAAAAGTTCATGCATAATTTACCATAATGTTCTGTGTGGAGTACATTAAGTACTTCCCTGTATCACTTTAGGAGCGGCACTTCTCAAAAAAACGGGGACACAGCATGAGAACATGACAGCTCATTCTCGAATATGTATTTTCCAAAATACTGTGACAATGATTCTCCAAAACAGAAGCAGAATATCATCAATTGGTGGTTTGTATTGTGACATTTGAGAATTACTCATGGTCTGAGAAAACTGTCCTCTGCAAAAGTCAAGTGGTGTGGCCAAAGCAATGGTTTAATAAAACATATCATCTGCTATTATAAAAAGGTCTTTCTCCTGATTTAAATAATAGAATAAGCTTTTGAGTGCAGAAGCGTAAAAGCCAGATCCGTCCTGACTTTTATCAGGAGAAACTAGATAAAATTTTGAAGGACTGCTGAGTGGTGCAATGCAGCTTTGATTGAATTGAGTCGCGGGTTTGCAGCAGCATTAAAGAGATTCTGACTCTGTAAAGTCTCTTACTCAGCAAAAATGTCTTCAAGAGCTGGAGCTGAGCTGGTGACGCCAGCAACAAATGCCATTCTGTAGACATTTATCATAACAGCTGAAGGCATGCTCATCGTCTGCCCCCACCAGTCTTATATCTTTCTGAGAAAATATCGTCGCTGTAGATTATGCCTCCTCCTTTGTTTTATGCGCCCTACAGAATTCACTGCATGCTGCTTTTAATTCAGAAAAAAACAGCATTAGAGAGTAACAGCGATTCAGGCAGAGCGCTTTCCTCCAGCATAATTGCTCCTTGGCAATGCTCCCTTGCAGATTGCGGTGCTTTCTTTACCCCTCTCTTCCCAATGTGCCGCCACACTTACTATAAATATGACCCATAAGCACATCATCATGAAGCTTTCTACGGCTTGGGAGGCTTTTGAAAGAGGCGTTATTTCTCAGCTGGCGTGTGGAAAGCACATCACAGCCAGGAGCCTTTCCCACACTTCCAAGTGTGGCGGAGAAAGAGAGAGATGAAAGGAAAGCATAGAGAGAGAGAGAGAAAGATTGTGGGAAGAAGCAGCTTCCTGCCGGCTCTAATAGAAGACACCTGCCTGTCGTTTTTCTTTTAACCATCTTGCTAAAGAGGTTGGCAGGTTTTCTGGCCTGGTGACACTGATGGTTTATTGAAAATTTATGCAGCAGAAGCATCCAGTAAACGTCCTCGGATATAGCATTGCTATTTTTTGCTCTCATTTTCTCTCTCATGTTTTATTCAGACCCGGGATGCTGCACAAGAAGTGCAACCAAGTAGCAAAGATGGATGTTTGCTTGTTTTTCTTTTTTCTTTTTTTTTTTAAGATGGGCTGTTTGTTTATTATAAGAGAAAATGTCAGCTATGTGCTGACTGAGTGAATGCATTTCTCAGATTTCAGTGGAGCTGAAGAAAAGCAATAGATTAAAAGAGACAGAGGATATAAATCTCCTGCCACTAATTATCATCACTTTGTTAAACACTCTTGCTAATAGCCTCTGGAGTCGCTACAAACAGCTGAAAACATTACAAATTCAACAGCTTTTCACTGGCTCCAGCCCAGTGAGTTCATTTGAAATTCACTTTGAAAAAAGGAAAGATAGCATGACATGGTGATTGCGAATTCTGCTAGTTTATGACCTTTCTGTCCCATTTAGTTGCCTTTTGAATTTCTCACATAATAGAATCATCTAGCTGCATCGCCGTCCATCCAAGCAGAATATCTCTAACTAAAACGGAGCAGCAAAACATCAATAGAAATTATCTGTACAGTGCACACGTGTCCTGTACAGTCGTCTCTCTCCCGGCTTTTGTAAGGTGTGTTTCTGCCACACTCTCCAAGTTCTCTGGTGAACCCTGCTGGCATAGAGAGCTCTGCTGCAGGAACATTTTTGTCCTGTTTCACCGTGCATCTGTATTGATTGTACTCTCTCGGACAGCGGTGCTCACTGTACTCAGAGAGTGCAACACAGAGCAGCAGAGAAAAAGAGAGAGAAGAAGAGAGAGGGATGCTGTGAGTGGTGGATGATAAATGAGTTGAACTTTTTTTTTTTTCACTTAATGTGGCTAAAACACCGAGCTGTGCATAAGAAGTGAAATGTGATAGCGTGCATGAACTCTGCATTAAATCTTTCATCTATATGCATATTTGCATTTGTAATCATAGGGTGTGCATGTTGTGTATGCGTGCAAATGTAAATGAATGGTTGATGAGGACATACCCTGTATTTTTCTAGCCTCTAACAGCTGCAATGCAGACTAGTCTGGGTCCCAGCCTTCACTATTTGCATTCAGACCAGGTTTATTAGGAGAAGCTCCTGCCGTCGGCATCCTTACTCTTCTGCACACAGCTGTTTAAAACAATTAACATCTGTTATTGAAGGTGGGCTGATGTTTAAGTCCCATATGCCAGAGTAGACCATAACAGACTTTAAACTAAGAGCTGCAAAGTGCATGATGAAAAAACAGAGAAACTACTGCAAATAATTGAAATATTTAAATTGTGGAAAACTGCATGCAAAGGGTTCTTATGTCATCTAAAATCTGTCATTGCTGAGAGCCAAATCCAACAATAAAAAAACATCTGATTCTATAAAGTCGTGATTAAATGGATAAGAGTTTAATAAAGCCATTTACTGCACAATTAAAAAGGCAGTAACATTTAACTGGCTGCACAAAAGCACTGGTAGACAGTATTCAAAACACAGCTGAAGCTGCATCAGACAGTCATATAGGCTGTTATATGTACACTTTAAGTATGTGACAAAAACAGCATGTGCATGCATTCATTTTGTGGAGCACTAAAGCAAAACTACACTTAAAGAAAACTTAGAGCACAGACAGAGGCACTAAGACAGTCTAAAAAGGTTAGGTTGCCTGTGTGATCACAGATTTGTTGCATCTTTGGTAAGAAGATGTTGAAGGAAAATCGAAAGCAAACTAGGAGAGCATCTTGTGCGTTAGCATGGCTGTGCAGCAGACAGAGAACAGATGGGGCTGCTGACTGATGGTTAAATAAAAACAAGCAGACCGCTTCTTCCAGTGAGACGGCTGCTGCGTCAGCTAGCAGACAACATGAGCACATCACAGGAACAAGAGACTGATATGCATGCAAAACTGATGCTCAGAGACACGCACATTAGGATGCAAATGCTGACACACAATCTCTGCTGTTTGGCCCCAAATTGATCTACGAGATTTCGAAGTAAACAACAACGATTCCAGTTTCAAACAGTATGATCTGCCAGCTGCTAGTCCAAGAGACAAACTGTGTGTTTGTGTCTGTTTGTGTGAGGGTGAGCTGACTCTCCAAAGTTTCATAACAAGCTCTAATTATCAGAACCGAACCTGTGAAGTAGGTCAGCCCCCCATCTACACCTACACCCTGTAATGTTCTATGACAGGTGACGCAATCATTGCTAGCTGCACAGTAATGGAAGCCATTATATTGTAATGTCTTTGTGACTGTGTGCAGGGCCATTTAACCGAGGGGCAGATTAGATTAGTGCAGACGCTAAGCAGGTCAATGCAATAAAACCATGTTTCATACATGCTCGCTGATTCTATTACGAGCCCACAGAGTGTCAGTCATTTGTGCGCCGCAGCCTTATTTCTGCAACAGAAAAGAGGGATTAAAAACAAAGTATCAGCTGTGTGAACACTGATTGGTGAAGTTGGCTGTGAACGTTTCATTTGCCTCCAAATTATCTCACACACACAAGCTGAGCACACATCAAAAGACTTACAGTTTCATTGAAGAAGAAGCCAGACTGGCAGGGTCTTAATTGTAACTGTGTTGTCTGTGTTGGATAGTGAAGTGTTTTTCTGCTCTCTCCATTGATAAAAAAACACGCAAAACATTCATTCAGATTTCTGTGGATGAAAAACAAATATTTTTTCCATAAAACATCAGGTTTTGGCTTCTCCTTCTTTGACTTCTTGCTGACTTTATGCATAAAAAACTAGGCTAAGTTTCAGCCGTTATAAAAACTCTCCAGAGAGAGAAAAAGCAAAGCCATTACTTTGTCCAAAGATAATTGTTAGTTATTTTTCACAGCTTTTGCAGCCTTGGTCATTTATCATTGTTAAGCACCTGGCCGCACAGCAACCAGACTTTCTGGTTTCCTTGGCAATAAGCAAACTAAATTCTGCTCCACTTCTTCAGGTGGAAGTGAGTCAACAGCACTGTTGTACAAATCGCCCCCGTAGTGTCCTCATGCTTTGTGAGAGCTGGTTGTAAAGGAGAGGAATGAAAAAACAGGGAGCGCAGAAACGAATGACAGTGTCCTGCCATTGACAACAAGCTCCTTAGGCCAAACACTCATAGGCAGGAGCTGCCTGGAACTACAAGGACTTATGACTTATGAGATGAACGCGATTTTTTCTCGATTGTACATTCACTCATTCAGAAAAACAGAATTGAGCGCTGCTTCTCTTTCTAACAGAGCTCCGGTTCACCTGGGAGGTGTTGAAAATCGCTGCATAACCAGTGGAGAAAGATGCATGATTAAACTGATGACTCTGCGGTGACAAAACATGCAATATCTAGACTGTTAATGTCCTGACTGTAGATGACAAACTCTCTGCTGAGTGACCTCCTCCAGTAAGACTCAGGACTGTTGGGTTGATTGGCCTACTCATCCATCTGAGCCTTTGAAAGAGTGATGATTAACTGCAGTCTTAACTTGGTATAGTATTGGAATAAATCTGCTATTTTACATGTTGTCACTTAAACTTGCATATTTGTTCAAAGTCACTGTGGTCTCTTGGTCAATATGACTGACTTAAGCACAACCTTCTTTGCATTGTGTTGGTAAAAAAAAAAGATCCTCTCCTTCTCTACATGCTGCTTTAATGAGAGGAGCTTCAATACTAATACAGGCAGAATGCTCACCTGTGCTACACTCTTTTAGGTATCAAACAGCAGGCTGGCTTCATGTAGATGCCTTATGGCTCCAAAAGTTCTGACTGTGTGTTTTAGATAAAGTTTTCCTTTGAGTTTAAAATACAAAAGGTTTGATTTATCAGTTCAGTCTCTGCTGTGGTTAATTCCTTTTTTTTTCAATAATTACTGCATTTGCATACATATTTAATGCTGAAATTTAACCTTAATCAGATTTTAATGATAGTTTAAATGTCTTATAACCCACCTCTTCGATTCATTAATTTACGAATCCTTAAAAATACATCTCTAAGGCTTTATAACAATCCTAATAAGTTACTTAATGTTAGCATTCATAACAACTTATAGCAATGATCATGTAAAGTTGTGAGAGTTATAATGTGTTAAATGATTCATTGCATTAAGGTATAATGCATTATAAAGCACTTAAAAAAACCTTTATAAGGCATTTATAGTATATATACTGCTTCATTTAATAATAATAATAATAATAATAATAATAATAATAATGATGATACTACTACTACTACTATGACTACTACTACTACTACTAATAATAATTCTACTACTACTAATAATAATAATAGTAATAATAATAATAGTACTAATGATTATAATAATGATTTTACTACTACTACTACAAATAATAATAATAATCATAATAACTTTATTTATAAAGCACTTCTTAAAACAGAGTTACAAAGTGTTTCACAACAGAATGTTAAAAAAAGTTCTATAGATTGTACCATATTTTCTTTATATGTTTACATGTAAACTTAAACCAGCTTTGAAATACATAGATAGATAGATAGATAGATAGATAGATAGATAGATAGATAGATAGATAGATAGATAGATAGATAGATAGAAAAACAGAGATAAACACGCTTCAGAAAACTCTGTAATCACTTTGCTGTACACAAAATACGCTTCCCTCTAAAATAAATCTGCCAATGAATGCATTTTATATGGATGGACTGTGGTTATCTTTAAACCTGAGTGCTGACGAGAATGATCAAGATAAATATACATTTGTGGAAAACTGCTTCTCTAAAGCACATGCTTCATAAAATTTCTTATTGAACTGGCCAGAATCCAAGCAGCTCCATACTATAGGCGGTGTACCCATCTCACACAATCTGCTGACTAGGGAGATTGCTGTGACTCCAGCAGGCTGAGATGCTTGTGCAAGAAGAGATCTTTTTTTATGTTGTAATAGCACTTAAGACCACTCTGCATCCTTCATGTCAGAGCATTAGCATCAAACAGACCGGGGATGTCATGTTGGGTACACACACTTCACATCCCAATGAATGAGACAAAGGCAAGTGGCAGCTACCAGCTTCAAACAACATTCAGAGATCTTTTAAAGGCTGCAGTGACTATGTGTTGTTGGCAAAGCAGCATGTTTCTTCTTCAGGGCTGTGCAAAAAAAATCTGAATCCTGTTGACTCAGTCAGCACAAAATGCCAAGTCACCATGGTAACAGGGATGCAACACGCTTTGTACAGGATGATGAAGACTGAACACTATTCTCTACCAGCACCAGCACCACCATGACCATCACCGTGGGATCTATTACAGCTGTTTAAGATATAGTGATTAAAATATACATTGAAAAAAAAACCCTGCACACACACACACCGGATATCCCGTCAGATTTTGTGCACCACACACACGCACAGTCAAAGCCTTCTACAGGTCACGTTGAAGCTTCTTCATATTATGTAACAGCGTTGATTTACAGTGTTAGCAATTACAAAGCGTTGACAAATTCAGGAATCACACACGAGAGGCATTAAAACTATCAAATTGCTGTTTAACAGTCAATCTGAACTCCCTCTGCGTTTTTGCGCCAGACACGTCAGAACCACCGGCGTTGGTCTACAAAGTTGCATAACATTTCAATCACATCTTAGCCTCCCTAAATACGAGGGTATTTAGAGCTATCGGTTACATTTTGGAGGGATAATCTCATAGGAAATGAAGCTCACAGGAACAAATCCCACAGAGACATTAATGTCAGTTTCATATGCGTAAAAACAGAAGCGCATCTGAGGTCCTCCCGTTTGAAACACCATGAAACAAAACATCTAAGATGAAGATTTTTTGGGGGTGCAGGGTGGATGTGTGAGCGCCTACCTGTCCTCAGGTTGAAGGAGAGTCGGGCTTCAACAAGATAAGGGGTGTCGCTCTTGGAGCGGAGTCTCCGGATGGGTCTGCGGTCTGTACTGCTGTCTGAAGTGGTCGCCATCAATCTGAACCTGCGTCCAGAGGGAGACTGCTGCTGCTGCCGCTGCTGCTGCTGCTGCTGCTGGCCGAGGACCGGGGCAGGAGCAGCACCACCACTACGGCCAGACTCTCACCACACACTGATGAGAGAGGAGGCTATTGAGCGAGAGGAGGGAGGAAGGGAGGGAAAGAGGGAAGGATGGAGTTCACACACACACACACACAGTTCACAGAGAGAGAGAGAGAGAGAGAGAGAGAGAGAGAGAGAGAGAGAGAGAAAGAGAGAGAGAGAGAGAGGCGATGGAGTATGACATGAGTGAGGAAAAGATAATGAGCCAAAATAAAGCAAACATTAATACTACCTGATGTCTAAATCAGCTATAGATATCGTAACAACTCTCATTCAGAAATTAAATTAAATTAGATATGAGTTAAATGGTAACACTTTACAATAACCATAATTTATATATGTAAATAGATCGTTTATTAGTGTTTAATCATCATTTAAAAACAGCATAGAGACCAATGATAAATGGCAAATGGAAGTTTATTAATGTAAGTTCACAGTTTTTTTATTTTTTACCATTAACAAGCATTGAAATTATGATTATAAATGGACTATTTATCAAAGGTTTATATAGGGTTTAAATATTGGTTGTAAAACATCTAGATTAAAATGTGTGTCAGTAGCACTTTGTAAATGATTAATAAGTGGTTTATAAACCATCTATAAACATTACTTAGATGGTTATTGCAAAGTTGGAGGTAGGTTTTTTAAATTGTAAAATTTACAATGAATTAATGGTCTATATGCTATTTATAAATGATGATTGAACATTAATAAACCATCTGCTTACCATTAATAAATAGTCTATTTACCATTTGTAAGTTATGGTTATTGTAAAGTTACTATCACCATTCTTGTTGCAGAAATTTAACCTCGATCAGATTTTAGTGATGGTTTAAATGTCTTATAGCACTTCTTTTAACTCACCTCTTTGATGCATTATTAGCAAATTTAAGAAGCCTTAAAAAACATCTCTACGGCTTTATAACAATCCTGATAATTTATTTTATGTAAGTATTCATAACAGCTTATAGCAATGATATTATGAGCATTGACATGATGTCTCATAAAGGTCTGGTCCATGCTACCTCAATGCAAAAAATAAAATAAAATTGTGTTCTTATTTTTGTCTGACTCTTCATTTACAGAAAAAAGAAATACTGCCTACAAGTTCTTACAAATGTGCTATATATCATCTAATTGTTAATAACCAGAGTCACTTAAAGCACCCAAAGTCATGCTTTTGCATATTATGAGTATTAAGAGCATTTTATGAATTGAGAAATAAACAAGATTAAATTAAATTCATTAAATTAAAAAAACGTTTCTTTAAGTGGCTATCACTAAGTTTTAGTCCTTATCTTTAATGAAACAGCCTTTTCGACATTAAAATCTAATGGTCACGTTGGCTTATGCATGGTTTTATAATAAACTCTTCATCATCAGACTGCAGCATAAAATGCCACCTCACCTGAAGCAAAACAGTGAATGAATCATCCTGAATGAAACTCGTTGACGCTAAACTACCACCAGGTGGCGCACCTTCACCAAACACTTTTTGGATTCATGTGTTTGCGACAGTGTGGTCTGTTTACGGCACCTTATGGTAATTACTCTGGAGGTAAACAAGAAAAGTAAGCGTGACTTTTTTGCTCCGAAAGTGGGATTAGCACAACGAAAGGTAAGTGTGAAACAGTCGATGAGAGAGATTCATTTAGACGCAAGAGTGTCGTTCGTGTCTTGAGTGGAAATCCCCTTTGGAAACTCGGGGTTGGAGGTTATTCCTGTTTGTGTACCAGGAAGCGCGTCAGGACTGCGACTCAGCGTGCCAAGTCCACGACACGAAAGAAAAGAGTGTGATCCAGGGTTGTTTCTGTGAGATAACCCCATTCATATACAAGACCTTTTGTAAGCTGTAGTGGCCGGTATGTGACCTTTGTAGGGATGTGAACAAAGTTTGATACAATCCACGCACAGGGTACAGCCTCGCAACCTATACATGTGTAGGTTAGTTATGGAAACGCTGCACTTCCTTTGGTCGCAGTGGGTTAGTAAAATGCAGTCTTTTGAACATGCAAAACCTGCAAAACCAGTTTCCATACATTTGAAATAAAAGTTAGTCCAGACGTGCAGGGCGTGTCCTGTCGTATCTTTGCAGTGATAGTGTGTCTGAACAGGCCGTCTACCTGATATTTGTCCTCTTTTCCTATCTTTCTGGTGAAAAGTGTGTGGTTTGCACATTTCTTATCACAAGCCAGCCTTTGTCTGTGCAGTTGCAATCACAGTGTGAGACTATTGTCCTGATTGCTCCACTACAGTAGGGGAGAGTGGGGTAAGTTGAGCCACCCTCTGTTACTAGGAAATGGTAAAAGAAATTGATCATGTGAGCAAATATTTAGGGAGATGGGCCAAAAAAAAGTTTTCACTCTTGAAAGTGATTTTTTTTCTTCTGTTTTTGTATTAGTTTTATTAGAATTGTGTTCAGACCAAAAAAGATCATTTTAAATTTGTTTTATACGTCAATTGTGGTATCTATTAGCTACAACATGAGGTCAAAAACCTAGCTTAGAGGTCTAATAAAGTCATAATAGTAGTCCTGGGGTAAGTTGAGCCATCCCATTGAGCATTTTTGGTCTGAAAGAGGTCTAATAGACATCTAAATGTAGCCTAGTCCAGTGGTTCTTAAGTCCAGTCCTCGAGGCCCACTGTCCTGCATGTTTTGGATGTTTCCCTGCTCCAACACACCTGATTCAAATGATCAGCTCGTTATCAAACTCTGTCTTGATGACGAGCTAATCATTTGAATCAGGTGTGTTGGAGCAGGGAAACGTCTATACTACACTGTATATTGCTCAATGGCTATCATCATTTTTTGGTTAAGTACCTGGAGATCAGTTATGTTGCTTTTTGAAATCAATAATGGGTTAGAGTGCAATGTCTAAATTCTGTTTAAAAATATGCAGGATTTAGATGGTTGAAATTAGGTCTAAAAAAAAAAAAAAAAAAAATAAGACATATAATAGCCGTCTCTTGCTCAGTGGGATTTAGCCAGGGGTAAGTTGGGCCAGTGGTTCAACTGAGAAAAGTAAAGGAGTCTGATGAAAGGATCAGAGTTTCAGTTCAAATTGTTGAAATATGTTACTTTTTCTTCTTAAAAGTACAGCTGTAAATGTTCTGAATCACTTAAAGACATTCTCATGTTAAAATGTTTTTTTTTTCCGTTTTTTTTTTACAGAACAGCTTTTTAGCATTTTTTTGCAATAATAATAAAAAGAAGTATTGTACCAGTTGAATAGTGTATAATAGATAAAAATACAAATAAAGGTGAACAAGTGACTGTTATTTAGGGAGAGAGAGGTTGAGGGAGGGCTGGGGAGGAGAGTGGGGGGTAGTAGGGATACGGCTCAACTTACCCCACTCCTATGGTCAACTTACCTCATACATGGGGTAAGTTGACCATAGGATACCACTTTTTTGGCATGCTATATTATCAAAACAGTTACGTTTACACTCATTCTGTTGGTTTGTAGGGATGAACAACATCTTGAAATATATGCAGATACACTAGTTAGAGACAAAACTATGATTGCCTTGATGTAGTGATCCGAAATATGAAGAATGGCTCATCTTACCCCACTCTTCCCTACACTACGTGCAGTCTTACAGCCACATTTTCTCTGTCTTTGATTTGTTTATATAGTGTTATTTAAAGTTATACTCATTTGTACAACTGTAAATATACTCGGTCCCTTCTTTGAGGCTGTGCTCTCAAGTGTTATAATTGTGCACACTACATAGCAAAATACATGTAAAATGTGCTTCAACCTGCACTCAACTGCATTTGGTATTGGAATGAATTGCAAGGCAGCATGTTTTTATAGCTACACAAATAAAAGTCTTTGTCGGTTTGATTTTTTAAGATGACATGAGCCTGTGAAGAAAGCTTACTTAAGGTTAATTCATTGTGGATTTGTTACAGATTTTTTTGTGATGGATTTTAAAACTGTACGTAAAGAGAACTCAGTAAAAGAGAAGGAATTAACAGTCATTTCTTGATATTTAATGTTTAATTTGACATTTTTAAAACTTTTTTTATTTATTTCCAGTAGCAAAAATGCTTCTCCATAATCGAGCTGTGTTTGCTCTCGGTCTGCGGATGTGCTCCACTCATGTGAAGAGAGGACCTTCTATGGACACAAAAAGACAGAGCTCAGGTAACAGAGGTTCAGTTAGGTTCATGAAATGCCACTGCTCCTTTGTTCAATGTTTGTTTTCTCTGATGTTACTCAGTCAAGTTGTCCTCCATAATGACAGGAGCTTTACCGTATGAGAAAATTTATCAGGGAAATTTAAAAGAAACAAAAAACAAAGTTAGTACAACTCTGCAATGGTTTAACAAATGTCAGAACAATGTGCAATGTTAAGCGAGTACTGACCGTGAATTCATTCAAAACAATCATGTATTCACTTCCTGATAACGTAACCTTACTTTTTCTTTTTTCCCCTCCTAGATATGTCTGACTTCCGTGAGATCTTTTCCAAAGCCAAGCACATAGCAATCATAACAGGAGCAGGTGTGAGTGCGGAGAGCGGGATCCCAACCTTCAGAGGGGAACATGAGAAGTGGAGGAAATGGCAGTCTCAGGTGAAAACACACACTAGTAACTGTCCGTGTTACTTATTCATTGTATTTTATTTAGGTCAGTGCTCTGTGTTTGGTCTGTTTTTTCAGCTGTGGTTCAGAGTCATTGCTGTTGAGTGGGTGTATTTTCTGTTTACATAATAACTCGCATATCTCTGTGGATTTATCTCAGAGGCAACAGCCAGGAAAGAGATAGATGTTTGTTTCATAATATAGAGTCTTGTGGTGGGCAGCAGAAAGATTTACTTAAAGAAAAAAATGTCTAAATGATGTGTGTATTCAACTTTTTTGCCGTCTTGTATCCTACCCTCAGCTGATTTTTTCCCAGCTCTCAAATGTGTCTGTGTTGACCCCCATGTAGGACCTGGCTACACCAGAGGCCTTCTCTCGCACCCCTTCCCGGGTTTGGGAGTTTTACCATTACAGGAGAGAGCTGGCTCTGAACAAGAAGCCCAACGCGGCACATTTGGCCATTGCGGAGTGTGAAGCTCGTCTCAGGAAACAAGGGCGCTCTGTGGTCATCATCACCCAGTGCATAGACGACCTCCATCGGCAGGCTGGCTCCAAACATGTGCTGAAGATTCATGGTGAGAGGCCGAGTTTAGCCTTCAGAGATACAGATCAGGATTTTGACTCTCATGACAGTATGTTTTCTGTGATAGGTTTTCTCTAATAGACGAGCAGAAGAGAAAATATGTAGTGTGTAAAGTGGAAACACAATAGAATCGAATAGACTTTATTTGTCATTGCACAAAGCAACAAAATTTCGTTGTGCCATCCTGAATGCAAAAAAACAAAAACAAGTACAACAATGCATACACATGGCAGCATTCATTCATGTTAAAAGGCATATTTAAAACATAAAGACGCTGATGAACATTAGTCCCATATTGCACTGTTAAATGAGAAGTGGTTGCACATAGTCCCATATTGCACTGTTGATAAATAAAAAGATGAATAGAATAAATAGAGGGTTACATTATTGCATTTATTGGCCTGACATTAAGTTCAGTTATGGCTCTGTGAAAGAAACTGTTTTTGAGTCTGGAGGTGCGGGCTCTGAGCGCCCTATAGCGCCTCCCTGAGGGTAGCAGAGAGAACAGGCGATGACTGGGGTGGCTGGAGTCTCTGATATATGAGACAATGATATACAGAGTGTATAGAATAAAAAAAACAATCTAGTACTTATTAAAGGGAATCTTGAAGTTTCCCTGCTGAATCTTTGGGACCATTGCAGTTTAAGCTGGGTTTTCCTTGGTCATGGGAGGACTTCATGATTCTTTGCTGTTGTTTCTTTCAAACAAACATCCTCAGAGTTAGTCGTACTAAAAGCTCATGTCTTGTGACTGTATCATCTGATATGGTGCTGATATTCTCTCTCCAGCTTTGACTTTCTTTTCTGTTTTCATACATTTTCAGGCTGATTTAATGGCATAAACACAAACTAATTATTTATGCGTGAGTCAGGAGACAGAGCCACCACTGTTTACATATTCTGTATATGGAGAGAGATGTCTTCTGTGACCCCATCAAGCCTCAGTAACAAACAGCTGTGTTTTCAATGTGTAACTGCAGGCAGTCTGATGGAGACACGCTGTGTGAGTTGTGGAGACGTGACCGTGAACAAGCGGAGCCCCATATGTGCCGCCTTGAAGGACAAAGGGTAAAAGGCAGCACCTCTGGAATAAACACAAACACACACACTGATAGATGTGTAGGATTTGTAGCTTGAGGTTGTCAGTTTGACCTCACCTGTGGGTTATGAGCGATTCAAACTGCTGTGATTGATCTCTTTATGCACAGGGCACCAGGCCCAGATGTTGCAGATGCACAGATTCCAGTGGATAAACTGCCAAGGTGGGATTACTCTCATTTCATATCTATAATTCCAAAGGTCAGATTAATGAAACCTTTTGTCGTGTTTTACTGCTGCGTGCTATTTGTAGAGGTTTCAAACCAGCCTGACAGCACCACATATCCTGTATACTCAGGTACATTTTTGAAAAGCACCAGATAAAGAGTGACAACTTTATATTTCCAAAAACTAAATCGTGCAGAACTCAACCTGAAAGGAAAGAAGGAAAAATCCTGCTAAGAATTTAAATATCCAAATACTCCACAAGTCCACATTGAGACAGTGACCTGATTTGACTGTACATATTCGCTTTATTCCTGTTATTACAAAAGCTATGGACTCATTTCAACTATGGATTAAGGGTTCATACAAAAAGATGACATAGGTACAGGTTACCCACTACCTACAATTGTTGTCGTACAGAAAGATATATATATATTTCATATATTTGGATATTTATTTGCTGTTTTTGTTGTATCATTGTTAAGGGCTTAGCTATCTCAGAAAAAGTGAGCTACCCTCTCTGACTCTCTGTAACACACAAAGTGATCTTCACACTGATGTAGCAACAATTCAGTGTCCCGGTAAATTAGCGTGAGAGTACTGTGAACATTTGCTCTCTAAAACTCTGGAGACTATAACTTTCCTTTAACATGCTTCAGGTTTGCTCTTCACTTCTTCTCTCCTCTGTAAATTACAAGTTTACATTCAAGGGCCTCCACTTGGGGGCAGTGGTGTGCTATGTGACTTCAGTCTTAAATTTACTGACAGGAAGTGAAGCTGTAACCATGGCAAAAGATTTACAAGCGATTAAATTAAAATTCAAATATGTAGAAAAGCAACAAATAACAATGAAAGAACAATAAGAAGAGATTTTGCTTCAATTAATCTCTGTGATTGCCTTCAAATCTACATTATAACTGAATTACACAGGGCAGTGTCTTCTCTGCTTTTTATGGGTCTGTGTGGATTATGCTCTTGTGTTATGGCAAATGTATCATTCTGAAATCAATCATGACAAATCATATAAAACTATTTGGTGCTGCTGCATCAAGGTGTGACGAAATCGACTGCCACGGTCTGCTGAGGCCAAACGTCGTGTTTTTTGGAGAAACTCTGGACTCACACATCCTGACCAAGGTGGAAAAAGAGATGGAAACATGTGACCTCTGCCTAGTGGTGAGTTATTCTCGATTTTTGATACATAACCAAAACATTAAAAAAATCATGATAGGTGCTGAAATTTCTCTCTAATTCTTCTCTAATTTTAACATCTAGGTTGGCACGTCCGCTATCGTTTACCCAGCAGCCATGTTTGGCCCCCAGATTGCGTCTAGAGGTGTCCCTGTGGCAGAGTTCAACACCAACACTACACCCAAGTCTGAGTACTTCACGTAAGTCGGACAAGAAACCATGTGCATGTTGACAAAGACAGATGTATCCTGCCCGTCAAGGGAAACCGACCCAGCGAGAAATGATGCATGTGTAAATTGATGTTTTGTGCCACCCACTAGCAGGTAGGCAACAACCAGACCTCTCTCTGATGCACTTTCAGCTTCATCTGCTCACCTAAAACCTTCTTGTTTTTTTCCCCCATGTCTGTGTGTGTGTGGCGTGACGTGACACAGGCATCGTTTCCAGGGTCCCTGTGGAACCACGCTGCCCCTGGCTTTGGCGCGACATGAGTCAGAAATTATCTAAGAAGGCACAGTCGAGCATGAACTCTCCAGACAAACCAGGGTTTTCTCTACAGACGAATGAAACACAAGCGTGGGGAGGGGGTTCATAACATTCCTTAATTCAATTTTTTATTCCAAATCTTGGCCTTAAAACGATTGTAGCTGTTGATGCTTGTTAGAGGAAGAGATGTATAGGAAAGAGCTTTTTTAAGACTCCTACTTGAACCTACAGCTTACTAAACTGGAATCGGGATATTGTACATATTTGCTGCCTTGACTGAGGCAGAAGAAACTAAACAGCAACTATGCAGCAGTATCAAAAAAGGGAATGCACTATGTTTGTAGGTGTGTACATAGGATAATATCTCAGAAATCATTACATGGTACCTTACTTTTTACATGTCTTGCTTATATGCTGGAGAGAGATCATCCTTGTATTAATACTGGGCTCTGACATTTTGCTGTACATCATACTTTTTTTTTCTTCCAGAGTGCAAATGCACAACTTTACTTTTTTTTTCTTGCCTCAAAATGAACAGATGTTCTGAGAGTAACATAATCTTGTGCCTTTCCGAACTGTTTACACAACCTTGACCAAATGCTCGCTTCAAACCTCAAGTGCAAATCGACCAATGTTACAGAGATTACGCCAAGTGCACAGACTCTGCTTTTGACCAAGGACAGATGAGGCAGAGAGGGAAACTGTTGTTCCTGTGTGTGCGCTGTTACGACATCAGTAGAGTTACATGTCATGGATCATGCATGATGCATTTTTACAAACCTTAATGTCTACTTTCATGCAATATACACCTTTGTCCGAATACTGTGGATGGAAATTATCCAAAAATGAAAGAATTTATATCTTTAATTACTTGATCTGTTTTTATATTTGTACCCACCAACATCTAGCAGTACTTTTTCAGGGGTTTTCTAATAAAAGCTGCCAATGTAGTTATACAGAACATGACCATTAAAACACTAAATATACTTTTCCTGTTTTTATGTCGTAATTGTACCAAAGCAGAGTGAATTGTGCTGTGCTGTGTGTGCCTGAAATGAACAGTAGGTGCCAGCATGTAGCTTTCTATTTAAGATACCAGTGCGACATAAATGTGCTTGGAAAGAAACACAACTTTGCTTGCATTGAGAGTCTGATTTTAACATGTATGAGTGAGAGGAAAGGCAGACTTCAGTATCCAGAGACCATTAAGGAATAGAGAGTCAATATGTCTGAGTGGATCTGAGTAAATAGTTATCAACCTTAGATGTGGTGCTGCTTGAAGTTAGGTTTTTGGAGTGTGGCACAGTCAGGAGGTTGCATTTTTAAGAAATAGTTTGACTTTGATTCTCCTTTTGTGACATGCTTTATTTTGTTTGATCGTGGCCTTGGATCGCAGGTTACTCTAGCTTTTTGCCTTTTGACCTCTTAAATCCATGCCTTGTTTTATGCAACAGTTACAGTATGTCTTCTTGCTGTGACAAGTTTGACCACAGAGCTTCTGTGAGGATATTTAGCAAGAAACAAAACAGAAGTTGCTACTGTGAAAGACAGCATCAGCGGTAAATGTGTGTAAATGATGTGGTAGGCAGTGGTGGATTAGTAAACATTACTTGAATCGAATGCTAAAATTACAGATACAGAAGAAAAATATCAAATGTCATGCCCCAAGAATTTACCCCACGAAAAGATGTAGCAACATGAGTCTTGAAAAAATTAGTAGGATGCACCGATCCGCTTTTTTCACCCCGATACAATATAAATATCCAAAGTTTAGTATCGGCTGATACCAATTCAATTCCGATAGGGAAAGGCTGCGCTGAATTACCTTTTATTGTAACCTGAATTTTTACCGCTGCCCCTCTGAACGTTCACTATGCAGGTATTGCAAATGGCCGTCAAGCTTGTAGGCTGGGGTATCGTGATAAAGTTGAAGATAGCAGATCCCCTCCCTCACTCCATTTTGAAAACTGTGGGCATCCGCTCAGCGTTTTTACTTGTGGATGCCAATCACGGCAAATAGCATAGAGTTTGACTGAATAGATCAGTCTGTATCCATCGGGCCCATTGTCATACCCGATCTAGATTTTTTTCTACTATCGTGACTGATACCGATATCAAATATTGGATCAGTGCATCCCGAGCTATGATAATGTGGTGATCGTTACAAAGAGGTTATCTTTGGGAGTAATTTGTTAAAGGTTTGTAAAAAGCACACAGATATATGTTTCTCAGGGGAGACCCCCAGGGTTAGTTCTAAGCCCACTGTTGCTGAAGTCACAAACACACCAGAGTTGCTGTAAATTTTCTGTCACTTTTTCACCTCGAGTGGGCGTTTACCTCTTTTGCACCTCAACACTTTTGATGCTAACTCAATGATTAGCATCCAAATCAAATCCTTCTGTTAGCCACCTGATTACCACCATCATCATCATCATTGCTGTGATTAGATTTCCTCATTTCCTCCTCTATTACCGCCGCTTCTCTTTAAGTAGAGGTAAGGCCCGGTCCTATTCGTCATCAGGAGAAAAAGTACATGAAGAGCCACTTCAGAGGAATCTCAGCCGTCTGATGCGGTCATTTCTGTAGCTGAGGTGAACAAAAGCAGAGAGCTGACAACTCTGCTCCTGAGTCCTGCAGATCATTCATGAATGCAGTGCAGTGGAGGGAAATAGTGGTGGAAGAAAGGTTCCTGTGTGACCCAGAAGCCATGGGGTTAATAGACTCATCATCATTGGTGGCAGCTCTACAAATATCCCTCCATCACTTTAAATGAGGAGCTGTATTGACTGGGAGATGGCATCTGTGTGTGCTTTTAATGTGTGTCTCTGTGCGTGTGTGTGATTGACTCTGTGACTTATTTTCTTGGACTCTGTGTTTGGAAAGCAGTATTTGACTGCCAGCTGGATGAGTGTGTTTTCTATGCACGCGTGTATGTGTGTGTACATAAGGGTTCAGATTGTGTTTGTGTATTTCTGCTCTTTGCGCTCTGGTGTGAATTTTCTTGCTATATGCAGACTAACAGAAGTGTCAGACCAAACCAGGTCAAGCTTGGTGAGGAACCGTGAACATCACGCAGATACACACACAGTTTCTTCACAGATACACACAGCCTGTCCGTGTGCATTAGGCATGGTGAGGCTCATTCTGCTATCTCAGACGAGTTGTGTCCTTGGCTTGAAAACAGAGGTCTCTTTCATTCAAATACTTCATATCCTCTGTTTGAAAGTGTGAAATAATGACTGGAGCAAGTAAACAAACAAAGGGGACATACTAAATAAAGCTAGTGATCAGTTGAAGTTTAGCTAGGTTTTTGAAAGGTGGCAGCTTTATAGTCATCTCTCATTTCGCACAGTAGGTGATGTAATTTAGACAATAGTTTATTAGAGGCTATTTTATGTGATAAATTATGTTCCTTACACATCAAAATCAAACCGATGAAGCTGTCTGAATTCTCTATCCAGCGCTCCATGAGTATCTTAAAACCCTTGACGTCATCCTCAAACACTGTAGATATAATTGCATTGTCATGCTTCATGAGTTTGAATTGTTTTTAACATGGACATGTAAATTTAAGCTGCAAACAGAGACTGATAAGTGTTGTGGTGGCAGTGTCCCAGTCAACATGCACCAGTTTGCATGTGCCTTAGACAGTTAACAGTGCAGGTATAGGCTAAGTGGCTAATTGTGGGTAATAGCAGATCTAGCCCATACTGTGTAAAGTATGGTGCAAAATTGGATATTGGCTCAATGCTTATTGGCTCTTATCACTGGGTTTCGCTTCAACTATGACCAAAAGTTTTATTCTTATCTGTCGGCCAACTTCTGAGGGATATAAAGTGTCTCTCCCACTAACTGTTGTGTTGCATCAGTATGTAGATGTACTCAGGGGTGAATTATAATCATACATGTGGGATAAGGGAACATGTGAAACAGTGGACCTGATGGTTACAACGGCTGATTTTTTTTTTTTTTTTTTAAGTTTGCTGCATATAAAACTGAATTACCAAGGTCTTAGGGGTTTCCCGGCCACTTTTAATGAGGAAATGTTCTGCAAAATTAGACTACTTAATGTATTTGATGCCATTTCCTGTCATAAACTCGGCCAGAACTGTAATCATACGTATGGAATTTGGAGAATATTGAACACTGCATACAGGAGTTGCAATGACAGTATTTCTTATTGGAAATAGCCAAAATTAATCATCACTTTCCAATAGGAGCCTTGTTTTGACATTTGCTGTTAATTCCAATACGATCATTAAACAAGGTAGGGTGTAGGGTGTATGTTACTTCTTTTTAACAGATGACACAAGACAACAATGTCAAACTTCAACAACACAAAATTTGACCTTTTTCTATCAATTTGATATGTCTCTGACAGATTGAGTTGGTTATTTTCTTTATTTTTGTGAATATTTAAACAGGTTGTTGATGGTGGAATCAAATAAATCTGGACCACACAGTCAAAAAGGGGCTTTGATCAAATGACGAGCTTTCACATTAGCAGCAGTAAATGTATAATATTATATTTCTCTTTCATGGAAAACACAACAACAGAGGCCTATGAAGGCCCAGGTATTTTCTATTTATAGCGACTGTCAATTTGCAACACTAGAGAGGTGACTGGGGCTTGTCTCACATGCTTGCAATCTCATGCGCAGTAACAAACACACAAATACAGTATACACAGTGCTAGCAACACATACTAATCTCCTCACTGCCTCCTCTGTCTAACCTTTCCCTGAACTCTGTTTTTTACAGACTTGGCTGTGATAACAAAGGTTTACAGTTAATCCGTCCGTTGCCATGAAAGTTGTCTTTATTTGAAAGGATCATGTCACTAATCACCCTCCCCTCCTTCTTTTTTGAAATGCCCACCATACAGTGTATTTTTGTCGCTTTATTTTTGGCCTTTAAAGGGAAGGATTTCATCTGCTGACTGAGGTGTCGTTTGCTTCTAGGTAGCCTGGTAATTAGTGAGCTGTTGTTTGAGAGAGGCTAAGGTAGGGTCTCAGGTGTGAGCTAATCTGCTCTAACTCTGCGCTAATTAGGATCAAGGCCAGCGGCCACTTTCTCCTGGTTATTGATCACCTGCCTTACCTCACTTAGAAAACTATTCGACTCCGATAAGAATGGAAGCATAAGTTAAACATGAAACCAGTTCATATTTAGTGTCGGCTTGTCTCATCTCATGTGCCCCCAGTCATCTTGCTCTGTTTGTGACGATCTCCTACATGGACTCGTCACCTGACCCCACCTGACCTGCTCAGTCTTCACTGTAAAGCTGCTTCTCAACAAGCAGGACAATCCTCTCCATTTGTTTTGAAATATTTACTCTCTTTTTGCTCTTTTTTGGTCTCCACCAACCACCAGATACATCATCGACTCCTGTTGCTCTCTCTCTCTCTCTATGTTTGCCTCTCTCCTTCTCACCTACCTCCTGCTCTGCACGGTGAACACTTGTAGCGCTAAAATTCAGCAGGGGCACGTGATACCTTCCCAGACAGCCTTTGTGGGAGGAGACACCGCACATGGATTGGACGCAAACACACAAACACACTCACGCACACACACACACACACAGTGCCTCTCCCAGATTACTAGAACTATCAGAAGCTTTAAGAGGATTTCACAATGGAAGGGTGCCACACTTGAATCTCATGCACCTGATGGCTATTGATCCATTGTAAGCTTGCACACCGGCATACACATGCGCAACAGGCGCATTTGCTTCTTCTTGTCTTTATAAACAAGCTTCTGACCTTGATTCTTCATTTTTCAATGTGAAACTCCCCTCATAGTAGTCTGCACCTTTGAATCTGACTTTACAAGATAGCTCTTTTAAATAATAAACCTGTCTTAACTTACATGTTAGTATCACAAGATTAAGCTGTTGCGCAGAAAGCAAGTAATCTAAGCCTCTAAAAGCTTCTTCCTCTCCTGTTCTGCGGCTGATATAAATGTGTCCATACACAGTATACTCCAGCAGCAGGGCTTATTAGCAATGCTGATGTGAGTGGAAGATTAGAGGGGTGGTGGTGTCTGTAATGGAGATGCTGAACGAGTCCCAGGGATGTGTAGGTTGATAAGCAAAGGTTGCAATCAGCCAGCTGTCATGTGAGAAAACAGGATAATATCATGTATAATGTTCAAGGGAAGGAAGGCACTGGCTCAGGAGCACATTTGTTTTATATTCTTTCAGCTTTGTTTTTACATTTCAGTTAAGTTTTGATTTTGATTTTTATTAAAAAATTTGAATAAGTGTTTAGTATGAGTCAGTAGTCATTAAAGCTCTTTTTGACGCAGGAATAACCAATAAAGATATCATTCTAGTCTCCATTCAGAGACCCAAAATGCAAGATACTGCTTTTGAAACCTAATAACTTTGCCTTCTAATGTCTTTAATATATTATCGGCAGGTAAAAACACAAATAACTAAGTGATAAATGATTGTACTGATCCCAAAAGAAAGATTGAGAACCAAAGTGGTTTCTCTGCATTAAGCTTCTGTGAGGAATTCTGTTTGATTCAGTTTTGGCGCCCCCTGTGGACAAAATGATACCTTTTCAATCTCTGCTTGTCCAGTGTTGCCAACTCCTCAGAAAGGAAAGTCGCTAGTGGCTGTCGTAAAAGTCACGAGAAGTCGCTAGATGACGTCATCACCTAGTTTGCATAATTTCTCTGTCAAGCTCACTGTCACCACCAACCCCCCATCCCACCCCCGGGAGAAGGAGGAGGAGTCTTCCGCGGGGTGTCTGAGTGTCTGTGTTTTTGATGCACACGGGTACCCGTTGAAAAGTGTAATATCTATTCCTGCATTTGTGTTGGAGTCTCTAAACTCCACGAAAAGTTGCTAGATTTGTTGCTAGGTGCTCTTTTGAAAATAAGTCGTTAGGGGGTCTGAAAAGTCGCTTAATTTAGCAACAAAGTCCCTCGGTTGGCAACACTGCGCTTGTCTTGTCCTGTATATATGTAATTATATAATTGTGGCCTTGTATCTAACAACATTTCTAGTGGTTCTCAAAGTCAAAGACAAATTTCTAGAGTTAAGATAAAATCTTGAGAGTTTTGCTAAAATCGGGGTGCGCTACAACTCGCCATTGATCTTAGATGTCAGTTTTTAGGTGGTTAAACAACTCGGTATGAAGTATTTTAAACACATTTGACATTATCACAGGCCTTTCAAACCTTGTTGCTCAATGATGTCAACATAGTCAACAATCGATAAGTGCGCTTTTCCCAGTACCAAACAATAAGCTGCAAGTTAGCAAAACAAACATTATAGGGAGGCAGAAGAACAAGTGGTTATCTTGGAATTTGAGAAGGAGGAGAAGCTGGAGAAGCCAACAATTGTCCCTAAAAGAGCTCTGAATCTAGTTCTGGTTATACAGTTAATGACCTTTCAACATCACCAGTCTTTGCAGAACCTTAAGACACTCTGAGATGTATCACTGAACAGAAGAACTTAAATTTTTCATTTACTGTGCTTTAAACTGTGTTATCTGACACCAACTTTTTTGTAGCAATTCAGGCATTAAACACTGATTTTGTAAGGTCATAAAACAGCAGTAGCACAGTAAATGTCATTCTTTGAAATTAGCAGTCAAAAACTCCTCACAGGAGCTCGAGATAACAATGATACTTGAAACTAGACTGATTAAGATATTTACATCCATCAGTGCAAATAACAAGCTATAACGTGTGGCCACCTTTCCTGCACAGTTTTCCCAAAGATATTCTATGACTGTTTTTGCATCAGCATGTCTTTTGGGACCTTTAAAAAAAACATCTTTAAACCCTGTCACCGAGCTGCGGGGCACATCAGCAGATAAGCTGTGTTTAAATCATGGCTTCATCGGGTATCTAAGAGTCTTCATTCATCTGTGGGCGTGTTTTGGAGCTGGGGCCAATCATTTTCTGCGCTGAATGAATGATAAGCTCATGGATTTTTGTTCCCCGGGTCCAGTTTTGATTCGGTAATTATGTGTGTGTTATGTCTCCAGCCTTGACAAATGGAGTTGTGACGGGTCCTGCTCAGGGCTGGATTTTTGGCTCATTTCTTTTAAGTGCATGTGAAAAATATGTGACTTGTGGCCATGTTTGATTTATACTTCTATTACGCTTCATGCGCAAAGAAAAAGGAACAAATTTGTCTCAGAGTTACAAGTAAAGTTCGTAAACATCTCGCCTGTAACTCTGGTATTCTCCCAGGTCCTGCGGTTTTTCTTATGCAGCGGTTTTGAAAATCCAGGAGCAGCACACCTGACTGACAACTGTGAGAGAAGGTGTTTTTTTTTTCTTAGCACATTTTAATTAAGGCTGACATTAGCTAATTCACAACATGCATTGTCAGCCCCCCTTGGGTCTGGCTGGGCTGTTTCATTTGCTGGTGTTGAGCCAATGTGTCTGTGATTATAAGACCAGCAAACACATCTGGACACTGGTGGGACTCGCAGCTGCCGGGGCCTCCATTACAGATGATCACTTGATGACAGCGAGTGTAAAGCACATTTTAAAAGGAGGGAGGATTACCAGTATTATGTTTTAATTACTTTTTATCTATCCTTTTAAGAGGCGGCTTCCTTCCAAAATCAACTTCAAGACTCAGAGACATCCTGCTGTGTTGGAGAATTAAAAGACTTTGTAAATCTTTGTATGTCAGAGGCATGACCAAAGGCCCCAACATGAAACATATTCAGTTTCAAGCTTTCAAAGATCATGTATGTACCATAGATGAGCTTTTGAAAAGAAGCTATACAGTTGACATGTGGCGGAGAAGATTTTAATTGCGGCACAGATCTCAAGCTGTTGAGTCATCAAGCTGTTATTCACATGGCCATTTTGCGATGTAAATATGTTGGATGCATAATCAGATGTTTTACATGATTTCAGCTGCTCGGCTGTTTCATGTCTTTCAGTCTGAGAGGGTTTTATGCGAGCAATGAAAGACAGAAATAGAGAACGCGCATAAAGGAAGTGAAGATGATTTTCAGCAGAGCGGCGTACAGTGGGGAGCAGGATTCTGCCTCCTTGTCCGAATGCCCTTGGAGGGAAGCTTTGTGGCTTGAACTCCCATAAGACCTCTCTTTGTTCTCACAAGATGAGGGTTAGCAGAGTGTGACTGCGCACTTATACCTGAAGCCACCAGAAGCGGAGGGAATTACACCTTTATACTGTACTATGCCTCTGCTCTCATCCCTCCCAGATCTGATTTTCCTGTACACAAACATGCCATGAAGCCGTCCTGGAAATACTGCACACCGTCAGTCACCGGCGGTCCAAAAAAGAGTCCAAACCTGCATGTGCAGATACATAAATGGCAGTTTGAATGTCAGATTTTCATCTTGTTTGATGCACAGTCTGACATTTGCATCAAAGGAATGTGCCATGTCTTGCAGAATCGAAAAACAGCAACGCTCATTATTGAGATTAATTTAGGAGCTGCGAGAACATTGAAATATTGATTAGGGCAATGACAGGAAATCAATGGCAGTGTTGACAGGCTCTAAGTAATGACACTGCTGAGTTTGATTAGTATATTTATTTTGTGTCATGCTACGGCTTGTTACAGTCTCGCTGTACATTGATGGACAAACTACCATTACAAAGCAGTATTTGTGTGACGCTGATTAAAGCTCCTGTGAAGAGCTTTGAATTTGCCGATTTTTGGGCCTCTGTGGTCAGTGTGATACCTCAGCTTGTCGCAGACATGGTGCTTCTTTTTTCTCGATTCACAGTCTTATAGCTCGTAGCCTTGTTTTCCTTTAAAGAAGCATCAGTATCAATCCAAATCCTTAACACAACCAGCTTAAAATGCCTCACAGGGACTTTAAGTCTTGTCAAAAGAGGCGAGAGCATCAACCTAAAAGCAACATGTCCTACATCCTGTGTCCCACATCTTCCTCTCTGAGGAGCAAAGACAGATAACCCAGAGGAAGGAGACTGCCAGGAAGAACAATGAGAGTTTAATGGAAGAGAGTTAAATCCTGTCAAGTCATTCAGTGCAACAGAAAACATTTACACTAGTTAAGATATAAGCTTCTTACAGGCCTAAAAAGACACATTTTTACAAGGATACAACCATTAAAGTTAGATTGTGTGGAGTCAGGGGATGTTTTGTGCTTAAAATGAATAAATCAGAATCGTAAACTTATTTTGGCTTTACCATGATTGTAATTTGGCATCTAGCAGCATGCTTTTATGGCCTTGTGTGACACCTACCCTCCTGTAGTGGTTTATGTCATTTAAAATTAATACCTAGAAATACCCATGCTACTTCTTGGTGATTGTATTTGCTTTTCCAGCTTATGTTAAGGCATCCATATTAATATCAGTCAGTTTTATAGCCATTTAAAAACTCTTACAGGAGCTTTACTTATACACAGTCCTTTAATTTTGAGTTGTATAACTCACCAAATTGTTTTTATGTGATATTTTAGATCACTGTGAAACATTTAAAAGGCTAGAAGAAATTATTATTATTATTATTATTATTATTATTATTATTATTATTATTATTATTATTATTATTATTATTATTTTCATGAACCCCTGGGAAAAAAGGCAAAAATTAAAGAAACTGGAATCAGATGAACATTTTGAATTTTCCTGGAGAATTTTCTCAAAAAAACACAAATTATAACATTTAAGTACATTTATTTACTCCTATTGCTTTACATGGCTCATTATTTCTGCTCCAAAACAGCATCAAACAACAAAAGCGTCTTCAAAGAGTCATGATGTAGTAACTTTGATCTCTTTTCTGACAGACAGATCTTTTATAGAGTCCTGCTTCTTTTTTCGGTCGCTGTATCTGGTCCGCTGCCAAATATACCTCACTTTTCTGTTTCTATTCCTACTACACCCTATCTATTTGTCTGTCTTTGTTTACCTGTCACACTGTATTTATACTCTTTCAAAAGCTGGGTTAGATCCCTGAGAGCTGTAGTACAAACAGGCTGAAAGAGAGTAAGAGAAAGAGAGAGTCTGGCCCGAGGAGGCAAGTGAGTGTCTGGGGTAGCATGGTTAGAGTGCTGGACTTTGGCATGGGCCGTCCATCTGTCACTTTCTTTACACCCTCTCTCTGGTACCAACAGGTCATGGCAACGGCAGCTTGTGACGGATGACTAATGTTCCCTTGGTAATGAATGAGACACCACCCTCTGAATGCCAAATGGGGGTGCTGCTGGTGGTGGGGAGGGTGGCCTTCCCACTGGCAAACACAGAAATCATATGAGGGGTGATGAATAGTATGCAGGCATGTTGGTATCCCATGTGTGTGCCAGGCAAACACTGTGAAGCTGCCAGATTGGGAGGATCTATTAAGAAATTTGTGAATCAGGCTCATTTAAATACTGTATTATAATAATCAAATCAATTAATTCTGATTATCTCCTTTTGGAATGAAGACAGGAAAGGGAAGAGCATAATTGAATGAGTTTATGTTAAAAAAAAATCCAATCAAGCAGGCTGTAATGATGGAAACACGCCATGTGTAGGAGGACAAGAAAAGAACATTGCCATAACAGATGATGTACGTACAGCTCTGTGGAAAAGAGAGCTCTGCAGCTCACAGTCAAATCGTCTTGACTGTGCGTTGAGTAGCTCAGACCTGTCTTATCTTCACCTCATAATGCGCAGGCGTGATCCTATCTGAGCCCCGAAAAAAAAAAGAAAAAAGCTTTTAGACGTCGTGTGCGCTGCTCTCCTTGAAGCGAACGCACAACATTTGAGAGGTTTCTCTTGCGGGAGCTCATAAAAAAGAAGAGAAGAAATGAAGGTGTGTTTGGAAGGTGAGCTCCTCGAACAGAACAATTCAACCTGTGGATAGTGTGCGGAGCGCGTCCGTAGCCACCGGTCAGTCTATATACAGGCGATCCGGGACGCTCTGCTTCCAGCCTGCTGTGCTGTTTGTGCGCGTCTTCTTCTCTCCGGGATCCGGTTGTGTTCCGTTTGACCTAAGGCTGTGAGCAGGTTCAGTTTATGAATGGCACTGACATGGAGGAAATACCGTTTCAGAAAGTCAAAACCAGGCGGAAGAGAAGTCACTGTCCACCGGGCGTCCCTCTGACCACCATCGTGTGCGAGGACGAGTTCGACTGCAAAGAGCTCGAGTCCCTCTTCCAGAACTACAACCTGAAGCTGGAGCAGACCTCCACCTTAAAAGCCCTGGCTGTGCTCATCTTCATGTCCTCCACACTGGCCGTGGTGGAGTTGCTGTCCGGCCCCAGTCTCACCATCTCCAAGGGGTCCCATCCGGTGCACTGTGTCATCTTCGTGTCCCTCTTCATCGTTACGAACGTGAAGTACCTGCAGGTGACTCAGCTCCAGCAAATCGTCAACCTGACTCTGCTCTTTGGCTTCACCTTCTCTTTCCTCTGCTGCCCCTTCTCGCTGGGTGCGATGGGGATGGAGCCTCCGGAGTCCCCGGAGCAGGGCATGTGGCAGCTCATCCTGGTCACCTTCGTCGCCTACGCGCTCCTACCTGTGCGGACTCTACTGGCTGTGGTGCTGGGAATAATGGTGTCCATCTCCCATTTGATAGTGACTGCCACTTCTGTCACAGTGAAGACACAAAAACTATGGAGAACGGTATGTATATGTGTTTTGATTGGTTTCTAAAGATGTTTTTTTAATCTATTTGTTGGTGTTTTAATCTCATTATATGAATTTAATCCACATAAACAAACAGTATGAAGGCATAAAAAGGGGCTGTCACAGAGAAACAATATTAAGACTCCCGTTCAGCACCAAGGACAGCTCCCCATGGTTAGACTTGATGGGATTTGCTCAGACTCGGATCAAATTTGACACATGGATAATTCTGCTAAGAACAGTTTTTCTTACAAAAAAAAGTAATCTCATGACAATAAAAAGAAGCATAAAAGAACTTCAAATGAGTTATTTGATCTGAATGACTTGAAGTGAGACAATTTTGCTTCTAGTTTAATTTAAACACTCAAAATACCACAGATAGAAGTAATCGTACAAGTTAAAAACCTCAAGTAGAATAAGAAATATTTGCTATGATATGAATGCCTGTGTTGGTGAATACCTGTGAGCTCCAAAAATGAATAAAAACAAACAGAGAGGGGAAAAAATGAATGAGCAAAAACAGTCTGCATGTGCCTGTTTTTTTCCCCCTGTGGATGTGATTCAGTTCCCAAAGGATCTGTCTGGGAATGGGGAAGCAGAGTGACATCCTGCAAGCACAAGAAGTAGGGCAAACAGAGGGGCGCAAACACGCACACACACAATACACACAAATACACACAACACACTTTTGCCTCACTATATGATTCAGTTATGAAAAAGAGGGCAAAGTCATGCATGCCATTCCCAGAGCTGAAATATAAATTGGTACAGCACTCTCTGTACTTTTACATCTTTGTACCTTTCTCTGTCTCACTCAAACACACACAAACACACACACAGACACACACACACGCACATTCATATTTCCGACTGTCATCAGGTGTGAGGAGAGAAGATATGTCACATCAGTCAAGCCCTCCAGGGGTAATGGAACATTTCTGCCTCAGCCTCAGTGCAGCACATGACGTGAAGATTGTGCATTTCTTGGAAATTGAGATGTGATCAGTTCATCATCGCCCCTGGACGGTGACAGTGGTATTTGCAGGGGAGATTGTTTTCCCCCGACTGTATTTAGGGTATGTGATACCTGCATAGCCATGTGAAGGACAGTGTTAGCTGTACTACCAGAGATAGCTAATCCATTAAGCTTAGAGATGAGCTGTGTGGCATGACCCCGAACGGCCCGGGCCTGCACCAACCACCTACCTGGGTCCCAGGCACTCGAGCTACAGAGTTGCTCAGTCTACCTATAACACCATGTTATACCGGAGAGGGGTCGTGGAGAATTATACTTGAAATATAGTTTATTTTGAAGTTGAACGGGGCTTTTGTTGTCTGGTGGAGCAATGATAGAAAATGTTTCACATGGGATTTATCTGTGATTACACCTGGGCTAGATTTGAAAATAGATGAAGCGGCAAGAGGGGAACATTTACATATCCTAAACCAGTGGTTTTCAACTGGTCTCACTCTGGGATCCACATTTTCCCATGGTCCTTAAGTCGCAACCCACTTTTATAAAATTAAAACCAAGCAAATTTATTTTTATTAAAAAAAAAAACCTTTAAGGACTCAAATCTTGAACATAAATACACCCATTTTATTGAGTAAAGTGCATTTCAGAGCACATGAACTGAGGACGACAACTACTAAAGTTGCGTATACAGAAAATATCAGATATCAAATTGCACAAAATAAAGACAAAAACAAACAAACAAGTATTTTTACTGCATTCAGGCCACATTAATGAGAAACCGTGGAGGACCACGACACAAGACATGCCTTTCAAAATGAGCTATTTTTCAAAATAAAACACATGTCAATCATCCGATGTGCATTAAATATTTACTTTTTGACCAGCTGTTTGTGACCCATCCACAATGTGTCTGCGACCCACTTTTGGGTCGGGAACCACCAGTTGAGAACCACTGTCCTAAACCATACTTGGAATTTAGAGACAGAGGATGGTGTTTTAGGAAAACTTTAAAATACAGTTAAACTCATCTTTAGAACAAAACTTTAAACTAAAAAAACACTTATTTATTTACTGTCATTTACAATGTATTCAGTCCCAGTGTGTCTTTATTTGAGCCATTTTCATTATGTCAGAGTATAACTGTAAATAAAAGCACTGATTTAATAATACAGGTGTGCATTAACCCCCTTTAAGATCATTGAAAATAATGATTAATGTGATATGAAGGTTGTCATTTCCTCATACTGAAAGAGTAGAGGGAGCAGAAAGAATAAATGGACTGAATGATGGTCAGATTTTGGCAAAGCAAACAGAAGAGTGAGTGTTTTTTTTACACCACTCCACTCACACACGTCCACATTCACTAACCAAAGGCTGCAAAGTAACTCGAGCATCGTGTGAACGTGTCGAACCTCACCAGCTCTGATGCTGAGCACAAAGGAGGACTGCTGCTGCCAGAAACAGTCTTTTCAAGGCAATCCATTTTTTTCATCGTGCAGGGAAACATGCCAGTCTGTGGCAATAGGAGTTTGTTAAATGTGAAAGGCAGTGTGCATATGATATAAAGCTTTGACAGTGTATTTATGACGCTCACAAATGCACCAAAGTTACTCTCTACTGTTACAGTTGAAGTGTAATTTGTTATAGCTTTTCTTGAGGTCAAATGTGCTCAAGAGTGGACTCCACTTGTAGGAAACACTCATGATGAATGGCCCAGGATAAGAAGAGAATAAATTCCCTCTATTTTCCCCTTAAGAATGCATAATTACTCTGCAGGGTGACAGCCTGCTGGTGTTCAGTTTAAAGGTGAACACAGGACTTTGTTTGGTTTGTGTACAAAGTCAGAGCCAGCCGGATTCAGTGGAGTAGAAAAAAAAACAAAAAACAACACTTTTTCTTTGTGTCCTGCCCAAGGTTAAAGCAGTCATGCTGCGGTGCGTCTGCTGTGATGGATGAACGGGAGCATGGATCCTCAAATGTTTTAGTGTCGCTGACTTCGTAATCGACCCACCACTGTCTCCTCCATCTGTCATACAGGAGGGTGTTTGTTGTTGTTGTGGTTTAGTTTGTAAAAAAGTAAAAATACCATAAAAAAGATAATTATGTGATATGAGTTTCGGCAAGAAGGTCAATATAATATTAATCCTTGTACGTGGATGCATGTAGAAATACAGTGATAAAATCTACTCTAATCGTATTATAGCTTTCACAAACCGTGGTTCAGGCCCTCGAGTGTGTAGAAGATGTTCTTTTATCGGTATTAACATGCACCAAAGGATTAACAGTTCCCTTATACAGACAGACACAAACAAACAACCCCTGATATCTGTAAATATATATATTTATTACTTACTGCATGAAAATGAAAAAATTCTTTGCAGTTTTCATATATAAAGTTAACAACAAAAAGAAAAACACTCACAAGACTTCCTATATGTGTGTTTTTGTGTGTCTTTTTTCTTCGCAGTTGGTTGCCAACACAGTGCTGTTCACCAGTGTCAACCTGTCAGGCCTGTTTGTGCGCATCCTGACAGAACGAGCCCAGAGGAAGGCCTTCCTGCAGGCGCGCAACTGCATCGAAGAGAGGCTACGCATGGAGGACGAGAACGAGAAACAGGTACAGGCACCTGTGCTGAAAGGATTTCAAAAAAAGATGTGTGTCCCTTTTTTCCTCCTCTCCGACCCCCCTCCCTCCCTCCCTCTTGTGAGTCATTTCGACACATTATTAACATTATTCATTACTGTTAGATTTCATGCCTTTTTGTCTCGCACATTTCTTATCTCTACTAACACTTTGTCCTGTAATAACTTTGCTGTTTTTGACTCTATCAATGTAAATTTGAACTTTTTTTTCTTATTTTTTTTTATCTCTCTCTGTTCCAATATACACCAACACACACACACACATAGGAGCGCCTGTTAATGAGCCTGTTGCCCAGGAATGTAGCTATGGAGATGAAAGAGGATTTCCTGAAGCCACCAGAAAGGATCTTTCACAAAATCTACATCCAGCGCCATGACAATGTCAGGTAGGATGCTCGCAACAAAACAAGCAAACTAAAGAATCCACTTAAAAAATCATGCTGCCTTTCTTTAGCGCTGGAGTTTGAAGGCTCTGTTTTCCTCATGGGAGTATTTCCCTCTGAGTTTGTGGCTAAAGCATCGTCAGAGCCTATTACAGCTCTGACAATGCCTGCGCAAGTAATTTTGACCTGTGGAAGTCACGCTTCTTGACAAAGTCTCATCCTGCTTTATTTAGCAGTCACAGAAATGATTTTTCAAGAATGTGTGTCTCTGAAAATGTTGGACAAAAGGTTGTTTTGGAAGCACGCAGTCGACCAAGAAGTTTGACAGCTACCTCCCAGCAGCACCAAGATAATCCGTCCTTATGCTGATGGTTTTGTAGGTCAGCGTTTTTAGTTTCATTGTAATTCCTAAAAGCTCCTCACTGGAGCTTCAACTAAACATATGAGAGCTACACAGTGTAGTTTGGTCTAGGGCTACAAAATACGTCACAAATTTATCAGTTGCCATTATCTTGATTCATAGCCTGTCCACTTTATTTGTCTGAGGGAGGCCTGGGTGTTATGGCCACGCTTTTAACACTGTTTTGCTGCAGTGAAGCAAAGCTTAAGTCAGCTAAACTCAGGTTAATACGTAATAATTTAGTAATAGTAAAACTGCTCTTTGGGTGTCATGAGGGCCTGAATCAGATTTGCTGGTAAAGTTCATAAGAAATGTTGGTAATACTTTATTTGACACCTATCCCTATAACACATTATAAATATATGTATAATGTGTTATAATCACATTATAGCACTGTATAACTATAGTTATAAACACTCATAAATGATCAGAATGCTTTCTAGCAATAATCATAACACATCATAAAGCATTTTATCATGACTTACAAGGTCAGGTATTATAATGTGTTACAACTGTTAACAACTCACTGACAATGCCCACATAGATAATGCAATGCAACTGTTATAACACATTATACATATATTTATAATGTGTTATAGAGATAGCCGTCAAATAACGTGTTACCAAAATGTTTTGTCTTCTTAAAGGAAAACACCAAATCTGACCAAATATGAACCTAAAATACAAAAAACACACCAGGCTGCTGAATGAGAAGTATTTGATTTATTACATTGTTTATCAAGGGTTAGCCTCTGACTTATTTGTTTGTTGTCTTTCCTTAAATTAAAATCCTCCTTGCAAAGACATGATGTTGCACATCCTATTGATAGAAAATTGGTGGAGAGATTCAGTGTGAGCTTGAGGATGAGACCCCAGAAGTATGGGCTGGTCATCATATCTCAGGGGCCCCTGATGTAAATAGGATTTGAAAGTTTAGACTCTTGTAAAGGCAGTGTAAGCTATCATCTGACACACCAATGCAATGCCCTGCAAATCATTCTAATTTATGGTAACTCTATGGCTATTGAATCCCAACTACATCCCAACTTCTTTGGAAAGGAGCAAACAAATCGTCTCAGAGCGGGTTGTGCTTTAAATCTAGCGATTAGTACTTTTTAATTTGAAACAAAATGATTTTGCAATCAGTTTAAAACAATCTAGGAAATTCTCTAGAAACCCTGATGTTTGAGTAAACCGCCTCCTTCTCGCCTTTCAATTATCCTCTTCTTCTTTCCTGGCAATTTTGACACAGCACTTCCTTCCAGCACACAAACCAGAAGTTAATGAGTTTTTTTCTTGGGTTTGTTGGCGCAGCTAATGTCTGAATGCCTTTTATCTGTGTCAGGCTGCTGATTAACAAAGTGCGCTGTGGTTTTTCAGATGCATTACACAAGAAAACTAACAAAACCGCAATAGTGCAACAGATAAGTTAAAGCCTGGAAGAATTATAAAGCAATGAGTCAAACATAACAGAAGTCACACTGCTGCAGAATCACACCTGCTGGTGTTATTGTCATTTGTTGTATTACTGTATTATTATTACAGATTATGTAAGCAGTGTTTTAGGACTGAGCTAATCAAGACAGAGTTACTTTGACCATAGTTTGATAGTTTATCCCAAAGAAACAGACCTTGAGTGCTTATTTTGTATATTGATACTTTTTTTTTATATGGTAAAGCCCGTACATTAGTGTGGAGTGACAAAATCATAGACTGTCTATAGAATGGACGCCATCTGCCTCCTCACTCGGGTGAAGCTACCCCAAGAACAGCACCCTCTGGTAACAGGCTGCAGTATAGGTCATAAATCCCGCCTCCTCCAGCGATCCCTATGGAGCTGTGGACAAACTTAAGAAATTTATTACACAGAATATAATTTTTTCTCCCCCCTGCTTACGACATTGACACGTAATTACTGTAAGACTGGTTTGTGCTCAAGTCCTCTTTTTTTCTGTACACCTCTGTTTTTAAAAAGTTATTAGGGGGTTCAAGTTTTCTATGATTGACACTTGATACAGCCTATGGGCGTACAAAGATTGAGTAGCTCACCCGGGGGAAAAGCTGTTTTAGCCGAGCATCATCACAGCGACTCTCGGTGACTCTTCCGCCAAATGCGCACAATGCTACTGTGCAAGTGGTGAAGTGCGTACAATGCTACTGCACAATGTTGGTTTCAGGAAATGGAGAAAAAACGCGGAAATACAGAGAGCTTTTGACTTCAAATCCGTATATTGGCGGAAGGCAGAACCAAGTTGTCCATAGTATATACAGTCTATGGATAGAGCTCATGCTTTTGTCAATAATCAACTGTTTAAGTTTCGCACTTTGCTGTCTGATACCTGCAGCTGTGTTTGGCTAAACTGACCTTGGACCCTTTGTTGATAACCTGTGGCTGACCAGTGCTCTACTCCCTCCTGTTTATAAGTCCACTCTTTTTAGTGCTTCCTTTCCTCATCATCACATTTTCAGCATCTTCTCTCCCTCCGTTCTTGGAGCAGCAGGGAAACTTGAGGAGCAGAGTTTGCTTAGCCTCGGGATTAAGCTGCTGCTGGGGATTAAATGCAATGGAGACTAAATTCGTGTTGCATAATCGTGAGTGTGTACGCGCCTGCTGTGGTTAAATATGGACACATCTCAGTGGAGCTGTGCTGATTGCTTTTGTGCCTTGAACTGCTTCAGATAGTACCACCCTTTGAGAGTGATCTACATTGGGTGCTGACATGATTTATGTGATATGGATGGGGTGTAATTAGAAAGTAAACAGTGTGTGCTGCACAATATAATGAGAGTTTTCTTCATTATTTTCTGAGAGGAGGGGTTGTGTTTAAGCTGATTAAAATCAAGCCAGAAGGGTATTGTAGTAATTATCAACAAAGTAACAATGAAATAAAACTAATACAAAATTGCAAAGGTGCGTTTTGTTCAACTAAATATCGGGGACTTTCTCTTCTTGTCATAACTTACGTATTGTTAGATGTTGTAACCATAAACTTTAACAGAACGGGAATTAGCTGCAAACCCGTAAGAGTACATCTCCACTGGTTGCAAAAAAAGAGCAGATTTTATGAAACCATATGTTTCATGAACGGTGTGAGGTTCGTTTGATGATCTATTAGCCAATAGTAGTTTCCTTCCAAAGGCGGCTAGGTTCAGCCTCAGCAAGAGGGTCAGGGGCTCTAACATCTGGAGGGTACTCCTTCACATCAAAATGAGACATTTGAGGTGGTTTGGAGTTCTGATTAGGATGCCTCAGAGACAACGCCATTTGGAGGATAGCCAGGCACATCCAGATGGGAGGACACCCCTGTGTAGTTGCAGAGTTCGCTGGAGGGACTTTAAGTCCCATCTGGGCTGGGAACGCCCTGGAATGCCTGAGGAGGAGCTGGAAAAAGTTGACAGAAGAGGGATGTCATGCAGGGTCGACTTGCTTAGACCGCTGTCACTGAATTGACCTTTAGTCGAGATATGGTTACATTACCAATAACCAAATATGAGGCAGCCTTCAAGCAGAACACAATCGATGGGTGAAGTCTCAGTGGCTACTTTGACTTGACTTTAACTTGACATTATGTGATTGCAACTGATATCCTTATCATGAAACAGTTGTACATGTTATAATTACCAGCAGCTAGGGTGCTATCCTCTTAATGAAGGCATGAAAAGCCTCCCAAATGACCAGTAATTATCTCAAAGTTTTTCATTTAGCTCTTATGAAAAACACTTGACATTTTATATGAATCATTTCATGAGAGAACTTTTTATAAATTTGGCAGCTTTCAATCGTCCTTTTCATTCACAAATATTTCCATCTATTTTGTTCACACATCCTCATATGCACCAGAAAATGGAATTTAAAAATAAATTTAACTTGTCAGGATGCTGAGGGGTTCGGGAATCAGTAGACAAGTGTTGCAACAGAGTCAGACCTTCAAAAGAGCTTCTGAAGTGACTAAAAGAGGCAGCCAGTGAGTACGACTCAAATGTGATAACATTGGCTGGGCTCCTAAAACAACAGAATAATCCAAGCACAACCTGCCTCCAAAGCTATTCTGATTAGCGGGACTCAGGCTCAAGTCTGATCACCCAGAGGCTTGCCACCTCGTGGGGAGGAGTTTCATGTTGTCCAGGGCCAAAATAGATGTTGATTTAGACGTGCATCACTCTTGATGTGTCCCTGCTGTTTTCAGGAATGCCTGTTGAAACACCAACATAAAAACTTTTATCTCATTGCCCCAACATGGTGCTTGTAGCAATTCAAATTTATTACAAATGTCTGAAGATTAATAATCTTAAATTATGACATTTATTATAAATTTAAATCACTACAGAATTATTTTGGTGCCCCGTGTGAGGCATTATTTAGCGATGGAGTCAGTTTGAAAGGTAATAAAAACTCTGTCTCTGTTCTCCAAATTGACCAATCATGAAGAGCCAGAGGTTTAGGTCAACCTCCGATAGGGTCAGTTGGGTAACCTGAAAGTGCAAACAAGTCTGGAAAGATTTATATTATCCTGTGTCCTGGGACCAGATAAGGGACCTTTCCTGCGAGGAATGAGTGGGTTTCACACATAAGGTTGTCTTGATGCTACAGTGCTCTACTTCCTCACTGTTGTTGTCATAAGTTTACCCTTCTAAAATCTGCTGTAAGCACCTTGCTACCACACCCTATTAACCTGATGTCAGCACATACACTGCCCCCATACTGCAGCTCTCCAGAAGGGCCTATCCAGAGTTAACCCTTGAGTTGGCACGTGGCTCATGTGCTTCTGCTGTGTGATCAAATTGAAATCACATCTGCCAAAATAGCTCCAGTAATTCCTCCTCCTCCTCTTCCTCCAGAGGGAAACAGGAAGTGAACATAATTGGGGGAATAACTTTTCTTGAAAATGTGCCGTTGGAGAGGGAGTAATGGATGAGGGTGAGAAGGGGGTAGACAATATGAGATATTAGGCAGGTATTGGTTACCAAGGGAGAAATTATCTTCATATTTTATTGCTTAGAGGTGTGGCACTGTGGATGATGAACTGAGCTAGAGACGGAGAGCTTTGACCTTAAGCAGTGAATCTTGTACAGTACAGTGTAACAGCTGGAGCCAGAGTCATTCTCAGCTGTAGCCAAGAAGCTACAGGGTTTGTTTTGATGGTTTTGCTAGAAGACATCCAAAATCTGTGACAGAGGTTCACAGCCTGAGCTCTCTGGGCTCCCCGACGCTCCAACACATGAAAACAGGATGCCGTCATGGTGAAATAACTAAAATATGTGTTGAAATAACAGTCAAAATTTATGCACACTTTAAAAACTCTAGTTTCTAACAAATACTTTAGGTTTGTTTGTATGCATTCTGAACACAGGTATTTAAAGAAAACATTGGATTTATATGAAAAGTGAAATCAATATAGATTCCTCAGAAGTCCTCAGAACAAGTGGTAACACATTACTTGACGCCTATCTCTGTAACGCATTATAAATATATGTATAATGCATTATAATCATGTTGTAGCACTGTATAACTATAGTTATAAACACTCATAAATGATCATAATGCTTTATAGCAATAATCATAACAAATTAAAAAGCATTCTATCATGATTAACAAGGTTAAGTATTATAATGTGTTATGCTTATTGTTATAAAGCCTCGTGATAATTAATGAGTGTTTATAATGATAGTATTAAGTATTAAGTCACGTATTTAAGCAAATTATAACACATCATAATATGTATAATGCATTATCTATGCAGGCATTGTCAGTGAGTTGTTAACAGTTATAACACATTATAATACCTGACCTTGTAAGTCATGATAAAATACTTAATAATGTGTTATGATTATTGCTAAAAAGCATTTTGATCATTTATAAGTGTTTATAACTATAGTTATACAGTGTTATAATGTGATTATAATGCATTATACATATATTTATTATGCCTTATAGAGATAGGTGTCAAATAAAGTGTTACCGAACAAGCTGCTCATGTTAAGAAGTCCCTTTAATTGACATATTTTTCAGCTGAATAAGCAGAAATCATGCTATAATTTAACATCCCATGACTTGTAAAACGTGCTAATGGCAAAACTGTTCATCAGTGCTGCTCTTTGTTAAAAGAGGATGCCCCCCACTGTTATATGACATTAATTTTCTGCAGCTTTACAAACCAGACTTTGAGAAATTTCGTCCAAGTTTTCCTCAGAGTGCCTCGATTTGTTCTGTCCTCTTGCATTTTTTTCCTACAAGGCCATTTTCAAAGGTGCAGTGCTATTATGCTCTAGACCAGGCACAGACCTCATGCTCTGTGCATGCTGGAGACAATGCTGTGCATGTGGCTTACATGAGGTGAACACTGACCAAAAATAACTGAGTGTAACAAAGTTCACATGGAGTCATGGGAGAGCAGAGTGCATGCAGTGGGACGCTCTCAGCAGAGTGTCATGGGTGTTTTCTCAGCTAATGCACAGTCACATGAAGGTACTGAAGTCTAGCTTTATTTTTGCCTTTACGCAGAAATTTTTACAAGTATGGATTGGTTGTACCTGACAGAATGACAGCAGTACTGGAGTGTTTGTTGTGTCAGTGGATTTTAAAGATACGGTGCAATGAAAGAGTAGTAGGATGGGAATCAAGGGATGATAATGAATGGGTTGTAATTCAAACTAGAAGATGAGCAGCACCTTGCCACAGAGTGTGTCACTTTTTTTTCTTTTTTTTTTTCTTTTCCCAGATACCAACTAAAACCATAAACAAGTTGGCACCGAAAAATAATTCAGATAATATTGGAGGGAGGGGTTGTGTGCTTTTATTTGAGAAGATAGGACAGGTGATCAAGCAGAAATCAAGGGGAAAGAGCAGGAGTGACATGTAGTAGCCTGTTGGAAAGGGGCCACGCTGAAATCGAACCAGGCCACGAGTTTGAGGAAGCCTCAGTACATTAGGCATCCGTACAAACGTCCCAGCCAACGGTGCCCTGATTCGATTGATTATAATAGGATTTATTAAGACAGCTAAATGCACGTTTCCTCACAGGTGGTGGTGCCTCTGTGGTAACAGATTCTTATCAGCCTCCTTACCGGACAAAATGACATTAAACTAAACATTTAGATTAGCCTGTTCAGCCTGTTTATTTTTAACATTCATTTTAAGCTGACTATTTCAGCTGAAGGTATTGTAAAACATGGTGAACAGGACCTCTGTGTGAACATATGTTGACGTTTCCATCAGTTTTCATTCAGCCTCCACTCTTCTCTGATTGATGCACCATAAAACATAACACAAAAGTCCCTTTCTCGACATCTTCTTTTATTATCGTCATTACAACCAATGGTTTAAGTGAAGTTACTTTATCAGTAACTTAAAGATGCACTCGTCAGCTCTGTAGCCGTTGCCTCGATTGATGGTTGAGGCCCATTAGCTTACCAGGCGGCTCTTACATTTGTCCACGCTGTCTGTCTTTATTTCCCTGACCCTCAAGACCAAGACCTTAGGCCAAAACTACTATTTCACTTTTTCTTCCTACAGTGTTAATAGGCAGAGGGGACATGTGTTGGATTGCAGGTTGAATTAATATCGTGTTTGTAGCCTGGTTGACCCAGACATCGCTTTATGTCAAGAGGTTTGACCGATCAGAATCAACTATTATGCCATTAGCAGGTCACTTCTCATGGGAATTCACAGATTGTTGTAAAGTAATAAAATCAGAAAAGAAAAGTCTGTGTTAAAGCTTTTGCTATTTAATTGGAAGGAGAGGTGTAGCTCTTGAGGTGCAAGTTGTTGCGTAGATTCCAGACAGGTGTGAAGATGAGACAGATAACAGATCAGGTATAGGTACACCCAGGAGACACACAGACAGACAGACAGACAAGGAGGAGGAGAAAACGATCACCTGACCATTTAGTACTTCTATTTTTAATGCACTAAGTTGCCTATTAGCCCATATACACTATGCCAGCTGGCTTTAAAGTACTGACTACAGCTGAGACTTTAAAGTTCATTGCACCCTCAGCTTGTCTGAGTTATAATTTTGGTCCTTTTAAGGCAACGAAGAAACTGAGACTTTAGGGGGAGCGCGGTTAAACTCTTACAGCCGCTCATTCAGGATAGTTAGCTTACATTTTAAATAGTTGCGAACAGGAGAAGAGAAATACCTGTATCAACTTCCACAAGAGCAGGGTTATATTCCCACTCATTATGTCAACATCTGCCAGACTGAAAATTGACATTTAGCAGCTTCCCTTTCAAGATTCAGCACTCTGTCACACTGTGAAGAGTCCAGCCCACATGAGAGCCGAAGACATGCAAGTTGTCTGGGACAGTCAGTGTTTGATGACTAATCCCCTTCACACCCAGAACTCAGGGCAAATCCTTCATGGGAAAAGTTGCTGTTCTGCTCTGGTGCAGATTGATAATGTGTTGTCTGTTAGAAAGAGAGGAGGAACAATGTTCAAAACAAGCAACACAGGGGTTGTTTTTAAGTTTTAGGAGGCTAGAGGAATCATAAAACCAACACCAATCACATTACGACAAAAAAGGCACGGCAGAAAAAACAAAAAAATTGAGTCCTCCACATATGGAGAAATAGTAGTGCAACAATAGTGCTGTCTTATGATTCTTGTGAGGATGAAACTACTGAGGGATATATATTGGCGGAAACATTTTCAAATATCTAGGGAGGGATGTATTGAAGTATTATACCAACACTCAAAGGCGTGCATTTCCTTTCAGTCCAAAAAAAGATGATGCAAGATTATGCAAGCAGTGCGAACTTAGCTGGGAACTGCAAATACATGAAAGCTGATAATGATTTGGCTTGCTGATACTTCTGGTTCCCCTGACAGATTTCCATTTTGTCTAATTAAGGCCGGAGCAATCAAAGCTGTCTAAATATTGTGAAGGCACTTTATCACCACAGAGGTATGAACAGAAACAACCAAGAGGCCCGCCACAGATTCTTTAAAATCTTCTGAATCAGCTGTTTTATTGGTGTCAAATGAACATCAAAGTAGAACATTTGAGTTTAAGTCATCTACAGTCGTGTATTATGTTAATGAACTCTACTGTATACCAGCCTAGCACAGGGTGACCATACATCCTCTTTTACCCGGACGTGCCCTCTTTTTATATAGTTTCGATTTTGTGTCATGTGGACTTCCACTGCTCCTCCACGTCGAGAGGAGTCAGCTGAGGTGGCTCGGGCATCTAGCTAGGTTGCCCTCTTGACGCCTCCCGTTAGAGGTGTTCCGGACATGTCCCACCGGGAGGAGACCTCGTGGCTGGCTTAAGACCAGGTGGAGGGATTATATCTCTTGCCTGGCCTGGGAGCACCTGGGAATCCCCCCGGAGGGACCCAGATAAGCGGAAGAAAACGACGACAATAACGTCACGTTGACCTACTGAGTTAGAAGCGTATAAAAGACACCCGATCCGACCCGAAAAACTCTCAAAATTAACTTTATGTGACTCAGTGACTCCGCTCCCGCATAGTCGTATCCTCTTTTTGGGAAGTCAGAATATAGCCACCCTAGCCTAGCATCCGACTGCTAAACTATACACTTTCTCAGGATGGTTGCACGTTAATGGCTTGGCATGACATAGCCTTTACTCCTTGCTGCAAATTTGATCTATTGTTGCATAAAAAAAGAAACTTTGCTGCTTGAGTACAAAATTCCCACTTAATCAAACTGTAAGATTGTCAGAACAGCTCAGTGATATGTTTTTGGATCTGTGGAGTTTGATATGTTTTCAAACCTTTTCAAATCTTTAACCTAAATCGGCGATGTCCTTAAAAAATACAAATTCCAACATGCAGCCTGGAAACATTCAGCCTGTCACATAACTAAGATATGCACCAAAAATATAAAATTTAGTATATATGGTCCTTATTGGGTAAGAAGCTCCATCTTTGGGTGTGGGATTCAGGTCCTGATACATGCAAAAAAAGCAAATCCACAAGAAACCACTCTGGTGATACGGGGCTAAATAACAGGCTAACACTTGAAATGCAGCGGCCTAGCTTTCTAATGTATACATTAAGCCATTTTACCATGAAATTAGCTGCCACGGTAGCTAATTTAATCTAGAGGCTCTAAACTGGCGTGTGAGCTAATTTGGTGATGCCCGGCTCAATAATTAGCAAACACTTGGAAGATGAACACTTAGCTTGTTATTGTCAACATGAGCTTACATCAAGTTGCCGCACAGTAATGCACAGAAAAGCATAGTATTGATGCCACTATGTGTGATTTAACAATGTATTTCAGATATGCAACATGTAAACAAACAGCCTAACTATATGACATGCATCCTGATCCATCGTGACTGCTCTGCTGTTAAGTGACACTGAATTGTGATGATGATTCTGGCTTAGCTGCAGAAGAAACTCATTCCTCTTTCATGCATTTTGCAGTTAAGACAAGGCACAACAGAGGTGTAACAGTCTCACATTGAGCAGGCAATGCAAAAAGACGACCGATTTCAACTTGACTGAACTGTTTGCTCGTTTAATTTCACGAGTCATCAACAGCTCTCGCACACTCAGTGGGACCCTGTCCATTAAAAAGAACATTTCTCTTCTCTGATAGTGATTTTCTTTTTGTGTGGTTTATTGGCAAAATAACATTACAACCTGTGAAAAAAGGTGATATCAGTGACATAGAGACAAGTAGGTAATCCTTTACTTGACGCCACAAAATGCATTATAAATATATGTATAATGCATTATAATCACATTATAGCACTGTATAGCATAGTTATAAACACTCATAAATGATCATAATGCTTTATAGCAATAATCACAACACATTATAAAGCATTTTATCATGACTTACAAGGTCAGGTATTATAATGTGTTATGACTGGTAACAACTCATTGACTATGCCCACAAAGATAATGCATCATTAAGTGTTGCAATTTGCTCATAAACTTGTATAGCTATTATTATAAACACTCATTAATTATCATAAGGCTTTATAACAGTAAGCGCAACACATTATCTGAGTATCTAAGTAAAGTATACACATCATAAATATATGTTTAATGAATTATCTATGTGGGCATTGTCAGTGAGTTGTTAACAGTTATAACATATAAAAACTGCCTTTGTAAGTCATGATAAAATGCTTTATAATTTGTTATGATTATTGCTATAAAGCATTATGATCATTTATGAGTGTTTATAACTATAGTTATACAGTGCTATAACGTGATTATAATGCATTATACATATATTCATAATGTGTTATAGAGATAGGCGTCAAGTAAAGTGTTACCAACAGGTATTCAGACAAACAATATATACGACTAAACATTTACAAAAAAAAAAAAAAAAAAAGTATGCCAACAAAAATGGTTTGAGTTAAAGATTAATTGTGAATGTAGTTTGGATTTTACCCTCTTCCCTTCCTTCCTCTTTGGGCCCTAATCATAAATGCAGTAAAAACTAAAGAGAGAAAGGGGATATTAGATCAATAAATACCACTCTTGAGAAAAAAAGACCAACACTAGCAGTTGTTTTCTGACTACATCGTGCCAAAGTCAGACAAAAACAACCTCAGGATGTGATGCTTTCTTGAAAACAAAAACTTTGTATTTAACACACTTCGAATCTAACTTTTAGGAGAGATTACGCATTCACCTGGTGACGATGACAGCACCTTGATGGTTGCATTAACCTAGCACAGTTCCAGACCAGCCCCTAACAGGACACGTCTCCACCTTCATCCCCATGAGATCGCTCCTGCTGCTATTTTGAGTTTCTCTGCATGACTGCGCTGCCAGTCAGTTTAAGAACACAGGCTTCTCCTTCTGTTTTTTTTTTTTTTATATCTGCTGCTGGAGGTCATTATTTTGGATGTTTAGCGACTTAGCTGCTAACATTTTATAAAGAGAGAACATGCACAATCTTCTGCTAAGGATGCCATTTAAAGCAAATTCCTGAAAACTAATCTGATAAAGCATCTGGTAATCTTGTTTGCTTCATACTGTGTGATATGCTGCAGTAAATCATACATTCTGACTCTAATACCTCTTTTTTTTCTGTCTGTGTTTCAGCATCCTGTTTGCAGATATCGTGGGTTTCACCAGCCTGGCATCACAGTGCACAGCGCAGGAACTGGTTAAACTGCTCAATGAGCTGTTTGGAAAGTTTGATGAGCTTGCCACGGTGAGTCTGCTTCACTTCACTGAACACATATGCTTCAATTATAGTCCACGCTGGCATAAAAAGCTGCTCCCTCCCCCTCTCTGTGTGCACACTATGTCCCAACTCAAGTGTGTGTTAGTTCTGCTTTGGCCACAGACAGACTACTGGCACATGCCACTATTGTTCCACTCTGGAATGATGTCAAAGTGCATACTAGAGGCCATATGATGCTTAATATGATTATCCAGGGCTTCATTTGAGGAAAAGTTGAGAGACCTCTTTAATCTGGGCCAGACTTACCCAGAGATAAACCTCTCCTTGATGTTGGCTGTTTGCATGAACTTCATGAAGGGAGTACTGAGATGTCCTTGTCCCGTGAATCTCTCTTTGTTTGCATGTGAAAAAGATTTCAGCTCTCCCATCTGTCAATATTTCACTCTTTCTCTTCGGTGCCGACAATCCGCTCAACTTTTTGCTGTGAATTTGATCGCTGCCGTTAATCTAGTTATTTTCAAATGTGAGGCCACTGTTGACGTGTTGTGAAATTAAAGGTGCCAGAGTGAGTTTTTGCTTTTAGTTAATCCAAGAACTTCTCCGGAGAAAGTGTGATATCACTACCCGTCCAAGAGTGTGCTATCTGCTGGCATAAATGGTATTTTTGTTGGTGAGAAGGTCGAGCCCCTGCAGATCACCCTGCTGCAGCCTTATCTACATGTAATCTGGCCTCTATTACTTACACCAGGCACATGCCCTCGTCAAATCCATTAATCCACAGGATTACAACTAACCCTTTTTTGCTTTCATAGAAGGTATTACTTGGCCATGTTGACAGCTTCTATTTTTAACTTGTATGTTTACAGGCCAAAATTAGAACAGACTAAAAAGAGGGTGCTTCTCATTTGAACTCTCATTATCAAATAACTGTCATTAGCTTTTTAATTAATTAGGATCAGTCGCCATACTTGGCTCTCTCTGTTTTGTATGTCAGCTGGAGTCTGCCTTTATTCTTCTGAAATGAGCCCATTACCCTGTGATGCTGCAGCCAAAACCGTGCACAGACTGTACAGAGAATGGACTTGCCACTGTGATGATGAGCATTGGTTCATATTCAGCCTTTTTAAAGCCTCAGATTGGGCATGTTACTATTTTGAGCCAGAGGGTCTAAAAAGTCCTAGTCGTAGGGTGGAGCCGGACACAACAAAGTATTCAAAGCTAGACAATGACCTAGTTAAAGGTGGGGTAGGCAGGAATCTGTTAAAGAAGCATCTTTTTTTGTGGTGTTTATACAAAAAAGCTTTCAATATCAGTCAATAGCTGTTAGTTAGTGATGAGATTTGGGAATATAACGATATCGCTGTGTCTTGTTATGTCTGTGTAGTCAACATTTTAAATTTTTTGAGGGGCCTGCTCTTTCTGACTGTAAACAAAGCCATTCTCCGCCTCCTCCAACCTGATTGGTTGTGAGGCAGACGCTGCTCCCTCGTGTTATGAGGCACGCTCCACGTCCTCGAAAAATGTGCAACAGCCCCAAAAAAGTTAGCGTGCTACAATATCGGACAGTAGAAACCAACCAGATAGTATGGGAAATTGTCTGAATCCTCCTTTGGCCACAACTGCCAACACAAGCAAGAAAATGAAGTAAATACCGGAGACTCTGGCAGAATAACGGGTGCTTAAAACAGAGGTAGAGCTAAAAAGCTTTGGGATCTCACGGACCCTGTAACCTTTCTGCTGGACAGGTAAACCGCTTTAACAAAATAAGCCAAGTGTCTGTAACAGAAGTGTTTCTTGTCAAACGGGACCTGCTGTGTGTTGTAGCGCTGCTAAACTGCTAACCTTGGGTCCGTGAGTATGTCACTTTATCCTCGTATCCTTCAAACATTGTGTTTGCTAGTAGTCTGTTGGCATCTACAGTAGCACCAATGCTTTTTACTTTCACGTTGACTGGGCCCCATTTGTAATTATCTGAAGTATTTATCTGCATTATATCTGAATCTAATTGGATATGAGCGAGCAGGTGCGTCTGTTTGTGGGCAGGGCTTGCTGGAGCAGAGAGGGAGGGGAGAGGAGGAGCTGAGGGGAAAACTGGTTGGGAGGGGTAGTGTTTACATTCAAGATTTCTCTCAAAAACTGGCAAGAATCTGTTTGTATTTATGGTGAAAGGCACGTATCCCAAACTAACCAAGATCCTTACCACCAAGTTATGCTCTCTTCTCTGGTGAGGAAGTCAAACAAGAGTCCTGAATTTACCTGTATGAGCTCTGTCAATAAATTACAGGAATGTAATGCCGAATTTTACTCTTGAAGAAAGAGAGGTTAGAGTTTCTGTAAAGTCAGGTATTACCATCAAGTCAATAGGCTTTGAAAGTTAATGAGGAATTAAATGAGTCATTTGTTCTCCCATCTCTCACGGCAGTAATGGCTGTAACACATGCTGTTAAAAGCTTCATCAGCTTTGTTTATGTTGTGTTTTGAGCTGTGTCAGGTTTTCTTTTTTTTGCCTACAACTGAATAAAATTGTCTCATCTTGTCTTGGCGGTTTGCTGGGATTCTTGTGTGACACTCAAAGGCTTTCCCCGGCCGTGAAAGTTGTCATCAAATGTTCTCCTCTTGCCCTGCCCTGACCAGAAGCCCACTCACTCTGATCCACTTTGGCAGGAAGTGGCAGTGCCAGTGACTCATAGCTGTGGTCACTGTGGGCACACAGGCTCTTCTCGTTCCATACGAAGAGCGGGCGATGCCACATGGCCACTGGGCATCATCTCATGATCCGTTTCCAGCACCATCCCCACACCACCTGTCCACTCTTTGGACTTGTCAAGCAGCATGGGAAGTGGGCCAGGAACGCAGTGTACTCCTCAAGTGCTGTTGATGTAGTAGACCGAGGCTCCTTGCTTCTCTTCTCTTCTCTTCTCTTCTCTTCTCATCTCTGCTCTTCTCTTCTTTTCTTCTCTTCTTCTCTTCTTCTCTGCGTCTCTTCCTCTTTTCACTAGTCCTTTCTTTTTTTCACTACAAATGTAGATTTAAGACAGCAAATATGAGCCAACTTTTCCCAGAAACCTTTCATTTCATTCAACCAGCATGAGTGAGTAGCTGATAAATTCACAACAGTATCTCAAGATAATGGGAAACACTATAATAACTATCTATTAACTAACTAGTTAATAGATCATTAGTACACTGTTAATTAATGAGTTATTAATGACTTGTTAAGTGTTTGTTATCAGTTTGTTAAGGATTTATATTAATGCCTATAGATAGTTAATATACCATTAATAAACTGTTAGTAATTAGGTATAGATGATTTAACTAATGATTTAACTGAATTAACTAACAGTTTATTAATGAGATATTAACTATCTTTAAGGTATCATTATAACGCCTTAACAAACTGTTAAACACTTAACAAGTCATTAATAACTCAGTAATTAACAGTTTACTAATGATCTATTAACTAGTTGTAATGGATAGTTATTAAGTGTTACCAGATAAGGTTACAGAAACTTAAAAAGACAAAAAACAGAAACTGCTGGACTCAAAGTTTGTAAGATCACTGACAATCAACCACATTTACTGGTAATGATTGACTGGCAGTGATCTTTATTATAGGTATAAATAAATTAAAAAAAAAAAAGCTGAAGAAGATAAGACACGTCATGAAAGTTCCTATTAGGAATTTTTTGACATTTATAAAATAGACTGAAATATGTATTAATGCCCTTTAATGCTATAAGAATTCAAACAAGAACATCAAGTCAAGACTGAGTGTTTTTTATATCCTTATTTTTATTGTCTTAAACCTGTGTGAGGGGGTAGGTCCATGCTTTTCAGCTGATGAAACTGCCCGAAGTCAGCAAGCTTAGACTTTTATCTTAAGTAACGGCTCAGGCAAGATCAACAAAGACTGCTTTGTCCACAGGTGGCGCCAAAATTGAGAGAAACCAAAAGTTCCTTGCAGGAGCTTTAGTCCTTCGTGTTAGCTAAGAGGACCCTGAAACCACTGTCTCTTTTCTAGGGGTGTCCTGCAACAATATAGGGACTGAATTAAATAAAAGCCTATTGTAAAAACACAGATAGGGATGATACATATTTATATACACATAAACAAACTTGTAAACACCAGCCAGAAACCCATTTGTGTGCTTCAAAACACAACTAGTAAGGTATAATATAGAGTGAATAGGTAATTATGAGGGGTCTTGGCCCACCCTGTGACACTGTTATGATTTAATGTCAAGTGTAAGATCAGGTTGTCGGTGGTGCCACTTTTGTTGTTGAGGATAGAAACAACAGGAAACAGGGATTTAATACTGCCAGGTAATGATTTGCTTTTGCAGTAGATGGAATAAAGCAAAAATTCAGAAGTAGATAAACAGGCAAGGTCTAACACAACCTACTGATGAAGTTCTGATCACTCTTAAAAACCTGTCTCCATCACCCCCTCCTACAAATACACGATTGCTTCCAACAACAACAACGAAAAAATATGTGGCAGAGTGAACATTTTACTTTGGCGCCACTTTGTTTTGTTTATTAAAACTGAAGGAGTTGAAACACCGTGTACCCGCTGCAGAGATAGCAGGCTACAGTATGAGATGTACATTAGGAAATGTAAAAAATAGTCTTTCCCTCCTGGTCTGTGCCATATTAAGAAGGGGCCAGCTTGAAAATTGAAGTTTACAGGAAACCCACTCACACTGATCAGTATTTGCTGTTTGAGTCCCACCACCCACATGAACACAAGCTGGGAGTAATTATAACTCTTCACCAGCAGGCTGAGAATCTGAAGACTCCCGCTGAGAGTGAAGACAAGGGGCGCAAACATCTCAGAAAAGCACAGAAACATTATCACTTCACAAACTTGTGCTGTAAGAGTGTGAATGTAACATCAGACTGACACATGATGCAGATACAATAATTATTCTGTAAATGTCTGAAGCCAGCAGAGTTATTGCAGAAAAAGATGATTTTTTTTTTTTTTTAAGCTGAAAGGCAACGAGCGATATAAAAGACTTGGCAGTGTCTGTGGGGAATGGAAGATTTATTTTAAAGAGAATAAAAATTCACACACCAACTGGTCGGCCAGAGGCCCCCTCACTTGATAAACGCTTCCTCTTGCTGGCTGAGTTTCCAACAGTCTGTCCCGGAAAACAACAGCTTCTGCTGCGAGAGGGACTCTGTGATTAATTTATGCTGGTTGTGATGCTGCAGTATAGACCATGAATAGATCCGGACCGGGTTTGCTTCCTTGTCTGTGCACATTTATATGTATGTGTGCACATTGCTGTTTCCATGGCAGAGTCTCACAAAGCTTTTCATTCTTGTCTCTCTTTTCTCTCCTCTCTCGACACCTCCCTGCATCACAGCTCGCAGACTCCTCCGCTCCTTGTTTCGCAGCTTTTTTGATTGACATGCAGCAGCCTACTTCCCTCAACTGTGTCTTTTATGCCCTGTGGTTCTCTACGCTCTCTTCCTCTCTCATGTTTCCATTTTTAGGGTGGCTCAATGATGTACTGTATCTACCTACTGTCTCTTACTTCCTCGACAGAGTTCCCCTTTCATTCATTTTGCCATCCTGGAAGCTTAGAGTAGCCTGCACGTGCAGAGCACGAATTCATAGAGTTTCAGCAAATAGACGGACACTTTTGCTGTCCTTAAAGTTACACCTATTTCTAACCAACTTTTCAACTTGTTTGGCCAGAAAAAGAAAAGTAATCTAGTCTGAAGAATAAGCTGAAACTCTTTAATCTTAGATGTCTGTACTGATGTGTGAGGAATCAATTTACCCTTTAATGCCTTTTGTATCATATTTGATACATACTTTTATATACTTCTATCAAATCAATGTGATCAACGTTACTAAAAAAGAAAAATCTGAATACAGTCGGATAAATGATAAAAAATTCCTCTTGTAGTTTATCAGTTTCTAAAAACATCTAATGTATCAAATGAGATAAATAAATATATTTGTTAAATTTTAAGGACATTTAGATTTTTTTTGGTTTTCAGAAGTAAGTATAATAAACATTTCAGCTCCAAAAAATGTTGAATTTTCTGGCCATAATTTAAAGGGCTACAAAAATAGTTCACTTTACAAAACCAAAGTTTGAACTAAAAAGTTAATTTCTTCAAAAAGTTAACTTTGAAAACCTGAACCAACTACTTTCTAAAGGTCATCACTCTTTCAACTGCAGGTTTAAATAACTAAAATACTTCATGCCAAGAAAAAAAGAGGACAAACAGAACTTGTGAAGATGCTAATAAAACATTATTTTTAAATAAAGCACATAAAGCATTCACTGCCCACACTGTGACAGCTGCCTGCTGAAAGCTCCGGCTCCGGGTGTAAACACATCTCAAATAACCCTGTTTGGGTTTGTTCCACGAGCAGGTGCAGGGATCACTGTCGAGTCCTGCAGTTCCCTTCAGACGCCTGTGAGATGAAAAGTGTGGACTGAAGCAAAACCCAAACCAAACACGACAGCTTGAGGTCTTGAAGGAGAAGAAGAGAACGCTATTGTTGTCAAGATGAGGAAGTGAAATAGCGATGGTCCCGTTGAATTCGAAACGAAAATAAAGAAAAAAACTTGTACAACCTACAAGATACAAACTATGTCAGCACCTGTGATGGGAACATGAGTATCAAAACCACAGAGCAGGAGAAGAAGGTGGCCTACAAGAACAGGATCAGTTCAATGAGTCCAATCCCCCCGGTCTGAAACTAACAGATCATCTGTGGGATGTACCGGATAGTCAAGGCTGCTTAACGGAGGCGTACTTTGCAATTTGCAGGACTTTAAGGGTTTGCTGGCAAAATAAAGATACCACAGCACACCTTAAGAGGTCTAGTGAAGACCCAACAACTGGCACGGCTATACACCAGTGTTTTAAAATGATATTAGATGCTGAGTTCGTGGAAAGGCTGCACATGCAATAATCTAACTTGAGTGTTCACGAAAAACTGACTAAGGTCATATTCACACCAAAAGGTCCGTTTTCTAATACAAACCAAAGCGAGGATGATATATTGATGATACATTGTTGCAACTTCTCAGCTGGTTCAGTTCGCGTTCACGAAGGCCAAACTCAAACTGTCTAAATGTGGCAGCAGAAGTCGTTTGGTGATTGCTTATATGGTTTAGGCAGGTAGACGACAAATCCCTCGTAATTTTTACTGTACATCACGGAGCATCGTCGGTGTTGGTGCATATGTTGGTGCTGATCTGGACTGCATATCAGCAGACTTTAACGGACATATGGACAGCTGGGGAGACTGCGGCGATTAGATAATGTATTAGTACACGCGCGCTTCCTGTGATTGGTGTGGATGGGGTTCACACCAGAAGTAAACCGCTCTAGAGTTCACTTGATAGCGGTCTGAGACCAACCCTACCAGGCGGACCTAAGAGCGGTTGACTGGTCTGCATCAGAGTTGTAGGCCAGCGTTCACACCAACCAAAACAAACCACACCAAGGAGGTAAATGCTCTAGGGTTCAGTTCAACTGGACTAAACAAGGCTGGTGTGAACACGACCAAAGACTTCCCGGAGTCATTATTGGTCAAACTCTGAGTGCAGTTCATCAGGACCAGTATGAGTTGTATGGTAAATGCAGGGTAGAGCCTTCTGCTGTTATGAGTATGCAGTTGTAACTAAGATGGAGGCCCTCCCATCTCTGTGAATAAAGCGATCTTCAACCCGTGAGCATTTTATCATGCCTATAAGTCAGTTATTTATATCTTCATTTAATGGGTTTACTTCACAGATCTCCAACACCTACTCACTCCAACCCACCAGCCTGTGGTGGGAGGAGGAAGTGTTGATACATAATTCATTTGTTGCTGCACATAAATTATTATAAATGAAACAAAATCAATAAAAGAGCCGCAGGCTAAAGGGCGAAAAATTTCCAAGCAGTGGAGCAGAGGGGCAGTTGAGAAACTTTTGTCGCACTTATAAAGATTTTAGGCCCAATAGAGTGTCCCGGTGATAAATCATTTGGGTCTTTATCGATGAAATTCTGACATGAAATAACTCAATATGACATGAATTCATTTATATTTTTCCTGAACTTCATGCAATGGCTTGAAAGAAACTGTAAAATGTTTTTTTTTTTAATTTGCAGTAAATCTAGGAGGTTGAACATCTAATAAATTACGGATACAAACTGCATGTCCTTTTGAACCCATGGAGCTACTAAAGCGGAGCCCCTAATCTTGAACCCCATCAGAAGCATGTACACAGCTCTGATCTTTGTCTCTGTTTGAAAGGCAGCTCACGGTGTATACTGCTCCCTCCTTTTGGGACTTGTGGAAAATGAACTGCTGCTTCTCTTGGCTGCCTCATCATTTCCTTCATAATTATTTTCTGAATGTTTCCCCTGCCTGTCTTTGTGTCCTTTTTTGTTTCTCTGTTTTTTGCCTCTGTGTGTGTATTCAAGTATTTGCACATCTACAACTCTGCGGGCCTGTACCTGGTGTATTTGATAATACAGCATATTTTTGACATCGTTAATTATTTATAGCTGTTTTTAACCCCACTGAAAGCATGAAATTCATCATTTTTCAGCTCTTGTTTCTTTCACTTCTCTATACTTTTGCTTCCCTCCAGTGAAGAATCTGAATAGGTGTCACCGTACCCATCTTTTGTCACTGCTGATGACCACCAAGATATCCCACAATGCCTCAGTCACATGACAGCAGTAATCCAGCTTGTGACTGAATCAGCCCCTAAGCCCTGACAGTGCAGATTAGCACAGGAAAAGTACGGCGTAGGAGACTCTGTAAGCACCAGGGCTTTCCCTACTTCCTATCCTCAACCTTGCCTCGCTACAGCTCCATGGGTTACAGCTAATGTGACCTCAGTTAACCTGGAGACACCCTGCCGTGTTTGTCCAAAACTCAAGATGTTTTATGGTGGAATACAAAACATAAAGTCCTTATTATACTAGAATCTAAAGGTCATTAAAGAGGATTTTATTTTCAGTTGAATTAATTTATAAATAACATCTAATTTAATGGATGCATTATTTTCTTGCCTCTCCTATTCCCTTTAAGGTGCTAATTTAAGTAAAAGCTTTATACTCATAATGTATAAAAGAGTGGAGTAATTACAAAACAGTGAAGTTCAAAAAGAGGCTCTGAACTTTTTTTCTTTTTTTTTTTTTTTTACAGGAGCAAAATAAAGCCAAAAAAGATTTAACTAAAGCTCAGACATAACCTCTGTATCACAAACAAACAAAGTGTAATTTGAATATTCTACCAACAATTAAACTTTTAAAGATATTATGACTTAAACAGTTTCTTTATATCAGAGTATATTTAACACGTAAACATACTCTCCCTTACTTTTACAGATTTTGCCAGATAAGTGGTGTGTAATCATGACACATAGTAAATTGGAAACATCTCCATTAAAGCTCCTGTGAGGAACTTTCGGTCCATGTCAATTTTAGCGCCCTCTGTGGACACAGCAGTCCTGGCTTATCTTGCCCCCTGCATACTTAAGTCATGATTGTCATCCTTCTGACTCATTCTAGCTTTTATTGTGAAAATATGATTAAAAAAAGGGGGAAACAGAGCTGTTTCACTTTACACCTACCAACTTGCTCTGGTTTCAGGCATCAAAATCGCAGCACAGTTCTGTCACTGATGGTCTTGTTTGAATTTTAGTCTTTTATTAGTATTATAAAAAAAACTTCAAAGGAGCTTTAAGGTACTTATGATCATGATTAAAGCTCATTGGAAGAGCTTCTGGTTTGTGTCTGTTTTGGCGCCTCCTGTGGACAAAGCAACCTCACCCTGCTGACTTTTGTTAGTTAAATATATAATTAATTGCCTATTTTATGCCAAAACAATAAAAACTGTTTTCTTCAGCTACAACATTGACTCCTACCCCCCTCATGCTTGTTTCAGGCATTAAAAATGAGGTTTCAACAGGAGTTTCAGTCTTTTTCGTACACGTCAAAAAAACTCCTCATAGGAGCTTTAACTAGTTGCTCGTTCTCTTCCATAAAAGTGGTTGATTAGATCTTTTCTGATTATTATTGAGTAATCAGAATTATTACCATGATTACTAGACATTGATCAAATTATCAATCGGAATCATAACCCTTCCTCATTACAAGTCGAGAGCTCTTGTTATGGAGTTTTGACCAATCAGAATCAAGTATTTAACACAGCTGGTGTGTGCATCATTCTTTTGAGTGGCCTCTTTTCACGGCCACTCTGTGTTTAGTTCTTTTGTATTTTTATTTCTAAGAATATATCTAACATGACCAGTACGTGTGCATCCATGCTACTGAGCACCGTGCAAGCTGGACCACAGCATGTCAAACTAAACGGCACAAATTGTTGCTATAACAAGCCCCAGCCATCCTTCTTCTCTGAAACTCACATGGCTTCCATGATAAAAATAGAGCATCTGTCTTGTCTTGTGCCCACCAGCGTGCATAATTATGAGTCTTTGTGCTCTTCACATACATGGCTGGCGATCCCATTACCTCCATGGAAACAATAAAGGGTTATGAGAAGGCGTCCAGAGTGACCTGGTCTCCCCGGTAAAATGAATGTGTGGTGTTCATATCCTCCTAATAGTGTAGCATATTTGTTAGCAGCCTTTTCATGCCTCTGCTCATTGTCCCTAAAGAGTGACAGAGTGACTCACCTTATTCCCGAAAGTGAGACTGATCCTGTGATGTAGCACTGCATTGTGGGAACCACTCAGTGTTGGTGTATTGTTTAAGTCTGAAGAGCTTGTGCAGGATAAACGAACATGAGGCATACAGTTGTGAAATTGTTGGGATCATATCTGACCTGTTTTAATTATTCTTTTATTTATTTCAATAAAAAACAAATAAAATGTGAAAAATACATTTATTTTATTCACTTAAATACACAGATACCTGTGTTTAAACTGACATATCTGATATATTTTTGTCTAGTTTGTCTAAAATGCTGAGTAACAACATAATTCAACAACTTAAAACGTTACTGTGCTTTGTTGAGTAAGTCACAGTTTAAGATAACATGTTTTTTTTTTCATTTTAAAAGGCCTACACTAAAACTCATTTTACTTTGGAAGTCATAGCAAAAGATAGCATTAAGCATTGCTAACAAATTACACTGACGGATATGGATCAGTGTAATCAGTATAATGGATAAACTATAATTACATGTCAGCATATTTAACGCCAGCACCACGAATTTCAGTCACCTCAGGTGAAATCTTAATTACACTTGAAAATTGATGCCTTTGGAACTCGGTTATAATGGTTTTTTAACACTCTCTGAGTTCCATGTTAATTGTTGGTTCATTTTTTAAGCTTTGAAAGGCCTCAGGTGCTGCAGAGGAAGTTGGTTTAGTCAAGTCAGTTTTGTTAATGAAACAATTTCCTTTCTTTTTTTTTTCCATGTGCAGGAAAATCACTGTCGTAGGATAAAGATCCTGGGTGATTGTTACTACTGTGTGTCCGGACTGACTCAACCCAAGACTGACCACGCCCACTGCTGCGTAGAGATGGGTCTGGATATGATTGACACCATAACGTGAGTGATCCAGTACTTCATTATATCGAAAGTGTAAAGTGTAATTTCATCTGTGTGAATGAATAAAATCTTAATCTTTCCATGCTTTCAGTAGAATATGCTGTCTCGGTTGACTTGGTAGAAGCTGCAGAAATCTTGATCTTTGTTATCTTACAAAACAGTCCATTTAACTGAGTCCATATTTAGGATGGCATTCGAGCTGGGCAAACTGCAGCCGTATTAACCATGTGTGCTGTGACTAAATTCTAACACTGAACATTTTAGCGAGCAGAGCTGCAGTTGGCTGAGAGGAAAGGCTTCACTGGAGAGAGAAAGTTAAACAGTCTATTGAGCATGGAAGAGCGTGTTTTCCCTCACATGGCTGATATAGTTTGAATAAAGGAAGGAAGGAGATATACCTCAGATTAAATCAGATTCTTTCATGTATCTGCTCGGCTTAGAGTCTGTTATTTTAGATCAGACTGTCTCTCCAGGACTGATTATATAGAAATGCTTGAACAAGAAGTGTTTTTGTTCTTTAGTCTAAACTGGTGTGTTAAAAAGGGGCTTATTTGCAGTTTAAGATTTGATAAATGTAACACAAAATGTTTCTTTAAAGCTCAATAGGACTTTAATTTTCTTTTGTACCCACAAGTGGCCTCTAAAGGGGTTCCAGTTTAAGAGGAACCGGTCCTCAAAGACCACTCTTACCACTCTTTTTCCCACAATGGAAAAAGTTTCCTGCTCTATCCATTGTCCTGTCTCTCAATATAAGCATAAAACCCCTAAAGTAAACTAAAAAGCGGAACCTAATGAGTATGAGAAATTGGTCTCAGGGGGAAATTGACATTTCCTGATATTTGTCCAAGTTCAGGCCTACATTTTACCAAAACTTTGGACCAATGCTGAAAAGCAAAAGGACAGGGCTAATTTGGGGGACTTATCTTTTGTTTCAACTGTGTGAATAAGTCAACAAAATCCTACTTAAATCAAACCTTAGTGGCAGCTTGTTTGTATATTTACAATATTTACCACCAGGAATACCACCAGGGTGCAAAAAAACCCTGATACAAAACTATTTCACCGATTTTACTGAGGAACTAAATATTATCTCAGGCATAGTTATAGTGTCTGAAAATCAGCTGAGAGGGATCAGACTGCCAAGGGATTTCCTGGAAGTCTGACATTTATCCATTAAAAAGAAATACAGTAAGACTAAAAAACAGTAAAGGTGAGGAAATGGTCCCAGGCGAAGAAATAATGCATTCCTTCCTCTGCAAGGTGCAAAATAAATAGGGGAGAGTGGGGTAAGATGAGCCATTTTTCATATTTCAGATCACTACATCAAGGCAATCATAGTTTTGTCTCGAACTAGTGTCTCTAATTTCTTTTACCATTTCCAAGCAACAGAGGGTGGCTCAACTTACCCCACTCTCCCCTACTATCCAAAAACTCCTCACTGGAGCTTTAACTTCTTTGGAAATAGATTCATTGTAGTTTTGAACATTCGGATTAATAAGACTGTCAGTATTTATAACAAAAATACGCTTTTGCTATTTTGATTCATTTGTCCAAAAGCCTTTAAACACACATTATCAAAGCAGTTGCCTATCTTTCCATTAAATATCCTCAAAACATATTGGATTTTCAACGCTTGGTGATTAAATATAAAATTTGAAATTTGCCTTTTAAAGGGGTCTAGTTTTGCAGGTATATTCCTGACTTGTGTACGTGTTAATCTATTAGCTGCACAGTGCTCATATAAAATCATATCATCCTGTCATAGGTTGTTTGTGTTCTGTTATGCTGTTCTATGTTGCCTCTGTGCCACCTTCTCATGCTGCCTCATTATTAATTCACTGCAGCTATAGATTTAATGCGATCCTGTGACCTCACTCAAACACTCGACGTGCTGTGCCCCTGCAGGTCAGTAGCCGAGGCCACAGAAGTCAACCTGAACATGCGCGTGGGCTTACACACAGGTCGGGTGTTGTGTGGAGTGCTGGGCCTCAGGAAATGGCAGTATGATGTGTGGTCCAATGATGTGACCTTAGCCAATGTGATGGAGGCTGGAGGACTCCCAGGGTCAGTACTGGAATCTACATGATCACCTGCCTCTGTAGATACGAAGACAAGTCGCCTTGGTCTACTTCTTGAGTAGAGCTCTGAAATAAATGATTATTTTGATAATGTGGTCGAGAACTGACTCTTTAAATCTTATTGTGGAGAACATCTAAATGGTTTGATGGGAGTATAATGAACAACAGAGAAAAGAAGGGCTCTAACCTGAACGTTACAGCTCTAAATTCTCATTTCAGACTTTTTTTGACCACTGACTGTAACAGTTTTATGACCCGCTCAGACAGTCTTGATAATTTACAACAGAGATTATGTTAAACTGATCCAAGTACCAAAGTTTTCTGTACAAAAAAAGGAGAAATATTCAAATCATACACTTAGCAGAGTGCAATAAAATATTTCTGTTTTTCCAAATAAAAGCCATAAAACCAGCAAATTTATTATTTTTATGATTCTTTATTTCCAGGAAAGTCCACATTACCAGATCTACGCTGGAGTGCCTAAATGGAGATTATGAGGTGGAACCTGGAAATGGCCACGAAAGGAACGCCTTCCTCCAAAAACATGAAATTGAAACCTTCTTTATAGTGCCATCTCACCGCCGGAAGGTACCGTCTTGTAATTCTGTTTTCAGATATGTGTTTTCAATAAGCATCGTATTTCTAAAAGCTGTTAGCAGAAGAAAATGACTAATAGGATAGCAGCAGTTTATCCGCAGATTAGGGTTTTGTCATAAATTGGCCTCGTTTGAACCTGTTATTACCTGGACCGTGTGCTGAACACATGAGCAGAGCTTGTGCAGTCTGCATGCTAATCCATATTAAGTTAGACTACTGTTCGCGGTGGCTCAGAGCAGGTTCAGATTACGAGACGACAGATTTACCTTGTGGTTTTTTTTTCTCCATGCTAAGATATATAATAAAAGACTCTTTTAAATAGAATATATTTGACTCTAACTTCACACGACACATTTGTTGTTGTTGAGCTGATCTCTGTTCCAGCCCGTAATGGATTGAATTTCAAAAGAGCAACACCCCGAGGCATCCATCATCTCAAATCTGCACAGTTCAACAAACTTAAGAGATATACGTGTGTGTCGGTTATTGCATATAAACACGCATCTCCAACAGATGTTGCAGCTGGAGAGGGAATTTCAGTCTTGTGTTTGCTCTCCTTCCCTCTCATCTCCTCCTCTTCTCCTTTCCTCCCTCCATCCTCTTGCAGCAGGTTTTATGTTATGCAAGATAAGGCTTGTGCATAGGTTATATGGGTCTGTATGCGAACCTGTAACATCCCAGTTGCGTGTTTTTCCCTTTGATATGCAGGATACTTTGCTAATCCTCTTAATGGAGCTGATGGTTAGGCTTCATCAAAGGCGCAGCTCACAGATAGATGCTCCCTCGCTAAGCTGTGTTAGATAGGCCTCTGCTCACCCTGCTTTTGTGCCTCTGCTCCTGCAACCAGACACTCTGCTAACTTTATGCATCAAACAAAGCATATGTTTCCTAGTGGAAGGGACACTTCCTTAAACCCTTGAATAAATGCTAAAATTGTACTGCTCTCTTTGGAAAAGCTGAAGAGAAATCAGGGCAGAAAGGTGCTAAAACTGTTTAAAATCACCCGGGGGGGGATTGACCTGCCTTATATTAACCTCTTTCTAGTTAAACTCCACACTCTGATGATAATGATTGCATGCTTTAATGTGTGCACATACATACTGTCTAAAGCCTGTGCATGATTGACCTTACATAAGACATATTACTGTGTAGGGTATCATGACTAAATCCTTGTTCCCGTTTCTTATCTGGTGACAGATATTCCCAGGATTGATTCTTTCGGATATAAAGCCCGCCAAAAAGATGAAGTTCAAAACTGTGTGCTACTTACTAGTGCAGCTTATGCACTGCAGGAAGATGTTCAAGGCTGAGATTCCCTTCTCCAATGTCATGAACTGCGAGGACGGTGATAAGGTATCAACTCTCAGTGTCTGTGTTGACGTTTCTGTGTTTGTCCGTGCTGTGATTTCCTTAAATGGAGACAGAAAGAGATAGACAGCCTGAATGTGTGGAGATGTTTGAATTTCCTGGATCGCTGCCCCTGAATGTGGCCTGATGTTGTCTTTTTAAACCACTGTAAGAGATCTTTTATTCACCCATTACCAGCATATTATGTATTTATATCTGCCTCATACAAGTCTAGTTAATTATTTTTTTTCTTAAACGCCATTTTCAGACCTCTAAATAAGACTCTTTCGCTCCACTAACTGAAGCTCAAGTTTAACTAGCCCAACAAAGAGACAGTTTGGGGACTCAGTGAGCTACATTTTTACATAACAATGTTGCAAAGATGAGAGTTTTAGATCATCCAGCGGGTCTAAAGCCAATATTAGAGGACTAACAGTGTGTGTGTGTGTTCATGGATTTCTTCATAGTTCAATGGCTTTCCTAATGTGAACTCTCCGTGTGGGTAGTAGATTTTGCCACGTGGAAGAGAAGCTTCCTTACACAACACTGTAACTCAAATGCTCTTTGTCACCTCATTGAATATTATAAAACACACACTAGCGAGGAAGCGGGGCACACAATGCTGCTCATGATAAAAGCCCAGGAGACGTTTGCCCTTGCAGGAAGTGGAATCTTTTTTTTGTGTGTTTTTTTTTTTGGCTCTTTAAAATCCATTTTCTTCTGATTAGGAATCTATAACTTCAACGTGTTCATTTTGTAGTAATAGGTAGGACAGGTGATGACTCCATCAGCTGTAGTGACCTCAGCTTGTTGCTGCAGTAGACACTATATTCCCCTCATGTACTGTAGTACTGTCAGGGACACAGCAGGCTGGCTAAATGCCAAAGAGCTTGTTTAACCTTGTGTGTCTGAGGAGAAATCCCCGTTGGCCTGGCAGCTGTACAATTCTTGCACCAGCTGTTTTAATCCATATTTTCAGGTGTGTGTTTGTTTGTGTATGCGTGCCTGTGTGTTTTTGTGTTTTCTCAATGTAGAAGTCAAAATCTAAAGTCACTGTCATACTGTGTGTTGATATTCATGAGCGTACTTACATCCTCTTATGCCTAAATGTGTGAGTTTGTTTTTTTGTTTGAAGGTTGAAGATAGGATGTGGGTTTGGATGGGATTTATAGATATGGGATAAAGGTCTTACACATATATATGGGCAGGTTTTCGTCACACAGAGAAAACACATTGTTCTTAAACATTTAGACTCACAATCATGCTGTCTGCTGTCTCCAGTGGATCCTCACCTGTTACTATATCACAGCGTCTGACCTTGAATCTATATAACCTTTACAAACAGCACCCTCTCTTTGTGGACAGAAGTCATACGAGTATAAAACGGAAGAATGAAAAGAGAGGACAGCTTAAGTTATACATACACCTCCCACCAAAGAGTAATTTCACATTCAGACCACACACACTTGAGTTGCGTGAAATGATATATGCATTCAAGGCACGGAGGGGAGTGATATGAAGGACCAGGCATGAATGAAAAGGATTTTTAGTGCAGCAGACATGGCTGCACACCGCGTCCCGTGCTGCGCCAAGCACAATATGGAACACAAGAAAAAGTCGGTATCTGCAGGTCAAAGTGTTGCTGCTTCATAAATAAATAAAACAAGTGTGTGAGGGAGGCGCAGGATGAAAAAAAAAAAAGGAGAGGGATAGGAAGACAGAAAACACAGTAGGGAGTAGGGAAGGAAAGATGAAGCACAGTGTGAGGGAGGAATGCAGGATGAGCACATAGAAGCAGAAAAAGTACTTGATAAAGTTTGGAAGAGTAGACTGAAAGAAAACTGGACTCACAGATGATGTGAGTAAGGAAAAAAAAGAAGAAGAAATAGAAGCAAAACAGAGAAGAAAAGGGAACAAACAGACAATTAAAGGAGACAAACAGAAGCAGAAAAGGACATAAATAAAGGAAGAAGAAAAGGGGGCGAGTCAGTGAACTGTACACATCAATGTCATGTAATGGACTTGTGGAAAAACTCTCGCTCCCCCCTCTGGTCCTCTAATGTGCCACTGAACTACACAACCCATCCAGCATGCTCTCTTTTATGTACACACAGCCACCTACACACACTCTCACAAACATCTACTCTGCCATGTTCAGGCCCTGGCTTTGCTCCAGTGGCCAATGTTTTGCATAGCTGCTCACTTTGGCTGCAGTAGACGCTCAGACTCAGCGGGGTGTATCCAATAATGAAGTTAAGTGTGAAGGCAATGCCCTAATTTGAAAGTATAATAAGCAGCCTGTGTTTATCGTTCACTGTTATCCAATCCCTGTCCCTAATATGATAATACTCCACTGACACAAAGAACACAGCATGCCACGTTGAAGCCTCTTCATCGCACTGTTGTCTTTTCAGCTTCTTCATTTTCAGTGTTTTTTTTCTCTTTGCAGCGGAGAGCCATGAGAACAGCTCCACAGAAGCTGAGGAACCGTCCCAACGCAAACCAGGCTAACGTGATCCAGAGCAGCCCCAGAACCAGAGTCAACCGCTACATCGGGCGGCTGATCGAGGCCCGCCAGACCGAGTCAGACACGGCAGACCTCAACTTCCTCACACTCATGTATAAGTGCTCTGAGCGCGAGCAGAGGGTGAGGGATAGGTATATATGTGTGTGCATGTGCAGAGAGGTTCTCTGTTGACATCTGTCACTTATGTATATCTGCTCTCTTGAATTCACACAGTACCACCAGGTTCCTGATGAGTACTTCACCAGCGCGGTGGTCCTCTCTCTGATCCTAGCTGCCTTGTTTGGCCTTGTCTATCTCCTCATAATACCACAGTATGTTCAGTAAACTTTCTTTTCATACTTTTATCTTTACCGTCCTAACTCTTAAATTGAATCTAACCAAAGTCTTAAATGTCTCCATTTTCTTCTGTTTTTCCCTCAGGGGCACAGTGGTACTAGTTCTTCTTGTCTTCTGCATCTGTTTCCTTGTAGCTTGTATCATGTATCTGCATATTACTAAAGTACAGGTAAATTCAGCTGCTCACGTATCCAAATACACACACACAAAGATTTGTCCCTTTTTTAAAAACTTTTTATTTTCACAATAACTGTTAACAGTGATCAGTGACCCTAAAAAGAGGAATAATTAGTTAAATTACATGAAACCTTGTGAAAAGTTGGTCGCAAGATAACTTTCTAAATCCTGCTGCACACTAAGGGCCTGTTTCCACTGATGGTATTTTGCTCCAGGGAGTTTTACACTTCTGTTTCTTCTCTGATGGATGAAGTTTTCTTGTTATCCCTAAAATAAGTTCTGTTTTTCTTTTTTGTCTTTTCACTTTTCTTTCTTCATCTTATTTATGTACTGATTTATTTTTCAAAAAGCAAGAGAGAGAGCTATTGTATGAATGAAGAGTAGAATGAATGTTATGTAAGTGTAATGTCGAAGTTCAAAATGAAATGGAAAAGAAGATAAGGACCCCAGGAAGAGTAGTTACTGCATATTTTGATATAACTTATGGTGGATCCAAAATAAAACAGAACAAAAAACACTGAAAATGTTTAACACATATGGGCTTGTATGAAAAATGGTCATCTATGGACACAGGCCCTTAAAACTCTAACAGCTAAGAGGTTTACAGCCCTTGATATTTTCTTCTAACCTCACTAATTTGAACCTTAAACCTCACGTGTTCATGTATTTTCCTCTCCTCTCTTTCATCATTTTTCACACATACTATTTTAGCAGCTACTTTCACACAATGTGCTATAGTAATATTTAAGTGTACCGACACATACCACCTATATATAGTAAATTCACACATAATGTATTTATGAACTGCATGTCTCCATCTAATTTTCTCTGTTTCTCTTTTTTTTTTCTCAGTGTTTTCCAGGGTGCCTAACTATTCAGATTCGCACTGCTCTCTGCATTCTCATAGTGCTCTTAATCTACGCTGTGGCCCAGGCCTGTGTGGTAAGTCATGAAGGCAACAGTGCCTCTGAATACAGTCTCATCAGTATATGAAGAAACCCCCAAATCTAAACATCTAAATAGCTCTTTTGGTGAGTAGGGAGCATTCAGCCTAATGTAGATTGTGGGATAGTGGAGCCTCTTGTGGCTGAAATAAATATCACAACAACAAACCCTGAAGAGCAGTCTGAATTTCCTTCCACCAGCCCAAACTTCCTGTCAGTGAACCTTCATATCCCGTAAAGCTCCGCAGAATGATAAATCTGTTTTCACAAGAAAAATGATCCCAGCAAATGTCTTTCCACTAACGAGAAATGATTTTTCCACCTGTCGTCACATATGAAGGTTGGACTTAAAGGAATCATCCAAAAACTTTTTTAACTCCATCTCTTTCAAAAATAAAAAAGCTGAAACTGGGATTATACCAGGAAAAGGAGGATGAGGAAGTTGTAAACAACCTACAGAATGAATTTCTTAGATATGTTTTTCTTACCGTACAGAAACTCTTGAGGTCCCAGGTTAACTTTCAGGACAGGTTGTTTTAGCACCACTGTTCTCCTCTGAACTTAAGTATCTTAATGTTTTCATACTCATTTATCTTCATTTTTTCCCTCTGTCAGGTGGGCTGTATGCCCTGGTTGTGGGGTAGAGCCAATACCAACAGCTCCATCATCATTATCGATGTGGACGGTGGCGCCAACCAAACCATGGCAGAGCTGCCTTGCGATGGTGCCCGATACGCCTTTCTGTCCTGTGTGGTGGGCACGCTCACCCTGGCACTTTTTTTGCGGGTCTCCTGGCTGCCAAAGATGGCGCTAATGCTGCTTCTGGGGGTGCTGTACATCACCGTGTTGGAACTCAGCGGCTTTCGCAAGACTGCAGGGTGAGGTTCACAGCACAACATGTTCACTAAACCCGTCATGCAAAACACTTGAGTGTGTTTATACAGTTTTGTTTTTGAAGGATTTCTGTCCTTTCTTGAAGAAGCACGACAACAACACAGACGTCGTATCAGAGCTTAAAGTGAGGGCCTCCTGATCTAGTTACGACTGTGCGTCATTCAAAGAAGCAGAGGCGAATATTGGCTGTGAATGTCCAGTGAAGGTTTCTGTGTTTGTTTTAGAGGGAACAGATTACCAGGAGTTTGGAGGAACATTTACTGTACATGTGCTGAGATATATGTGAGTGGAGGAGTCTTTGCTTGTCTACAGCCCACATGCTCTTTCATTTTCCACCCTTTTGAGGCAGCACATGTGCTCATTAGATCCAAATCAAAAGCCTTAAAGGACAATGTGGGCTGGATGATGGGAATGGGCTAGCTTTGTCCACCCTGTGTTGAGGGCCCCGGCCAATTTTATTTAAGCCTGCATGTTGAAATGTATCTTTAAAAGTGATTTTGTTGAGTAATTCAGTGAAGGATCTCTTTTAAAAGCTAAATTTGTTTGATGCAGTTTCACTTAAGTCAGTGTCTCTTCCATTTATGCCTTTTTGTGTCAAAAAAGCATTTTTCATCATGTCTTTAGTGAAACTTTAACCATGTTGTCTTTTGACACACTGGGGGGTCCATCCAAATCCTCATGTGTAGTTTTCTGTGTGGTCTAGTCCTGTGCTGACGTGCGTGTCGGTCTCTTCCACAGTGGGGGGTCCTTCCACATCCGGGGCTATGAGCCCATCCTGTCTCTGTTGCTCTTTGTCAGTGCGCTGGCCCTCCACTCCAGGCAACTTGACCTCAAACTACGCTTGGACTTCCTCTGGGCTGTACAGGTCAGGAAGTGTGTGTATCAGTGTGTCTGTGCATGTGGAAGAGGCTGCAGAGGATGAGGGGTTTAATTCTCGCTATCAAAGCGCGGTTTGAATCAGAGGTGCACTGTTGAATTAATTTTAACTTAATTACAAAGAAACTATTACTCTGTGTTTGGTGGATTTGTATTTTTGGGGTGCAAGCTGTTTTTCTTTTTTAAATAAAAATAAAGGCTGGACTTTGATTGACCTTTTTTGGCACCATAAGCGTCTAAAAACATTTTGTGCATAGCAGTGCAAGAATTTAATGCCTTCTAGTTCCAGCAGGATCCGACTACTGTAAAATATTGGCAATGCTGGAAGGCTCATGAGGTTTTATACCGCCCCCAAGTGGTGGAGATTTGGATTTAATGGCAGTATCTTCTTATTTACTCTGTGTTGCTTTCATTTACAGGCTGAAGAAGAACGAGACGGCATGGAGAAAGTCAAGCTGGACAACCGCAGGATTCTCTTCAATCTTCTGCCCGCACACGTGGCTCAACACTTCTTGTTGTCAAATCCCAGGAACATGGTGAGCCTCGCTAATAGACAGGCAGACAGACAGACAGACAAACAGGTAGATAAAGAGACAGATAAACAAAAATGACTACAATTGAAAGACATCTAGGAACCTGCTTTATAGATTTGGATTGTATTCTGTAGGATCTGTACTATCAGTCGTACGCACAAGTGGGGGTCCTGTTCGCTTCGATTCCAAACTTCAATGATTTCTACATTGAGCTGGATGGCAACAACATGGGTGTGGAGTGCCTGAGACTACTGAATGAGATCATTGCTGACTTTGATGAGGTGAGATAGAGATTATTTTTTGATTTTTTTAATGTACTTTTGTATTAAAGTATGTAATTTTTGTATTGATGTGTATTTTCTGCAGCTTATGGATAAGGAATGCTACAGAGACATTGAAAAAATCAAAACCATTGGAAGCACATACATGGCAGCTGTGGGCCTCGTCCCTACCATCGGTACCAAGGTGACATCTCCCTCTTTGCACATCTATACTTAAAGAGATATTCCAGCGCAAAGTTAAGTTAGGGTCAAACACATCGTAACACCGAGTTAGACTCCCCGTCGAGAGATGAATGTTGCCAACCGCTTGCTTCTCTCATTATACCAACTTTAGTAATGACCGCACGATAGCAATACACAGCGGTCTCAGGAGCCACACACACACACCTCCATCAAAAAGCCACTCTATAGCCACAAATAATGCTCAGAACAGCACCTAACTTCATCAAGAGTACATATAGGGAAATGATCATAAATGTTCTTCCTTGAGCTGTGACACCCCGCTTCAGTTGGTGATGGACTCTTCTGAGGTCTCCCTACAAACAAGCGGCTGTTGGAAGAGAGTAGGTGAGTTGTGTTTAGACTCTTTGCTGAAGAGAACCGTCAAAGCTAAAAAGATGTTTGGTGGCTCGTGCTGTGGCTGGGAACCTATATGGTTGAGAAGCAAGCGGTCAGCAACATTCATCTCATTGTCTAACTGGGTGTTACAGTGTGTTTGACCCTGACTTAGTTTTACGCCGGAATATCCCTTTAAGTGGATTAACATGAGGACAATAAGAAGGAGAATCTTCAATCGATTTTAACTGCTTTTAAATGCAAATTTCCCCCCTTCAGGCCAAAAAGTCTGTTTATGATCATCTGAGCACAATAGCAGACTACGCCATCGAGATGTTTGACGTACTGGATGAAATCAACTATCAGTCATACAATGAGTTTGTTTTGAGAGTGGGTGAGTGTACCCTTGTAATTAAAGTGTGATCACAGCCGCATATTAAGTCCAAACACATCAACCAGCAACCTCAGTCTGACATGGTTTTGTGTTTGTTGAACATTTTCTTGTGTTTGTGTAGGTATCAATGTGGGCCCAGTGGTTGCAGGGGTGATCGGAGCACGGCGACCCCAGTATGACATCTGGGGGAACACAGTTAATGTAGCGAGCAGGATGGACAGCACTGGAGTACCGGGGAAGATACAGGTATGAAACACAGCTGAGCTCAGATTATCGATCAAAAAACAAACATAGGGTTAGGAAAGACAGTTTCTGAAAGGGAAACAAAATGAAAAACAAAAACCTTTGTGACGGTTACATTACCTAATAAGTCAGTTAGTCCTGAACTGACCTTGTTCAGGGATGTCCTCATTGAGCCTTCATTAGGTTAAGCCTGCCCACAACCACATGGGTATCCTGCTGTTTTTGAACCTTTGGCAATCTCCTCTTTGCTTTGGCACAAAAATAAGTACAGCAGCTGAATTTGACGTTAGCAAAACCTACTTGTTGTTTCATAAGTATCGTATTCAAAGCAGTTAGAATAGTACAGTTTAAAAACTATTTTAACTACACTTTACCTTATCATACTTTAAGACTGTCTCATTTCCCGTCTTTCTTACCAATCACCCCAAACCCCATGATAACCGTAATTAATTCTGAATCAACTGTGGCAGATTTATAAAGTTAATGGTTGTACAAATGTGTTAAAATAAACATCAGTAGCAACATGTTTTTCTGCGTTACACAACACTTTGCATTCATGGTTTTATTGGGTGTCATAAGCAGTGAAATATAAGAGGAGGGAAGAAACTTGCAAGAAATGCTGATACACTGATGGAGCTGAGTGAAAGACAAATACAAACAGTGACACAGTATGGGCTTTTGCAGTATTACAGGTCTGGTAGGGCGAGAGAAAGAAATGAATACCAGTAAAAAAGTTTGGAGGAAGGAGACCTCATGCAGGTCATGTCATTTTGTGTATCTGTTAAAAATGCCAATAAAGAAATCCAAATGTTAAAACTTAACTGTGAATTAAAATGTCAAGTTTAATTTGATTTATGACAGTAGCACAGGTTATGTAGAGGTTTGACTCGAACAAAAATATAAAGTTTCATTTAAATTGACCCGGGAGTAGACTGATTCGAATGTAGTTGCCACGGAAACACTGCCAACCAATAAAGCTGATTCTGTTTTGTATAACAACCTGCTCACTTAACATTAACCTGTACTTACTGTATTTTATTCAAGCATTTTTATTTTGTCAGAAGCATGTTTTAGTAAATTCAAAATACCCTCTTACAGGGTTACTTTTCCGATTTCTTGTGTAAAGTTCTTTGTTTTTACCTGTTGCTGACAATTGCTATATAACTAGACTTTGCTTGATTTGCTTTGCAGTGAACCACGGCCTCAGGTTTTTTTGTGCGAAAATAAATATATATAGGATTTTGCTTGATGATGTTGAAATGTAATGAAACGTAGACTCCTAAATCATAGTCGGACAAACAGAACATCCTTATAGAATCAAAAAGTGAATAGCATACAGATGATGGATGTAAGACCTTGCTTTGTTGCACGCCGTTTCTTTCTTTCACGATAAAAGATAAACACATGGTATCTCCTTGTTTTCTGCGACAGGTGACTGAAGAGGTCTATCGCCTCCTGAATACCAACTACGACCTGGTGTGCCGGGGAAAAGTCAGCGTGAAGGGTAAAGGTGAGATGCTGACCTACTTCCTGGAAGGAAAGGTTCAGGGCGTGGGCACTGTAACCACTTCTTCTGTGGTGCGCTCAGCCAGCCTTGCGCGCCGGATTCACTCCTGTGGCAAGACGAGCGTCCCCACCAAACTGGGGAGCGTCTCCTCCGCCGCCAGCCTGGCTGCTTACGCCAGCATGGGCAGCAACATGCAGATGAACACTGCCAACAGCAGCAACAGCCAAGCAACATGCCTGCCTTCATCCTGCGTGCCTGCGGTGGGTGAAGAGGACGAGGAAGAGGAGGGGGTAACAGGGATTGAGATTGAGGCTGTGGCTGCTGTTGCAGATGTGTCAGTGTAAGAAGACGGACAGAAACTTTGATGACACAAATAAAGAAATCGTGGGTAAGAGGCTGAAAGAAGACAGGGCTGTCCAGGTATTCCCTTTTGATCTTTAGCCGCTGGTACACACCAGAATATGCCCATTCAGGACATGAACATCCTGATGAATAATACGAAGTTGCAGACAATCATACTTGCTTTAAGGAATATTTAACTCTGAGAGAAGGAATGAAGATTGAGCCGACCTAAATCTGAAATCCTCTAACATCTCTATACATTACCAGATGGTTTGTGGTATTCCTGGGTCCCCTCAGATCCAGGTCTACAGTTATGTGCATCTTTGTTTTATAAATATCGTGTACGTATTCCATGTACAAGGGATATGTGCATTGATATACAAAAAAGGACTGATCTTGCTATTGCTTTTGCACTGTCTTTCTGAATATGCCAAGGATACACTGCATTATTTACAGTTTCAAATGGTGTTGTTTTTATTTTATTGGTGTATGTAAGCATGCATGCGTGTATTTGTGAGCGTATGTATGCATGTGTGGTTATTTCTGAATTGTAACAACACAGCACAAAATCCTTTTTTTTATACTCGGAGTTCACAGGATGAAACAGGCTTTTTTGAGACATATTTACAGTTAATAGTGCATGACTTTTTAAAAGTTGACAGCCATAGTAAAGGTACTCCCGCTGAAAGAAAACCAAAGTACTGAGCTTTCCATAGATCTGTAGTTTGACAGCTATTATTGCCTCACCACACGGAACAGAGAGGAGATACACTGCAGTGAGCTGAATGCGTTTGTTAAGGTGGCAGACAAGGGTTCCTTGAATATCCGTTATTCAAAAAAGTTTGATGTAAGAAAGCCTGAAACCTCTGAAAGAGGCAGAGTTGGTGGTAAGTGTTGGTAAAGGAGCAGAGAAAGGTGTTTAACTCACATAAAGGACCAAAACACTCTTATGAATGGTGCATACTTACATGTGGGAATCATTCTATAAAGGAGAGCACACAGGATGGAGTCAAACACAATAAGCACACAGCTTCTACATAATGCACAGCGAAGTCCTTTAGCCAGCGCCTTTGAAACTCTCCATACAGAAGCTACTGTCTCCTTTCAGGCATTCATCACTCTCTAAGAGCTTATTTTGCTAACTCTTAGCTTTATTTTTTCCTCAGATACAAACTCAGAAACATGCTATATCTTTATCATAGCCTATATCTTCATCATCGTAGATATTTCACTTTTCTGCTACAGTGTAAATTTATCATGTTTCAAGTTTTTGCCTTACTCAATGAGCTTACAGTGATTGCGACCTGCCTTTTTAGATATATATTCACTTTGATATGCAGATCATACCTTTTTGTAAATAGCCAAAAGCTGCAAACGATGTTGTATCTTGTACAGTGTAAAGTTGGGTTATTTGAATATTTTGTAATAAAGACAATATTGGTGTATAAAATAACTAATGAGTATGGTTGGCCACTGTCATGCAAGATCTGTAGGGGTTTATCAGACATGCGAATAACAACTATACATCTTTATGAGCAGTTTTCTCTGTTAGTTCCACTAGATCAAGTTTAATCTCTCACAGTTGATGCCTTAGCTCGTAAAATGGTTCATTCTGCCCCGTGTGTACTCCCACAGACAGATGAATGTCCCCGTGGCCCAAACACAGAGCGGGGGCTGGATTTGTTTTCCCAGTGCTGATGTACAATTGGTCTGAGGTTCACTCAGTGAAACAGTTAAGTCAACAAACATCAGGTTTGCTGCACCATTTCCAGTACAGTTCAGCCTTGGCATTAGTTTCTGTAAGAATTATATAGTCATGAAGGATTTGGGTTGGCTCTCGTTCTAGTCCAAAGCTTAAATAGTGCACTTGACTTCCAGGTAATGTTGACATTAAGCAATAAAGTAAAACTGAGGTGCATGATGACTTACAAATAAAACACCCCTCCAGAGTCATCGGGGCCATAGGGGTCAAAATGAGTAAAATAGGTCATAACACTTGTCAATGATTACTTTCTCTTCAAAGATAAAGAAAAATGAAATCCGGATCCAGCTTTGGAGATGGGCTTCTACAGAGACAATCTCGCAACCTGATTCTTTTTCTTATAAGAGGAGCAAATTATTAAGATAATTATATATAAAACAAAATAAAAGACAGCCTACAGGGTTTTTTTTTTTTTTTTTTACTCACAAACTTGATAATAGATGATGGTTATGTGAAATAAATACAGACAACGTGAGACAAGACCTCACTTATTACTAAACAGAATCAGAAGGGGTTTTATTGCCATTGTCGATGAACAGGATTAACAGACTTGGAATTTTTTACGGCGTGATGGTGCAACATTAAACGGAGAAAAATATATAAAATACTAGAATAAAAACTAACAAGAGCATGCAGGAAATATATAAAGTATAAATGTATACAAGGCTATGCACAATGTTATGTACAGTAAGTATAACAGGCTATGTACAACTACACAATACAGAACAACAGTGCAGTGGGAGGAGTGCAATTAAAAAACCAAGGTACATTAAACTAAAGTGACCAGTGATAAAGTGACAGAGTTAAAGAGTCTGAGTTATTTATATATTTACTAAACTAAATATACAAACATGCTGACTCTAGGTTTTGATCTAAAGATGATTTTATTCACTTACTCAACACAAATTTATCCATACAGAAAAACAAAAAGAGAAGTCCCATAGTTTTAATAGTTGGTTGTGCTGCCATGGCAACAGTATACTTATGAGCCTACATACCAGTCAAATTATAGTTAAGTTTAGAATCTTCATTCTAAGTCAAGTCTAAACATGATCCCCTTTTATTGTTATAACTCACATTTAACTTGACTTTTCATTGACTGTGAAGTCTAAAGAGTTTCTTGTAGCCTTTTAAAACAACAGCAGCACCTCATTAGGGTCCTCTTCCCTGTAAATCTATCTTTGGTACAGCTTTGGCCACAGGGGGGCACTATAATCATTTCTAGCTGAAATTCTTCACAGGAGCTTTAACTGTGCCGACATGTTGACACGTTCCTGTGCCTGTGATTTTACTCGCAGCTCATTTCTATTTCCTGATCCTGCGTAACAATTTCATAGCAGTACACTGGTAGCTGAATTTTAAGCAAAATGAAGAAATGTTCTGGTTCCCACTTGCTGAAAGATTGCAGCATACAGCATTGACCGTTCACATTATCAGCAGGCTTTGTTGTTGCCAGGTTAATGGTCCATATGGGGAGCAAAAGCAGGCGTAATACTATGATTACACCCATTAAAGGTCAGTCAGATCTTCTCCTTCAAACAAAGCTGACGAAGTTTAGATTGTTCATACTAATTCTGTCATTTCAGTAAGTGTGAGACCCATATACTGTGATTAAATAACAAAAAAAAGGTTTCTTTTTGGGCTCATATAAGCCGGAGTGAAGCCTCAGTGTAATTTAAAATCTACAGCTGAAGTGGGACCTGCTTGAAATAGATGAACAGACATTATTTTAGGGGCTATAGAGGACAAAAGGTTACAGCATTTTGGTTGCAAACATCAATAATGAAAGTCAGCCTTGGCTGGAGGTGGCTGACTACTTGTTGGCATCACAGAGTGTTGACAGACCATAATAGGCAAAGACTGTTGATAGGTCCCAAGACTGGCCCACAAAAAACACAGTGACTAGGAGCATTGTCTTTATTTGTTTCATACATGTCATTAAGTAAGGTTGCCCATTATCACCTGTTTTGTATCTTGGCCTGCTGTGGACTGACTCAAAGACTCTCAGATATCGGAGTATCAGGAGTGTGCTGTTTCAGATTACATAGTTCTCTCATTATTTCAGGAAAATTATGGGATAGCGTAAATAAACCAACAGATTGAGTCAGAGGCCAGAATATCCTGACCTTTCCGTTTCAGAGCAGGTCAAGCTCCAAATAAAAATCTGGATGACAGCACCGGGGTTTTCTTTGAGCTTACATAATACTGTGGTCACTGGCTGAGTGCTGCTCCTCGTGACGCGTAAATTCAACTTCATATCTGAAACTGCTGACCCGCTGAGGAAGAGTATAACCATGTTTTTCAATATATAAAAATATGCACAAATAGAGAAGTGAAAGTACATTACATTGATTTTATTTTAAGGATCCTTTTAGTCAGATTAAATTTCCTTCTTATCCACCATCTGAGTCAATCTGTCAGTGTGTATTCAAGCTTCAACACCTGTTTTCAATAATCAGCTAATTAAAGCCAGAAACTGCAGGATGTTTATATGTTTGGAAGCTCCAGGTTACCAGCCAAATAAATGGAGAAGCAGACAGTAAAAGTAAGTTTTACGCCTCTTTTTTTTTCTCCAGCAGAGAAAATCTGTGGTTATATACAAAGATGGTAAAAGGAAGCTGTTAAAGTTGAGTTAAATGTGGACTGTGTGTCAAAAGCTCATGATGGAACAGAGACGACGTCTAGAGACTATGCTGGAAGAGTCAGAGCCAGAGGAAGAAACTGAGGGGGAGAAGACGGGAGAAAAGGAGGATGAGGATGTGCAAAAAGAAGGAGGTTTCACGTCACAGGAAGTAATGGCGGAAGAAGAGGGTGAAGAAGATGAAGATGCAGTTATGCTGAGGGTTATGAGACCAAGGCGACTGTCCCGTTCTCTCAGCCAGACAGAGAGTTTATCTAAAACGTTACCAAGCAGCAACCATCAGGAAGATACAACGGTTTTCTCAGAGTCGGATCAGCTCAGTTCAGTGAACTTAACCCGTGATTCTACCAGATCTGGATCACAGGCACGATTAGGAAAAGGGAAGAGGTCCTCAAGTAGTGGGCTGAAAAAAAAGGCAAGAGTTTTTTTTTGTCTCTTTACATTAAATATCAGAAAATGCACAACTCACTCCAATAAATGTGATTTGTTTTGAATTAAGGTCTCCAAGATCAGATCTTCAACTTTTGAAGAACCCAAATCAGTGCAGAAGAAAGGTAACAGCAAGAGGAAAAATAAGCTGTCGGTAAGAGTGAGTGTTAATTTGAAGAAAAGAAGGATATACATACATATAAATCCAAATAATTCTCTTCACTGGTCCTCAAAAATAATCTCTTAACAGGACCCTTTTCCTCAGTGGGTGGTGGATCTTATGGTCAACATCGAAGAGGCAACAACCCACCAGCTTGTGGTTGAGTAACACTCCTCACAACAAGAGTGTGAAACATGTTGGGCACGCTGACCAACGACCTTGTTGTGGAATACCGAATGTAGAGCAAACAGCACGGATTATTATGGTCAGAACTGCCAGAGAGATTAAAGTTCAACCGGACGGTCACTTTTTCTTTTTTCTTCAATATTATCACTACATGTACAAAGAGTAAACAATCTGAAAAGTACAAAAATGTCATGTATCCAGCATTGGTCTACTTTGTTTACTTCAAGTTTATCATTAAATAATACCTAACATCATGTAGTACTTTTGAATTAATGCAAGTTTCTCTCTTCTCTCAAAGCGTTGACTTGAGCCCTATAACCTGTTTTTCAGGTCAGAGTTCTCTGATTGAAAAGCCGCTGTAAAATACTATTTGAAAGGCCAAAGCTTACCCTTCAAACATACACTCATGTGTACAAACACACACAGATCTTTGAACTTCAGCAGAGTTATAGCAACAGGTTATCCATTAGCTGTTGTTATACGGTCATGGTTTGCTTTTCCATAAGTTAAAGAACAAAGCTCAATATTGTCAGACTTGAAGAATAAGTACCTTTACAAGTCACAAGAACAAGATAAAGATAGTTATAGAGATCTGGAAATAAAGATATATAAAGATAAATCTACGCATAGATACGGAGATACGCAAAATTTATATTTAGATTTGTAAAGATACGGATACTGACATTTAATAAAAATATAGATACCAATACAGAGTTGGGTAAAGATAAAAAGATTTGTAATATTGAAGGTATTGATATGGTATATACAGTATATTTATCAATATATATATATAGATTAAGATATGGGTGTACATGAGTAGATATAGATATACAGATATATAGATATTGAAATTCATAGATATACAAAGATGTAGATATAAAAATATAAATATTTTAGTAGACATAGCTATAGATACAAAAATATATAATTGAAATATTTACATTTCTTGATTTGGTTATGATATATAGATATGGGTCTAAATATCTATATAGATGTAAATTTATATCTGTGAATAAAGATTGAATGAATAAAGAAATTAATATATCTACATATAGAGAGGAAGATAAAAACATATCAATATAGATACACACACACACACATATATATATATAGTTGTAAACATGCATGGATATGCATAGATCTACAGTATATAGATATAAACAAAGACATATCAATATTGATATTTAGATTTATATATTCTGATATATAGATTTTGATTCAAAGATGTAGATATAAAGATTAAAATGAAAAGAAATAGACATACAGATATGAAGATATAGATTTAGAAATATAGATGAAGATATATGAATATAGATACAAAGATGTATAGATATGAAAATTTAAAAATATATTGTTATAGATATGCAAAGCCCAAGATGTAGGTGTAGTTAGGATAAAGATATTTATATATACATCTAAAAGCATTTAGATAGATGTACATGGATAAACAAAGACATAACTTTATATTTAGTTACATACAGGTAGTAGAGCGTTAGGCTATGGCATTATGGCAGCTTTTCTCAAAGCACAGAAGAAACAATACCAGAGTCTAACACCCAAATGAGAAATCTATCCATCGTTTCCTAAATTATCTCTAAAGACATGGTGAGTGATGCAGAAACTTATGGTGTAACAATAAAATACCACTCTTTCATTTTTTGGTGCATACCTGGTTGTAACATCAGAATAGAGTCATTTCTGTGCAGCATTAATTTTTAGTACAATCCTTGGATATTTATTTTCTGCTTTAGAAGTCAGTAAAGGTTACAAAAAAAACAACAACAACAAAAAAAAAACTGGGGGTCATGTAGAGTTCATTGCATAAGTGGTGTTGTCGTGTATATAGAGTTGGTAGTTATCTGGCATTTAGCATACATATAGTTATACTACATAATACTACACCAAGGAAACAACCAGTTACTACCGTCTTTCTTCGGACAAACATGTTATGATTCAGACGGAAAAATCCATAATGTAAGGGTTATGCAATGCTAAAGGGGAATGATCTTGTTTATCTGTCTGCCCGATAAGAGGAACCTTCAGTAAAGACACTGGAGGGACAAACAGGGCTTAAGTCTGAAAACAATCTGTCAACATTACCTCACAAAATAACAATAAAGTCAAATTTTTTTAATCACCGGTCGTTACCTCAAAGCCTATAACTCCATGGATTATAACTTATTGTGGAGGTTATTTATTACCTCTTCAATGACACATTTTTTTCCAAAAGCAGCATCCATGTGATTGTTTTCATAACCTCAAAGCCAAAGACAGAGATTGATAATTTGGTCTTTGAAAAAAACAGGGTTGTTTTGATGTACAATCACTTTATGTTCCAAAGTCAATATTGACTACAGACCTCGTGAACCTGGATCTACGCACGTCAAGCGGGGTCATCCACCGTTTACAGCGGCTTTGTCAAAAATATCTGGAGGCCGGATCTCCATATAAATAGTACTGGTTCTGAGAAATCAGCTTAGAAAGAAAAGTGCAGTCACACTGAGCAGTCCTGGGAGAAGAATAAACTTACCTTAAAGTTCGAGATGCCTGGATTATCTGAGAAGCTGAGATTTGTGGCAGTGGTTGCCCTATCTGTCATACCTGTGGTGAGGTCATCCCCAGTGTTGACGCCGGAGCCTATCCGCTGTGCCGTGTGCTCTCAGGAGAAACTCAACAGCTGTCCTGACATCCCAGCAGACTGCAGGCAGGTGCTGAGGGAGCCTGGCTGCGGCTGCTGCATGGCCTGCGCTCTGGAGAGGGGAGCATCCTGTGGAGTTCACACCGCTCATTGTGGAGAGGGTCTTCGCTGCACTCCCAGGGCTGGTGAGGCCAGACCACTCCACGCTCTGACCAGGGGACAAGGGATCTGCACTGAAGAGTCGGGCCAAGGTAGTCTGATTTACAAGTTATTCTCTTTTAGATGTGTACTCTGTTAATGGTTTAATTATTTTTTCAATTTTTTAATTAAAACACTTTCTGTAACCTGCACAGATGAAGCTGATGTAGCCCCTGACCAAAGCCCCCTGCAGTACCTACTGGGTCTCAACCTCCCCCTGGACCACCAAGACATTGCTGAAGGCCAAGAGAGCATCAAAGCAAAGATCAACGCTATCCGCAACAAGCTGGTACAAGAGGTGAGGCCTCATTCTGAATCATGAAGGTGATTTTAAGCAGTTCACCTTCCTTCCACTAGAGGGGGCACTTGTTTTTAAGCATGAGTAGATTATTTTAAATACAAACATAGTGTATTTTTGTTCTCATTGTGTGTCTGTCTTTGCACAGGGTCCCTGTCATATTGAACTGCATGCAGCTCTTGATATGATAGCCAGCTCTCAGCAGAAACTAGGAGAGAAGTTCACAACCTTTTACCTCCCAAACTGTGACAAGTATGGCTTCTACAAGGCCAAGCAGGTGAGCATTTAAGGACCTGACAAAATAAAAATCCACTCCACCTGTTTAAAGAGATTCATCCTAAAGTACTGGGTGATTTATTCCTGAGGTTAACCATCTCCGTTTCTCTTTCAGTGTGAGTCATCTCTGGTCGGACCGCCGGCTCGCTGCTGGTGTGTCTCTTCCTGGAATGGGAAGAAGATCCCGGGATCGAGTGACTTGCTCAGTGACTCAGAGTGTCATCAAGAAGTTACTCACTAAAAGGATGGACACTTTTTTCACTTCAAAAGCACACGGAGACAAACACATCGAGACAAAAACAAACATGTTTCCCAACTTCAAATCAGTTAAAAGTGGAAGTCTACTCACAACCGCCTGGTGAGTTGACTTCCTTCCTACAAAAAACCCTCTCATTCACACTAAATCTGAAATCTCACTACAGAGGAGGAAATTTCCTCTCATTTTATTTACATGTATGTATCAAGACTTATTTATTCAGTGCTTGTATATTCCTACTAACCATTTGTCGTTTTTAGATATTTTATATGTTTGCCTATTTTTTTGATTGTAAATAGGGCAACACTGTATACGTTTGTGTTTCTGAATAACTCCATTGCTCAAAACCACAAGTCCACAGCTCTGCCAAGCCCATTTCAGAGTCTTCGGGATCAGTTTTTTCTCAATTCATTCAAAACTGGAGCCGCTCTCGGCACGAAAAAACAACACAGCCACTCATTCATTCAACATGTTGACATTGTCTGAATGTATCTCCATTGGCGTTTCCTCAATGGGTATTGGGGGAAATACTTAAAGTGCCACAAGTATGCGCATGGTGACCAAGCACAAACATATCAAGACTCATCCAGGCCACTGTGAGGTTTGGGTTGGGTTTTTCTGCATTTGTCTACCTCTACAGGTCCACAGGTTTAGCACAGGGTTGCTGAGAGCTCTTCTCAGCTACATCTCACTCATATTAGGGGCTTTTATTTGCTTTTCATGACCTATCCCATCATTTATTCGAGTATTTATTATAATTTCCTCATGTATTTATACTATTGTTCGATGAACTCTGTACAGTGTATCAAAGTGTGTATAAATTGTCAAGAATGCTGCTATTCTGTTACTGTTTTGCTAACTATATTGTAATTCTCTGGACGCGCATCTAAATAAAATGTGTCAATGCTGGGATCATGTTTAAGAGTCTTTTAGTGCCATTATACATGTCAAGATGACAGAAGAAAAAGAAAAAAACCAAAGTGCAATATGCAGATACTTTTATGCTGCCTTTATTAAGTAAAAATAGACCTCTGAGGGTTGCATTGTACATGCAAAACAGCATATTTACCTCAACAGGAGCAAGTGTTGGAAGTTGTCACCAGTTACCCAGAGATCAGAGGTAACGGTTTGTGTCCTTTAACCCCCTCTCCCTAAAACAGCTTATGCAAAGTGACAACAAAACAGTAACAACCACAGCACAGATTCAAGGAAATGTCTCTTTTCTTGGCTTGAGATCCAGCATAAAAAAAGTGTTTTTTTCTAAATGCACTGTAGCTGCATAGTCTTGTCCAACTCCCTGAGGAGCAGGAAGCAACCAGACACAATAGAATTCATAGTGATAGGACTTCATCGTAAGGCACTGCATGCTTACTCTGAACTACATATTTTATACTGACATACATTTACTGTTTGGCATGACAAAAAAAAAAACACAATATGAAAAAAAACATCAAGCATACATATTTCGATTACACATCACAAGCATGTGCACATGTGTAATGCCATTTAATTGTGCGTTAATGAAGAGCAAAAGTTCTTGTGAACTTCTGTGGCAAGCACAAGTGTCTTTTATTCAGAATAACACCTCCGAATATGCAGAGGTTGTCTTGGTTTGGTCAAGAGACAAACAGCTTATGAAGACTCCATCCGTGGCAGAAAAGTACAGACTGTATCAGCTTTTTTCTTCCTGCTACTCTTCTCTGTTCCCCCTGCTCAGCCTCAGAAAAAAAGGTCCAACAGGCAACAGGTAGAAATAGCAAACATCCATATATCGGTTGAGCCATCTCTTGACCTGTCTTCCAATATCCTCAGTGTCTCCATTTGTTTACAAATCTTCTTGCTCTCACTCCCACCCTCCCTCCCTCCATCCTGCGTCGCTCCTATTGGCTCTCTGAGTTGTAGTACTGGGCGTCTCCTCGCTCCTTCCCATCAAAACCTGGCAAGGGCTGCCCGTATTTGTCCACACACCAACAGAAGCCTCGCTTTCTGCCTTTGGATGGACGGCACTGGAGGAGGAGGGGGGGTAAGAAGTGACAAGGTGAAGGGAGGGGGGAGAAAAAGGTGAAGAGTGAGCAAAAGTGCAAATCCATTTGACTGTGCAGCATCAAGGGTAACAAACCACTTAACTCAATGAAGTAGAACAGCGATAGTAAAGAGGCATTAATGGTTAGATTGTGCTGAGTGGACGCAGCCTTGGTTATCCAGCACACTGTGGTATTTTGAGCTGCTTTTTATGGTCTACCTCCTTTTACACACATATAGAGACCTTTAAGGTAAACAGAGACCTGGTAAAATATTTGCTTAGTCCCGTTTGTGAACAACTGAGAACCAAGATCTATTTTCAGAAGCTGGTGGCCAGTACGAATCATCTGTTGCTGATTATACCCCACAGCTCCAAATTATGGGTACTACAAATGACTTACAGAGCCTGTGGAGCTACCCAAGGGCTGTTATTTTACTGCCAATTTTACTAAAGGTCAACCTCCACTCTAGTAAAACATGCAGCCATTCATTTCAAAGGCTAAAGCAACTGTGCTGCTGCTGCTGCTGCTGCTGCTGCTGCTGCAAAGAAGAGTCAGAGCTGATCAGGAAAGAAGGCATCCTTATTTCACCTAATATCTACGCAGGGTTCGATTTAAAGGCTGAGGAAGAAGATCCTGCGAATCATTCAATCTTGAAATCACAAAACATGTTGACAAAGAATACATCATAAAAGTGTTTAAATTTTGTACTGCAACACTTCATCTTCATGAAAAAAGTCAGGGCGATCATTGTTTGGAGCTGCATCTGCCCACAAATTTAAATCTTTGCTGCATATGTCGAAATCAAACGGCAAAATTCCAGCGCCTCAGAGCTCAGTGAGGATTCTCGCTCCATCCTATAAAAACAGAGACAATGAGCCTGGCGTTGCGAGACTGGTTAAGGGATGATTGTAGGTCAAGAGAATACCCCATTAAGCTGGAGAGACTGCTGCGCTGCAAGAAAAGCTCCCTCGGTGATGCAGTGGCACGGGAGCCCAAAGTGCCTCCATATGAATGCGTCAGAACCACTCATTTAGAGCAGCCCAGATCGTGGGTGAACCATGTGAGCATGGGGATGGCTGCAGCTCTATTTCTGTGCATGCTTCTCAAAAGTCCAGCAATTATGGGGGGAGCGCATCGGGTGCTGGTGGCCACCTTGACGTCTGTCTCCCTGGGAGGGTTCCTGTTAAACGGCCATCGTCCCAGCCGTCAACCCCACTGGGGTTTGGCCCCTGCGGTTCCTGTCTCCAGCGCCAGTGGCTAGGGTCTACCTCACTGGTGTGGTGGTGCAATGATGAGGCTCTAATAACTACCAATGAGTACAGGAGGACAGCTACAAATCTGTAATTGGGCTGCAGGAGACCTAAGTTTGAGTCACTAGGCTACAACATTGAATCCTCATTAATGCAGCATGTGAAAAGGGAGATGTGGTTTCATTTTTACAGCCGTGCAATAAAGTTTTATCTGGTAGTTTTAATAATGGGTTGAATCAAAGAAATGATGCATGAATCAGTATCAAGATAGTCTGTAGATGGTCTTTATTACCTGCTTTTTCTTATAGAAGCCCTTCTTGTCACAGTTTGGTATCCGGAAACCTCTGGGGTTAAGAATGTCTGTAATCTTCAGACTGCTGAGGATGCTCTCTATCTCTCTCCGACAAGGACCCTGCGGAAAAGAGGACAAATTAACAGTTAAATTACTTTCTCTATTAAGTCTACATAAAATACTGCATTTTAATCTCTCAAACTTTTAAAAACCTCAAACTGATGCCATAAGCACAAGCTCATTTGGAGGTTTTATTGTGCCACAAAAGCCCTGGTTTCTGGACGCTATAAAAGCTGACTCATTCTGCATCAAATATCCCTCCCTGCCGTAATACCCCAACAATGGTTGTTGCAATATAAAAGAGGTGAAAGATGAGAAAATAATTCATTTAACCAGCTTGCAGCGACTTAGCAGTATTCCAAAGCTGCTTAGGCCTCTTTTACACAAAGGCTGGAGGATAAAGTGAAAAGGCTTGTCTTTAAGTCCAAGTACTCCAGTCACTAATCAAAGCAGCCAGTCAAAGCCCATTACTAGTGTGTGCTCACTTCTCTGGCCAAAAAGAAGATCAAAATAGCAGCAGGGCTTCCTAACAGGCACTCACATAGGCCAATCCATCATTCGTTGGCTCCCAGTGCACCCGGCACGCGGACGCCTTGTGGCCAAACAATCGCCTGACCCAGGTCAGCCACAGGGCCATCGTACCCACTCTCTGCCATGCCATTCTACTGCTCACGATGCCTGCCAACTGTCAGCGCCACTACCCAAAACATTTCATCACCCGCAGGGGGAGAAAAACACCAAAACACAGAGGAAGAGGAGAAAAACATTCCTCCAGTATGCTCTGAAGACTGAAAAATATTGGTTGCAGTACTTACATACTCGGGCTCCTGTTTGGTCTCCAGAGAGAAGTTTTGTTGGTCTGTGATAAGTGGTCCTGGAAGCTCCTCCATCTTAAAGCTCTGGGTTCTCTTCTGCTGCTCCCGTCGGAGGACTTCTGACTTGGCAGAGGGGAAAAAGAGGTGAAGTGGAGGTCTGAGGGGTCCTGTTGGTCTGTGGGTGCTGTATGGCAGTTGAGGGCCTGAGCTAGTGGAATTCCTCTCGTCATCCTGAGACTCGGTGGTCTCTGCTGAAGTTTGGAAACAAATATGTTGAAGTGTATGAGTAATATACTTAATTTATAATAACCTGCAGCTGAAATTTGGAAGAAAAGTGGCAGGAATGTGCAGGAAAACTGCTATCAATTTGTTACAAATACTTCTTTCCTTAACATTTAATCCAGTTGAATTGATCAGCTTTACAATATCTCAAAGTAGGTCATGATCAAACTGAAAATCAAATATTTTCATTCAAGGGGGGTCCAGGTCTTCAGCTTTGCTTATGCGTAAAGCTCAAGAATTTGGAATAAAATAAATTATGATCCTGATTCCAAGCTGCATGTCATCGAAAAATGCACAAAAATACACCTATTCCACGTGGATATACTGAGTGCAACAGTATACGAGACAAAAAAAAAGTACCAACTGTGCAAATAGTGCACTTGATACGCCTATCAATGCATGCTGCAGAATTACCTGGAAGTTCATTAACCCGAGGTGTTGGTCTAGCGATGGATCGTTTGTTCGTAGCGTTTGCACAAATCCCGCGTCCCTCCAGCAGAGCCTGCAGAGGTTTGGTCTCGCCGGGCTGATGCTGACATGTCAGTCCGGAGCCACATCTCCCGGTGTACACGCCGCACGGCTGGCCGAAGCTCAGCGCGCAGGTCATGCAGCACCCGCAGCCCGGCTCGCGGACTTTCTCGGCGCAGTCCTTTGGTAGAGGTTTGCACAAAAGACGCGCTCCAGCGTCACATGGTTCGCATTTGATAACCGGTCCGATTGCACCTGACCTCCGGGTGAACGATGCGAGGAAAAAAGTCATGCAAAGTGCGCGAAAGCAGGAATCCATGGTGGCGTCTGAGAGCATATGGTGTCAAGGTGAGGGAGCGCACTGTTGTACTGTGGAGATTTTTTTTCACTGGGCAGCTTCTCTCTCATTCACATAAAGCCACCGGACAAAACATCTCAATATATAGACCCCTGTGACTCTACTAGTCACACCCCCGCATAGCTTGTGGTCTCCTGATGCCTCGACTCCGTTATTCCCTTAAAATCATCTGAACATGATTCAGGGATCTGGCAGATCAGATGAAAAATCAAATAGGCTTATTGAAAAGTGACTGGGGGGTAGAACAATATTTTTAAAAATAACAAGTTAAACGACGTTTTCCTTTTATTTCCTGAGAGACTTTGTGAGCTTTTAATGTAATGAGTTTCTCTTTATATCATTTTCACCTTATACATTAATAAACTCAAAAGAAGAAAACAGAAAAAAATGAAATTAAATATTTTAATGTCTGCTCTTACAGACCACATGGAGCACTTTATCATCTGCAATGTGCAGATTCAACCATAGGGGGCACTACAAGTATTTATGTGTGTGGTTGTGGGTGTGTTTAATGGTTCATATTTTTCTCAACTCAGGTGCAGTTCTGTATTTTATTATCTCAAACACTTGAATTACATGTCTAAAGTGTTGTATGCAACTGCTCTGGAATTGCATGATTGCAATTTCTATTATGCAGAACTGTGCACTTCATGAATCACTTAAACAGACCCTTTCCAAAAAATTAGAATATCATTGAAAAGTTGATTTATTCCCCTAATTTCATTCAAAAAGTCAAACTTTCACATGTTTATTTTTACATATTTTGGGCTTCCAGCTCCTAAAACCTACGAAAACAGGAATTCAAAAAAAATTAGAATACTGTGAAGAAACCAGCCCAAATTTTGCAGGGCATGAATATTTTAAACTGAGTGTCACACACTTATCAACTTCTAAACTCAAAGCACCTGCACAGGTTTCCCCAGCTGTATCAATGGAGGGTATCAATAATTCTTCTGGCCAGTTGTCAAGTCTGCAGTCTTCCCCATATAGAACCAAACTGAAGCAATTAAATGACACCTGGGGAAACCTGTGCAGGTGTTTTGAGTTAAGTGTCACACACTAATCATCCACTAAACTCAAAGCACCTGCACAGGTTTCCCCAGGTGTCATTAATTTGCTTCAGTTTGGTTTAATTGTCTCAGTTTGGTTTTTGAATTTTTTGAATGGAATTATGGAAATAAAAAACTTTTCCATGATATTCTAATTTTTTGGAAAGGGTCTGTATGTGTGTGTCCACTGATCTTCAGCTCAAGAAGCTGCGGCATGTGACCCTGCATGGCCTATAAAAGGTTTAAGTACATAAGTTGTAAAAATAAATAAATACATCCAAAAGATGATCCTTTCAAGCTTTGAGAGAGAGAAAGAGAAATATTGAAGGATGGGTGATAACCAGAGCAGCATGAGAGAATGTGCAGCACTGGAGTCCAAGACAAACTTCCCTAAGGGGACAATAAAGTATATCATATGGTATTCAATACTTGGAGTGAAGATATATAAGTGAAGGCACTCTTCATATTTACTTGTTGGCAAGTGTATCATGCAGCCAGTATCAGTAAATCAGCAGTACTGCTCTCCAAAGCTGTCTTAGAAGCATACATTTATCAAAATTACTACTTCAGTGTGACACACAAACAAATAAACTTTCCATCTCTGCGCCGCCTTGCTCCTATCCAATTTTCCACCTGGCTATATAAACTATATACAGTAGTTGAAAGAGTCCTGATTTCAGGTTATTTGATGTTCTTTTCCAAATTGACGTGTGTGTTATGTAGCCCCATACTCTGTGGTTTATTTCAGTTGTTATCATGGATCCCAGCTTTATTATGGAAAGGACAGGAAAGAGAACTGGCAGCCGGTAAGGAGTCCCAGTACACCAAGGGGTTAAACTTAGAGGTGGGAATGCTGCGTACTAGACTTGAATGGACCACGTATCATATCATATCGTAATGTATCATATTGTACCATTTTGTATCGTGTCGTGTCATATCGTATTGTAATGTATCATATAGTAAGGTATTGTATCGTAATGTATCATATTGTATTGTATCGTATTGTGTCATATTGTATCGTATCAAAATGTATCATATTGTATCATATTGTATCATATTGTATCACATAATATCATATCGTGTCATATCATATCCTATCGTATCATATCGTATTGTATCGTACAGTATTGTATTGAATAGTAATGTATCGTATCATAAATGTATCATATTGTATAGTATTGTATCGTAATTTATTATATTGTATCTTGTCATATCATATCTTGTCATATCGTATCGTGTCATATCGTATCGTGTCATATCGTATCGTGTCATATCGTATCGTGTTATATTGTATTATAATGTATCATATTGTATCGTATCGTGTCATATTGTATCGTAATGTATTATATTGTATCGTATCGTATCATATTGTATCGTATCGTGTCATATTGTATCGTAATGTATTATATTGTATTGTATCGTATAGTATCGTAATGTATTATATTGTATCGTATTGTATCATGTTACAACCCACCATACCATACTGTATAGTATCAGAGTTGGAATACTAAGTGCAATATCTCAAATGCTTAAGTACTGCTTATTGTCTATTTACCTTCTTATTCATAATTTCTTTATTTTCAAGGCAATCATTAAACATTTCATGTTTATCATACAACAAGGATGAAAATGTAATTTAAAGAAAATGCATTTTATAGATTTAATAACCTTACAACATAATAAGTTTAAATTTCTGTAAATAAGTTTTAGAGAAATTTATCAAAACTTTAAAAATCATATTCATGTAGTCAGTCTGCATCATTGTATCACTGTTGATCAAAACTCGAATGTAAAGATTTCACTTATAGTTGGTTGTGGTGTGATGAATAATACGAGCACACCCACCCTGTCCATTCCTCATGCTTTTTTTTTTTTTTTTACAGGTAAAGAGGTTTAGTCAGGTCAAGGTATTTGCAAAGCTGCACATGAGCAACACCACCTGAGGAGAGAAATGACTGGTTTTAGGGCTGACTTGATGATCCAGGTGATGAGAGCACACATGGTTTTCAGTGTTACAGAGTCACGTCCTAAATGGCTCCCATGTACCTGTTCCCCACATGCACAGTAATACAGTGGTCTCTGAACTTGTTGTTAGGATGTGTGACATAGTTTGGCCCATTCGTCACTGGTACAAAGCAGACCTTAGAATAAGGACACATACCACACATGAAAGTGAGAAAATTCCTGGGTAATTACATCTGAAGTGTTTTTAGTTCCACCATTAATTGGTTACAGATGAGCAAAGGTATACACCAGTAAAATATGTCCGGACCATCTCAAAAGAATATCAGCAGGAGAAGTAAGGTATATAGTTCCTCTTTGCTTTTGAAATTTCTTGGAAGCCAACGTCAAATCAGTTGCCAACAAGCCCTGGCGTACTGCCGCCTGTTAACAGACAGGTCTACAGCAGAGCAGTGCTCAGTGGAATGCCAAACATTTGTTTCATAAGCTGAAAAAAGCCTGCTGATTTTCCTCCCTCTCCTCCGCACAGAGCTCCTAGGAAGGGGGTCTCTCAGCCACCTGTGCATATTCAGCATAGCAGAGGAGCGCGTCGGGCACAGGGAGTAATGTACTGAAGGAATGTCGTCCCACAGAGCAGCCACTCAATAAAGGGGGGGTGTGAGGAATTTTCTTTAGCGCACACAGGATATTACTGTACATGTGTTTAACATAAACTGCTGTCAAAGGCTGTACTGGCCAACCGCAACTGCTTGTCAAATCCTAATCCAGAGCAATTTTCCACTGTTTTTAGATGATTTGGACAAATGGAGTAGACTTGCTTCAAGCTCTTAAAGCGGTCTGCACTTGCTCCAGAAGCTCTCCGGAGATCACTGACCTGAAACCATCAGCTAAACATAAACCGAATTGAGCCTTTGCTGCTTGAGTGGGAGCATTAAATATGTTTGAATACTTAATTTGTGCACATCTCTCTGAGTAGCATTGTGGTACAGTTAAAGGGGTTTATCTTTTCTTTGCAAAGTAAGCAAAAATTTGTTATACACTTTTTGATTCGTCTGATCAAAAAGCAACGTCTGGTCTTGAAACTTGAAGTATTCATTAGGGTTAATGTTAAAATGCAGTTAGAAATATTAACAGCCTTTTAAAAAAAACAGAGCACACCCTTGTTTGTGTGTGTTTGTGTTGCTGGGGGTCAATTTGTATATGTTGCGTTAATTTCTATTACACTGAGGTTAGGGGTTACACATACATTTGCATAAATACATGATTTGAGCCCAAAAACCTCCTTGTGAAAATTGTGATAACTCTTATTTTTTCTTCCCAGTGGTTTTGTTTCACACAGTCTTTGGTTCTATCAGTTTGATTAAGTCTGTATTTGGGACTAAAATAAGAGAGGATAGTATGTAAAGTATTTTCAATCACTTGGAGTGTACAGAGTATGTCTGGGTCAGTCGCTGAGTTGTTTCTCTGCATGTATGCTCCCCTCACTCTCAAACACCAACCAACATTTTCTCTTTTCTTACCTAGATTGTGAGTCGCCAAAGGGAATCCAGCTTTCTGTGTGTGTGCAGGAACAACATATGGTATGTAAGTGTGTTGGAGTAAGGTGGGGGGGTCTATTTAGGAATGAGACTGCCGCAGATCACATGACAAGTCTGGTATGGTCACTGTTATTCTTTTATCCCCCATAGTCTCATGACTGTCTGTCATATAATTGCCCCTGTCTGAGGGCTTTTCAGACAGACTCTCATCACAGATGAATTGGAAGCAAATGTCTCTATTATGATTAATATGATCTTCTTTTCCCTTTGATTCGGCTCTGGCTGGCACCCTTACAGGAGTTCAACAATTATCCGATTATAAGATGTGGTTGAATGGTGAGCAAAATAAGGAGCCGAAAGGGCAAAGGCTACCTTTCATCTATTTCCAGAGTTGGTTAATTATTTTTTTGGAGCGGTCTGTTCGTGGAGCTGTCATGGTCCCCATTTCTGGAGGCTTGGCCCCCGAGGCAGTCCAAGGCTGTAATTAGGCCTGAGCGAAGTGGAGGACAGAAAGAGAGGAACTCTCAGCACTCAGTCTGACAGATTGCAAAGTGCTCGGAAGTGGGCAGAGAGTGGCGCCGCTCACTTTGGGCCCTGAATCCCCCCCACTTCCAGACAGTATCACTTCCTATGTCTGTATTTCTCAGTCTTGAATAGACACATTAGGACTTTGTACTTGAATTCACACGTGTGTTTACTTTTTGTCACATGTGCAAAACATATTGATTCTTATTTTTTACTCTCTTACTCCCTTTTGGTCACTCTGAGCCTTGTTATTCATACACTGTAATAGCTGACTGGATGGACAGCATTTGTCATCACATATGGACATTAAAACTGTATCTAAATAAGAATTAAGTGTTTTTTCATACATGATTTATTCTTCTTTTTGGTGTGTTTGAGACCTCCAATCAAATGATTTAAATACAAATTTAACGAACGACTACATATAATTCATTCCTGCACAGCCATGTATCATCTTTCTCACTGACACCAACACACCATTGCTCATCGTAAACAAAGACAAAATTATAGCTGGTGGAGGAGGGAATATCCTTTGCAGATGCAGGCCCTACAATGCTCCATTTATTTTATAAGTGATGGTGGCCTGTGGTTGCAAGATGTGGTTGGATGCTAAAAAGAAGAGACAAAAAAACACAGACCTAAGATAGTTATGTTTAAAAGTCAAAGCTGCCTCTGACAGGATTATAAAAAGGAAACGATAAACAAAGCAATTAAAAGTTGGTAGAAAATTTGATTTGAACTGCTTTTGTTGCCTAATTTCAACAGGCAGAAAGGAGTCTGGACAGATTTACACCAACCTGTGCTTATGGTACGCATGTAAGGCTGAGCTAATCTAGAAATGCAAAGATCATATGCTCAAACTTCATTCTGCAGAAAAGGGACCAAAGCTCTATGTCTTAAAGAGGAATGTTCTAAGCAACAAATTTCCTAGTCGGTTCATGTTGTGCAAAGATACTGCTAATGAAAATTAGCTTTCTGGCCAACTTGGGTGTATTTAAATTCGTCTGAATGTTGGTTAATGACCACTGGGCATTTTCAAATGAAGAAAACAAAATTTTTCAAAGCTGCACGATGCAACAAGATGTCACCTGCCATCTGGGCTTGTTTACATACAGGTAGTAAAAGATGAAAACTAAACCTGGCAAGTGGCAGATTGCTACAGTTAAGACATAAAATCAGTCTCTGATTTGGACTCTAAATGATCAAATTATTCACAACTTATTAAACTGATTAGTTCTGGTGCTAATTAGCGAAGATGAGGATGTTTATATTTATCAAATATCTAGTCTTGAACTTGTGGAAACAACACGTGCTAAGATGACTAACAGTACTTATTCATAACCAGAAACTACCAAAATAACACGACCAATGTGTTTTAATAGGCTGCAGTTGCATGTCCTTTCATGTTGTTGTTTCCAGCTGAGGGGCACAGACCCCTCCACAGCCACTGCGATTGAGCGGATATCTAAAGGCAGAGTGGGATAGTCATAAGCAGCTGTGAATTCTCTCACGTGCTACAGTCAAGATAATGGGTCAACCTTTCACCACTGCCCTGAATGTTTGATTTTTCTCCATGTGAATGTTTTGGCACTGTATCTTGAAGCGATTCTAAATCATATTATAGTCACACTTACCTGATCAATACCACTTTTAGACCTGATATGAAAGCCAAAGATCAATCTTTGAGTGTACTCTGAGATTTATCCTACGTTGGTAAAAATAATGATACTAATTCAGGGCCCCAAATTGGGCAGCAATCCTAGAATGCACTTTCTATTTTTACTCCCCAACCTTTTATTCTGCCCCAGAGAACAGAGATAGGCCCAGTCCTTCTAATCAAGTGACCGTAATCTTGCAGGGCTGGGTGATCGAGGAATGAGAATGAGCTCTGGCAATTGAATTAACAAGGCCTCTGACCTCCATATTGTCTGCCAAGTGAAATGTGATTGGCCTCAGTCTGCTTGAAGAGACTGGTGCAAATCTGTGAACTTCATTGGACAGCTAGCATTGCAACAGAAAGGAAGACTGTGTGTGACGGGGCTTAATCAGTGTCTGTTATGGGTCTTTGCTTAGGCCAAGAATGCTGACACAATAGCAGTGATTATATTACAGAGGCCTGTCAGCAGCAGGTAATGAGTGGAAAAATAAGTCTACCTCCTCTGTAGGGAACTCTTTGTACATTTACCCGGCATCGTAAATCTTTTGAGATACTAAATACAAAGACATAAATCTAGTTTGATGGGGGATTATTTCAGATTCAAGCTATAGGCCTGCATAGCTCTCTCAGACTCACACACTATCATTACCTGTGTGAAATACAGCCCCCCCCCCAGACAAGCTCCTCTGTAGTCTAATAATGCTGCTTGGTTTTCTGGACTTTCCCGGCTTCCTTTCTTTCGAGGCTACTTGACTCTAAATAACAGAGGAAGATGGGCTCTGGGCTCTCTGCAGTCGCCACACCTGGGCCTTCACTTCCTTCCGGCCCTCCCCGGGAATTCTTCACTTTCACCACCTGCAGAGGGACAGTGGTGAGAAAGGAGGAGGGAGGGTCTGCCCTATTACACCTTTCCTCCCTCTCTGCAATTTTATTCATTAGAGAAACCTGTCCAGACTTGTGCGCAGGTTAAGTTCTCTTTAACAGCACCACACACAAAAAGACAGAGGACACGTGTGCTGTGAGTAAAACACAGATGCTCTGCCTGGGTGTTAATAAAAAAGATAGCTGTGGTCCATGAAAGTTTGTCTTCATGACGTTTTCAAATAAAAAAGAAAAACATGTTCAAAGTTAAATAAATACAACTAATTCTCACAGCAAATTGAAGCCACGTCACAAAAAAAATCCTCTTATATGCATGTCATAAAAATGTTGTGTTGCTAGTGTCCTCTGCTGGCCATAAACTGAACTGAAGCTTTTTATAACCCACTCTTTCCAGAAAGTTTCTGCATTGCTGAACTCAAGGCAAATCCTCATTTTGCATTGGTAGATTAGCCTCAGTAGACTGTAACCTGTCTATGATTTACACTTAGATTCATGACAAGGAAAGTCCTGTACATTGTGACCCAACAATTATGCGGGTCAATTCTGGACCCCATGGAAAGATATCACACTGGGCTCCACCACCACAGCCCAGACCAAGCTGGCACCGTTGCACTTTACCACATCTCCATTATACTTGTGTTGCATAAAAAGCTTTAATACCTTAAATCTGGTGCCACACTCTGAAATTTGGGGGTCACAGATATCTCCAAATATGATGTTCATTAAAGGATGAGCAAAAATAGTGATGAAGAAGAAACACTGCACTTCTGCCTTACAGTAAGACAGTCCTGATCCAGGTTCTAATTCAGTTTCCGACTTTTCTAGTGATCTGACAAACTGCGTCACTGCTTTTCTTTTGAACTGCATCTAAAATGCAAAATTAAAGCTCCCATCAGGAGTTTTTTGATGTTTGTAAAATAATCTGAAACTCACACTGATAACTTGTCATGATCTACGAAAGCATGCACGACCATCTTAAAGTAGACTAACAAAAGACTAAAGTGATTTTTATCGCCTGAAACTGATGCAAGGGGGTAGGTGTCAACCAAGCAGCTGCAGAAACAGCCCTGTATTCACACTACAAACATAAAAAGTTTACTTTTATGAACGTTTTACAGGTAGCTAAGTTATCAAGAAACGGTTAAATGATTGTAAGATGAGAGTAATGTGGCTGGGATGTGACTAAGGCTATGTTCACACTGCAGGTCAATTCCGATTTTTTTACCATATGTGACACATATCTTATTTTTCATGTAAGTGTGAACAGTGTGATTCTGATTCTTTCAAATCCAACCCAGGCCTCTTTTGTATGTGGATATAAATTGGATGTGTGTCCGATGAGTGTGCAGTGTGGACGCTCAGGTCGCGTTCATCCGACCTATACGTCATCAATATGCGACAAACGTCACCATTGTTCGACAACACAAATAAGCACAGAAAGCAATTTGTGCTTTGTGCGCATGCAGGCCACTTCACGGATGCATTCCATTCACATTAGATGCCGAATTCGTTGTTGTAACGTGAACAACCGCACAAAAAGATCGGATTTAACAAAAAATCCGAATTGTGCATCATAACCTGCAGTGTGAACGTAGCCTATGCGAGTGTCGAATTTGACAGTAAACACAGGTAAAAGAAACGTTTCACTTTGTTTATTTACAAAACACATCACACAATGCTATATCAATACACAAACTGTTCACATGTAACAGTTATAAACAGAGGCACAATATTGGATGAGATACATATGAGGTACAGATTATAGTTTGTAAAAAAAATGAGAGGAAACAGTTGTGTAGGCCTACAGAATCAATGTAAAAACATCAACCAGGCTGTGTTATGGTGGGATACCCAAACAGAGAGTAGAAAGGCCAACAATGGCTATATCACTTAAAATGACCCCTTAAATTTTTTAAGAACCTGTTCATATCTGTTGATTGTTCTCCTCTTTTAGCAGCCAGTTCCTTTAAAAGTCATATAATCGATTGATTGAAAGCCTTTTTGGTGTGGAAACACTGCACACTTCCTAACAACGGTCCCCTCAAAGTAAAGGGCAATAAAATAAAAAATTTGGATGCAATTTGTTCCCACTTTTGCCCAAAGTACTGATGTTTCTTTTTTGTTTTTTTACTAACTCATGTCACATCATTATATATTAGGGTTTCATTAAAATATTCTCATGGTTCCTCTCATACTAAACACACCCAAACATCATGCACACTTTCATTTCAATGTTGCTTACAGCTTTCAAAGTGGTCATAACCAGTTACACCTTTGTGCATACATGCTGCACATGTACAGAAAGCTGTGGTTTAAAAAAATAAAACATTTACATTGCATAGTTAATATAATAAGATAATCCTGTATGTGATGTAGCCTATCCAAAAATCAAAGGTGTGCATACTCGCTGCACCACATATCAAACTCCATAACAACAGCTGAGTGCCTGACGAGAGGACACAAAGGTGCTTTAACATCAAACACTATTAAAAGATTATATAGCTTGTACCAACTTGGTTTTGGTTAAATATCAGGAAAAAAAAAATCACATGGAACAAGGTAGGGGTTTTCTTAATTTTCCATAAATATGCATTTAAAAGAAAAGCAGCTTTTTGTGTTATGAGTGTAACGTTCTTAGAATAAATCGCAAAGAATATATCTATCTGTATAAGACCTTACAGCTGTAAACCAGTAACTTAAGATAAAATATTTAGATATTTTCTGACTACTACACAGCTCATTTTACAAAAGAGAAAAAAAAAAACAAATAGGGAACTTATATGGTTCCACTGCATGATGCATTATTGAATGTCCTTATGATGGTCAGAGTTCATTATTTATAAAACATCCAGTAATAACCAGGGTAAATGTCCAGGCGTCCCCATCTTCAGTCCGTAACATTCTCCTCACTTGTTCAGCCTTTCAGTCTTAAATTACAGTTTCTTTTCCAGGTGACCAGCTCAGTCCGAGGCAGCCTTACTTACTCTTCTGTGAGCCAATCATCACCTTGGAAACAAAGTTGACGATGGCGCTCGCCGGTTGCTCAGGGTCGTGCTCTGCAAACAGGTGACATACGTTGTCCATGGAAGTGCCAGCTTTTCTCGCCACAAAACCAAAGATCCTGCAGAGATGGAGCAAAGTACTTAATGGTGGGGCTTTAACCTGCCTCTAACCCTCAGTGTGACTTTAGAAATAACTGCAGTAACGCTATTCTGGGTAAGATAATAAAAGAAAATATGGATTTGCTTACTTTGCTGAAGGGAAGCCATCTTTTTTCCACCTGTGAGCAGAGACAAGAGTACGATCATGTTTTCGGACCTTGTTTTTCATCTGTACATGCAACTTACTGCTCTTGTAACTCTGAATAGAGATCATGTAGCTTTAATGTCATGCTGTTTTAAATATATATTGCATGTTTCTTATTGTATGATTTACTGTGCAGCTTGGAAAGCAACTCAGATCCTGATTGATTATAACATTTAAAATCAACAGCAGCACTGCAGGTTTTAGCTTAATTTAACTTAAGGATGTATGACTTCATTATTTAAAATCATGTTTTTTTTTTCACACAGCACAAATAGAGCACTAACAACCATCACAAGCCTTTAAACTTGAGCCACCGATACTCACTTTCTTTCTTGAGGGTCTAATGCACAGAATATGACTGTGTTGACGTTATAATGCCTCCTGAAGAAGAGCCTTAAACGAAACAAAAGAGGGTTATTGTGATATTAAAATAATAATAAAAATAATCCCATGTGTGTATGTGTGAGTTTGCCTGAGTTACACTCACTTCCTCTGGTTGTCCGTGAGTGTAATTCCTTGGGATGACACCTTAAAGTGAACTACAGTGGAGGTTGGTGGAGGGTTGGCGTTCAGAGTCATGCTGGTGGCTTTCTGCACTGCCTGGGCGCCCGTAAGTGACTCCATCTCGACAGAGCACAGGTACCACACATTGCAGGCTGCAGACACACACACAAACACACACAAGGGTTTAAATTACACTATGATCGCATCTGTGCAAATAAGGCAAGTGTATTTAGTGACTCAGTGCATAACAACAGGGCAAGGAGAAATGAGTGGATAATTGTGGATACACTCAACTCCAAAAACGTCACAGAGTTGCACACAAAGATTATGTAAGTGTTTATGTAAAGTGGCATCATTGCTTTGTAAGAGAGTCTATTTAAAGAGCGTGATCTTAGGTGATTACCTGCTCCCTGTTTCAACAGCTCAGCAGCAGAGTTGGTGACTGATTGTGAGGTAGTCTCCACAACATCCTCTAGAGGATCTATGAAGAAGAAAAGCAACAAGGTTAGTGAGATTATTAAGGCAAAAACCACATAAGTTACATCAACAGATATGATGACTGGACAGTTGAGCAGACAGACTTGCAGATGTGGGTAGCCACATAAGCTGAAAGATGTTTGTTTTCTATTCTAAACATAATCTTCTGTGTGAAATTGTCTCTGTGATGGTGTATTTAAAGTTTACCTCTATCAGGAATGATGAGTTTGCAGGGCAGGGCCAGGGGGGTGATTGAATGTTGGCAGACCAGTGCAGTTAAGCTTCCTGAAGAACAAAAAGATGTCAAATCAAGCTCACCATTGAACCAGTTTCCCATCTTCTAAATCCACCTCCACATTAAATATTCTATATCTGGAGCTTTAACACAAATTTTCTTTGATCTGTAAATCTAAAAAAATCAATTGAAAGCAAAATAGATCAAATTGAGGTCAATTATATGACGTTTTTGACACTATGATTCACGGAAGCAGTCACAGAGCTTGCATACTTCCCAAAAACAAAAACAAATATGCAACTCAGAATCAAGAAAACTACAAAAACTGCAAAACAAACACGTCAAAAATACCAAAAATCCACTTTAACAGACCTTGTTTATGCCATTTTACACAGGAGTTACTATTAAACAAAAACTAGTGACTTAATATGCCTCTAACCAGAAGAGGGCAGTAAAGAGAAAGATTTTTTTTTTCTTTTTAATCTAATTGCAATGTTACCATACTGCCAAGAGGTGTCACTGTTGTCAGAGTACTTACCAAAATAGGGCTCATTTGGACAACCCTTCAACCGCACTCCTTTCTGTGTACACTCAATCAGGAAGTGGCGAACCAGTTCATTGGACAGATCACCTCCTGTTGTGATGAAATGAAAACAATAGATATTGAAAAATGTAGAAGAAACACGAGAATCACTCATTCCCCACAGCAGGGCTGTGGCTGCTGTAACAAAATTTAATCCAACTTCTTCAGTCTGACCAACAAATCAGCCCCTGATCATTTTCCCTGTTATGAAGAGTTACATAAAACATATCGAATCCCCCTTATTCAATGTCTGCAGAGATTAATGGGATTATGATTCAACAGAAGTGCCTCTGAAGGGGCAGGAGGAGTCTCGTGTAAGGAATGTCTGGACACAAAGGCCTTCCTCCTTAAGGTGGGTTTTGGTTTCACACTTATGAGGAGCCACAATGCCCTGAGCTGAAAGTGCGGGGAAAGACCGTGTCATGATGTCACCACAGGTGCCGTTAGGCCGCAAATGGGTGAAGACAAACAAAGGACCAGGTGTGAGCAGGAGATAAAATAAAAGGGTTGAGAGCACTGGTGGGTTGATGAAGGAAGGGCAGAAGGGCATCCTTTGTGCCTCTAACATGCTGATAGAAAATACACATTATAAATAACTCATTTGTTTTTGATTCCCTTTAAAGGGATATTCCGACATAAAATTAAGTTATGGTCATGTCTTTCCTTGAGTTGCGTCACCCCGCAGCAGTCCGTAAGGGACTCGCCTGAGGTCTCCTTACAAACAAGTGGCTGCTGGAAGAGAGCAGGTGAGTTGTGTTTGGTACTTTTGTTAAAGAAATTAGGCAAAGCTAAAAAGATGTTTGGTGGCTAGTGCTGTGGCTGGGACCCTATATGTACTGTTGATGAGGTTAGGTGCTGTTCTGAGCATTATTTGTGGCTATAGAGTGGCGTTTTGCTTGAGCACGTGGCTCCTGGGGCGGCTGTGTATTGCTATTGTGCAGTCGTTACTAAATTGGTACAACTAGAGAAGCAAGCGGTCGGCGAAATTTATCTCTTGACGGGGTGTCCAACTGGCTAAACCCACAGGATCTGAAATGGCTCCGCTCTGCTCCGGACTGGCAGGCGGATCAGATCCACAAGCATACAGTGCCCACCGGATCCGATCTGCCGCCATCAGAGGAGAAAATTACTGATATATCTTGTGAGACTGGACTAGATCTCACTAGCTCTCGCATGTTTCCCCGGGAATCATAGAATGAGATCCACCGATCGGAGTATATAAATGGCGGTGTATATAAACACCCACGTCCCACAGCCCTGGCCTCTCCTATTATCAAGTTAAGAACAATTTAATGTATTGACTTTATTTTAATTAGAAAATTAACCAGATATTTTACTCTGTAACCGCATACAACTTCCGATGCTGCTCGTGCTGCACTGCACTGAATTGATGCGCCGTGCTCGGGCGTCTGGCAAAAATAGATGCCTTGCGTATCTGCTCTGGCCGCTGGAGCTGATCCGCAGATGAGCCGGATGACAGACAGATTCTGTGGAATGACATACATTGATTATAATGCTTGTGTTCTGGATCCTGTGGGTCTTGCCGTAACCCAGTGTTACAGTGTGTTTGACCCTAACTGAATTTTACGCTGGAATATCCCTTTAAATAGGATTAAATGTCTTTTGCCTCTTTTGGAATGAGAGGACTGATGTGTGGATCTCTCATTTGGTTAGATTTCTGTTGCAATGTCATCTACTTCCCCTGAACATGCCAGAGAAAAACACCGGGGAGTAATAACTTATTTCAGCAACCTGTTTTGACCCTGGTCCCTGGAAATCACATCTACACCAGACAGTGTTATGTGGGGCAGTGCGCCTCCGCTGAAAAGGCCCTGGGATCAGAGCGGGCTTACGGACCCGGCACATCCTTTGTTCAGGGGTGAAACATTAGCTGTACATCTAAGACTGTCAAGCAAAAAGGGGTCTGTTTGGCTTCATGGTGGTGATGCCCAGGAGAGAAACACACATTGAGGAGCTCTCACACACACAAACAGAGGGAGAGACTCTCAGGTTCCAGTGTAAAGGTGAGTACAGCGCACTGTAACTGTAGATCGCTTTGTGTGTGATGTGCGGGTGTCTGTACTACTGGACCAATCGCTCATATCAAAATACACTTGTGGTCTTTCTTTTCTGTACCAGGATGAGTGGGCTGATAATTTTCCCATGTATGGAGGATTGGTTTAAGAGCTGGCAGCCAGAGGAAGGCAGTGATTTTTTTTTTTTTAAACAATTTGATTTTCCAGTGGGAAGTTATGTACTGTATCATATTTGCAAATTTACACCAAACAGAAATTATGCAATCCTCATAAATCGGCAAATGCTGCCTTTGAATGCATGCCAGTGTAAAAGTCAAATAAACAAGATGAAATGATTGAAGAGGTACAAGAGAAGTCAGAAAGCTTGTTTGGCAATCTTTAAATATTGATGCCAAACTGGGGAAGGTTGTAGAACTCTTTTCATTTTTGTTATAATAAATATTTTAGCATATATTCAGAACCTGTCCATATATTAAGCTCTGTTATTTGATCGCTTCTTGAGGTTTCTGTAAGGTGTTTCCAGCTGACTATGAAAACAGACTGAAATGAATACTATTTCCACTGAATGGCCAACAAAAGCAAACAGAATATAGATTATTTTGTTATTTTTAGTTTCCTAAACAGCTGTGGCAGTGTGTCAGAAGAAGTAAATACCACAAAGCTGCCAAACAAGCTTTTGTTTTACATTCCTATTGGAAAATAATTCATTTGACTGCTGAGAGACACCAGGATATGATTTTTTGGGGGGTTAAAAAATACAGTTTTCATATGTACAGGACAAAATTATGAAAAAATCGAGCCTCTGTGACATCTCTAATAAACTGAATGTTATATAAAAATCAAAAGTGTAAAGTGACTAATCATCGCCCAACCATTAGTCATCCACATCTGTCATACCTTTCTTAGTCTGCTGAAGAACTGAAGGTGGAGGAGTGGCCACCTTCATCGCCAGTCCATAGGCCCCCCTGAAGGAATGACTGTCTCGTACGATAAAGCAGCCAGGCTCCTTATCCTTCAAGACTGAAATGGCTGTGAAATAAAAAGAAATAAAAACACACACAATGAGGAGATAACTCTATATTAAACAGAAACGTTTATTCTCACAGTAGTTGACTCTGTAAACCCACCTTGATCCCTTGAGATGTCTGGCTTGTACCAGAATTTGGATGTGTCCTGCACAAACTTTACAGTAACCTGCTTGCCGGCCAGAACATCTGGAAGAAAACAGTCATCAGCCAAATAAAGAGCAGGATTCATTTTCTGTTTTTAGCTTAATAGGGGGACTCCAGTTTACCTGGCAGAGGTGAGGCGGTGCCTGGTATCTGAGCTGAGAGGTCAGGCAAAACATTGGGGAAGGGGATGCTCAGGGAGCTCCCACTGTGAGGGCTTGAGAACCCACTGAGGGCAGGAGACGCTGTTCCCAGTGAGTGCTCTCCTTCTGACACCCTCTTCTTCTCTGGCAGCAGCGGTGGCTGCAGCTGGGGCAGAAGTTCCCTGTCCATGCCTCCGTTTCCTAACAGGGATGAGGTGGAGTTCGGGCAGTCCGTGCCGTAGCCAAGACCTGAGTCATCCTGCTCATCAAAGCTCTGAGCAGGACTGCGGCTGAGGGCGTAGCGAGCCATACAGCTTCTCTGGCTGCTGCGGGGAGAGCTGTGGGCGTTGGGGGCAGGGTGGATGTGGGGGTGGTGGAGGGGAGGTGAGTGGTGTCCATAGTCCAGTGACATGGTGTGCTGTATTGGTTGTCTGGCAGAGGAGTAGTTGCTCAGAGAGGAGTGGCGGCTCAGGACGGAGTGCTCTGGCCAAGACGTGCTCACTGTTGAACTAAAGTCAGAGAAAATAGAAGTCAAAAATGCATCCATTTGTAAATATTTGCAATGTTCAGTTTTCATTGATTTAAAGTCTGTATTCAAAAATGTACTGTCATTTTTTTTAATTCTCAGTCAGTTAATCAGCAGTCAATCCAACCTCTTCAAACAGTGGAAATGCAGCAAAACCAAAAAATGTGCACGTCCCCTAAACTCTACCATCTTTACGTTGCTACCTGTCGAATTTAGCATTGGTAATAACATGAATGGGCTTCTCCCCGTATTTATGAGGTTTTACCCCCTGTGAGTCAGAGTTCAGTCTGAGATCCCCTGTTACTGCTCTAATAGCCGTTTCAAGGACAAGTCTGATGAGAAAGGGGACGAGGTTTTTGCTGTTGGAGCCTAAATCTGGAAGAGTCTACTTCAGGAGTTAAGATTTGCAGGTCCAGACTTTTGTGTCATTATTCAAGACACACTTTTACAGAAAAGCTTTTAGTCTGTGATTCTGATTTGACAACTTTCAGTCTATGTAATAAACATCAAAAAACTACTCTAAGGAGCTTTAATTTCTCATGCCTTCACTCCTTTTTTAAAAGCTGCTGAACTGTATGTACAGTTGTACATATCTATTTTTTTTAAACTCTACGCTTGTTTATCCTTTCATTTCTCCTTTTGTATCTGTATTTGGAATTTCCCCCTGTGGGACTATTACAGGAATGTCCTATCTTATCTTATCTAGTCATGCCCTGTTGTTAGCACAGAGGCTGAAAACCAGTACAAATATTAAACATATTAAAGCATTTCCAATCCCACTTGAAATCATTCACACCATCCACAGTTTGTTTTTGCTCTGAAGCTCTCGGTGGAGGAGTAAATCAACACTGTATAGAAGAATTATCTTTACCTGTCTGTCCGCTGAAGGGTCCCACTCATAGAGGCGGAGTGAACAGCGCTGAGTGTCCTGTGACAATTGATGGAGGGGTCTGGTAAACCGTCAACCCCAACGTGACTGACCATCTCAGGATACCCGCGGGGTTCTGTTTGACAGCAAGAAAACAAAAAGTCTGAGCTCCGGCAACTTTGATTGATCACAATAACATGAAATGCTGTTTTTGTTCCAAAAGTGTGCTTAGAGTTTGACACAGACAAATACTACAACTTAACCCTAACACTTACAAAAATGTTTGACATTTTTACTATTTTTTTTTTCCAATTGACTCCAAATGATCTGAAATTGGCTCCTAATTAGGTCCTGGACAGTGATTTTAACCCTAACCCCATAACCCTAACCCTAACATTAACCCTTAACTCTAACCCCAATACCCCAAATAGAGATAACAGGTACAGAGCTGGCTAAAAAAGCTAAAATACGGACTGTATTGTAGAAGTTATAACTGAATTGTGTGATAAGGAAAAGGAAAGATGGATCTGTTCATATAACTCTAACCACAGTCATTAACCTAGAGTATATGAAACCAATCAACAATTCATCCATGCCCCTGCAACAGAGTCAACAAATCATAATCCAATATACAGAAATGGAAAGCTTTCTGACAGGATTCAGTTTAATCAATTTTTTCAATCACTTATAGTCTGGACTCTCCGGCAGCCCTGGAGTCTAAAAGCTCAGCACTCAGGCTTTACAGCTGGATTTGCTCTCGGTTACTTTTACAGGAACTGAGAGCATAAAGCTGAAAGAGTTGCTGGTTTTCTTCTTGTTCCCGTTTCCCCCCTGTGTGTAAACAGGGACACTTTCATAGTTGTTTTGTGTCATGGCTCCTGATCCACAGTAACCATGGAGATGTGTCGGGACTGAATGAGCTGGTTCTTACTGGAGTGTCTGAGGTAGTCAGAGTAAAAAGTAGTGTTTTTATTAAAAACTGCGTAGACTTATGCCGGACCTCTTTATTTTTCAAACACTGAGCTGTGATATCTTCTGCTCTTCTTTCTGTCAGAGGTTAGTTTGTCTCTTTTTAACGCGTTAACTCTATCTCTACTTGTTTCGTTGTCCATCTACATAAAAAAAAGTCTACAAACTCAAACTCCTCTTTTGGCTCATCTCTGAGAATCTCATAATGTGAGTGTTTCCTCCCTCCAGATAGACACCACAGAAAAAGAAACAAAAACAGCCCTGTTTTAATCTTGAAGAACAACACTATTACGTCTAAAATAAGTCGCCTCCTCAGGCCACGACCACAAAGACATTCTCTAAAAACCAAACAGAAAGGGCAGAGACTGGTTAGTAATCTCCCGCTTCTGCAAATGTAGGACGTCTTTGTTTTTTATGTCTCTCTGAAAACCGCTTAAATTCCTTGAACAACAATGTCACTATTATTGGGAAAAGCTAGGGGGGCCTGGAATAGCTCTGTTCTTACAAGATAGTGGACCCAAATACTCTTTCAAAGCGTAGACATGAAAGAAGACTCTTGCAATTACTAGTTTCACAATACGCGTCTCTGTCACTTACTCACTTTAATTGGTGGAGGGGAAAAACACATGTACGCTGGAATGACTAGGGTGGTCTTGAAGACAGTCTTTTATTGTGTTCTTCACAGAAACATGGTGTCCCAGTTTTTGGATAAGCTACGCCAAAGGCTCAAATGATCTACATGTTTTCTATCTGTCTCTATACTGAAACAAGTTTGTATTCTGCAGAGAAATAAACCCACCGTGATCTGTCCTGTAGCCTCCGTATGTCTGCACACTCGGTGATGGTGTTTGCCTGAGGTGAGTGAATTCTGACATATTTTTCACTAAAAAGACAAAGAAAATGAGAATGAAAAACACAAATCTGTTCACGATTGTTTGTAAAATCACATGTTTGGATCACAGAAGCCTGTTCGATCACACACAGTGCTTACCATAAGGTGTTGGAGGGGAAATAGGAAAGGCCGGGGTGGGTGGACTCATGTCACTCACAGCTTCTACCCCGCTGTCCATGTCTGCTCCCTGGGCTCTATAGTCCGCGCTGTCGCTCCTGAACAGCATGTGATGCTACGACAAACAACACACATACATGTAACCAACACCACATGATAAAAAGATACACAGAGGCAGAGCGCAAAATGTAAATAAAGAGTGTTTACCTGACTCTGTGGCGCGCAGGGGGGATAGATCCGCTGGCCCCTGTACTCCTCCGTCACACCCCACCCTGAGTTACAGAAGCCCGAATGATCTGTGACTTCATTTCCTTGGCGACTCAGACTCCGCATGACACCCATGCGGCCCTCACTGGACTGGACAGCTGGATACACACAAGAAGAGGAGCAAGCCGATCATCAAATGTGGAGATTTTGCTGATTTAAATGCAGTTCAGAGTGTAAAAATTAAGGATAAATTAAATTAAGGCTAACTAAAGTGGCATTGGTCAATAAAGTTAAAACATTTACAATCAAATATTATATCATGATACTATTCAGCCAAGTTTACATGACTTCAAATCTGATTTATAACCCTCTAATAGTTGATCTGAACCCTCTAATAGCCTCATCTATCACATGTTAATTTGAGAGTCCATCAAATGAAGGCAACCCTGAAGCCCAGTCTACAGTCATGTTTTGAGAGGACAGCTGAGGAATGCCAGGGGTCTGTCTGGGGGCTAGAGGGTGGGGCGCATGTGTGGGTGTATGTATGTATGTGTGTGGGGGGTCAGTGTTGTGACTAAACTGATGAGTGCTGCCACTCAGCACCAGGGTGTTAATTTGAGCCCTCCCAGCCAGCTCTGACCTCTCAGCCTCGAAGAATGCTAATGGTGCTGAAGTGCTAATATCCCGGATCATTATTCACTAGTACGTCTGGAGAGAGTATGGATGACACAGACAGATGTCCCTACATGCCAGTTTTTTTTTTAACTTTCACTGAAAGCAGCTTCTACAGGTAATATTCAACACAGAGCCAAAGCATCAATCTACTCTGTCAGTAAAAAGTGTGACAAAACCATCAAGAATGAATCTAAATGGTATAATCCTAAAGAAAAACATTACTTTTATTCAATGGCTTTCTGTAAGCACCTTTGTTTTATGTAACCCTACACCCTTTACAGTACACTGTGCTTGCTGTAGCATTTCCTCTCAAAAGTCATCTCTAGTTGCACTAAGCTGTTGCAAATCAACAAGCAGCCCTGCCAGGAGTTTACAGCATCAAAGTTAAGTGTGTCAGATATTTCATTTATCAAATTCAATCGAAATACTGCACGTCATGCCAACGTCGGATTTGGAGGTCTGCAAGATGTCAGAATTGGACGTCCATATGATGTCAGAAAAAGACATTAAATAAACATTCATTGAGCACCTCTAGAGGACCTGATTTCGACGGCCAACTTTGACCAAAATTGCACGTCATGTCAATGTCGGATTTGGAGGTCTGCAAGATGTCAGGATTGGATGTGCATATGACATCTGAAAAAGAGGTAAAATAAACTTCGATTCTGCACCTTCAGGAGACCTGATCTAGACGTCAAAAGTTACGTAAAATATACGTCATTTCGACGTCACATTGCGCATTGGGCAGAGCTAGAGTATCGATATTCTCTTTCACAAAAAAGTTTGACAAAACCATCATATGAAGCAACAATGAATCGAAATGGTATGATAAAAAAAACAACATTATTTTCATTCAATGGTTTTCTGTTTTTGTAATCCTTCACCCTTTACAGTACGCTGTGCTGCCTGCAGCATTTCCACTCAGAAACCATCTCTAGTTGCATCAGTCTGTTGCAAATCAACAAACAGTCCTGCCAGGAGTTTACAGCATCAAATAGTGACAGATATTTCATTCATTAAATTCAATCAGAATACTCCCTCACTCCCATACGCTGCAACAAAATGATCCATTTCTACTCAAAAACAATTTTAATACTGACTCTTTTATTTAAATAATAGAGTTAAATAGTGAGATTATTCAATCTTACAGGAATCTCATTGAAGTATCTGCCTCTTTATGAGCCATAAAGATTTTGAAGATATGCAAATGAGAAGAATTTGATTTATTACTTTATCCTAAAGTGATCTCATCTCACCTCTTCAGCTCCACTTACCCTGAAAACAACAATTTCAAAACAAGAACCTTACTCTCTCTGCTCCTTCACTAGCATTATACACTTTTTCAACACAGCCACATTATAGAGTGAGCCGCATGAGTTTGACAAAGCAGACAAAGAAAAAAAAATCAGTAAAGACAACATCAAAGTTTGGTACAACACAAGCGTGACTGGTTTAGTTGTTTGTTGCAAACTGAAACACAAACAGTCTCTTACTTCCTTTCGGTTAATTTTCAATTTAGCAAACTTCTGTAGCCTGTAGCGTTTGTTGCTTGGAATGACGCCTCTCTCTGTAGTTGATATGCATGGACAGGTAAGCGCTTGGAATCAAATGGAAAAAAACTTGGCCTCCGGGCTCACTTGTTCCTCTCTTGGAAATTCCTCAGGCCTCCCCCATCATGTACCCCTCTACAGCCACATGTGCATGCTGGAGTGTGATTAAAGCTCAAGACGGATTTCTGAATTTTCTCTGCCTCACTGGGTTCCAGCTACAGAAAGTCAAAACGTATTTTTCTTCCTTTGTGAACGCTCTTACGCTGAGGAGTTAAAAGGGTGCGCCGAATCTGATACAATGAGGCCGATTTTCCTCTACCATGGAAACCAAAGACCTGTTAATACAACTTCATCAAAACAACAATGACTGGATTCACACAGTGTGTCATTGACTGTATGACTGATTCTTCAGTTAGAGTTTCAATTGAGTGGAAAGTGGAAATAAGTAATAAATAGATTTATGAGTGGCTTCATTTCATAAAACAACAATACAAGAAACCATCCTGGTATTTGAGCAACATATAACTAACAAAATCTCAAATGAAAAGACCGAGAATAAATAGAAGTGGGCTGATCATAACACTGCAGCGAAGGGGTAAAATCATCACATGTTAAATGAACTGAGTTTGTTTTTTTATCTGCTAACAATAAGAAGGTCAGTCTTGATTTACTGAATCTCCTCTCTATGATCAAACACCAAAGGAAGGCCATGTTCAAAGACATTTATGACAGCTGCTCTCCTTCCCCTCATGTAACGTACAGATCCTCCAGTCAGATTAGCTCTCCAGACAAGTCTGGACGGCGGCCTTCCCTCAGAAACATACCAAAAACATCTGAAAAGCTGGCAACAACCCTGCTATTTCTGCCACTAAAACACGCCAGGTGGGAGAGGGAGGGATGGCGTGCTTTGTTCAGTTAACTCTGTCGTGTCGTGGAGGTGAAGAAAAAACCGAGGCGGTTAGAAAGGAACTATTGTGCTCTGAAATAAAAGCTGCAAAGACGCTATCACTACAGGAATTTATTGATCTGTCTGTTCATGATTGATATGTATAATCCCTGGTATATTAAGAACCAAAAATACTGAAAAAATTCATAATATAAAAGAAGCTGAAGTCAAATTTTTCAAAAGCTCATTTTTGTTAAAACAACCGTCCAAAATTCAACAACAATAGCAGCAAATCCTAAATTACTCACATTTCTGCTTTAAAATAGTCAAATAAAGTTATCAAAATCATTGTCCATTCCTAATCTTAAACTCTTCACTGATTGGTTGTTGCATCTCTTTTAACGCTCATATCTTTGTCGTGGATGTTGGACAATTCCACTGATAAAACTTAGTGGGATAAAGATGACTGTCAAACATGACCACACCGCCACACTACCACCACATCCAGACAGTCTGAAGATCTTACCTGTCTGCTGTGTGTTTTCCACGGTTGTTGCGTTATTGTCACTGAATCTGACATCGATGCCGTTCGAGCATTTGGAGACGGTCCCGTTCACTTGAGTCCCGCCGTTCTTTATGGAGCTGCTGCGGCTCTTCACCGGCATGAACGTAGGATCCAGGTCCATGATCAGCTGGTTGAGCTGGTCTATAGAGTTGTCTATGTCCATGGTTAACGACTTGAACTCCTCGTCCCGTTTGTTGTTGTTGTTATTGTTCATGGCCGCCTGCTCTTTGTGCTGCACTGTGTTTCTCTGAGAGTTCAACATAGTGTCTTTTATGGGGCCTTGTGGTTCAGCGGGCAGGCCTGGTTTTGGTCGACTGCTCTCTTGCTTGTTCCCTGGGTATCTCTCTGTACCGTTTCCCTCTTCTGGCATGTAGATAAACTGTTCCGCAGCGACCATCTGCTGCTGGCGAACCCAGGACTGAGTGGAGTAGCTTCCTTGTCTGTACACATGCTTCTTGGGCATGGAGGAGCTGCTGGGATTAGAGGAGGCCACAGAGTTACTCCGAGAGCTCAGACAGCCTCTTTTAGTCTCAGCATAGCCTCTCTCATATTCCTCGATGGGAGGGGGCCCCTGCTGGTGAATGTGGTGCTGGTTTTGGTTTTGCTGCTCCTCTCCTCCTGGACCTCCAAAACCATCTGACAGCAGGGAGTTCTGGCTGCTCTTGTGGCAGGAGGAGGATAATGTTCCCAAGCTGTCCACGCTGTGCAGATCATGACCTGTAATAACTTCATCATCTAGGATGTCTGTTTCCCTCTCTCTGGGTCTGGGGTCTCCATTAATGTGCACCTGTGCCGGGACCACCCGCTGGATTCTCACTCTGGAGCTTTGATCATCCATCACCTCCAGGGAGGGGTCCTCAAGGCCGAAACCGCTCAAAAGGCGCTTCAGCTGGACCTTCTCCTGTGGACTGGGGCCCTCTTTGGGCTTAATGATGGTGGTGGTGGTAGTAGTGGTGACAGGTGTGGGTCTGTCCGCCCACAGAGAAGTGCTAGACAGGCCCGAGTCGCTGCTGACGGAGAGGGCGTGGTCGCTGTGGTCAGGGCTGGAGGTGGCCGAGGTGGTGCGGGCCCCTCGGCCCAGCGTGGCCTCTCCTCCTCCTCCTCCGCTGGGGCTCCTCTTGTTGGGCACTTTGTCCTGGGTTAGGCCTTGAGAACGTGGCGCTGCAAAATAGAAGAGATGCAGCGCTTCATACAGTCAGCTGGTACGGTCACACATACGTACACACACAGACGGCAGGACAAACAAATGGCACAGACGAAACAAACCCACTCAACGTGAACAGTCATGTTATCCCAAAAACTCAATAATTCAGAATCTGTGACTGGGAAGACTCAACATTTACAATCACACATCACCTGACGAAGACAATACAAACAAATACAAAGAACCAGGACATCTGAAACAAGACATAAATCATTCAACTTAAGTAAGACAAAAAAAGAGTTTGAGACGATTTACAAATCCCTCTTTTAATACTCAAATCCTAGTTTAAGTCTCTCGGGGTGTTCCTGTGTGCTCATCCGGTTATTCAAGACTTGTTCAGTTTTCTGTAAGTTGCTACAAGAGTCAGACGGCCGTGAATCTGCAGTCTGACCCCTGCATTCCTCACCCTGCCGTGATTAAGCCTCCCTACTCCCTCTCGCCTGCCCCTTGACCCCTAGCATATATCCAAACAACCTCCTTAATCCTCTGAAGTAAAAAGGACAAACCGCAAAGGTCAGTCATTTTGCGAGGTAGAGTTACATCAATGAGAGAAAAAAAGATTTAAAAGGAAACTTACGCGGAATGTAGGCCGGAGTAGAAGACGCACATGTAAGCAGCGCAGCCGAGTTAAAGTAAAACTGTTTCACTGTCACTCTCCACGCTCTTCGACAAAAGAAAGCTGGAACATGACCCCTGCGCTTCTCCTTCGGTGTACCGCCTTAAGTGCTTGCCTTTCAGTCAAACCATGACTGGAGGATCTGAATACCAGACACGCATGATAAAAGCTCCCCCTCCTCCTCTGCAAAAGCTCCTGTATGTATAGTCGTCGCCCCCCTCCTCCTGCTCACACAAACACACCAGTTGAACCAGCATCCGGCCTTGAGCAGCAGAAGCAACCAGGCCTCCATGCAGGTCAGATCCAGAGGGAGTTTTTTACAACCGTTCACCCCTGTTAACACTCCGTCTTGCAAGGTGCAAGCAGCTTTTCAAGGTAGATGTTCCCCCTCTTCCTCAACACCAGCCATCTTTCTCTGTCATCCCTGTCAGGTCCTGCCTCTCTTTTCTTCTCCCTCCCCCTCCTGGCTGCCCATCCATCTCATGAGGGGAAAAAAAATCTCTTACCTTTACCGCCACTGCCAGGTAAGCACACAATTCAATCCAAGAAGCAGGTATGAGAAAACTTAAAGCGCGGACGAGGCTACAATGAAAGGTCTGCTCTGACATGGCTTTCAAGAGGCAGATAATGCTCGGGTCAAATCAAGAGAGTTGGAAGAAGTTGGCCCCGCTTTCTTCCTCTGCTGAGAAGGTGAGAGTGTTTGCACTCCACACAAGGGGGGACCTTGAGATCTCCAAATAAGGGCAGAGGAATGTAAACAAGTGAGGCGGGGCTTGAGGATGGAGGTGGGGCTGGAGGAGAAAAAGTAACCCGACCTCTTGCCCTGCGTTAAGGGACTACCCCACTGGGGAAGAAAAGGGGGGGAAAAGAAGGGGAAGAGAGAAAGAAAGAAAGAGAGAGAGAGAGGGCGGCGCGGAGAGGATCAGAGAATGAAAACAACATTCCTGCAGCTCCAGACTTTTTCACTCTGTAAAAAGACACTTTTTAATTAAACCAATGCTTGCCTTCTACTTGGAGCTCTGGGCAATCTTCATAAAAAAGCAGCAGCCCGGTTGTTTTTTTTTCTACCCTTCACTCCTGTGTGTCATGAAATTGCACGACTGCCATCCTTGTGTACAAAACTGTCAGAAACCAGATGTGCTCCCAGCTCAATTATGGGGTTTAACAATTGTTTCACCTACTGGGATTAAAACTGGAATTGACCAGCCCGTGAATGGTTAACCAAGTATGTTCTTTGCATAAGAAACTCAGTCAAAACTTTTATATCTGTTGGTTGTTGTGGTCTGGTCAGTCCCTGAATAATCCACCAATTACAGTGCAGAGAAACCAGAACTGTTCCTCAATCTGATCTCACATCGCAGGAGGAGGTCTGGATGTCTACGACTCTGCAATTACCCAACCTTTCCATTCCCTCGCAGTTATACAAGCTCGGCCTCCTAAATGCCAAAACCGTGAGTCGAAAGCATAATGATGATCATCATCCTTATTTTCTTCCGCCCAAGCTTCAACATGAGCGACGGGCGATGCGTCTCTTAAAATCCTGTGTACATTTTGTACAAAACATGATGTTCACAAAAAGGGGTAACGACTAATTATCTAACATGATAACTGATTCTATCAAAGCATTTTAAACAGACCTACTGCTCAGTCATCAGCCAGATATTGAAAACTATTTTTAGCACATATATTAACTAAACCAACAGCAACATTTATTCATAAATTTGATTTTAGATACTATCATAAATCCACACTCAGCTTGCAAAGTCTAATATAGTAATTTTCAGAGTTAAAAACAACTTGCTATATGTAAAGCTGTAGTTGTCCCTTCAACCCCGTCATCCTAGTCTCAACACTGTCACACCTACATTTTCACACATTATTTTAAAAAAATGTTTAAAAAAATAATCTAATGTTTGTTGACTTCTGTCTAAAATGTGGAGACCTATCAAAAGATCATGGATTTTAATTACAATTCTTCAGTGAAACAAAGTTTTTGATGAAAAACCACCAGAGTGCTTTTACACACAGGTACATTTAAGGCGTTAGGGCAGCAAAAACTTAAGCTTTTGTGTCATTTTTTTCTTTCAAATTATTGAAATAGTGTGGGGGACACTTGACTGATTTAAAAATATTGCTTTCTTTTGAAATACATATTTTGATCATATTCAGAGAGCTTACCGTAACGGGGTTGAAGAGAACCGGTGACCACACCTTGAAATAATGACAAATAATAATAGTAAACTAATGCCTGAGATGGGAAAATACGTTTTTCTTAAATTTAAATATGTCCTTAATGCTGTGGGATATACATCCAAATAATACATTTTGGTCAAAAATGTGAAAATGTCTAGGTCCAATTTGAGCTATTTTCGTGGAATGACTCATATATTGTGATAGGCACCAAAGTCCCATTTGCTGCATTTCCAAATTGTCCACCTAATAATCCCACCAGAGCCAGCGCAGTCAGAGTCGCACAAACATCTTTGGTCCTATGCATTGCCTCACATGATGGCAACTATATTTTTAAAGTATGTTTCTGCAAACCGAAATGTTAATCTGGTATTATCTTCTATTATCAATATTTCTTTTACAAAAACGAGCCATAAGAGTCATCTGCGAAAAACATGTCCAGAACCTAATTAAACTGAGGGACTCTAATTACAACCTAAGAGGCTGTGTATTATTTGAGAAACCGAAAGCGTGAACAAAAGTAAAAAAATTTTGTGTGTCTGTAAAAGGGGTGAAAATATGGAACAACTGTCCGGTAGAAATTAGAAAATGTAGTACTCTGGTAAGCTTTAAGAGACTTTACAGGAATTATGTTATTTCTCAGTACTGTAAAGAAAATGATGTCTGCTGATTTATTGTAAATTATTACTGTAAAGTGCAAAGCACATTCTAACTCTATCTATATATATGTAACTGTTAATATTTGTATGAAGAGTGTATCTGTATAATCTACTTGATGTATGGTATAAGAGGTAGGTCTTTATAAGCACTGCTTCTGCCTACACCCATTTGGTCATATTATACCGAAATAAAATCCTTAAATCCTTAAAAAAAATCTAAAATCTTTAGTTAGAATGAATGACAAGACCAATAGAAATGCAGAAAAGTCCATGCTTGGGTTAGGTGATACTTAAAGAGTCAGCAAAGTTAGACTATCCATTGACATTTCAGACATAACTTTGTTCTTTACAGATGGGTTAATACTATTCAGCACTTCTCATTTCGATATTTACTGTTACCCATTCAAAGCCACACAAAGCCAATAGCTTCCTTTGGTGGTAAATTTCAGTAAAATCCCCTCTCTAGAAAAAAGAATCTCTTGAAATTCGAGTCCTAATTAACACGCTGGGATAAACACACTCTCTAATAGGTGATTGGAGAGAAGCCGTTTAAGTAAATTAGGTTTTCTTTTCACAACTTTAGCACCACTGTGGCAAACACTTTCTAGACTTCCTCCTCCTGCTGGTCCTCTGACTGACAGCCTCTATGCAGGCTGGCTGGACCCGCCAGACGACCGGTGGTAAGTAGATGCAGAATTCCAGCACAGCTCTGAGTTTTTCCCTCTCAGATGTAGTGTTTACTTGAGAAGACAAAGCTGTAAATATCCCACATGAATGCTCTGCAAGCGAGGCGGGAGAAAAAAAAATGCTCCTTTGTTATTGTCTTTTCTTTTCTTTGACGTATTCCTCAATTTGAGTGTTTTTGGCTTTTTCATTTGATTCCCAGGGCTGTTCGTAAAAGCTCTATATGGACGTGTTGGGGTGTTTTAATTGAAAATGAAAAAGCAGCTCATTTTCGTCAAGCTGAACTTTCCTTATAAAAACACTGAATGAATACTGGGAAAGGGTGGATCTGGCTTTTAATGCTACCACCACGTCGCTCTATTCTGGGAGGTTGTTGTGAATTCTGTGGTCGAGTGCAGAGCAACAACCGCAGCTAGGACGGGACGCCCCGACATGGTGGCTCTGAGTGTGAGCCTGTGTGTGTGTGTGTGCAGGCGAGAGTGAGAGAATGTGTGTTTGTGTGGGATGGTTAAGCATGCCTTTTCATTTGATGAAACAACAAAATAGAAATCTCTTGAGAACAAACTGCTCTTCCTCTGAACCCAGCATTCCCCTCTCACACACAAATCTCCCTCCCTGTCCTCCACACAGAAAAAAAAAAAACAGTTTGTCATTCCCAACATACTGCAACCTTCAAGTCAAATTTAGCTTTCATTTCCTCTCCTAGCCAAAATAGAAGTCTTGTTTCCCAAAAGGCCTGTGTGCCGGGATTTTAAGTCCCACTCATGAGTAATAACTCCCGTTAGCAATGACTGGAACCCAAACCAAGTGCATGTTAATGCGATCACACTGCAGTTCCTAAGTAACACGCAGCACAGGACTTGTCATGCCAGGTTAAATCACTGAAAGTAAAACAAAGTTTGTGAAGGGAAAAAAGAAACTCTGTTGCATGCATACATCTACCATTCATTAGACATATACTCGCAGACTCTACCATTGAGAAAACAAACCCTTCTGAGTCCTGTAGTGACTAATGCAGAGGGTTAACAGTACCTTCGCCATCACAGATGTTCTGGTATGAGTCCCAGCGGATTAGAGGATCTGCTGTGTTGTAGTCCACAATAACATCCGCCCCATTTTGCCACCTGTCAGCACCTAGACCCAAAAATAACAGAGAATGTATGTGTTTTTCTTAGCAGTCAACACAGGGAGCAGAACCAACCACAACTTGATATTCTGTTATTGTAATGTCTTTCATAGCTGGAGGGAGGAGAAACAGGGATTGGCTTTATTCAGGAATTTTGTTTACATATTTCAGGTTGGGCAATCTCTTGATATCTCCTCTCTCTTTCTTTTGTGGGGAAATGTAACACAAAGATATTTTCAATGGAATAAAAAAAACTTAGTAACAATAATTTTACTCAAACATGAGGCAATAACAAAACCTGATCTCTTAAATTTAGGGGAAACACACTCATTTGCTCTCTGAAGGTACCTAGCAGATAGATAGATAGATAGATAGATAGATAGATAGATAGATAGATAGATAGATAGATAGATAGATAGATAGATAGATAGATAGATAGATAGATAGATAGATAGATAGATAGATAGATAGATAGATAGATAGATAGATAGATAGATAGATAGATAGATTTTTTTTCCTTGAGCTTTCACAAAAATTGGTTTCACTTTCACCCATAGTGCTGCAGCTGAAGGCCAGTGCCACAACAGTCTACCCAGATTTACACCCTGCTGCATGTTTTCAGTTTGCTTAGTACCATAATAAAAAATTATCAGCACAAAGTTTATCTGAAAAACATGTGCAGACCCACACACCATGGCTTCATTCTAGGGCTGTGCATGCTGTGCTTCTTTACCTCTCTGTCAGCACACACTTCACACTACATTTCCCCTCTGCAGCATTCCACATCCCCTCTCACCAGGAGGGCAGAGGGGGAGGAAAAGAGAGCACGACACAGCACTAAGGGAACACTGGAGAAAGCCCAAAGTCTGCTCTTTTCTACTACCACTTAAAAAGAAGAAATATAAGCAAACTACCTGGGATCCTCTCTGGTCCTTCAGAAAACACCAGCTCCACTTTTCCATAATCTGGAAATCTGGGATCTGAAATGTAAGCAAATAGGAATCCCATTAGTGTGTCCATTCAGGAACGAAAAAGATGAATGGTGTAATATTCTCAAGTTTGTCTCATGTTTTGGAAAATAAGATAACCAGTCTTAAGTGCCAAGTCTAAGTTAACTGCAGACAAAACCCTGCAGATTCTGCACGGAGCAGAAGAGGAGCTAACATCAGCGTGTTGAGACCTGCTCTCTTTTTTTTTTACTGTCAGGTCTACCTTTGTTGGCAGTCTCCATGTCTTCCTTTTCAAACATGAGGTTGTAGCCCTGCACTGCTCCCGTGTGGAACTGCAGCCGGAAAATGACTTCACGCTCTGAAGTGATGTCACTCTTATGATAGCATTTGATCTACAGAGAAAAATACAACAAAGAAAAAAACTCTCAACAGAGGCTTCTTTTCATTTATTGATTTATTGATTGATTGATTTCAATACCATGATGTCTCCTTTAAGAAGCTGGGCAGGCTCCAGTGAGATGCACACACGGTTTCTGTGGCTTGGACCAATATGACTGAAACAAAAACGACAAAGAAGCCCAAGCCAGTAAACACAAGCACAGATAGATTGTTTGAAATGATTCCAACATTTTTTTTTGATTTACAATAATGTTTAATGACTGTAACACATGCTCAAGCTACTTACTAGATACCAGAAGAATACACCGCCTGCATCCCCTGGTAGACCTTGATGTATGGACGACAAACTGTGAAGAAATAATCAATAAATACAAGTTAAAATGCTGTGATCATGTAAACTTAGAGGCCTTGTGATTAGAGAAGTTTCTCTTAAACTGTCTGTCCTCTCACGTGTTAACATATTGATGTGAGAAGTCATTTTAGCCCCACTATGTGATGAGGATCCCTGCTGTTCGAGTGAAATTAGCTATTAACATGCAAAACAAGTGACTGTGAATTCCCATAGATTTGCCCTTGCCTTCATACACAGTGCCTCTCTCTGCCTTAAGCATGTATGGAAAAAGAGACGGATATAAAATACAGATCAGTCTCCGTCTTGTTTACCGCCTTAGCTCTGATGTGGTTGAGTCTGGATTCTCTAATCCTGTTACAGCTGAAACAACTGCAGTTTTATTTGCAGTCGCAGCTGCGAGTGTAACTGTAAACAATATGACTTTAACCTCCAGTGGCGTCAAAGTTTGGTATCCCGTGGAGGATGACGCAGTGCAGGAACAAAGGCGAGGCGTTGATCTTCATTGATCCGCTCAGGAGACTGTTTAGTATCCAAACATACCTGACGCAGGGCACAGAGGAGGAAATGACAAATATGCACGACTTTGACAGGTACTCTCACTTATCAAAGACATCAAACATGCATTGTTTCTTTGGACAAACCAGGTATTTACTGTTAATGACTTTACAAATTATATATAGTATTTTACTTAGGTAGAGTTCTCTGATGAGAGCTTGTGTTAAAGGAGCAGTCCAAAGATTTAACCGTGCTCTTTCATGAGCTAAATGCACAAAAGACAATAACACAAAAGGTGTTTATAATATATTGCATACACCAGGAATTTATCACCTACACTGTCAATAACGCTGTGGCAGAGCTAGATATTTCTGAGTGGGGTTGCCAGACTGGTGCACTGGCTTTAGATGGGGTTCCCAGGCATGATACACATTTAGAGGCTTACCCAAACCTGGCAGGATTATTTACTCGAATGGGAATTAAAGAAAAAGGTCACATTGTTTCTCTTTTTGACCTTAAACGGTAACTAAACAGAGCAGAGGTTATTTCTTTAGGAAGTCAAGAGATGATATTTGTCTAAAATCATCATTTAAATCACCGACTTAAGAATAGCAGCCTATCTAAACAGAACCCAAACAGTTGATCTCAATACAAATATCACCTCCACCAAGGCAAACAGCCAGTCATAGTTTAGGATTTAAGGGTGGCCACCCTCTGGCTTCGCCACTGCCACGATACAAAGTGATGAAATATTTCTGTGCTAAGCTGTGTCTCAACTCACAGACTGTATTCTTTGAAGGCTACATATGAAAACAAAAAGGAAAGACATTGTGAAGGCCCCTTAATATGTGTCTTTAAACTGCTACTACATCTTTTCACGCCATGGAGGTTTAATTCACACAGGACAGCAGGTAACATGCTTTTGATATTGGTATGTGGCTACAATAAAAGAGCTAGCAAAACAAAACAGAAAGATGCCCTGTGATTTGAAATGATCTTCAAAATGATGTGAATTAGTTTTGTAATGCTACCTATCTTAATGAGCCAATTCTGCATAAAGTCTCTACCAAGGCGATTAAGACTCTCCTTTTATTGGGGACCCAACTTGAGGATTTCTGACTAACATTTGTGCGACCGAAAACTGACAATAGGGTAAACAGCTAGCCTGAATTCAACCTTGATTAATCCTCTACATGTTGTCTGTTTAATCTGCGTAAGAAAACAAGACATTCAGTGGGTTTGTATTCCTGATCATGTCTTGTATCCTCATAGATTTGACTCCATGCTACCTACTGACATAAGACATGAGGTAGTAAGGAGCAAGACATCTCTGAGAAATCTTGCAGGAGTGGTTCATGAACTCCTTCAAAGAGCCATCAGTGTGAGTCATGTTGATTCACAGTGATGCATAGAGTTAGGGTTACACCACATCACCATGAACCCCATTCACAAACAAACACCAACACTAAGGAGCTTAGCGGAGAATAAGAAAAGAAAAAAACAGGATATGCAGAGTTTGGTGTTGAATCAGGTGGCAGTCTGGGACCACGGTTGTGTTCAGATGTTGGTCAACAAAGCACATGGACAGACGCGTGCTGCGAGACAGAAGGGCGTGCTTGACTTTTAGGTCTTACCTTTTCTGTGAAGGTGTCATCAGAGCTGAGACCTTATCATCATAGTATTTCCTCATGGCGAAGCGGTCCAACGCCTGATCAGCACTTTGAGGGAGACAGAGAGGCACATTAAACGCTTTAGGTAATTATGAGTCAGGAGGGAGGTTTTTCACTACACTGCTCTGTAATTGAACGGTGTTAACCTAACTTGAATAAGGACGACACACACACACACACATACGAATGCATAATGGACAAGAGTGAAAGTAAGCAGAGAGAGACAGGGGATTCCAGCAGAGAGGAAGAGAATGCCAGCCTTAAGTAAACACAGAGGGGGAGAGGAGGACAGAGAGAGGCCGGAGTGTGTGCACAGCTCTGCTATTCAGACAGATCTTAAACCAACAGGGGCTGCAGCCTTTTCACCACAGCTCTGTTTCCCTCTCGTCAAACCCTCTCCCTCTGCTCTCCCCGACAAATCTGCTCTATTGTCAATCTGTTCCATTGTTTTCCTATCTCTTCCTTTCCTATCTGTCTCTTTACATTCCCCTTACTGACCTAGTCATCCTCAGCAGGACGTACATAGTAAGGAAAGAAGAAATTGGTCGAATGAAGGCTGTGATATAACTTCTGTGTGCAGAAAGGATCATCAGGCCGTCCCTCCCAATGTTTCCTCAATCTTTTTTCTTTTTTTTTCTCCGTTAAACCTCGCTCAAATTAAACGGTTATGAAATTGGACTCGGTTTTCATCATGATGAATAGATTTCATGAATCTGACACTGTGGCCAGAAGCGATTACAGTAACTAGCATATTTCAGAGTTGATTCATGTAACTCAATCCAGGATGATTCAGGGCTTTAATTGTGCAGTTTCCCTTTAAATTCAAAGTGTTGGCCTTTTTTCTTTGACTCACTCTCTGACTCACCTTGACCCTGATTTAAAGGGGGGGCTGACACTGCTTGTGGTATTCAGACTGTTTTTTTTCTATAATCTTGTGGGTTCTTTGTTGTCAGGAGTGAGTTCTGACAAATCCTGAGTTCAAAGCAGACGATGACATTTACCGTAACGTAACGTAAATCATGTGGTGTCGGTTACCTTGCTGAGATGTCGGTGAAATGCACAAAGGATGAAATGACAACCCCGATGCGACCTTTGCCACCCTGAAACAGAAAAGAAGATAAAAACTTGCACTTTAATTTACGCTCCTGAAAACATCTAGAAAGTATCAGGTTGAAGCTCCTTATGAGCTGTTCGTTAAATGACAATAACATGATGCTGATCAGCAGATTAGGGTTATAAAATAAGAAAATCATTACTTCCACACTAATTAAATGTCTTTAAAAATGTCTTTCAGGTCTTTCTAAGGATGATTTAAAAGCAAAATATTCAGAAATTTGGCAAAAGAAGGTTTTTTGAAATATGTGCGACCATCAAAATAGTTAAATCTTGTGTTATTGCTTCATGTGGATGCAAAACTGAGACAGACCCCTGCATCCTCACCCTGCAATGTATCACCGCAACATGTAGAGGGTCAGCATTGAGCCAGTTCTCCATGGCCTTACAGATGGTGCAGATCTTGTCTAGAGGTGGAGCGTGCATGTCCGGCCAGCCTGTGTCCAGAGTCTACAAAAAGACACATCAATAAACAGACATAGTGGTAATCCATACAAGCTCCTATATATAACTAATCCATATTGTGATGTTATCTGTATTTGGTAAGGCAATGTTATCTGTACTCGGTTAGAACAGCTGCTAGAGGATGATCAGAAATGGATCTTTGATATTTTGTGAAGAGACGGTGGCACAGCGTCACTCAAACTTACCTTTGGGTTCATTTTGGACAGATCGTGTCTTTTCTCGGACAGGTTGATGATCTAAAGGAGGTGAAATCAAATCAAACCTTGTTACTGATAAGATTGCATTCTGCTTTAACGCCGGTTTTTGCAATACTGTTCGCACTTGACTCATTTTGAGGTGAGCACTGACCAGATAATTATCTGCATGCTTGGACTTGAGCATCCGTGTGACGTCCTTCAGGTTGTGCGAGTAGATCTCCTCTGTGCAACCCCGGGGGAAGGACACAGCGATGATGCGCTCCGTGATGTACGTCAGGTCAAGCTCGTATCCCTCCTCCATCTTGAATCAAAGGACCTCCTGTTTGAAAAAAACACAATCAGAGGTTTTTCGGTTAACTCACACTGCTCCGGCTCAGAGCAGGTGACTTTGCTCGTGTCAATATTTGACGTTCAAAGTCCTCAGCGTTAGTCATTGTGACCAAGTTTCCCGCAGATATCTTTAGTGTGTGACCTCAATTGCAGATTGCGGGACAGAGGGTGTCTTGTTTGCTCTTGTTTGTGTCACAAATACTGTACTGCTGCTTATCTTCTCTGCAGAAACACATGCAGAGCAGCAGCGGCTTCAGAAGATCGAACACATACATTCTGAAAACCACTGTCAGTCTGTCAGTCAGGGCTCCTGCCACAAAGACAAAGACAAACTTTCAAAGAACTCCGGTTGAAACCAGTTGCTGTAAATCCCTGACTGATGGCGTGTCCCTGTGACCTCATGGCAATGCGTTTCCTGCAGCGGTGGCCCGGGCAGAGCTGCTCTCACCACATCCACCGACACATCCCTCAACCTCTTATCTAGTCATCTCTGTGTGTGCTGCACTAGTTTAGCTCCAGAAAAGCAAAGTGGGGTTTGTTATTGTCAGTGCTGACACCGGGCATCAACAAGTCCACAAAGAACTTTCTGTATTCAGTCAAGTGAACATGATCATCTGATGTTTACAGCCTTATTTGTCAGAATTTGATGCTTCTCTTTTGTTTTTTTTTAGGTTTAATCAACTAATGCAATCTGTAAACATCAGAAAAGGAGTTTAAGTTTATTGAGAATGCTTGCTATCGGTAAGGGTGGGAGAAAAAATCGATTCACACTAAGTATTGCAATTTTTTGTGTTACAATTTTTTATGTTCAAAAATCTTTTTATTTTTTTCAAATTTAAGAATAAATCTTAAAAACTGACTTACATGTCATGTGTATTTTGGGGGAAAATATGGTTCCTGGAATAGCTAGGAGACATCGTAGTCATTCAACTGTTTCACTGGTATTAAAAATGCAGACTAAAAATCGAGAAAATCGACATCATTGTAGAATCACAATTTAAATCAAATCGAATCGGCATCCAAAAAATCGTAGAGGAATCGAATCGGGAGAAAAGCTTATCGTCCCAGCCCTATTTACAGGTACTTTAACTGAATGAATGTCCCCAAGTGGACATTGTGTAGTTAGGGCTCTCTTTAAAAAACTTTAAACTTTAAAAAGCATTTTTTGGTCTAAAAGAGGTTAAATAGACGTCTAAATGTAGTCTAGACAACTGGTCTAAAATCAGGCTACCACAGGTCTAAAAATGAAGGTTTTTTTAGACGTCTAAATTTAGATATTGCTTAACGGCTATCATAATTATTTTGCTCAAGTACGTGGAGATCAGTTATGCAACTCACAGTTGCTTTTTTAAATAAATAGTTATCGAATAATGGGTTAAAGTGCGACGTCTAAATTCCGTCTCAAAATATACAGAATCTAGACGGTTGAAATTAGGTCTAAAAAAAACTAGATGTCTAATAGCCGTCTATTGCTCAGCACTTAAACAGTCAGCACCAGTTACTTTTTACTCTCATCAATCATTAAGTAGGTCAACTAACTGTTTCAGCTGCTTCTCTAAACTACTGAAGGTATTTCATTTATAATCTGTTGATTTAAATGCTGTTGCTTAACATTTTTAATAATCTTTAGGCCATCCATCAGTGACTCATCATCACATATCAATCCAACAACAACAGTGAGAGAAAAATGATCAACAGGACCTGTTAATGTTTCAGATTTCACAGGGATCCTTGCCCACAGTCACTCACAGCAACACAGATACCATCATCCTTCATCTGTCATTTTCATTATTTGTTGTGATTAAAAATGACTCACAGTGAAGAATGAGTCCATCAATTAAGTTGCAACGACTGCAGGCTACAGCTTAACACTTTGAAGGGGGCCAGTGAGAAGCAGAGCTAGTGTGGCCACGGCTTAAACCAACCCTCAGAGCGGAATGAAAGAGGCCGTGTGTATGAAGAGGTCATCACTCGGGGAAACAGAGCTGCCTGTTCGGAGATTTTGTGTGTGTGTGTGTGTTTGTGGAGGTGGAGGAAGCTGGGGGGAAAAGGTCCTCTGGGATTGTTCCAATGAATGGCCCGGTTAGTTTGTTTCCCCTGAGACTCTGAGGCAAAACTGTTGACTAATGGGAAATTAATGAACAGGTCCCTCAGTACTTAAAGGCCCTGAGTATCTTCAAGCAGGGAAAAGTTTTAGAAGTGTGACAAGACTGAGCAAACTAGAGATGGGAGAGTACGCTTGACCTGCATGTGACACAAGGGGAATAAAATAGGTTTCTGTAATGATGTGATGCTGCAGCTGGGAGAACTTTGTCAAGATTTTTATGGTTTCTTAAGAAAAGTTGGTTTGAAGATCTCTAAAGTCGGTACTAGGGCTGGGACGAAATGCTTTTTTCTCGATTCGATTTTTAGGATGCAGATTTGATTTAAATTGCAATTCAACAATATTGTCAATTTTCTCGATCTTCAAGGTCCTTACACACGCTTTTTTTCAAGCAATTATTTCGGACATCAATTTTTTTTTCAAACCCATATCCTGTCAATACAAGCGTTCACATCAGCAACATTTTCCCGTCCTGCGATATTGCGGCATTTATTTTTTTCGTATCGCGATCGAATTTTCTAAAGTTTTGCATACTGTGTGTCCACTTCTGACCAATCAGATTGCGTGTTGTTGCGACGTCAGATTCACCGGTATATCCAACATGGCCGACTGGCTGATTGTTTACGTGTCAGAGAATAGAGTGCTTTTTGATAAAAGACACAAACATTACACAGATAACGACCAAAATTTGCCTCCTAATATTTCGTAATTTTGCGTGGTTTATTTGTGTCGTTCTCAGTGTGTAAGGACCTAATTCTTACATTTGAAAAAAAAACAAAACGATTTTTGAACATAAAAATAGATTCAAAAATTGCAAAACAAAAAATTGCAATACTTATGTGAATTCATTTTTTCTCCCACCCCTAGTCAGTACAGTATGGGATTAAACTTACTTGCCCAGTGAGCTTTATTTACTGAAAAGACTTTAAATACAGAAATAAGCAGACTCAAAGCAAACTAAATCTGCTGAGAAGTGTCTCTCTGCGTGTCTTCTATGTCTATATCTACATCTGTATACCTTATATCTAAGGTAAATATCTACCTAGATAGCATGCTAGACAGATAGATGTAAAAAAAAATGGGTAAAAAGACTGTAGTTTCTAAAGGGGTTTGATGACAGGAGTCTAGTAACTACCTGTCTGCTGTCTTTGCCCTCTGTGATGAGTAGATATGCAAATTCTGAATTATTATTTTTTTAAAGTACCACATCCAGATTTCGAGAACCAGATTTCAACCAATTCAAGATTAAAACGAAAGTAAAGATATAAAAATTGTTTTGAAAATATAAAACTCAAAACATTTTTTTAACCTTATTAATTTCACACAAACCATTCACAACCTTTGCAGTAACAACACCCTTTTCCTACTCGCTTCTCCCACTCTTCATTCAAGCTAACAGGAGCAACTTGCCCCAGCACGCACTAAAGATAATTGGTCTTTAATTTGCACTGACTGCTTTTGTTCCTGGTTTGAGGCGAAGCATTAGCTCACAAAGGCAGAATAAGCAGTGCCAAGGAACTCAAATCCCAAGCCCACCCATGGCACTGTGAGAGCAAGGCTGGTAGAGTTGGGCGAACAGGCGGAGAGGCTGGAGAAACTGGGTTGCCAGGCCTCCTGTGAACAAGCTGCAACAGGTTTACTAAGGTCAGGATGTTGGGGGATTAGGGTGTGTCTGGCTCCCCCCAGCTTCAACCCCTGCAGGTAAGCGCTTGGCTGCGTGGGTGCTGTCAGCCACGTTCACACTTGCATGACCATCACTTGGGACCAGCTCCAAATGCCTCTCATTCAATTACCCTGAACAATGCTGGAGATAAATAAGTCAGACATTCCATGTAAGAGTCAAGCAAATGTAATGAAGACTGAGGAAGACGGCTGGGATGAAGCCCGATTCTATTTCAGGAGCCACACCCTTCACCTGGCACACAGTGTACGCAATCTTCCATTTTGTATGAGCAGGTACACCACAAGATGAAAGAAGTCTTCATCATGGAGCGAGGCCTTAAAAGCAAAAGAACTGTCTCAAAAGTCTGAAGAGCAGGTAATGAGACCCAGAGAGTTTAACTGCAGCCTAATCATGTGAAAAGTGACCTCATGGTTGTTTTCATTTGTGGGTCTGTTATGGTGACAACAGTTGGCAAAAACTCTGCATGCCTGTCTGTCCCGAATAATGAGACTGTCGAGCCTAGAGTTGAGCTTCATTTACGGAAGAGTTTGTTTGTATGCGATTAGGCTGGTTGCTACATGTCTTTGGGCTCGTTGGCTGAATTTTCCATTAGTGATTTCAGTGTGGCCTCATCACGCAGATTCCTTTTGCATATTTGTACAAACGAGTGGAGGACGTGTGACAAGCTTGTTTTTCTTCTAATGTTTTGTGTAAAGGACGTTTAATTGCCAAATTGACGATCAAAACAAACTTGCTTGGAGTCTAACAAAATCTCACCAAATGTTTTGACGTTATAAAGTTGATAAAACTCCAAGCCTGCAGCTCACATGTTTTCAAGTTGAGTTTTACTGCCTTTGTAATTAAAATAAACACATTTGACAAACCATATCTGAATGAAAACACTGAATATACAATGAAAATCTTTTGCCTGCACACATATGAAAGCAATCACAGCATTCACACTCTGATATCAAACTCGATTGCTCCAATTGGCTCCAGCTTCTAGTTTATGATTGACGTGTTGTGGCACCAGCCTAGATTTTGAGACAGCTTGAATATTTTTATAGCTCTATTAAAGTGAAATTATGTGGGTGAAATAAAGAAGTGGGCGTGCTGATATATATCACTAATAGGGGGGGAAACCATCCGAAAGAGCCCTTGTTACGCCTCAAAACAAACTTATCTGGTACAGACTGCAGAGCTGGAATTCAAAGTGGGGCGATAAAAGCCCACCCGACCCAGCATGAGTGGACTATCTGTGTTTTGAGGAGAACAGCTACACATACAGTTCACCACTGTCTCTTTGGGAGACTCTGGACAGATTAATGATCTCCTGAGTTGTGTGTCTGCAGCAACACCTAAAGAGCCATAAATGCTTCTGGGAGTCTGGCTGCCTGCCTGTGAGGGGAAATGCTTGACTGAGCTTTTTTTTTTTTTCTTACACATTTACCTTCATTTTCATTCTTGGTCTTATTTCTGTCTTCGTCCAGCACATTAAAAAGACTTATTCATACCTGTCCAATGCTCCATCAGATTAGAGGAGCTGCACAGCCAGAACAAATGTGTTTCTTGCCATTTTTTTCTGGCTGTAATCCCCTGTTAGCATTTAGCATTGACATCTAATAGCCCCCTAACAACTTTGATACCATCAGCCTCTCTGCTCCAAACCTCCTTTTATTCTTTCTTGGCATGAGCATGCCTCATACAGCAGGGTAACATGTCCACAGTGACATAACAGGCTGATTGAAGGGCCTGGAGAAGGACAAGGCCACAGTTTGTTCTGGCCTTTTCCTGTCAGGGGCTCTATATGTTTGCCCTGTGGCTTTGACACCCATTCACTGCCGAAGAACTGAAATAAACAAAACCATGAGAACTATTGGGAAAAAAGCCACAGGAAGAGGAGGCTGAGTATTTTTAGCGGGTTTATTTAGTAACCCTGGAGCTCTAACATGTATTTGTCTCACATTTTCATGAGACATTTTGAAGGGAATAAAAATGACAGCCCTGCGCTCAGAGCAAATCTGTGCACCCTTAAGGCTCCTAAAGTGCTCCCTAATTACCGTTTTCTATCCCAAGGTCATAGAGGAATGCGTTCCAAAATGGATTACGTTCCCACTCTCACTCCCTCTTTCTCTCTTTTTCTCTCCCCACTTTCTTACCATTCTTCCCCCTTTATTGCGCTCAGTCTACGTCCCTCTCCTTCTCCCTGTTTAATGGCTTACACATGTCAGCCAAGTGGCCGTGGCACTGCTGTGACAAAGTGAAAAAGTGCCAAAGTACTCCGTCTCATGCTGTTAGATCACAGTGTTCTGCTTACAGTACACAAGCCCGACCCACCTGTCCAAACCGCATGATCAGGATTTCTATTCATCAGCTGTAATTGCTACTTGTTATCATAAAAAAGATCTGATATTTAAGGTCTCCTGCACACATTTCTTTCACCTCAACAGGCAGACATGGCATGCCCTCTCTGTATTTGTAAGGAAAAGTTAAGACCTAACTTTCTAATCTGGCTTTAAAACTTCTTTTAAGTAAAGTTTTTCCTTGTATTTGAACTTTAGCTCTATCCCTGTTCTTTATTTTATCTTCTATGTAAAACTTCAGTGTCATGTTTATCTTTTCAGTTTCATTTTTCTGTTCCAGCGTGAAACCCTTCCCACTTCTTGTTTTTATCAAAAAAAAAAAAAAGATGAAACATCTTTGAATTAAGTTCAGCAAAGTGAACATATTGTACATACAACTCTGACCCCGAATGGAGCTCACAAAAAAAAGCGGTAATCACCACTTCAAAGATGTTTTTTCCTTTCTTACTGGGGTCTGTAATTAAAGTTAATCTTGTAAGAGTTGAGCCTGCATAATGTTCAGAGCAACCTGCAATGTTTATGTTGCTTGAGAGGAAGCTGCGCAGGAGGGTGCAAATAAAGGTGTGCATCTCATTTCCACGCAGGGAAAGGGTCAGAGTGATTTTCAGGTAAAGAAGTGCTCTGATGTAAGGACACTTGTGCATGTCATCACTAATGGTTGCCTCAAAAGCATAGCCTCAAGGCACAAAATACCACCCAGCAGCTGTGGCTCAAAGAAAAAAGAAAGTTAGTCTTTCCTTCTGATTGTTTCCCCGCACAAACAGACACAAAGAACAAAAAGTCTCGTGTCATTTCAAGCTTTTTAGACGATAAGGTACAAGTCTCCCAAAGTAATAGCCCCATATGTTTCACATTACAGAGTTCTGACCACAACAGCAAGGACCCCCAAATTATAGCCACTGTATAAGGCAATTCATTGAGGAAGAGGCTTCATAACAGACGCACTGAGCTCAAGCTAATCTTAAGAGAGTTTGATTCAAAGGATGTAAATGATATCTTTTCACATTAAAAGGAGGGGGTAAAATCACAAGATCAGTGCTCAGTCAGTTTGAATGGCTCCCTTCTCTTGTGCTGAGGCACAAACACACACACACACACACACACACACACACACACACACACACACACACACACACACACACACACACACACAGAGCCAAAGTAAATACAGACAGCAATGGCCTGTTTTGCACTTTGAATAAATGAGCAAACTCAATGTAATGTGACTGGGCAAAGCGCTAAAGAGAGGAGGAACAAATTGGGTAGAAAGTTAATGCAATGTGTGGAAGTTTAATCCTGCTTTTAAATACTGACCAGCCCCTGCTTTAAAAGCCTCCCTGCCAATGACTGGTCATGGTTGAAGTGAAGAGAAACAGTGTCTTACCTTTTCAGGTTTTAAAGTGAGTACTTTGATTCCTCTTTTTTTTATCCGCCTGCGTGTCCTCTTTGTCAGAGCTGCTGAAAGAGATGGAGTCCTGATCAAAGAGTCCTCAGCCCGTCATACGGGTTTAATGCAGGCTGAGAAGCTCATTTTCCTCTGCTTGTAATCTGCTCTCAGGTCGGTCTTGAAGTTCTCTTCGCCCCTTCGCCTTTTTCTGTGGTTCTGGTTAAAAATATGCAAGTTTTAGCTCGGTTCCTGGACTTTCTGCTGCCTGTTCTCACTGCTCAGCCCCCCAGTACAGAGTACACTTCCTCCAGTCTGGACTGCCGCCGGAGCCGCCACAAGTCCTGGCTTGGGATAGTCCTCCCACTGCGCTACTGAAGCTGTCTCCCCATGTTCCCTCCCCCTTTTTCACTCTACCTCCCCTCTCCCCGGCCTCCTCCTCCTTCTCCCGCTACTTCTTTTCCATTTGTTCTCACCCTCACCTCTAACACGCAGACGGACTTCCTCCAGCCACCCCCTTAGAGGACCACCTCCAAAACTCCAAGCTTGCATAGACCAGGTGAGGAATCAGTATGTAATACAACGACCCTTTTAACTTTAGCACCTTGATTTCCACTATTGAGAGAAAACAGACAGGCTTTAAAAACTTGAGGTGTAACCTAGCTGAGCCCTAATTCCGGGAGTACAAAAGGGCGCCAAAATGGGCAACTGTAAGCTATTTATTTTATTCATTTATTCTTTTGTCGAATGTGTTTGCTTAAACCTAAGTTATTTTTATACAACTCAAAATATTAGCTTCTATAACTTAAAATGCTTTGTTGTTTACAACCAAAGAATGTCAAAGTCGTTCAGTCGTATGTTGGCACATTTTTAAGTTAGACCTATAATAATGTTGCACCAACAAGGATTAGGGTCTAAATGTAATAGCCAATTTTAATAACTTGATGTGTTATTGCCTTGATAATGTACAACAGCTTACACCAATGGTCATAAATCTGTAAAGTCTACCTTTTTCGATTTTAGTATCTCGTTTGTTTGTGATGTCCAGACACTTTCCTGAAGACCTCAAGAAAATCTTAATCCAAGATGAACCTGGGACATGTTTATCAATTCTTCAAAATGGCTTATGCATGCTGGTATGCATGCCCATCCAGCTCTTGAATATTTCTCACATTACAGCCCTACTTCTTACAATGATACTTAAAAAATATAGTACTGTCCTCTTAATCTCTGATTGTGTTTGTAGGGGTTTAACAAATTTGCAAACACGAGGGTTAGCGCCATCTATAGGTTAAAACAAAGATTGTTTTTGAAACAAAACTACACCAGCCTCTCCATATACAATGAACTGTTTTCTTCTGTAAAACATTGCAGAAAACTGGCTGATAAAGTAATGAGTACATTTGGACTAAATTGATTAAACAGCTTTATTTTGGATCTCTTCAGAGAGACATTTCTTTTGCAAATAAACAAAAAACAAAACATGGTTGATCATTACATATTGGTCAGTGCTGTAAGCTAAAACTTCAAATTCAGGGTTTGCAAAGGAAAAAATAGTACTCAAAATAACACATATTTTCGTCAAGCAACTACAACATCAGGGCAAGAACTGCTAAATTAATGCCATCTCCAGGACAAACAAGGACATTTGATAATGCTTTGAATTCCATTCAAAAAGTCTCATACTCTACTAAGCAATGACAAATATATTCAATTGTAATGTACATGTTATGGGGAAAAAAGCATCACTTATACACTGTAGATCATGTAATATTATAACACCAAATCACCACAAACTGCAACAAGTAAAAATCAAAATAAGCAAATGAATCAGAGTCAAGATTGAAAACAAACCTCCCAAAATCTAACAGATAGCAGGAAATTTTTAAAAAGCAAACTACATAAGAATTTCTGGTATCTTGTCTAGTTTCATTCATTTTAATGCCATATACTAAAATGATATGTTGTTGGTATGAGTAGTACTGCTGGAGGTGAAGGTTAGGCTGTAAGAAGAGGTGTAATCAACACTGCCTCTACGAGATCCACTCCTGGAGTCGGTTCGTGAGCCAGCCCTTGCGCTAGTTTCGCTTGTTATTTCATCAGCAAACTGGGTTAAGGTAAGTGTTCCAGCAAGATACTTGTCCAACATCTGCTGGTCAATGACACCGTGGTCCAAGCAGTCCTGGATGTCGTATTGGGTTCCTGTTTTCCTGTCCACTATCACCAAACGTGTAGAACCGTCAGACCCCTGGATGGTTATTTCCTCCCACTCGCACTCCTGCTCTGACAACTCCAGGAAAGTGTCATAGTCGATGAGCTCTCGATGATAGGCTTCCCTCACTGACATCTTTAGCCCAGTGTCCGGATCAACAATCACTACTCGCCTCCTGCGAAGAACATTGGAACGGCTCTCTTGTGATTTCTGGGGTTTGTTCTTGTCTCCGACTGGCAGTAGAATTAGTTCTGTTTTCTCATCTTTGATGCACCTTTTCTTCAGCTGGAGATAAGTCAGGTTCTCCTTAGTGTTAGGGTCCAAGAACCCCTTAGTGTCATCACCTTCATAGGTCAAGATCTCATTCATCTCCTCATTAAAGTATCCCCTTTTATAGGCAACTGCGACATCAATACGATGGCTCTCTTTGGGGTCAATAATCCCACCACTTGCGATTTGGGCCTCAAGGAGACGGATTCCATGACCTTTCTCTATAACTTCCTTCTCAATAGCCTCGAAGAGTGAGATTGTCTTTCCTGTGGCTGGGTCACTGTATCCAGTTACTGCCTGTTCTGCAGACAACAGCTTGTTCTTAAACTCTTTTCCGATCAACCCCCTCTTTGTGGCCTCCTCTACTGTCAAGAAGACATTGTTGACTGGATCAACAATGAAACCAGAGGCAGCTTGGGCCTCAAGAAGCTCCAGGGTGGTTCCTCTCGTGAGCAGACCTTCCTTCATTGCCTGATAGAGAGGTATTATCTGGTCATTGGCCTCATCATAGAGCCCTGCGATGCAGGTAGAGCCATAGAGGTAATAATTGTCAATAGGCTTGTTAATATCTGGGCTGGAGAGTTTTTCTTGGAGCAGAAGCAAACCAGAAACAGGTTCCGTTGTACATTTCTTCCTCAGGTCATTATAGCTTGTCTTCTCCTTTGTTGCAGGATCAAGGTAACAGGTTGGTTTCTTATTCAGAGCTCTGTAAAGATCCTCATCAATGAGATTGCGAGCCAAGGCCGTATCTTTTGGAAGGTACACACTCAGAACAGGGTCAATAATGCCTCCAACAGACTCTTGAGCCTGGAGCAAGCGAACAGTTGTGTCTTTGTCTATATGGCCCTGTTTGCAAGCCTGACCTACAGATAGCACTTTGCCTGTGTTTCGGTCTTTGAAGCCTGTGCTAGCTGCTTCAGCTTTCACCAAGGTGTCTCTGTCCTCTGTGTCCACAATTCCTCTTGAACAGGCGGTATCCACAGGGATCTTCTCATTCAATGCAGGGTCTATGATGTAACCTGTTGCTGCTTGAGCTTCCAAGAGCATGAGGGCGCTCTCTGGACTGAGGAGCTTCTTGTTTTTGGCTTCAGTGAAAGGCATTTTTCCTTGAGAGCCTGCTTTCATGCCAGCAATGACACCTGTACCTTTCAGATTAAGTTGAATATCCACAGCCACCTCATCTACTGTCCGTTTCCCTTTCAAGAGCTGGTCTAGAGTGGTTTTATTTATTATGCCACAGTCGCATAGTTGGTGGGCTGTGACTTTGCGGCGCACTCCATCAAATATCAGCTTGGATGGATCGACTGTCGGGTCCATCTCATCTGTCTGGGTGAACCTGCTAGTGGAGCTAGGTTTCTGTTTCAGCCTCTCAATCTCTTTCTCAAGGGCATCCCTCTTGAGAGCCAGCTCTTTTGCATCTTTTTTAGAGTTGAACAGAAGACTCTTGTACCGCTCCTCAACACTCTTTAGCTCTCTCATGAGCCTCTCAATCTCATTCTTCAAGGAGAGCCTTTCTCTATCAAACTTGTCTCTGTCTGACTCAAACTGCCTAACCTGGCCATCCCTGAGCTCAAACTGGCTCTTCATGTAGTTGAAATCCTTGAGAATGGTATTCTTTTCATCCTGTAGTCGCTGTTTGTTGCGAAGCTCAGACTCCAGTGAGAGCTTAATGCGGTTGAGCTCCTCTTCGAGGTGTTGCATACGGGTCTTGTCCTGCTCTAGGAGTTTAAGCTTGAATAGCAAACTGTCTCTCTCCAGTATCAGCTCATTGTACTGGCTTTGGGATGTATGCAACAGCATGGACGTCTGAGGAGAGATAAAAAGAAATCATCACTTAACCTGTGAAGAATTGCCAAAACAAGGTATGTAAAGTAAAAAGTTAATGACGTTTATTCTGAGGAGCATGGCTGGCTTAGCTTAGCTTACAAAGTTGTGATCTGTGAAGTTTTTAGTTTGTATTACCGTGACTTAAGATGTCAGATGCCAATTGAAACTAATCAGTTGTCATTGCTATTTGAGCAAATTGATAATGTACACATGATGAGACATGTATACATTCCATTAGTTACATCAATTAGTGTGCAGTGATTAGTCATAATAATGTGAGTTCAATCATATAACTTGTAAGCTACAACAGAAAACCTCATGCACATCTCAGTGAAAGCATTTGCGAGTTAGTGAATTTTAAGCAGAATCTTTCAATAAGTCAATCGTCGCTGAAGTAACAGGGTGACAACGAAATCAAGTTGAGTCTTTGTGCATCTCTAAACATTCATGCAGCACTTTCTCCATCAGTAGCATCTTTGCTGCGCTTCAGTTCATCTCTCTCCTGTCTGGCCGCCCTCAGCTCCTCCCCCAACCTCAACCTCTCCTTCGTCAGGTCCTGCGTCAGAGTCTTCAGCTTCTCTATCTCTGTGGTGTACTCATTCAGCTGGCGGCTCTTCTCCTCAATGGTCTTTTACAGGCTCTCATTACGTTGGTTGAGTTCACGAATTCGAGCTTCTTCCTGCAGGAGTTTTTGTTTGAGTGCCCTCAGCTCGGCTGTGACAGCTGCCAGTTCATCCTTAGTGATTTTATGATCTTGCAGACTCTTGTCCAGAGCAGCCTGGAGGGCACTGAGGTCCTGCTCATACTTTCTCCCAGAGTTGGACGCCTCTATCTGAATAGATTTCAGGGTGCTAATTGTGGTGGTGCGCTCTCTGCAAATTTGTGTCATCCTCTCCAGCTCTGCTTCCACTCTTTTTCTACGTGTGAACTCCTCCTGAGTTGCTTTCTTCTGCCTCTCCACCTCAGCTTCAAGCCCATCCAAGGATCCCTGAAGTTCTCGGATGCGGCTCTGTAGCCTGGTAGAGCTCTGCTCAGCCTTGTTCCTCTCACTGGTCTGCTTCTCTAGCTCTACTCTAGTGACACGTACCTCCTGCTCAAAAACTCTTAGCCTGTTGATTTCCTCCAGATATAATGTGTTCTTTGTCTTCAGCTCTGCCTCAGCGTGCTTCAGGCGATTGATTTCTGATTCCAGGGCTCTCCTCTTCTTTCCTTCCTCTTCCAGGTTTAACTGCAGCACACTGATCTGCCTTGACTTTTCCTGATTGCCTTTGGTGGCTTCCTTTAGTTTGAGCTCATCATCTTCTCTCTGATTCTGGAGTGTTCTCAGCTGAACCTCCAACTCACTACGGATCCTTGTCTCTTGTGTCACTGAGGCCCTCTGCTGGTTGGCCTCCTGCTCTGCTCTGCTCTTCTGCTCCCCGGTGTGAATAATGGACTGCCTCATTCTCAACAGCTCCTGCTCTAGATCCCTCTTATCAGCAGCTAGTCTATCAATTTGCAGCCTGAGCTCTGCTGCGTCTTCTTCCTTCTTTTGTGAGGTTTTCAGAATGGTGGTCTTGGTGATGTGGATCTCTAACTCGTATTTTTGCTTAAGCAGATTAATCTCCTGGGTGGTCTGTGCTCTTACCTTTGAGATATCTAATTCAGCGTTTCGTCGAAGTGCTGCTTCCTCCTCCATCAGTATCTTCATCCTCTCCAGTTCACGTTCCTTGTCCTTCACGGTCTTTTCCAAATCAATCTTGAGCCAGTTGAGCTCCTCTAGTTCTTTCTGTCTACGACGCACTGCTCCCTCATACTCTTCTTGCTGACTTGAGTAGCGTTCCTCTGCCAACCTCCTTTTTATCTTCTCCTCATCCAGCTGGTATTTGATGCGTGTCAGTTGGTCGTTGAGATCTTGAAGCTGATTGTTTGTGCTGTCCAGGTCGCCCCTGGTAGCGCTAACTTGGTCCACTGCGGTTTTCTTTATTTCACCGATAACAATGACTTGGACTTTTAATTCACTGAGTTCTAGATTTAGGCGGGCCAAGGCATCCTCTAGTGTTTTATTTTTTTGGTTACGATCTTGGATGTCCTCCCTCAGACGTCTCAGCTCCTCCTCCAGCCCTTCAATCTTTGTGTTCCTGATCTAAAGAGAGCAATGATGAAAAAAAAAAAGAGAGATCTTATTTTCATCGTCTTATTTGTTCAACCTACACAAGTTTTATACACACAGAAATAATGTCTTTTAAGGTATCGTATACATTTTCCACTTACCTTTAGCTCCTCCATGTTCTTCAGCAGCTCCCCAAGAAATTTGTAGTAGTCACTGGAGCGGGTAAGCAGCTCAATGTAATTGGACTGGAGGTCAGCCGCCTGATGGAAACAAACTTAGCGGATTAATTTTGGTGTACAACTTGAATGTTTTAATTAGACAACTGTGTGAATTTCAAATCAAATAAAGGGATTAACATTTAAGTTAATGATTTAACCAGAGTACCATTGTTTAACTGAGTTTAATGAAACAGAAAACACATGCAGTGTAACTGTTACTCATCTAATATTAATAGCTCTCTAACTGGATGGATAGAAAACACACATACCTCCTGTCTGACTACAGAGGCCGGCGACTGAAGCATTGTTCTCCTGATAGGAATGTTAAGCAGAGTTTCCAGGCCTGAACTGTAGGAAGCCAGCTGCAGCTCATAGTCCTGGGTACACATAAAAAGTATGGACATATTTTTTGAGACAGATTTACGTGCACACAATAATAGATAATATCTCTGAATGTAATATGTGTCTACAAAAAAATTGAAAAAATCCAGTCCAAATGTTTGGTTACACACCTTTATGGAGGCAGCACAGGTGTTTGCATCTTTCTGCACATCCTCTACTTTCTCCCTCTTGCCTTTAATTTCTGTGTGAAGAGCCTGTGCGGTCAACAAAAAAGGGACAGGAAAGTTTCTGATTTAATGTGACCTCAAACTGTCAGGTCTCTGTTACACATTCAGAGGAAGTGGTTTTGTTATCAGACAAGAAACATCCATGATACCTGACAAAAGAAATTAAGTGGCAATTTATATCTGGAATTAGAAATAAGATATTGGCTGACCTGATCACAACAAGTGGACGGATTATACATATTCAAATGTATCTCCAGTGACCAGCTATTACTGTATCTAACATTCTTGTTTTATATGCAAACTAGAAAAGCACTCAGAGAGCGCAGGCCTCCGCCAAGCAGCTCATGTCCCCCCTTATATTGTGATTCACACCAAAACTTTTACTGTTACGTGTCTTTTATTAACTCTTATTTGTGTTTAAACTGGTATGTTCAGTGTTCATAATGTTCCTAAAACAAGAAATGCCCTGACCCGGATTCTAACCCAGGACCTTCTGACTGTGAGGCGACAGTGCTAACCGCTACACCACTGTGCCGCCTATCTACACCACTGTGCCACCCATTGGTTATCTTTCAGCATTGAAAATTCCAACAACACCCTTATTTTTGTGTGTACTGGAGGATCACAGTATCCAGAATTTTGTCTGTATCAGGATCAACCTTTGACACCTCATGAAACTCATTGAGATCCTTTTGTGTAATTTTTTACTAAAGACTCTGGCCATTTTTATAGGTAATGCAAAAATTCCCAAATTTGCCCTATCTCGCAATGATAAAGAATCCTTCAAAAAATTCCTGGATCGAGAAGATGATCCGGATCACCACAAAAATTTTATGGGATCCTCCTGGGGCTGAGACGCACCTCTGGTGAAAATTTCAGGTAAATCCGTCTGTAACTTTCTTCATAAAGTTGCTAACAGACAAACAAACAAACCAACGCTACCGAAAACAAAACCTCCTTGGTGGAGGTAATTAACTCACAGCCTTGTCCACCCAATGTCAGACCTGAATGACCTGTCATCCATGCTTCCTGGGTGCTTCCAAGTCTATAATTAAGGCTGTCTACTTGTTGTCTGATCACTAAAACAACAAATTATCTTCAGATGTGACCAGAGCCTAATATTATAAATCATCCAAGAAATTTAACCCAACTCATGTGTGATGTGTGAATGGTTTGAACTGAAAGATTAGAGAGTTCACTCATGATTAGAAAACCCTTTTGGAAACATGCCTTCTGTTCGCTGAGGTGATCCATTAGAGTCTGGACATCATTGAGCTTGACCATCTGCAGGCTGTCCTGACGCTTCCTGGCATTGTCTATCCACTGCTCCAGTGAATTGCTGCTCTGCTGATAATGGTTCAGTTGCGTCTCCTGCTTCTCCAAGTCCCACACTCTGAAAGAGGAAAAAGTGGCAGGCAGAGGAAAGGATATAAGGATGTTTTTGGAGTTTTTTTCAGCAATGGAGCAAAGGGGGAAATGGAAAACATACTGTAAGTGAATACGTGCTGAGCTACCTCACCTGCTATCAATCTGGGTCTGAATACGACGCCAACGGTCGAACAATTGAGCCGCCAGATCAGAGTATTTGGACAAGTCGACATCACACTTGTGGAAGGTATCTGAGATTTGACTGTTCCAGTGCTTGGCTTTGGTTAGGTCTGACTCCATGGCGGTCAGCAGGTCTCTCTTGTAATCCAGATCGCTCTTCATTTGCTTTAATAGAGAGTCACAGAACGATTATTATTTAACTATTATTTAAAATCTCATTTTATTTATTGTATTAATCTATGTAATTGGATCCCCGTTAGCTACTTCCTAAATAGCAGCGAATCCTTCTGGGGTTCACAAGAAGACGGTAAACATTTGTATAGATTAAAATAACAAAAATCCAAGCAGGAGAATTATACAAGATGTTAAAATCATAACTAAAACAAGAATTATGATGACCTTACATTTCCAATAACAATAGACACCAGTAAAGGCAAAAATAAATGAACTTGTGATCAAAATCTCATTGGCGTATATTGTATATTGTCACAGCCTAGTCTAGGTGTTCTAGGTGTTACAGACGTGTGCTGTGGGGCCACACAAATAATGCGGCTCTGACACTTAAAGAAAGAAATTATGGTTCAGGAAGGTTGTATACAAACAAACAAACAAATATATACATATATATATATATTTTAGGTCTAACTCAACTTGCATAGAAGTCATAAGCAAAGTAATTTGGCTGCAAAAAGTTTCAAAGTTACTACACTACAAGTCAAAGTCCTGCCCTAAAAAAGTATTTCACCTTGAGAGAAAAAGGCCCTTAAACATATTACAAATGTTTTTTTTTGCAAGTAAGTGATGGCAAATTATAATAGTGCAACACTGTTGATGTGTAAGTTTCTTTTTACTTTTGTAGATTTTTGTGGTGGTGCAGAATTAACTCAAACGTTTTCTTTCGCAGCCTGTTTGCAACTGTGTATTTGGTTTAATAAGATCATCATACCTATGTTTCATATGTATATAGGTGAGTACATTGTTCTGGTAAATTCTTAGTAAGGACATAAGAAATGAAAAAAACAATGAAAAGAAACTTTCTCATATTAAACAGCTTTTTGTAAATGATTTGAAAGTTAAGTGAATAAACAAAATTGATAGACATATTCATAGAGGATGTGTCAGACCTTTAGAGTGTAGCAATAGTTCTCCACCTCTCGCAGGTCCAGTGAGGATGTCTCCTTCTCAGTTAGCCGTGCCTCATGAACCTTTATAATGTCCTCAGCCTGAAGAAGGCTTTCGAGCAAGCCCTTAAGAGCTGACAGTCTGTTTAAGACACAATATCATTCAATTAAATATACCATTTCCTTTTTACTTTATTCACCTAGTCTTTGCTGGGTGAAGCAAAAGGTGGTGTGCTAACAAGAGAATGAATTACCTTTGAATATACGCTGAGTAGAGACCTTGCAGGCCCCCCAGTTTTTGGTTGATGATTTCAAGTTCAGTGCGGAGGAACTTGGCTTGTTCAGAGTCTGCAGGTATGCCTTCCAGCTGCTTTATAATCCTTTCTCTGAGGCGCAGGTACTCATCGTGAATGGAGTCCAGGTCTTGGTGCACAGCCTAAAAATAATCATATCATAGTTTATACATGACATCAAAGTTTTATTATTCATAACAGTGATATATATGAGATAGAGATATATGATAGGGATATAAAGGTTGCTTATTTTGTGTCAATTTGTCAAATAATAATAACTTACCTGCAGGTTCTGGATATACACGGTGCACTCCTGCACGCTGTTTTCACCCAGGTGAACATGAAGATGACTGGTCAGACCAGACTCTGCCAGCTCCAACTTGCGCCGAATTTCTTGCAGACTGCTGAGCAAGCTGAGGCTGAGGGTGGATGGGGGTGGATGAGGAGGCTTTGTGGCCCCCACTGGGACAACAGTCTCCGGTTCAATGGGGTTTGAAGGGTTTGACGGTTTTTCAGGTTCTTTTATTGGGGGTTCAGGCTTCACCCCTTCACCTGCTGTATTGGTTTGTGCATAATATAAATAATATTATTACAGTGAATAAAAAAATGACATTTTTATAACATAGGCTGCTGGAAGAAGGATGAACTCACGGTAGGTAGGCAGCTGGATTATAAGCTTATAATAGTGGTCTAGCGCTTTGTCAAAGTGACCCTGGATGGTTCTCTTGTCCTCTTCCCCAAATAGTTCAGAGCCTTGGCTGTTAAGCTGGAACTCTTGGTAGCGAGTCTCCAGTATTTTGATGATATTGCGGTACTCCTCCGGGCTCATCTTGGACAGCTGCAATGCGGGAAGTAAAAGATACAAAGGGTTAGTGGTGAGTCAAAATGAGAAGGAAGATTAGTTTAATTTACAACATAAACCAATTCATCATCAGTTCTTACCATGGTGAGTGTGAGGGAGTTGGTGTAGTTGATGTCTTTAAGACAGTACTGCCATGAGATGAGACTCTTGATGTTGATGTAGAGCTGGCTCCAGACGCTCATGATGGCTTCGTAAGACTGCTCATTCCTAAGAGGCAGCACAAGCCATTTAGTACCTTAGAATGCTAACACAGAACTATACTAGCACACTGTAAATACTAGAAAAGCACTCAGAGAGCGCAGACCTCCACCAAGCAGCTCATGTCCCCCCTTATATTGTGATTCACACCAAAACTTTTACTGTTACGTGTCTTTTATTAACTTTTATTTGTGTTTAAACTGGTATGTTCGCTGTTCATAATGTTCCTAAAACAAGGATTGCCCTGACCCGGATTCAAACCCAGGACCTTCTGACTGTGAGGCGAGAGTGCTAACCACTACACCACTGTGCCGCCCATTGGTTATCTTTCAGCATTGAAAATTCCAACAACACCCTTATTTTTGTGTGTCCTGGATCACAGTATCCGGAATTTTGTCTGGCTCAGGATCAACCTTTGACACCTCATAAAACTCATTGAGATCCTTTTGTGTAATTTTTTACTAAAGACTCTGGCCATTTTTATAGAGTTAAATGCAAAAATTCCCAAATTTGCCCTATCTCACAATGATAAAGAATCCTTCAAAAAATTGCTGAATTAATGGCATCCTCCTGGGGCTGAGACGCACCTCTGGTGAAAATTTCAGGTCAATCCGTCTGTAACTTTCTCCGTAAAGTTGCTAACAGACAAACAAACAAACCAACGCTACCGAAAACATAACCTCCTTGGCGGAGGTAACAACATATAGAAATCTCAATTTTGTATCATCTAAGTGTTTCTTACTTAGTGGCAAGGTCAATGCTGAGCGGGTTTGGTGGGGGCATCAGGAGACACACGGAGGGAATGATCATATCCAGACCTCCTGGTCCTGTCACAAGCCATTTACTGCGCTGTGAGTTATCCTTCAGGATACCCTCATTCCCTTCGAATATTCCTTTCTGTGGTGCAAAATGGAAAACATAAAAGACACTGAATAATAGTGGAAATAGCTCATATACTTCTGCTTCAAATGCTGTGTTTATATTTTTGTGTTTGTATGAGTCAGGAGTAGATGTATCACACCTGGTCTTGTTTGAAATCACATAAGGCCTGGACCATCACAGGGCCGTTGATCCTCTCCTCAGGATTGCGAGGTTTCAGTCTGACGATGGTCTTTGATTTGTTGACCAGACTCTGGACTTGCCTCTTATGCTCAATGATTTGCTCCTTCTCTCTCTGCGTACATAAAAAATCATTTCTGTGTTTGAACTGTTTCGCTGTAAACTGGAATTCTTAAAGTTTCAAATTCTGTAGTATGAAAGCACATCATAGAAGTATCACATTCAACCACTTAAAAGAACTGACAAAACCAGTTCGCCAGTTTGTTTGCACTCTTTTCATTGAAGTGAATAAATTGTTTGAGCATATTTGTGTTTCACACTTCAACAGAAACTTGGACATCCTGAACCTAGAATAAAATTCATACCTCCAGGTTCTTTAGGAGTTCAACCAGGTTTTCCAGAGGAGTGTTTTTATCGCAGGTAAACTTGCTTCTGATGGTGTCATACTCTTTCTGCAGCTTTAAAGAGGTCTCCTTGGCATTTTTGAAAAACTGGAGACGGTAAAAGGCTTTGATCAGTGCTCACAAGAAAACCTCTGTGGTTTTATTTGAATAAAAGTGAGAGCATGACTGAGCACTTACTTGGCTGTAGGCAGCATTCTCTTTTAAGTGCACATGAATACATTTGGTGATCTGGAGGAGCCAGCTCCACTGGGTCTGCAGGGTGTCCATGTAGGCCTGTGGGTACATTTAGTCATCAGTACAAAACCACTGAATAATTTGTTTTTTTGCATACATAAATACCAAAAAACAGCTAAAGGTCTCACTTCAATCTTATCTGAGGCGGGGTGGTTGTTGTTCAGGAGCCCGTCTGTTTTTAACGTCAGCTTGTTTAGCTCCTTTTCTTTCTCCTCCAGGTCTCTCATCAGACGCTGTGAGGAGAAAAAGTCAGGGACTTTTCTATACTGTAGATTATTTTGGTGAAATTACAGAAAGCACCACACTAGATCCTTACTGAGTAGCTCTCTTGCTTCCTGGGGATGTATTGATCAATGTTTTTATCTCCCCAGTCAAACACAAGCTCTTCCTCCTCCTTCTCGTTCACCCACATGATGGCTCGGGAGATCTCCTCGATGATGCTCTGAAGCTCACGCAGCTGCTGTACACGGCTGTTGGACATTTTCTGAGGCAGACACAAAGAACATTTATGAGTAAGATCAGTAAATCAACTCTAATGACAGAGCACAGATTTGCTTATTTTTAACTAGCTGGTTCTAATCTACCTGCAGGCTGTCCCATTCTTGCTCGAGGATGGTGAGGTTGTACTTGTCACCCCTTGAGCGCTACAAAAAGAGATGTTTTTGGTTAAATTCAAACAACAATACAGTGTATATAGATTAAAACCGCCGTCAATATATACACAAGACAAATTAACAAGCCATAACAGTCAAAAGTAAGGATAACAATAAAGATAGAAAGGCATTACTTACTAATTCATCTCTGGCTCTGTCTACCTCCGGGCTTCTCTGGATGGAGCTGTGGCGCTTGTTGTGGTTCATGATTTGCTTTTCAATGGCCTCAGAGTCGTCACCAAACGGAGAGGTCTCAATCATGCGCTACAGGAATGCAGAATCACATGTATTACACAGAAAAAGACAATAAATTACATTACATGTCTTTTTAATCATCATCAAACTGCATGGGAGACTAAAATACACAGTTCATGATTAGTCTCTCGCTGTTGTTTGACATTTTTGCAATGTATGGCACTCAGACTTTATCCAGCGTTTTCTACATATGTCTTAAAAATATAAAAACAGCTCCTAAACATATTGTTACTTCTAAATGGTGAATGTACTATACGTGCAAATATGATTCAAACTACACCGCCCATGTTTGTTGTGTTGCAGAAACATCTCCCCCGCTATTTTTTTGTGTGTCCTAAAGGTTTGTAGGTTTTTGGGGCAGTATTAGTATCGAAAGAAATACACATTTCCCACCTCACCTACATTTCAGGACTTCAGTGGTGTGCTCTTCCCTCAATTGTCCTCTAGGTGTCAGCATATAATCATTAAGTTTACTTTCAGGCAGAAAACTATCCCAACTATTCCCCCCTTGACTGCAGCCCTCAGCTTTGATAAGCGCTCTGCCAGTAAGTCACCATCAGCCAATCCCTGCTCTTTACTTCCATTTTTTTTTCTCTTTCTCTTTCCTTCTTTCTTGAGACTTTTGTTCTCTCGCCTCTCCCTTTCCTCCATGGTTACTTGGCAGACGCTAAGCACAACAAAGCTGTTAGTAGACTGTCTGCACTGAAGCTCATGTCCATGAAGGAAAGGTCAAAAAAGTTACAAACAGTGAAGTAGGACTGGAGGTACAATGGCTGACAGTGTGGTTAGAAGGACAAAGACACAGGTGGAGGTAATGGCAGGTTTTTAAATAATACGTTCTGTTTTTTTTTTCTTTTAAGCTAAAAGAAAAAATATAAGTACAAAGAAAGATGCAGAAAACTGTACAGAGGAATGTTTCTGTATTGTATGTCAGGGGGAAACAGATGACAGAATATGGAGGGCGAGGCTTTCAGTGTTGACTGAATGTGTTTTGGTTGGGTAGGAGGGTTGGTGAGGTAGACTGCTGAAGGGCGTTTTCCCATGAGCATGTCAGACATCTGCTGAACAGCACCGTCCCATAACTAGTGAGTCAGGAGAAAGTGTCAGATTTCACACTACTTTACTTCTACTTTTCTTTCCGCTCCTCAAGTTTTTATCTCTCTCCCTCTCCCCATGTCTTTCTCTCTCTCTCTCTCTTTCTCACATGGTCAAGCTCTTTCCCCTTCTTTGTTTCCATCCCTCCTCACCTCTCTTGGCCTCTTTTCACTCATGGATCAGGTTTTGGCAGACTGTCCAGATGGTATCAGTTACAGGAGGTCACAATATGTGATAGCGTAAGTGCTTCCCCCCCTCACCTCGCCTACCCCCTTCACACAAAGGCGGTGCACCTTAATGTACTGTATGGGCATGCACACACATGCAGATGCAAGTATTCCCACTGCTCCAACAGGTTAAAACTTCTGAGCACAGTCAGACTTTGCGTGGATGATGACGTCATGGAATACATCAGACAATATGAGTTATAAAAACTGGTATTTACTACTTTGATTAATAAAAATATGTATATTTATTTATATATGAAAAAACAGATCACTCTATGTCTCTTATGTATTAAAAGGTCACCTTTTGTTGGGCAATCCAGGCCATGGCATCAGTGAAGATCCGACCCCCCTCTTGGGAGCCTACGCTGCCCCTTCCCCCATTCGAACTACCGGCCAGCCGCTGTTGGATGGCAGCATACATGTGCTGGAACTGGTCCAGACTGTAGAGTTGTACAAAAAAGGAGAATACTAAGTGAATCCTTTGAGTCGGATTTTCCTCACCACTCAACTTCAAAGAGATAGACAACAATAGCTGAAGGAGACGTATTTTCAAAGGGATATCAATACTGAAAGTCTTCTCTTCAAATAGTTTTGGTTCGACTAGAAATTAAGCTCATATGTTGCTCAAACAAATGCATGTTTAGAAAATGTACCCATGTTTAACAATATGCAGGTGTACTTAACTATGTACAGACAGCACACAAACCCACAACACACACTGCATCTTGTCTTACTTTCTGAGGACATCACTGGGTATACGCATCCGCTGCAGCTCTTTGCCACAGATGCTCATCTGGTCCATGGTTTCTGCAGCCAAGATTAACAGCTTCTCTACCTCGGCGGCTGGACCCCCCTATAAAATCATAACAGACAAGATACTGAGTCGAATCACGCTCGGCTTTACAGTTCAGTATATCTGCTTCTTTAAGTTGTTTCCTGACTCATTAGGTGATTAAAACATCTTTGTATATCAATGTGTAAGTGTAAAATATTGAAAAACTTGAGATCAATCATGTTTAGTGTAATTTTTGTGCCAAACTTACTTCATAAAGAATCATCCTTGCTCGCTGCATGTAGTCCTGACATTGGCTAGTCAGGAACATTGCCTTTTGCTGAATGGGGTGTACACTATAAATGAGAAACAAAACACAGTTTAGTAAGAACAGCTTTAAATCGTAACAGTGTGTCAACTATTTCGTTAACATATAATTGGGCTACAGATTTTTTTTAGTATACAATATCATCACAAGAAAAATTAATAAATGCAGAGGATACTCTTTGTCTACATTAAAAGTTACTGTGTTGAACTGCTTTTAAAAGGTTATTCAGTTTCAGATAACAGTCCCTCAAAAGCCAAATCAGCACTACAAAAACAATGTGTGGAAATAAAATGTTGAGTCCGAAGAGGAGTTGAATCTTTCCAAAGTGCTTATTTATTGTTTTTAAAAGTCTGGCTCCGGGTTGTTTGGGGAAATGGGTCACCTGAGGTTCACCAAAACAAAACCTCTGCTAACCAATAAAAGCTGCTCAGCCCTGGACGCTCTCTTTTTAGATGAGCTTTAAACACTCACACACCTCCAAGTGGTGTCCCGATTTTTCTGTCGCTTTGTTCGACATAAGTTAAGCATTAGGAAAAGCATTTTAAAAGGAAACAGTTTGGGAAGCTCGCACACTGACACAGACATCACTCCATAAACATTAGACACTGACATCATGGTGAATGATAGTACTGGGAGGACAAGAAGGGGTGTGTGTGCAAATACTTTCTCCATGTAATTCACTTTATTGGTCAACAGATCAGGAGTGATACAACTAGGTGAAAACAAATGGGGAAAATTCACAATAAAGATGTCAAAAACAGGGATCCATTTTGGTCGGATTTTTGTGTGCGTAGCCCAACAATAATAAAACCTAACAGGTGAGCCTTTATCTCAATTTGCTTGAGGACATTGTGAATTTACCTTTTAAGGTCACATGCAAATCAAATCAAATCAAACTTTATTTATATAGCACCTTTCATGCAAGCTGCAACAAAAGGTGCTTTACAAAAAGATAAAAACAAACAATGGTAAATATAAGGCAATGAAACAGGCATAAAACCCGTCCCTTCCCACCCACAGCAACACATACAGGCATGCACCGCAGCCCCCCCACACACACACACGCGCGCACACAAGTATCCACACACCCACACACCAACTGTCAGTAAAAACATGGCAAGATACTGAGGAACCTGGTGAGGAAAGATCACCTATGGGAGCCGTCCACACCGAGAATAGCCACAATTCTGTAGCAGTTGTAGAATGTGAATAGTCTTCTTGGGAAGACCAGAGAGCAGGGCATTACAGTAATCTAAACGACTAGAAATAAAAGCATGCATCAGCACCTCCGTGTTGGCCTGGGAGAGAAACGGGCGGACTCTGGCTATATTCTTAAGATGGTAAAAACCTATCTTTGTTACGTTCTTGATATGTGGAATAAAATTCAGCTCAGAGTCAAAAATTACACCCAGATTCTTAACAGATTGAGCAGGTTTAAAATCTTGTAGTTTTGGTAAAAGTTTCTCTCTCTTGCCAATAATTAAAACTTCAGTTTTATCCTGGTTGAGCTGTAGGAAATTCTCTGCCATCCATGACTTGATATCTAAAATGCAGTTAAAAAGGGCATCAATAGGCCTTTTGAGACACAGCGATGTACAACTGTGTATCGTCAGCGCAACTATGGAAGCTGATGCCGTGTCTCCTGATGACGTCCCCAAGGGGACGCATATACAGATTAAAAAGTGTTGGACCTAAAATTGACCCTTGAGGAACAGGTATCCATACTTACAAAGAAGGATCATTCCGAGAGATAAGAACTGAACCAGTTAAAAACAGTACCGGCGAGGCCCACCAGGTGCCTGAGTCTGCTTAACAAAATCCGGTGATCTACTGTGTCAAAGGCAGCGCTTAGATCCAGTAGTACCAGAACCGTGAGCTTCTGTTTATCAGCATTACACCTGATATCGTTCAAAATCTTTAAAAGGGCTGTCTCGGTACTGTGGTTCATCCTAAAACTGGATTGATACTTCTCTAAAATATTGGTACTTTTTAAGAAATAATTTAATTGGTTAAAAACCAGTCTTTCTAAGATTGTACTTAAAAACGGTAAGTTGGATATGGGTCGATAATTATTAAGAACATCAGTATCCAAATTGCTCTTCTTCAGAAGGGGCTTAACCACCACCGTTTTAAGGGCGGTGGGGAAGACGCCCATCTGAAGAGAGCAGTTTACTATGGTTAAAATCTGTTCCTCAAAAAATTCATAAAATGTTGTTAAAAATGATGTGGGAATTGGATCTAAAAGGCAGGTTGTTGGGTTAACTTGGGAGAAAACTCGACCAAGTGTCCTTGCGTCAACCAGGGCAAAACTCTCCAGTGTTTCCTCAGGTAAAATCTGCTGTTCAGATGTGTCAAAAATCACATTCTGATGAGTTAAAAGACTGGATTTAATATCATCTATTTTACTCCCGAAGTGGTCTGCAAAGTCCTCACAAAGGAAATAAGGGATAAAAAGCTACGTTAATCACCCCAATGGCTAAATTTGTACTCTACGTGAATGTTTTGTTGTTTAGTTTTTAGTTTGTTTTCAGTGTGCGTATTTCCGTCACCACCTACACGTCCATTTCTCGGAAATTTGAAGCACTGTTAAGACTCATTCAAAAAGCAACAGGTGGTTTTCTTACCTTGTCCCACCACCACCGCCCACAACCATGCTCATTTGCGTCTTCTGTCCCTCGCCATGCTTGGAGGACCTGAGTAAGGTGGTGAAGGTGTATTCGCCTTGCCCTCCCTGGAACACTCCATGAACGTTGTTTCCATCGACAAACACGCCGTTTCTGAAGCTCGGACTTGCCAAATCCGGCCGCAAATTGCTTCTCTGGCTCATTGGAGCCAGTTCATTGTTGGAGCTGCGCATACTCATATTTGCGTTGTTGTTTTTTTCCAGTTTAATTAAAAAAAAGTTGTAGTCTAGTTAGTTTTGATCGTGTGCTCTGCTGTCCAGACAGAGGACAGAGCACGTGCCTCTCCCCTTCACGTCTCCTGTTGCGCAGATAATGCGGCTCTGCTGTGATCAGATGGAAACTGGGCTCTTTTGAAGAGAAACCACACCTTGCTGTGTTTATGAAACGCCCCTGTGCTTACTTGGTAAGTGTGGGAGGATTAGTGCCAATCCTGCCAATTCAAACCCCTGGAGGAGAATGGTGCAACAAAACCTTGGATTACTTGTTTTCTGATGAATGACTAAGGAATGACAGGATGCCTTAATCTCTCCTCTAACAAGTCCACATGTATCACTGCTAGGATTTTTTATCTGGAAGAAGCTTATTTTAAAATATATAAAGTTAAATTTTTTACTTTGGGTCACGCGAAATGGTTAATCGGCGCTCATCTCAGCTCACAATGTGCTCTTCTCTTCTCAGACAGGACACGACCATGTAAAGGAATAAAACTAAACTAGCATTCCACTTTTTACTTGCGTCCACTGGTGGCAAAGATAATTGCAATGGGACAACTTACCCATGTGACAACAAGCCCCGGTCTCCCCTACCACCAACTATCTCTGTAGCATTCAATACATAGCCTACATAAGGATTAAAAGGGTTCTAATAGTGGGTAAGAGGAGGTGAACACAGACCGGCTGTTATTGTAAGCTAATGAATATGAAAGTGAAAGGTCATACTGTGAGGAGAAGGCTACAGATTTGGTAAAATAATAGAAAAATACAGAGCAACTTTCTGCAGTTAGGCCAGTGTGTGTGTGTGTTTGTATGTGGACGTGCACAAATTAGCAAGTGAATTGTAAAATGTTTCAACCGTCGCCTGGCAAAAGTCCAGTCAGAGAGGTGAAACTAGTTGGTGGGGAAAGGGTGTTAATAGTGAAAAAAACACATAATGCTTAGCCTGTGAATGAGTACTGATATACAGTATTCCCTTTTTAAAAGTAGGCCCAGTTCTTTTCATGTGATAATGCTTGAGTATGTAGACTATAGACCTACTGTGTTTTTGTGTTTTGAAAAGACTAACATCCAACTTGACCACACAGAAAAAAAAAAGCCTTTAGGCCCACACCTCTTCCTACTACGATTGCATAACTCTGTATTCTTATGAACTCTGTCCTAAGTTTGGCAATGGGACTTATGTTCAGGAATTGCCTCTTTACTCACACATATTAACAGTGAGGTGGATAGCCTTTGTTTATTTTACAGTGAGCCTATAAATACATAAAGCTCAGCCTATTAACTAATTAGGGCCCGAGCGTAGCTGCTAAGCAGCTGCGAGAGCCCTATTATTCCCCAAGGGGTTTTTCTTTGTTTCTTTTTAGGGCCCGAGCGTAGCTGCTAAGCAGCTGCGAGAGCCCTCTTGTTCCTGTAGTTTCCTTCTTTTGTTAGGGCCCGAGCGTAGCTGCTAAGCAGCTGCGAGAGCCCTATTATTCCCCAAGGGGTTTTTCTTTAGGGCCCGAGCCAGCTGCAGAGCAGCCGGGCGTAGGCCCTATTATTCCCCAAGTGGTTTTTTAGGGCCCGAGCGTAGCTGCTAAGCAGCTGCGAGAGCCCTCTTGTTCCTGTAGTTTCCTTCTTTAGGGCCCGAGCGTAGCTGCTAAGCAGCTGCGAGAGCCCTCTTGTTCCTGTAGTTTCCTTCTTTTGTTATTATTATTATTATTTTTCCTCCCCTTTGAACTGGAAAATGGCCCACCTCCCACTGGCGAAAACTCATGAAATTTGGCAGGACGACCGGGCCTGGTGAAAAATTTGATATTCCGAAGTCGCCCAAACAAGAAAATGCAAAATGGCTCCATAGCGCCCCCTAAGGTGAAAATTCACACTATTCACTGTCACGCCGGTACGCTTTGTCAAAATGACACAAAAATTGACACACACATGTATCTCAATAAGATCTACAAAAAAGTCAGTGCGGGCGTATCTGTCAAATGTACGGTTAAAGGGTTATTTCGCATTTTTTGCCGATCCGCACACATTGGAATTTCGCTAACTCCTCCGAAGGCTTTCGTTCCACCGGCACCACATTTGCTCAGGCCAATCTACACCCCATGGCCATTAAAAGTTATTCAAATCATGACGCTGCACCCCACGGTTTAGGTTCTAGGGGGCGCCAAAGATAACCCTAAGATCCACATATTTAAAAGTCTTATAACTTTTTATTTTTGCCCTCACTGGCCTCCAAGTTTTCTAGGATGATGCAATGTCCAGCCATCAACACATTTGTGAAGGAATTTTTACTCCCCAAAAGAGCGCCCCCCATGGCAGGAGAAAAAAGTCAATTTTTTCTTGTCCCCTAAGGTGAAAATACACATTGTTGAGTGTAACACCTGTACGCTTTGGCAAAATGACACAAAAATTGACACACACATGTATCTCAATAAGATCTACGAAAAAGACAGTGCGCGCGTATCTGTCAAATGTACGGTTAAAGGGTTATTCCGCACTTTTTGCCGATCCGCACACATTGGAATTTCGCTAACTCCTCCGAAGGCTTTCGTTCCACCGGCACCACATTTGCTCAGGCCAATCTACACCCCATGGCCATTAAAAGTTATTCAAATCATGACGCTGCACCCCACGGTTTAGGTTCTAGGGGGAGCCAAAGATAACCCTAAAATCCACATATTTAAAAGTCTTATAACTTTTTATTTTTGTCCCCACTGGCCTCCAAGTTTTCTAGGATGATGCAATGTCCAGCCATCAACACATTTGTGAAGGAATTTTTACTCGGCAAAAGAGCGCCCCCCCATGGCAGGAGAAAAAAGTCAATTTTTTCTTGTCCACTAAGGTGAAAATACACATTGTTGAGTGCTACGCCTGTATGTTTTGTCGTATTGACACAAAATTTTACATACACGTGTATTTACATAAGATCTTCGAAAAAGTCAATGGCCACGTATCTGTAAAATGTACGGTTAAAGGGTTATTTCGCATTTTTTGCCGATCCGCACACATTGGAATTTCGCTAACTCCTCCGAAGGCTTTCGTTCCACCGGCACCACATTTGCTCAGGCCAATCTACACCCCATGGCCATTAAAAGTTATTCAAATCATGACGCTGCACCCCACGGTTTAGGTTCTAGGGGGCGCCAAAGATAACCCTAAGATCCACATATTTAAAAGTCTTATAACTTTTTATTTTTGCCCTCACTGGCCTCCAAGTTTTCTAGGATGATGCAATGTCCAGCCATCAACACATTTTTGAAGGAATTTTTACTCCCCAAAAGAGCGCCCCCCCATGGCAGGAGAAAAAAGTCCATTTTTTCTTGTCCCCTAAGGTGAAAATACACATTGTTGAGTGTAACACCTGTACGCTTTGGCAAAATGACACAAAAATTGACACACACATGTATCTCAATAAGATCTACGAAAAAGACAGTGCGCGCGTATCTGTCAAATGTACGGTTAAAGGGTTATTCCGCACTTTTTGCCGATCCGCACACATTGGAATTTCGCTAACTCCTCCGAAGGCTTTCGTTCCACCGGCACCACATTTGCTCAGGCCAATCTACACCCCATGGCCATTAAAAGTTATTCAAATCATGACGCTGCACCCCACGGTTTAGGTTCTAGGGGGAGCCAAAGATAACCGTAAAATCCACATATTTAAAAGTCTTATAACTTTTTATTTTTGTCCCCACTGGCCTCCAAGTTTTCTAGGATGATGCAATGTCCAGCCATCAACACATTTGTGAAGGAATTTTTACTCGGCAAAAGAGCGCCCCCCATGGCAGGAGAAAAAAGTCCATTTTTTCTTGTCCACTAAGGTGAAAATACACATTGTTGAGTGCTACGCCTGTATGTTTTGTCGTATTGACACAAAATTTTACATACACGTGTATTTCAATAAGATCTTCGAAAAAGTCAATGGCCACGTATCTGTAAAATGTACGGTTAAAGGGTTATTTCGCATTTTTTGCAGATTCGCACACATTGGAATTTCGCTAATTCCTCCGAAGGCTTTCGTTCCACCGGCACCACATTTGCTCAGGCCAATCTACACCCCATGGCCATTAAAAGTTATTCAAATCATGACGCTGCACCCCACGGTTTAGGTTCTAGGGGGCGCCAAAGATAACCCTAAAATCCACATATTTAAAAGTCTTATAACTTTTTATTTTTGTCCTCACTGGCCTCCATGTTTTCTAGGATGATGCAATGTCCAGCCATCAACACATTTGTGAAGGAGTTTTTTCTCTTTAAAAGAGCGCCCCCCCATGGCAGGAGAATAAAGTCAAGTTTTTCCTGTTCATCATTCAATGGCTCAAACGCACTGCTCTCTCGGCAAAAGCGAAAGGAGGAGCAACTTGCCATTTGGATATATCTTAGCTGTGTTTGTGCCCTCACTCATGGTCCAGACTTTTTTCAAATAGGACATGGAGTTTTTCTGCAGCGAGCGTTTTGGTAGAAACTGCGCCTCCCGTTCATTATAATGGTAAATGACCACAAACAAGTGCGCACACCATCTTTGGACCTTGAGTGTGACGCGATCGGGTGGGGGAGGCGGTCGCGCTGGGGGCGGCGTGACACGGCTCGGGCCCGCCAGTGCCCCAACGGGGCCCTAGTTTGTTATTATTAGGGCCCGAGCGTAGCTGCTAAGCAGCTGCGAGAGCCCTATTATTCCCCAAGTGGTTTTTCTTTGTTTCTTTTTTCTTTTTCCTCCCCTTTGAACTGGAAAATGGCCCACTTCCCACTGGCGAAAACTCATGAAATTTGGCAGGACGACCGGGCCTGGTGAAAAATTTGATATTCCGAAGTCGCCCAAACAAGAAAATGCAAAATGGCTCCATAGCGCCCCCTAAGGTGAAAATTCACACTATTGACTGTCACGCCTGTACGCTTTGTCAAAATGACACAAAAATTGACACACACATGTATCTCAATAAGATCTACAAAAAAGTCAGTGCGGGCGTATCTGTCAAATG